GATTGTTGTTGTTGTTATGTGTTTTATGGCGCTTATAACTTCAGTGGTATTTTGTGCCTTTGATCAGTTCGAATTTAAAAATACTATACTAACATATAATACACTATTTACGAATATATAATTATACAATTTAATCAATTACAATAAGTAATTATTTCTAAACATTTCTGCCCGTAGACAAAACAAATTCGATAACAGTGTCAATAATGTCCATGTTACTAAGCACTTCTTCCAAAGTCATTTCCAATTTAGGTTTTCTGGCTTTGCTAATGGCTGGTCTTCTTTGATGGTTATATCGTTGACAATGCAATAGATAATAGGCTACGGCCCTACGGTCTCGGGTACAAAACACTGTTCGCAAAATCCGTCAGAATGACAGCCAATTTTATGTAAATGTGCATTCAGGGCGCAATGACCAGTTTGCAGTCGGAATAAAAGAACTCGATATTTACGTGATAACGTTTCGTTTTCTAGTCGTGACATCGTGGTAGGATAAAATTTTTCATAATGGCTTTCTGTTTTGCTATTAACATATTTCGTATTCCATTTTTCTCGAGCAAATGTATCAAAATATGATTTTGCTTCTGAGACGGAAAGTGGTAGGATTACATCAAGGGAAAGTTTGTTGATTGCTTTTTTTGCCAGGTTATCCACTATTTCGTTTCCGATAATTCCTACGTGAGCTGATGATCATAGGAATGTAATTTGTATTCCTTGTTTTGTTAACATCAAGTTTATTGTAGCTATATCGCAATCAATATGTTTATGAATGCTGAATAATTAAGAGGAGCTGAAAGGGCATTTAGACAATCCATTATTATCAATACACGGTCCGGTCTTGTTGTTGCGATCCATCTGAGACAACCCAGTATTGCGTATAGCTCCGATGCATGTGAAGAGACAAAACGATTTAATTTCAGTTTATTCTCTACTTTCGCTTGAAGCACATAATATGCAGCACCAACGCCAAATGGATTTTTCGAACAGTCAGTAAATACTTGTACATAGTCTCGATAGTTTTCGTGTATATGGTCAAGGAATGACGTTTGTATTGTTGGTGAACATGTTGTACCATAAATCGTTGATTGTGTACACGGTCTATAGGACAAAGAGTTTATTAGAAGCAGAAAAAGCAGCGTTTATCAAAATGTTTTAATGAGACAGGACATGAATTAGAAAACACAACTAAAAATAGTTCATCACTACTCATTCGAATTTGCAATCGATACTACTTGGTAATGGCTTAGTACAAAACGTTTCAATATCTTAGTGTCTACTGTAGTATTTAATTTGTGATTGATCTTATAAAATCATGAACATTTGTTGGTCTTTGAAACAACAAATTTAGAAAAATTTTCAATCGATTTCAATTTTATTTTGTTCACGCTACAATTAATAATTTCTTCAAATATAAAAATTCATCATACAATGAGTGTAGAGCCTTACCCACAACAACGTTATACCACAGTGTCTGATGTGTTTTCAAGTAATACCGTCACGCAAGAATATAATTTTAAGCGAAATTACAAAACCAAACCATCGAAATGATACCGAAAATACCACGATATAAAATAATTATAGACTTTATATATTTTTCTTGAAAAACTGATTAGAACGATAAAGTCTCATAAGTGAGTAAACTCGCGGTGTTTTGATCACTTTTAGGTTTTCTCCGACTGCGGCCCGCGAAACCTCATCAAAAGTTTTTGCGACCTTTCAACCTCGCAACCTTGGACCACCCTGCTTTAAAAGCTATAAGATGATATATATACCCGAATATATTTACCAATGTTATTCGAATTTGATTTCTGTAATATTACTGCTCGCAGTTTCTTTAATTAATGGGACATGGGTATCGTTATTCAACACCTTCAAATTAAAAAAATGCATCATCATCAGGATACAAGCGTCAAATTTTGAATCTTGATTTTTCAAGATGTGATATTTACGATCAATTTCAGTTGACATTAAATTTTAATCAAACGGTTTATTTTTTCCAATGCCTCGAGCAAATGCGGTGAAATTGTTTTTTTAGTTTCATACGATGACGATATAAATGATTACGTCTTGGTTAATGTATACGCCTGGAAAAGATTGTCGTGATGCGTTTTTCAACTTGTATAACTGTGGGTGACACAAGAACTGGTGACACTACATGTTAGAAATCTTCCTTTCCGATCTTCCCATTCATTTTTTTGTTCCGCGTTATACACGAAAGATCTAAATAAAATTGTGAAGTCTGTATTCATCATGTTAATTCCAAGTTTCCACGTTTCCAAGCGCATAAGAATTCATAAATGAATGAAAACAAAGCCATTCACAATGCAAATGTTTACACCATCTTGTTATTGTCATTATGAAACCGATTCATTTGATAATATGCCTGTGGGAAATTCAGCAAGCATAGCTAACTAACAACACTCTGCAGAAATTGAGGAAAAAAGACGAGTTCATGTGCAACGTAAACAACCGTTAATTCTGCATTCTTTATACTGCATCACCAGGCGACGCCTTCAACAACGCCCACATTCTATTTGGTGTTATTACGTTTTACGCTTCTTTCTGAGTTCCATCCTGCCCATGTTAGACCAAATTGTGTGTTGTGTAATGACCACTGGAAAACGATCCTATAATATATTCATATAGGAACACCTTATACAAGAGAAGAAGGTTCTACCAAAGCGAATTGCAAAACACCTCAATCAGCAGAGGCCGGGCATGAGAATAAATACTCTACATTCGATTTTCGTTTGTTTATTCGGTTGACAAAATAGATGTATTTCTAATGAAAACTGTCTGTTTATGGTTTGCCAATGTGTAAAATGGAGTTAGATTTCACATCCTGTTTTAAAGGCTACTGAAGTTCGTTGGTATTCAAATGCTTTCAAATATGGTTGAATAAAAATGATAAATGCAATCATCCGCCTGGTATCTATAGAAGCTTCATATAGATCAGCGGTGTGCAAACTGCGGCCCGTAACTACATCTTATAAAGATGCCGTCCGCAGCTTCACATAGTTACTTGAATCTGGCCCTCTTGAAATAAAGGTTGCACACCCCTGCTATAGATGATATATATATACCCGAATATATTTACTCAAGTTATTCGAATTTTGATTTCTGTAATATTGCTGCTCGCAATTTCTTTAATTTAAGGGAACATGGTTTTTCGTAATTTAACACCTTAAAAATGCATCAACGTTATGATACAAGAGTCAAGTTTTCAATCTTAATTTTTAAAGATTTCGTAATTCAACACCTTAAAAATGCATCATCATCATGATACAAGCGTCAAATTTTGAATCTTAATTTTTTAAGATGTGGTATTTACCAACCAATTACAATCATTCAGTTGACATTAAATTTCAATCATACGGTTTATTGTTTCCAATGCCTCGAGCAAATGCGCTGAAATTGTTTATTTTAGTTTCGAACGATAACGATATAAACCAGGGTTGACGAACTCATTTGCTGCCGCGGGCCACTTTATCGGTCACCGCTGAGTGAGCGGGACAATTTTTAGTTGTACTACCGTATGATACCTGTTGTTTTTCATCTACTAAACGAACAACGGCATCCATACAGCTGATGTTATTCAATTATATAATGCAATATAAACGCTCGGCTCGGATGTTCGAGATCCGAATTTCCTTTCGAATACCACAGCATATTATGGCCGTAGTAGATTGATTGATTGGATGTGAAATGATATTTCATAATAGTAATGTTTTTAATTTGTGGGCGCAGCCGCATTATATATTTATATTTAATTTAAAATAAATTATAAATAGACTACTATGGTCGCCAATGAAATACTTTGCACAACTGCAAAATTGCTAACCGACAACATAACATACCGGTAAAAAACATTAATTGTCGAAAAAGTGGTCTCTTTTCACGAGTGGCCTGCCTAATTGCGTCGACAGTTGCATAAAAATTTTAGGATTCGTTACGATTTACCCTTTCCCCCAATGGTAATATCAACCTACTCATTATCGAATCTTTCTTCATGACATTTTGTGTCGCGTTAATATGCAAAATTCTGGTTGATAATGCCTCAGAAAGTATTTCGGGATTCTTTGTATGAAGATTCTTTATAAAAAACCACCGCCTCCGCTCAAAAAATTAAATGTAAATTATAAATATTTCAATTACATTTCTAGGGTGGGTGGGGGCTAAGAATCCAGATTGCGTCGGAAATTCAAAACCTCAAATCATTCCTAACCCGAACCGCAACTGGATAGTTACTAACTTGTTATTTCAGAACGAAGTTTTTTTCACATTTTGCATTAGCAATGGAGGCTTTGTACAAAAGATCCGTATTTTGCAGGCCTTCGGAAACAAAAATTGTAAACGAATCCCTCTAATCACGATTAACTGATTTTTAAAACATAGGCATTTTTTAGAGATCTACCATTGTTTTAAAATCATTGAGCAGAAGTTATAAACTTTTTATTACTTTGGAATATCACGTCTATCGTGCACAAAAATATCACATTTTCATAAAGTGAGATTACTCCTTCTCTATTAAACCGTATGCGTTTGCCGATAAGAGAGCGTAACTATGCTACGACATTGGTCATTTTGATCTATTGTTAGAGGTATCGATGACCCCCAAAAATGTGTTGGAAATAGTGTTGTTGCCAGTAATATGAATACGGTAACACTTGCGATCCCGTTCTCTCTGTACAGTTCTTGGGAGGTTTGTTGCTTTACGCCAAACATACACTGAATTGCCTGAATGCTTCGTGGGCCGCATGAAAGTCCTTGGCGGGCCGCAGGTTCGTCACCTCTGATATAAACGATTACGTCATGGTTAATGCATATGCCTGGAAAACGGATATGTCTCCCCTTTTCATTGCTTTTTTGCGAATCAAACACTAATATAATTATTCTATAAATCAAAGGACTAACAATTTTGTTTAAATAATGAAATTTTATGCAATCGAACTAGTTCAATTAGAATTTATTTGATGATGCATATGAATCTAAGAAAAAATGACAAACTGCCCCGAGGAACTACGCAATTTTACTTAAGTATTCATTCACTTGAAACTGATCATACATATTTTGCTGAGACTCGATTAAGTAGCAGCGAAAATGTCTGGATCTTTTCTTTGTTTGACAGTTCTGCTTGGTGTCATCGCATTATGCCAAGGTATGCTAATTTGTTAGCCTACAAAACATTGCATGCTTATCTGCGAAGTTTGTGTGTGAAATATTCAATTTTTTAGGTTGGCATTATGGGGCACGAAATATACTTACAGATCGTCATGTTATTATGTTGCTGCTATTGTTGTTTTTGCAATCACTGTTGCTGTTATGAAAATATTGCTTTTAACTTTAACGATAGAAGACTATTACTTTTATTTATTTCAAAAATTTCTGTGAGCTCCATGAGATTCGTTTTCGTGTACGATGACGCGATCCAAATGAAAAACTGCGCACCCCGCATTCGCCTATTTGTCAGGCGAATTCGCAAAGACTGCGATACCGGTAGTCTACTGTGGTGGATTGCATAGCTGTTCCACTTCGTGTTGGTTTTTGTGTCCTTTTTTTGAGCATCGATTTCTTAATTTGTATTCAGCATCATGTTTTGATCAATAAGATATTGAATAGACACCGAGTTTTTATTCTCATTCAGTTGAGTTGATTTTTATTTTAGTTGAAGGTGGACCTGATTCTCGATGCAAAGATTACAACGGATTGTCTAAAGCAAATGGCAAACGGTGTGGAAGGCCCTGTGCATCGAATGGTGATTGCGAAAAGGGACAGATTTGTTGTCCTGCGGGCGCGTGCGGATTGTTATGTAGACCTTTACCGGGTGAGTTTATTTCTACATTACCGGTATTTAATTGTGAACTAAACGAAAGTTTAAAATATGTTAATACTGTACGGAGGAAATTATGTTAGCACCTCATGAAAGCACTAGTAATTTTGTCCCTGTTCAATATCCTAGGACAAATATAAATTAGAACACACAAAAACATCCTTTTATTTTGGAGGTGTAATTGTCAATTTCTAACTTGAATGTATAATTGTGTAATATACGAAAAGTGGCGCATATACAAGTGCGCAAAATAAAAGGCTGGGAAAGCATACTGCTCTTAAGCATTTATCAGTTTTTCATATTCTATGCGACCAGTCATTATTTTCCGTTGATTTGTGAATATTTGTATTCTACAGTGGTGGATAAAAACTGCCCACCTGTTAAAGGAAAAAGAAAACGTCGATCAGCTGGAACGTACAAATGCTTTTCAAATGCAGACTGTGGCGACGGAATATGCTGCTATGGACCAGTATTACCCAGTACCTATTGTTTTCAATACTAAATTTACACATTGAATTCGGTTTCTAAGCTTTACTCGGCTGCAAATAAATGATTTACTATGGTGTGTACAATTCAAGTCAAGTAGTCTAACCAGTATAAAAGTCAGTTTTACACAAAATACGAAGAAAAAGATAATCACACATTTCAACTGGGGAAGGGAAGTCTCGAGGAACCAAAGCTGGTTATCGAGCAGCGACACCCCAGAATCTAATATTTAAATAAAAAGATCGGGAAGTTTAGTTTCGTAACTTCTGTTTTTGTTTAGTGTAGAGAGAGAGTGTAGCTTTTATACTGTATAGAAAATTAATCAGCTAATGTATTTAGGAATAAATAAAATATTTTCGATTATATTAAAGAGCTATATTGAAATTGTCAAAATATTCCTCACTTCAGCTACATTGCTTAAGAATAGAAGTTTTTGAAGGCGACCCCAGGCAGTATAGGTATAGCCACGTGATGGCTGCAGTGGTGAATAGAATGACGATTGTGAATGGAATACATAATAAAAAACATCAGGTACAATAAATTGATTAGAATTAACACATAATAAGGTAGAAAAGTTATGATATTATTACGGGATTGTCAGCGTGACATACATCCAAATTGTGAATTCCGTACACAAACTTTTGTTTTTCACTCGCGCGCAAATTCCAGTGAATGAGCAGTGAGATATTGAGTAGTTCTGATTTTTGAAGAACTTCCAAATTGATTTACTGTAGTATGGAGTCCCATAGAGATACTAATTTTAGTAACAAATGAATAAATTAAGTGTGGTATAACATTGAAATCCAAATTGCTTTCATTAAATATTTTAGTATATATATTGAATATATTGCTAAAAGACTAGCGCTAGTTACCATCAACTTCCTGTGTAGGCGGTTCCAAACTTTTTGTTCGTGCGCGCCAAATTATTTGAATCAAACTCAATTTTGTGATCGTTAATGTGTACTTTGTACCTTTCTAAACTTTGTAAACATGTAGGCCTGAAGAATAAAGGCAAAAGATCAACTTTTCTTCTTCTTTATCTCTGCCCTATTTAACTTTGAAATAATCATTCATGATCGCTAATTTGCAGCAAGTAGTAGACAGACACTATACGTAACAGAAAGTAAACAGCATAATAAGTTAACATGAATTTATTGGTTCATATACACAGCGTTTAAAAAAAAAGACAAAACATTTACATTAAATACAAGATGTTAAATATTCAATCATATATCAGTTACTTGTAACATTCTATAGAATGATATTAATCAGTTGATAACCAGCTAATTATCGGGTATTTGCCCTAAAGAAAGAAATGCATTAGCACTCTCTGAAATGTTACAAGCCCAAAATAAAATATATTTGCACCCCCTTGTACGTTTCCATATATTATTCTAATAATTGAAACGATGACACAAATAAGTTTCTTCCAAAAATCGTAAACGAAGTATAACGGGAATATTTCTTGAAAAAGTATGAATATGAAAATAAATGAAGGATATATGATAGTTGTTCCCAAACTAATTTGTAATGTGTCGTGCAGTTTCAATCGATTTCCTAACACAAATTTTTTTTTATGCGCCCACATGGACGATATAATACATAAAAATTAGTGTTGGAAGAGAATCTCGGATATCAAAAATCCAGTCGCGATATCATCGTTTATGTGCACAAAAGCAATCTCACATGTAGCATCAGTTCAATAGGAAAATGAAATGTAAAACTCTTAGTCGTCGTGATTGCAAAAATAAAAATGAATGTTTATAGGCAATCAATCAATCATCATTTATTTGTCAACACAATGTAAATATATCACCAGAACTATGGCAAAATATAAAACAAAGAAGACTAACTTCAAATTTGTGACAGTTGTGGAGCCCGAAAAACCTTGAAAGGTCTTTGAGCAGCAACAACAAACGGCTGGCTGTTCAGTTGGGCACAATTGCGTTCGAATTGTGCAGAGGATGATTATGAGGGAAACGAGTTACGTAAGCCTATGTGTTTCAGCCAGCATTAGCAAATCGTGCTCAAATTCACGTGTTCACCCTTGTTTATGGAAACACGCGGCAGCGCATTCCAACCTTGGTCGACGCGGCTGATCGTTTTTGTGGAAGAAGTAGAATCAGTGGGCTTGTAACACACTCAACTTAAAAAAAATGCTTTTCAGAAACGAGACAAATGACAATTTAGCAATCCCTAAATAACTCGGAAAGTGCTGCACAGTATTCGCAAAAAGTGCACCTATAGGGAACAGTGGTGGTAACCTATTTACAAAGAATATATATAACAAGTTGAGGCAGATTGTCATCGAAATCGACCAATTTAGTTATTATTAATTAGACTGGTGTTACAAAACAAATCTTTTTCACATTGTGTCTATTTTTAATTTTGCAGCTTGTATTGCACATTAGTATTTTGGAAATTTCAACATTTGGATTCCAGTGCCGTAAAAGTGAATACAAAAAATCCTCGTTTCATCATTAGTTAGTTTTTAGAAACCCAATTTGGCCTAATATTTCAAAAAAGTCTGTTGAAAGAACGCCAATTAAGTTTAAAAATTGCTGCTACTTATTTCCATAACATAAGTTACATAAATCGGTGCGTTGTTTTTAGCTTCAGCATATTATGTAAGTCAGCCAGCTCGTGCTTGGAAATATGTCAAACAAAGTGGACGACCCGTTTACTGCTCAATGTTATATAGCTTATGTTCGACTGGGCTACTGGTCGACTGTTATCTGAGTATTTGCGACCTTGCGTACGTACTTTCTCACAGATCAATAATGGCTACAAAGAAGTTTGGTGGGAAATAATCGGAGTGTACACATGGATCGTGTCACTAAAATGTTGTAGGGTGATACTCCAAGTTTTTCTACATCTGCGAATATCGCTTAACCTGGGGCGTAGCCGTGTGGCATTGTATCATTCCAGTCCGACATAATCATGATTTTTTCCTGTCTAATAATACAAGAAGGGTGCACAATCAAGCGTGAGTAGAACCTTATTGAATGTTTTTTTTGTTGGTGCTAGAATATTCGACGACACGCAACAAAGATATATATATATATATATTTAAACATCTCAGGAATACATGAAAGCGTTCTGTAAAAACCAATCAATATTTTATTTTTAGAAAGTTCATGCTACCAACTGCAGCCTCATACGTGGAAGAAGCTTTACAAATATACATCATATTATGAAGAAAAGTGTTAGATAGATGAAAGTTGGGGATTGCGGGAAAACCGCAATATTTCACAAATGCAAAAGACTGAAACTTATTTTTAAAAATGATCTGTGGACAAGTGTGCCCAAAGAAAGTGTGTCCTCATTTTATTTGTACCTGCTTATTAACAAATGCGGTGCTTAACTACAGATATAACCTTACGGACGCGTGACATTCGTGGTCACGTATTTGAGTATTGCGCACTCGTTTTTATCAACAGCGACAGGTTTTCTTTCTCAAGGACGTCATTAATGTATATGTCAATATAAAACGACTATTTTTATTTCATAAGCCAACAATTAGATTAGTCGATAGACGAAAACTTATGCAATAATGACGCACATAGAATGTGTTTATATAGACTTCGGTGTCAGCACATTTGCACACACGTACATTTGCACCTTCATACTTTTTAACCCACCGACATATGTAACCACGGATATTTGCACCCGTACATTTTCAGCCCAAAAGTTTTAAACCTTCATATCGATTATCGATCACCCGCGGACATTGCACGAACATTTGCACCCGCGTACATTCGCACACATGTACATTTGCACTCACATATATTTGCACTCATGTGTATTTGAACTCACGTACACTTGCACCCTTACATGTACACTTGCATGTATTCTTTTAATTTAATGGATATTTCACCTACGTGCATTTGCACTCACGTACATTTATACCCATGCACATCTGCATCCGGGAGTATTTGTACCCATGACACTTTCACGCATATGCAAGTGTGCTCGTCAATAACCGTGTTTATTTAATTACCAACTATAAATATATATTGGAAATGGAAAAAGACAAATTTTAAGTAGCCTGTATTCTTGGTGAGGGTCGATACGTTTTTACAGTCATTTACGAGTTGTGATCCTATCTTACTTTTGTCGGTCATTTTCTTTCGATGAAACATTGCAAACGTAGTCAAATGCACGGTGGTAAGTAGACAATGGCGAAGAAAACTGGTCGTACCTAAATTAATCGAGTCAGTGTTAAAACAATTGTACAAGACAAGAGAGAGGTGCTTTGAGAAAGAATAATAGATAGAAATAAAAAAAAAACAGAGCGGGAAACGACTTCGACTTAGCGAAAGCAGGATTTATATTGAACAAGTTGTTCACGCTACTTTCCTACTCTTCGTATTATTGCGTCATAAGGGTGCCTATACCAATGAAGATTTTTTCCTCGATTTGGGTTAATGGATGGAAATTCAAATTAGTTGCGTTAGGGTTTGCAGTGAGCTTGTCTTCATGACTATTCATAACTTTAGGATATCCCCGTTTTGGCGTAAATTGCAATAAAACCTATTTCACTTCAATGGGTGTTAATGTTTACAGGTGCAAAATTTCATGGGCGCAATCGTCTATAGATGAGATATCGTGAGTTCAAATGTTCATGGGTGCAAATGTCCGCAGGTGCAAATATGCTGGATGCAAATGTATTTTGGTTCAAATGTACGCTGGTGCAAATGTCCATGGTTGTAAATGTTCAAGGGTGAATAATGTAGCCTATGTGCGTGCTACAATCTACGGGTGCAAGTGTATGGGTGCAATTGTTCGTGAGTGCAAATGTTCGTGGATGCAGGTGCAATTGTCTTGGGTGCAAATGTACGTCGGTGCACAGATAATGGAACCAACTTACGTATGAATTAGCGCACAGTTTTGCATATTTCGATCGTTTCTATGAGATTATTTATTCACAATTTAAATAAGGTTTCTAAAATGGTTTGAATCCAAACCTATTCCATCAGACAAGATAATATACTAGAGAGTCAAATATTATTTTACAGGTTTGTTCCACCCTCGCTATTACAATCACTCCCTAGGACCCGATTGCGCACACAGGTCCGTCATTCCCCTACGAGGAGTCATAGCAAAGGTAAAAATTAGTTATAATGAGTGAGTTTAAGTCGGAATATTCTTTCGTCTATTTTCGAATCGTCTGTATGTCGTATATATCAAAACTGTTTGGTAATTTTCGTGATAGCGCTGATTACTTTGGATAAATACTGTAGTTTACATGAATATTTGAACACGTATCAGACTGTTGACGTCAAATTTCGCTTGTGCTCTATATATAAGCTTCGGGGGTTTGTCAGGCCACAGTAGTGTTGTAGTCGTTTGGAGAAAGCAACACAATATGGAATATAAAACCCTAATTTTGTTCCTGACGGTTCTCGCCTATGCGGCCGGTATGTTAAGTTTTAACTTCGTAATGTACCCATTAGGTTTACTTTAAAACCATGAACTCATATTTAATATATTATCACGTTTCAGGTGCTTTGATATATGACAACGAGTTCGATAGTGCAGACTCTACTGCGGACTGGGTCATTGAAGTAACTGGAAATCCCCATAACAACGAACTCCAGTATTATACAGCACGAGAACAAAACATTTACGTTGAAAATGGAAATTTGGTTATAAAGCCCATAAAAGAAATGTAAGTCACAAACACCGCATATTCATCAGCATCCTAAGAATCATAATAAGCGTGTGTGTAAAACGTAATGCACTCTTTTCGACTAAACTATATAGCCTTGCTTTGAAAGGTATCAGGGAAGAAAATACACTTCTGGGAGACTCCACTCACAATTTGCAATGAAGTATGGGCGTGTTCAGGTTCGTGCAAAACTACCTAATGGAAATGGATTGTGGCCTGCTATTTGGATGATGCCTCGGTAAGGAATAACCTAGTTTGGTATTAGCGTTTGGCTATGACATGCTGTTTATCGTTGAAATGCGTTTTGATAAACTTCGGTATACTCATCAACCGTGCACACATTTTTACCAAACGACAGTGACAACGTATTTGGAACATGGCCTAAGAGTGGCGAGATCGATATTTGTGAAGCTAGAGGCGACAGCATGGCTGAGATCCAGAGTACAATTCATTTTGGAGATCTTCCATGTTGTGATTACCATTACTATGAGAACAGTGGCGATCTCGATATTGACGGTTCAATTGACCAATATCACGTTTATCAACTTGATTGGACACCAACAGAGTTGGTAGGTGTTTGATTTCATTAACATTTGCTCACTCATACGTCCAAGTCCTTTTGAAAATTTGGCGATCCTGCGTTGATGAATGGGATAAACAACTTATATACATACAATGGCCATGCAGCTTGGTATCGTACAATATCCGCACTATAGAAAACAGCGTTATGACTTTGACGTGTTTACTTTGGTTAATAGACACAATTTTATTCTGACTGCTGACGGGATATTGCCTTTTAATTAAATAAGCACCTTTACAGGGTTCCCGTACATTTGAACCCACGACAATTGCAACTGCATACTATTGCACCTATGGGATTTTTTTTGTTTTACGGATATTTGAACCCATACTAACCCTAACCAGTGGGTTTTAGCATCCGGATATAGATTGAACCCGCGGATATACCCATGGGTTCAAATGTACGGTCATCCTTTACAGAAGAGGGCAGTGGTTCTTAACCTGAGTTCGATTTAACCACTTGGGTTCGGTGGAGCTGTTCAAGGGGTTCGATCGATCGATCGTCTTCCGAAAGTCCTCTGAAACATTTTCATATTACGGGACTTTTCTATTACCTCGTCTACTAATCATGCAAAAATAATTATACTGGTAGTTCATAGGAGATATTCAAACTTAAACGTTCAACAACCAATAAATTAGCTTAGCTGTGTGTAGCTGTGTGTTTGCGCAGATATAAGTTTTAGTGGACCTGTTGATGTTCTTAGATTCTAGTACGTTTCATCAAAAGCTCATATCTCCACATATGTCGTGCGCTTCGGTGTTTGTACTTATCTATGATAGTGCTTTAAGATTCTTTCTGCTTATGGCTTTGAAATATCCTGGGTTGTTATGACAAACCAAGGATTTTCAGGCTGAATATTTGCGTAACACCTATTCATAATCTAACGTACTAATAAAATTTAACTCAGTTTTAAATAACTCAGTCTTGCGAATGATTGAAAATGTACATAAATCACTGCAAAATCAGAGCGTGTTTGAATTTCACTAGGTGATAAATTTGCAACAAAGAATACTTTATTGCAGAGCTTTGCTTAAAATTATCGTCATCCGTACCGTATCATATCTCTATTTCTGTAAAATAAAACAATTGTCAAAAGCTTTATACGCATTTCAATGTAGTTTGAAGTTTAAGAAACGACTGACTTTAGCTACCAACGTTTTTGAGGCATATAATCATATCTTGGATTTTTGAGGTTACTAATTTTTTATCCATTTTTGCCATTTCACTCAATAAAGTTATAGAACAAAACACATCTTTTTCCCTGCCGCCGACACTATTGTGACAAGCCAATAGCTATTTCCGCACGTGGTATTGGTATCTGAGATTCCACCATAATGTTCATTGTTTATAACCTTGCACGAAATTAGCTTCTTTTTTTAAAGTTAGAATTGGGCTCCTAATTTTAACCGTTCAGTACGATGAGGTTCGGCGGGAGCATGCCGAATGGCGCAGGGGTTCAGCAGGCTCGGAAAGGGGGAGCCACTGGAATGGGGTATCATAATACTGGCCATTTCGATTTTAGTAATGTTTAAGAGAATGTGGAACATTTTCTAATGAACCGTCGTGCGTATAGAAAATTAGGACAAATACTTATGCTGCAATTACCGCATTGATTTTCAAATCAAAGCTATTTTGAGCTACCCTCACATTTTGCCTCTACTTGATTTTTTCCATCGGGAGAATACTATTGGCATATTAAAAGTTGGTTTGAAAATTGTCTAGATGTACTTTTGTTAAAAACTTCATATGCTACAGTAATACTCACGAATGATCATCCGAGTACTGAGTTGCATCAAAGTGGGTCACAGGCCCCCGATTTTGGGTTTAAAATACTTTTGTTTCAATAGACGCGCGTTAAGATCTTATAAATTTTTTTAGTATCGGTAGCCATATTCAAATTATTTGCAATTAAGTTAGGGCAATGACATGAATTAAGGTAACGTATCACGGTGATCTACTAACTCTGAATTGAATTCGTAGGTATACAGCTTGGATGGCAAGCCTTATCATATGCACAATCTTGACAGACAAGTAGGATGGATGTACGGAAATAAAGGTCAGATTGAAAATTTTTGACCAAATAAATAATGTCATCACCAGTCACCAAATAGTCGGAACTCAAGCATTACTAAGTTTGAAGTGTAGGATAGCCTAATATAATAATAGCCTATTCAAAACCATTTTGAAATTGAAAAAGATATCTTACTTCGTCTCAATAGACTAAAACAGGTATATATTATATTTTTCTCTGTTCACTATCACACATATGTCACCGCCATTTAAACATTTGTGATTATTTACAGTAATTTTTTATAGGTGATCCTTTCAATCAATACTTTTACATAATTCTTAATGTTGCTGTTGGGGGACATTACGTTACGGATCCAACGCCAACCACTACCTGGAATTATCCGGATGCTGAAATGAAGGTCGACTACGTACGAGCTTATCCACTAGAGGTTTGTAAGCCGTAACTGTTTAGATTATATAATGCTTTATTATATAGCTTTACTCGGATCGGGACTGTGTGTCTATCTCTGAGAAATAAAGAAATTTACTTCCTGTCTTTTAAGTACAAGAAACACTGCTCAAATATATGGCCAAAAGGAAGTAATGCGGGTATAAAACATTTTACAGTACCGATACCGAAGCCTTCCCGACTTTGACTGACCACCAGAACTCAACGATCGAGAAAGTGAAACCGCCACTAGGTGCGAAATTTTTAATGACATCATCGCAACAAAAACGAATCCCATAGAACCCGCAGAAATTTTTTAAATAAATAAAAGTGATAGACTTCTAGCGAAAAATACAATCTTTCCCCACTAAATATTTCATAGCAATTGGTTCAGTAATTAATGATTTTTTCAAACGATACTTTTAGGACATATCGACATTCAAATGTGGTGTCAAGCCTACAGCGTCTTACGGCGATATATGTGGAAACGTGGAATGGGCTTGTTATAATCAATTGAATGCTGATGTAAGTGCTCAATGTACTTCCGAACTATTGAATTGCTGCGCGACAGGAAGCTGTGAAATTACTAGAGTACAAAGTAAGTAAATAAAACCAAGCCGCATAATAGAATATTTTTATATCAGCATTATTGAATTTTCGTGCCTGATGAAAATATGATGCAGACAGCGTTGTATGGAAATGGGTGGCTATAAAGTGACAATATTGAGTTTACGTCTTACCCAAATCAAAATTCATTTTAGCGTTGGCAACCGAAGTATTCGCTGCATACGACGATCAAATAAACGATGGAGATTCATGCAACTTCGGCGGTACGGCTATGCGCAAATACGTGTTACATGATGGTTATGCACCAAATCCCGAATGCCGTATCAAAGACGACGCAAACAATGCTGACATTTGCGGCAGTATGTTATGGGCATGCAGCAGTGACAACACCTACGCAAATGTAAGTATATTTCATCGCAGGAGACGACACTTTCAAATATTATCAAATGTTCAAACTCTAGATTCTAGAAGAATTTATGAGAGAGTGATGTAGTCTAAGTCTTACGCTTTGTTCCATATTGATATTTTTCAGGTCGATCCAGAGTGTAGTGATGCTGCCGATGTTCAAGCTTGCTGCAATGTTGATCCATACTCATGTGATAACAATCGCTTGAGGCAAGGTGCATGGGCTGTTTTTGCAGCATACTATAATGCAATACCCTCAGCATCGAGTTGTGATTTTGGCGGCGTCTGCTACCTTGATGCAATTCAGGAACCTATTCACGCAATCGACGGTTATGGTGCATAAGCATTGCGTACTTTGAAACCTCCATGTTTTGGGGAAATAAATCAACAAAATCAAAACCTTGTAAAGACTGTCTTTTTTTCTTCGTAGTCAAAATAGGGAAATCTTGAATACGCGAAGGATTTTAGATTTATGGCAGTGGTTACCAAACTCCAGTGGTCATTTTGGAGGTAGGTCTGTGAGATCTACATGTGTAATATGAAAACGAAATGGAAAATATAAAAGTATTAGTGATTGTAATCAGCCAATCTAATATAAATATACCGCCATTCAAGTTATGTAGGCCTACATACATACCCAATGTCATAGGCATGTATAGTCAACTCAATACTCATATGCGGTCATGCCTTTCGAATTTCGACGCAGTTGATATAAAGTGTACGAATATACCCGACTCGTTGGATGCCGCTGGCACAATATTGTACAAAAAATTTTCCATTCACCCCCCCGTTTGCCTCAAATGATTTCGCCTGGCAACCTGTTGTGTGGCAACTTGATATATAACGCACATGCTCAGCCAAGCGTATCTATTCAATTATCTTTTACAAAGGCGCTCAATATAGAAGAAGCGAAAAAAGCACCACTACAACATGTACGAAAAAATTGCCATCCATCGCTCATCTGCCTCAAATGGTTTCGCCTTTCTGAAATGGCTACTCGACATATAGGGCAAATGCACAGGGTAGCGTTTCTCTTCAATTCTCTTTTTTTTTTGCAAGAGCGCTCACTGTAAGAAAAGAAAAGCATCACCATCAGAGTCACGGCAGCAACTGAGAAACGAGAACATCGGTCAGAGACCGAAGACTTATCGATCGAAAGTTAGGGGATCCCCCAAAACAGCGCTCTTACTCCATAGTGTCACCTAGTGTCCCATCACTAATTAATCAATAACTCGCTAATTATACGACATAATTCATCCAAAAGCAATAGGCTTCTGGTACAACATATAATGAATGCACATGCAAAATCTTGAGCAGATTCAATCTTGCTTTCGTGAGATATCGCGTGCATCTAACAGACAAACAGACAAATACCTATCATCATACTTACCGATTAAAATCGATAAGTAATAAGTCATTCTCTGTTTACGACAGCGGTTCCCAGACTTTTTGTTCATGCAGCGCCAAATTATCAGGGACAAAACACACGGCACCCTCTCACGAAACACAAATTGCTGCCTTTAAACCCAATTTTGTGATCGTTTATGTGTACTTTATGCTTTTTAAATATATAGGCCTAAAGAGTGAAGGCAATGTCAACTCTTCTTCCCTATCTCTGCCCAATTTTCCTTTGAAATACTGAAAAAATCATTCTCATGTTCGCTAAACTCAGTTCAGCAGATAAAGAAACTGCAGCTTCCAAAATTGGATAAAGCAGTGTCTACCTCTGTTGTTACGTGACAATAGAGGCAAACACTATGTAACAGAAAATAAAGACATAGAGCAGTGGTTCCCAACTAGGGTGCCGCGCCACATTAGTGTGCCCCAAAAAGATTCTGTTGTGCCGCGAAGATATTTCATTTTTGAATTTAGTTCAAATGATTCCAATTTCCAATCCCTTAAATTCCACAAGAATTACCCACGGCTCTTGCTAACAAACAGAAACGACAAATTTGAGGAGTCGTATTTCAAGTATCTGGGTATTGTTTTAATTCTAAGTTTTGCACAATGCGCGCCAACCCCGTTTCGTGAAATTGAAAATGCCAAACAAGGTAACAAATTATTGTGCAAAATTTTTCCTAAATTTGACCAAGGAATTATTATTTGACTAGTAGAATTGCCATAATTTAGAATTTATTGAAGTATTATTTAAAATCAAAATAACATTCAGGATTCACGCAATGACTTTGCAGGGTTTTTTGTTCACTATTTAATACGAAAATAAAACAGACACGATAGGAAAGTAATATCATAAGAAGGTCAACTATCATCTTTATAAATATCCGCATTTCAACGTCAGAAATGATAATATTGTTAGCTTAAAATTGGGACAGTTAATTTACTATCGGTGGGGAGAAAGATCAAAACAGGCGTGAACAATGAATATCGAAATAAAATCCCGGATTCACTCTTTAATAGCCGTCTTTAAAATATGTCGCCCCTATGAACGCATAGTTCTCTCTGGAAGATAAAAACCAAACGTTGCGTAGGAAGTAGTCCTTGTATAAAAAGAGTGGACGGCCGGAAATAGCTCACCAACATTAGAATGCCTAGCATTCTGGATATCCGTTGTATGTGTATTAAAAATACCCGATATTCGAAAATTCGTTAAAATTATTCTAATTATTTGATTCGATATAAATATTCTATTTTACCCACCCTTGCGATCTGTAATCATGCCGGTAATCTGGCGAAACGCGTGGTAGCATAAACACCGATGCAATGAAACTCAATAATAAAAACGTCATTAAATTTATTAAATTGCACTATTTCACGAAAGCATGGTGGAATTGACGATTATTTCATATCTCGAACACAAAAACGGTTATTTTTCGGATAGTTTCTGCGGTCTGAAAAGTCGAATAAGCCTTTCGACATAGTAAATGCTACGGTCTTTGCCATCAAATTATGATCGGGCCTTGCACGAAATTCCTAACGTGAATATAAAATTGTTTATAACAACTTTAAACCTATTCAGTGTTTTTAGTGATAATAATGAATTGTTATAATGAAATACGGTTTGTTTGCCTCCTTCATTTCGTTCGCTAGTGCTAAGAATTACACCATTGAATGATTTTGGCAATGGGAGAAACATATTAAATTGTAACAAAAAGGAATTAGGTTGTACAAAAGTGAGAATACCTGCGATAATAATAGGGCGTAACGTGGAACGGAGAAAGGCGAGAAAAACCAAAGCGCAATAGCGTCACGTATTACCTGTGAAGCCGCGCATCTTTCACAATAATGTGATGTGCTCCGAAGTGGGTGTCGTGTACATTATTAAAAGAAAACAGTTATAATATCGGTAACTATTAACCATCCATTTTAAATCCAGGGTATGTTGTATTACAAAAAATAGAATTTCCCTTATCTGATCTTCTGTGTTTTTTTATTTTTTTTTTATAGCCAAATGGCTTCAAGAGTAGGAAATGTTCCTTTTTGGGATAGGTGTGCCGCGACATAAAAAAGATTGGGAACCGCTGACATAGAGAGCTAATATGAATCGATTGATTCATATACGCAACATTTAAAATAAGAAAAAATAAAACATTTAGTATTTTCAATATAAACAATATGTAAACTATTCAATAATATATTAGTTATACTTAGCAAATCGTCGCTGCGCCATGCGCCCGCTGTCCTATATGTCAATAACTGCTTTGTAAAAATTTTGAATTTTTATTGTAAAATAGTTTTCATACAAATTCTGCTTCTTGACTCTGGGCTTTGAAGATGTTTCTGCCTTTGTGATACCTTGCATACATGACCCTACGTGAGACCTTGCTGAGGACAAAGAGAATGAGATACAAAGAATACTTACACAGACCAATACTAAAAGCCTACAACAAAATGTCTAACAATTGAAGGCGGATGAGATCCAGTAGTTGTGCTTCATTTGATTATAAAAAGAACTATAATTTTATCATGTTTTTGACACGACTTGCATAGTGTTCACTTATACTTATTCTGGAAATTATTTTGGTAATTAATGTTACGTTGTAAACGTACGTTGTATATTTTGCGTTGTATGCAGTGCATCGTGTGATATCCTGTAACCAATTATTGTAGACCCAATATTACTATTTTTCTCTTTGGTTGTAGCTTAAATTAGTAATTTTATCTGTGGTCTGCTGCTACCATACACGCGTTATCCTCATGTGTGGGGGTTTTATTTGGTAATTAGCCATAAATAATTTAGGCTTATTTAGTAACATCTACCTGTAACGTTAACAGAAATGATATAAACATAACAAAAACCTAAGCCCAAGAACTTGTTCGGTGTAGCGTTCTTTTTGTCGTCATTTTTGCATCACGTATTCGTCGTGTAAGCCGCAGGTATTCGTCCGTATTGTGGACTGTTTACTTATCCGGTATATATATTGTAATTGTATTAGCCACCCGGATCGGAAAACGTTTGGTAAGAATTTTGTCTTTTGTTGTTTATTTTGTTGATATATGCATTGTGACTTAAGTTAATTAATTGTGTTTTATTCATTTAGGAGAACCGCTGTTCTTGGCCAAGTGTATAAAGAAGAAGCTGGTTTATTCATGTGTCTTTTTTGTGGATAAAGGATCCGATAGTGGCGCGATCGATACGTTTTCATTGTGTCTCGTCTATATAGATTCCGGGCTATCAAAAGACGTGGCAATTAATTAAAGTCACTAAGTTTGGCAATATCGTTTTTATTGTAAACTTCAAATGCTTGAATACCATAAACGCGTTATCCTCATGTGTGGTGGTTTTATTTGGTAATTAGCCATAAATAATTTAGGCTTATTTAGTAACATCTACCTGTAACGTTAACAGAAATGATATAAACATAACAAAAACCTAAGCCCAAGAACTTGTTCGGTGAAGCTGACTCACACAAGACCATCTGCTTTCTGTAGTAATCACGTACCTCGCATGCTAACAGATATCGATAAATATATGTAATGAATCTGAACTAACTATATCCCAGATTTCGTTTAAATCGGTAGACCATGAAGTCGAGGAAAATCTAAAATCAACTCCGAGTTTGGAAAAAAAGGTTTAATCCGGGGTAAGAAAAATTTGTTTCAAACTCCGGGTTGTAAAAATTGTCGATTTCAGCTTCGCACTTTAAGAAAGAAAATTTTTTTTACGTAAGCAGGGCAATACTGTATATTGTGAAAAACGCTCAAAGAATTTAATTTTTTTTGAGAAGATTTTGTCCCACATCATCATCATTGAAAAGTACGAAATTCCAAATCGGACACTCGAGAATTCAAAATGTCAGTTTGAAAATATGACTATGGCTCCACAGTCATGGCTCAAAACACAAGTCCAACAAAGACAAACATTCATGGCTTAGCTCAAGACTGACCGCATTGCCAGTTAGCAGCGTCGTTTCTCATGCTGTAGTTAAAACTGTGTAGTAATAAAACCGTAGCAAGTAGTGGTAGTCGAGTTAATGTAGGCATTGAGTTACATACAAATACAACTGTGACACAGCGGGGCCAAGGTAAGCCACTGTGATGTAATAAAACAATGGTTCGACATGAGGTCTGCAACATTTGCATACAACATAAGCCCTAAAATACTCCCGCATTGTGGCGTAAACTAATGAAAACGTTCACATAATAGAATAATTTTATTTTCTAAAATATGTCCCAGTGTTAGTCTTCATTTATCCCCAAATCACCCAGAGCAATAAACTAGCTTCATTGCAGCTATGAATGAACAGCAAATCACTCAACTTTGAGTGCAAAATTATAACACTCGGAACAGAATAGAATCTCGGGTTCGAATCCCATTTCCATCATCTTAACCTGAGTGTAATGAATTGGGTAGGCAATGACGAAACGCAAATTGTCCGGTTCTTTCAAAATAGGAATAACCATTTACATATATGTAACTGCTTGTGTAAGCTGTGTTTACATCCAAATGCCTATAAATACGCTGTAATTCCTTAAAGCATTGTATATGAATTTTTCAGCTGTTTGTTCTAATCTAAACTATGTATAAATTCAGATAGATATGTAAAACTATACCTAGACAAAATTACCTTATACAAACAATTACAGCACAATAAATATTTTATAGGCACGTGTGTTGGAAACTGAATTAGACAAAGAATCCTAACCGACATTCGTTACCTTCACAAATGCCAAGCAAAATGATTTATTTGGTTATATCTATTCATAATACATATCATCAAACGTGGCAGAAAAAGAAAATAAAATAATAAAAGAAATTTTATAATTGTTTTCGATATGTAGTGAAGCGGTTAGTTAACGGTTGAATGAAATTTCAGCAGCCAAATAGATTTGTAGACTATGAATTGACATCGGTATATTAAAAGCTGTTATTGAAAGCATTCAACAAAGTTAAGAAGTCAAAGCATTATGTTTGGCGACTAATGAGTTGGATTATCAGGCAGGAAGAATTACAGGAACGTTCCCAAGTGGATGTTGAAGCTAGACATAAATATACCGTACAATACAAATAGCGCAATTGCGAAACAATGCTTGCAATTTTAATAGATGCGAAAGTTAAATTCATAAAGTTAAAGCTAACGAAAAAGAATTTTTATAATGAGGGCATGTAGTGAGAAATGTGAACCCCGCTGATAAATATATCACGTCGTCAACACCTATGGCGTTTATTTAAAGAGGGTAAACATTATTAAACTAACAAAAGTACTATTAAGTACTTGTTTTATAAATGGTATGGTACGAATATATTTGAACGAGGAGTATAACACCGATGACGTTATGCTTTGAAATCTATAAATCGTCATATATTCTGAATTGTATTTTCTATATTCTGATTTTTTATATTCTGTTATAGCTAGCTGAGATTGTGCTATAGCTTGTTTTGGTTGTCTCAATTGCAAAAAACAGATTATATTCGGCGCATATTTGAAAAAAAAAACATTGATCGATTCTAAACCCACTGATCGATGACGGTGCATTAAAGACTTTCGAATAAAGTCTGTTTGAAATTTGCTCGTGGTATGAAGAGAATAAGAACAATTTTTTACCACTAGACGTTCCAGTGCTCACAAAATACTGGAGTTTTGGAAGTTGGTTTTTATTTGTTATAGTGGATTAAGTTATGCTGGGGTAACTTCACGATATGACTAGAATTGTGATCAGTATTTTAAATACGATCATATGTGTACTCGCAATTGGAATGTACCGTACTGAAGTGTATATCAGATTGTTAGATTTTCCTTTAAATGCGTACAAGACATCCAACATTATGTGCAAATAGAGAGCATATATATCGTTCACAGGTATATCTACTATCTACTCTACAAATATAGTGCCAGTGACAGTCCATCTCGGAAGCATTCGTTTTTTCCATTGACTCAAAAGAAGAATCAAGATTAGTAATTTCATATTTGAGCTTAAATGAATAATATATGTTTCCTTCCTGTTTGAAGATGAGAATGATACAACTGATTTATTTATTCCTTCCGTAATTGTGATGAATTTCGGATAGTTTTATAACTAAATAAGAGAATATTTATCAAAGATCCTTTCATATAGTATTATTTTTACCTTTACCGTTAAATATCTTTGTAATTCCACTATCCGGGCTCATGCGTAACAAAACGTCGGTAGATTTTACTTGAATTTTTTGAGTAGAATCAGAATTACTGTCGCGCGTGTCGTCCAATAGATAAAGACAAGAGTGAGTGAATTTCAATGTTGCGGTCGAGAAAACGCATTATCATCATCGTTTCTGACACGGCTTCTCAATTTAGATGTCTGACTGACTAATGACTATTGATTACACATCTGAGAAATATGCTGAATATCTTACTGTAGACAGACAACATTGAGAGTAACAGAAACAGAGCGAGACTGACAAAATATTGACATAGTCAGAGTAAGACAGAATATACGTTGTAAACCTATACACTATATCCGAGTGGAAAGTCCAAACAAAATACGATCATATTTGGACGATTTTTAAATTAATTTCCATTTTTTTTGTTAGTTTTGAAGCTTGAATAAAACACTATCTGAGTTGAAATGAATTGGAAAATTTTGCTTGGACTTATCATATGTTATTTTATTTATCTCATAGTTGGTGGGATAATTTTTATGATCGTTGAAGGGAATTACGACGCGCAAAAATGCGAAGAAACCACCCATACAATAGAAAATATAATCTCCAAAGTTGACATGAATAAATCAGCTATACCCATCACATCTCTACTGGATCTCACACAGGTAAATTCATAAAATGCAAATACTTTATACATGGTTTCTCTTCTGTTGTTATTTTACAATACTTTATTAGTATACTAGGTGTATGCATCTTCTCCGAAATATAATTTGTCATAAGCATAATGAAGTGTAAACTAATGTTAGATGGCAAATCTTAGATGACAAGACAAATTTTCAAACAGAATTTCCCATTTTGGTTTATTGAAACTAATTAATAGTTTATTAGGCACTGAATCTACCCATTTATTAAAAAAATCAAGGCGATGTTTTGGCGCCGCAAATGGGTAGACATATCAGACGACATTTTATTATTATTTAAACATGACTAAAAATAGTTCGTCTGAAACAGGCTAAAAGTATTGGAACCAGTGCCCAGACAAATCTGGCGACAAATCTGGCGAATATGACGACAAACCTTCAGTGCATTGTACAAATATCATACCTAATTTAACTTTTTATCACCAGTAGATAATACTATAGTGAGTCCGCAAAATTCAAAACTGAATAAATGTTATTTCATGAAGGTGATTTAGTAAACAATTGTTGCCAACAATGATAAAATTCAAAAATTTGTAACATAAAAACAATATGTATACTATTTTATCATTTTGCTTACTTTGGTGATCATTGAAGAAGATTGCAAGTGCTTCCCCAATAAGAAGAATGCTAAAGGTGACTAACAAGCTAGTCGGGGAAATATAGAATATATTTGGGCATTATTTATTAATAGGATTTCCCATCCATTCAAAGTGGCTTCGAGTATGTTGCTGTCGCACTTCATTACTTGTAACAACCAAAGCTAGATTATCTAGCATGGCGCCATCCTAACTTGCGTTCGTAATATGGATTTCTATTATTGAAAGTACACTGTCTGGAGCTGAGCTGAAAGTGAATTATTATATTTTGGCTATATATTATTATATGCATTTTATTTCTTTACCGGTGTGAATTTTATGCAAAAAGCACGTAGTTTGACTTATTTTTTTCATATCATTTAGGAAATTTCGAACGCGGAGAAATATGGGTTTATATTTGATTTTACCACAATGACTTCAACGTGCGTCAACAACTGGCATTTTGAGGCATCGGTGTTTTTCGCTGGAACTGTAGTAACTACAATTGGTATGTTAATTAATTAATATTGATTGCAAAACGGTTTCTGTTGCCCCGTTCCGTAATGGTTTCTGTCAAATGAGTTTGAAAAAGTTTCTTTCCAATTGCTACTATCGGAAATCTAATACAAAACTCGACTTTTGATTGCCAGATTTACTCATGAAAATATTGAATTTGAGCATGAAAATAACCTCACACTGTTTGAAAGAACAATTCCGACTCTAAGTTTGACATTGAGATATGCAAATTTGAAATTAGTCTCTCGGAACACAAAATATTCAAAAGTACGACTACAGTTGCGATATCAGCAAATATACGTTTAACTACAACATCATCTCGGCGTCCATTATTTTATTTCTCTCTCATTTTTCAAGATATTATTTTTACATTTCGTTACGTTAAGAAGACTATCATTTACCCCCGCGTCATGTCCATTGCGTAATTCTTAATTAATCTAAATTATTCATCAGCAGAAGACGGCATTCCAAATTTTCTTTTTCAGGTTATGGTCATCTGTACCCAAAATCGCATCTGGGTCGAGCAATTTGCATTATCTATGCACTTATAGGAATTCCTTTATTTACTATCATGTTCACTGGACTTGGTGGAAAGATAGCAGGACTGGTATTGAAACTAGAAACAAGAATAAATGGAAAGGTACAAAGAATACAAAATACAAACATCTCACAAAATTTTTGTCAATTTTGGACTAGAATTATTGTCTCGTTCATTTAACAATTCATAGATCATAAGATATAATCTTTCAAAATGAAACCAAATATCAATTTATTAGGCAGTCTAAGTGTTAGTTCTGACGCATGCTATTTATTTATGACTTTTATTAGTGAATTATCACTTTATAAAACTATTTTATATGCGGTGTAGGAATTGGTTCGAACTGATGTATTGGTATTTTAAAATATAGGCAACTCGGACTTGGGTTCGCAAAGTTCTTCTTATCACTGTTATATCTCTGATGTACGCTGTTCTTTGTCTACTGATTCCATCAATTCTTTTTGTTTCATTTGAACCTTGGAGCTACGAAGATGCTCTTTACTACTCCTTCATATCAATAACAACTATCGGATTTGGAGACATTGTTGCAGGTGCATTATATTTATTGTTCATACTCTGCCTATTTTATTTATATAGTCAATAGTTTTCTGCCTAAATTAGTTCACGCCACCCATTGGATGTTTCTCTAACCTTTGACCCCAGAAAATTTATTTCTACACTCAACCACAGGTACCATTGTTACCCAATTATTTATACTTATTTTGAGAGTGTTTTACGAGTGGGCGACTAAAAACTGGTAAACATGTTCAGACTACCATAATTGATAACATAATTGATGATTTGTGTATGATTTTAATTGAGTTTCCTTGTTCAGGAACCGATCCAAGCACAAAATACATTCCGATTTATCGTATCATGGTTTATTTTTGGATTTTATTCGGTATGGCTTTTATGGCGACAGTGATGTCACTCATCAGCAATTTCTTCAAAGAAACAGGAAAGAAGGGTAACTGAAGCTTAAGATACTATTAACCCCCCGTTGAAAACAAGATTATGTATATATAAAATGAATTCATCACAGCATAATATTTATAAAACCTCAATTTCCTAAAAGTGCAAAATGTGCTTAACATAAGTTATCCAAAGATGTTAGTTCATAAAATTTTTAACAGGTATATTTTTAATTTATTAGTCTAGTCACGCAGTGCTCTTCAACCGGGTATACGGTACACCCACGTGTATACCGAATCATAAGTTTGGTTTACAACTGGTAAAGGGTATACGAAGGGTGTACAGCCTAAGTCAGGGATTCTAAACTCTAATATAATAAATTATAAAATATTCAATCGGAGACAACAATGCAAACGCGGCACACATGAAATATAAAATGCCATTAAAGCTAAGAAAGTGAACACATTGTTACATCACAAATTATATAGATAATGCGGTCACGCGTCTGGGTTGGTGATTTCGGCTGCTATGCACTTCGTTTGATTTACGTTGAACATTATTCCCGTTGACGCTAAGGCCATCAGTCAAATTTATAACTTGCGGACACTGGCCTATTAGATTGCATAATGATATTGCAGTACAATATGTGATTAAAATTTATTGTTTATTCAAGTGTTATTGGTAAGGTAAGCCTATACAAAATTCTTGAAAATTTGTAAAAGGCATACCACGATAAAAAAAAAGGTTGAAAAACACTGGCTCTAGTGTAAGTATAGATATTTTATGCCACGTGGATAAAAGTAATTGGTATTTGTTATATTCAAACTATCCATAAATTAAACGAAAAGATAAATATTGCATAATATTTTTTTTAAAAATGCAGGTAAGAAAAGAATTCAAAATAGGCGGAACTTGGTACCAAAACAAAAAGACGAGGTAGACGGAGAGGAGTTCGAAACAGAGGCCCTAGACGACGACAATCGTACCAAAGAAGACGAAAATATTCTTTACATCATAGAATGCTCGTGATTTCTGTTGAAGAGAATCTGCTATTACAATGTTGGGCCAACATGTCGCTTGGCATTGGTGTATCGGTAGTGAGAAACGCCTAAACATATATCAATTCTGATACAAGAGGACGCTTGGCACAAATCCAGGGTTGCGGGATTCCAGTGATCAAAAAAGTCAGGTCAAAACTATTTAAACGAGCAAATGGTAACAACCCTCGAAATATGTTAAACTTGGCGTTAAAAAGCCAGTATGGCAACCCTGCACAACTCTTCTCCAGGACAACCGCTTCCGGCATTCTTATACCACCGTCTCGAACAAATTTTTGTAAGTTGTCAAAATACATCAGACCACAATTCGGGTTTTATGTAGCCTCTCTTCAAATGGCGATCCCGTAGTGTGTGCAACAAGATGGCGAACACCTGAACATAGTAAGTGTACCAGGTTAGGGTTAGGCCATAATTCTATTCCAATTTTCCTTGTTTTAGTTCTATTACCAGTTTGGGGACTGGCCAAGTGACTCCCGTTGTATTTGTACCTAAAATTATGGCCTAACTCTAACCTGATACACATACTACGTTCTGATGCCCGCCAGCTTGTTGCACATACTACGGAAGTATTCTTTAAATTTGTTGTAATCTGTTTAAAGGCACTTCATGACAGCTAGCCCCTAACTCAGCAATGTAAAAATAGTTGGGTCAACGAACCACTTATACAGCAATCATCGTATCATGGGAATGGAATAAAATGTTTTTATTTATACATCAGTGATTACTTGCGATCCTCTAACATTGCCCAGGATATGTATGTGGCTGTTGAGATGCATCGTCAGAAGGAAAATTCTATTTGCAGCATGCAGGAATGCAAAACATCACAGACCAGTTACGGACTGTTTACAATATGATGCCTGATGTTTATAGCATGCTTGTGTTAGGCGCTAGCTGACTTTTATTGGACACGAAATGTACGTATGGATCGTTTTGTTATTATGTTGTTGTTCTTATTCGTGTTGGTATTTTCTTCTTCTTATTGTTGTTATGAAAAACAACCCAAAAACATGAAATACAGCAATGATAGCAATATACGCTCTTACTTTTTTAATTAGATTTGTCGTTTTAATAGCATAGCGATTGAATTTTAAATGAATAAATTATTTATTATTTTCCTGTATACAAGTTTTTGGTTAAAATGCGTGGAGGTGTCTAGGTTATGTTTAATTAGATCTATGTGCTGGGAATTTCAACTTTCAAATACTAGTAGCAATGTGAAACAATTTATTACATCTATTTATCAGTTATCACCACATTAATATAGGCTTTTTATCCCAACTAGAAATAGCATTTAGTGCCCGGAGTAAAATAACAGCATCAGTTCTATATTCGGGTAATGCATTCTCTGTCACAAGTTTGGTCAAAAAATCAACACTTTGGAGAGATTTCAGTTCTTCTTTATCTTCCCACGGATTGACCTTCAAAATGCCATACTTATTTACCAGAAGTTCTGAGAACATCGGATGGTATTTTGGATCGAATTCGGCTTTTTCGGCTAACATCGACATTACAAAGTTTTGGCGTCCATGCAATTCTGTCGCTTTCCGTACGTCATAAACACCATTTGCATCTGTGGCTATTTCCTCTATCTTTTCGGAAATATTCCGGACAGTGAACCCATACAGTCTACGTCTGTGATGGAATATATGTTGTAAAATTCGTCTGTCAAGCTGGAATGCAATTTCCCCAACCACCCTCTTCTGCCAATTTTTGTCCTTGCGACCAAAAATTCCTTTTTTGTCGTAAGCTTTGGTCATTTTAGTGATGTTCTCAAACTCCTCTTCACTGCTGTCAAAATTTAACTTTTTGCTGAGTGTAGAATCAGATCCAAAACCAGTTGATTGTTGTTGCACAGATTGTCCGATTGTGCCTTCTTCGCTCCTTTCGCCTCTTTTGTCTAGAACTCTTCCTATCTCGATTTGACGACCGGGCTCGAAGAACCTGAATGAGCAGAGTTGGTAATTGGTTTTTAAAACACCCGGAGTGAACCGAGTCATCTAGACAAAATAAATGAAAGTAAACTAAGGTTCGAACCAGTGCAGTGAGCCTTGACACCACACGGATATAGCTTGAAACAATAAAATAACATTGCAATGATTTACTACGTCGATTAAAGTTGTATTGAAAAATCGAAAATTCATCAGCAAGAATTTGAAATAAGCCCTGGTATGGCGTGGTAAATTTTGTCACATGAATAATACCTAGTTTGGTGTTGAAAAGAACGTTGGTTGAACGTCAGACTCATAAATCGGGAGTGTAGTGAGTAGTGACTCAACTGGCCCTGAGACTCGAACCTCAAAATTGATGGGAGTTTCGAGCTTTCGACGACCGACTTGGCTCGATACTCTGGATTTAGCGACTACCAATAATTTTTATACATTCCAACACTGAGAAAGTCGTAAAAATTACTCGTAAATAGGGCCCGACCGATATATCGACTTTGTTTTTCACAAATTTCGAACTATCAGTATCGGCTAATTTTATCGATAGTTATCGGCAATCATGTGACTGCCAAAGTGTCAAAATTACGTCGGGTGGCGTGTATTTATTCATATCATGTATGGCCATAACTGGAAGGTTAATATCGATAATATTATTTGAGAGAGTACACATGGGGGAAAAGGCAATTTAGTTTCCGCTGAAAATGCTAGTTGTATAAATAGAATAGATTTGAGCTGTTGAGTCAGTAGTCATAAGAACATTGTACCAGTAACTTGAAGCTGAAACACATGCTGGGGGATCCTTATGATGGCAATACTTGCTTTCAATGGAATTTGTATTTTCCTATGATGGCAATACTTTGTATTATACGTCTATTACTATGACAAATAATTGTACTCTTGCATTTTGATGGCTGTTGTACAGTAACAATACAATCATCAAATAATAATGTCATTCCTAGCTCCGAATTCAAGACTTTCCTAAATGCAATTTAAAATTTCTTGGGAACAGTTTTATCTTATTAATGATTGTTAATAATTTATCTGAAAATTACACAAAACATCTCCAAAGTTAGGACTAACGATAATGGGATTAAAATAGCACCTATGGGCTTTGCACGCCTTATTAAAACTGAATTCATAAGAATTGAGTAAAAAAGTATTGAGAGTATGTACAATTTTCAACTGTCGACACTCGACAGTTTTCGAAACCCCAATTTTAGGGATCTCTAAATTTTTTTATGCAATTTTTTGTTATCATTGCATGAGTTAAACATTTTGTTATAGATTTCATTTCTTTTGCAAGAAAAACACAGAATTATCAGAGTGTTGCTTGTTACTTGTAGCCATCTTTTTATGTGTGGAAACATCGGTATCGGCTTATCGGCCTAGTTTTAGAAAACTATCGGTATCGGTTTAAAAAGGCAGTATCGATCGGGCCCTACTCGTAAACACCGCGGAGGAAACAGGAATGAGGTATCTATAAGCAATTAAGATATAACGTAGCTGCATATGCGATTGTTTAAGAACGTTTCAGGCAATAGCACTTGTGTTAAATTTTGGGGTTTCGTAGGGTAAGTTGATTTCTTAACACCATAATTAATGATTTACTCTGTCGCACGATGCCACTATTGAGCTCTTTTTTCTAGTACAGCAAGTTTCTTAGTATTATGATATATAGTGTCTCTGTTATATCCATGACATACTCAAGAATACTGAACAGTTGTGTGTTTTAAACAAACACGTGACACACAAGTTAAAAATTTGATTGAAGATATTTAATGCTATAAACAAATATTGCAGAAAAATATTTTCAAACTTTTTTGCTTTTTTGCAGATAACAACTGTTAATCTGTTTTATAATACCTTTGTGGAGTTGTTGAATATTTTTCACTTCCAATTTGATCAAAACTTAGAGCACCTTCAGACAAAGATGATAGTGGATTGTCATTCCTTTTGGTATCATTGAGCTTCAGATCATCGTAAGATTCTGAGTAAGATTTAATAGTTTTATCTTAGATTAAAAAGGAGCGTTAAAGCAAGCTCAGAAAATAGGATGGAAGATTGATTCTAAGCTTCACGAATATTGAAAAGTTTACTGTTTGAAATGACGGGTGGACGGGGATCTGAAATCTGAGAAAGGCGTTATCTGACTTTAGCTCCGGGTCGATTAAAACTTGACTCGATACCCGATACCCGCAATATCAGACCAACTCCAAACAATGACCATCGATTTCGTGCCTTAAAATGGTTTCTTCATGTCACGTTTTTTATCTTTTTAAAATGAAGTTTTTGTTTTTAATCATTGGCCGACTTCTCATTGAATTCTTGTATCATTGTTCTAAAAGTCTTGCATATTTGAAAAATCACTAATAGTATATCACGGTTTTATAATTTACAAAACCTTACGTAAAAAGTCCGATTTCATTACAATTCGCTTGGCATTTGCGTCATTTGGACTTTGACTTGCTGCAGCCAACAACGCGACACTGTCAACTTGTGGCTTCTGAGAAAAAAAGGGGAGGTTATGAATGTTTGATGACGGAGAATCCATAAAATTTTGAACAAACAATCGAACGAGTTGTATATCAGTAATCATCATTCTCTTGGTGAAGTTGTTTTTATCATTTTTGATAAAGCACATCTTCGATGAGTAATTCTTAAACTTTTTGTTCTCGAACCCCTTTAGCTTTTATAGACATTCCATTTCTTCACTGATTTAATCACTGTATACAAAAATCTAATTTTGTTACAGTTCCTTTCGCCCATGCTATGTGAATCACTGGTAACGTCGGGCTGAATAGTATGATAGGCTTTTTGTCAAAACCAAATAGTTCATGGCGAACTCTTGACATATAAAAAGTAGAATTGAAATACCAGGGTCTACAGTTTAGATGTCATGATATATAATTTGACACCACCATAACTTGTTGTGTTTTAGTATGTCTGCTACATACCTCATTTTAAAACGTAAAAAATATAGCTGGTATAAAATTGTGAATGCATATCCACATGATTCGTTATTAGATACCTTAGATTTTCCCGGCAACGCAGCATATGATGTAGAAGAGGATGACAGGGATGTAAGAGTTGATGCAGGAGGAACTGCTTCCGTAGAGTATGTCTTCTCATTGTATGTATCTGGTTTTAATGGCAGAAAACACGAGTCCGCAAAACCTCCTAATCTTTCAATTTCTTGTATCAAAGACGCATTTTCTCTTTCTAACCTTTCTTTCTCGAACTGAATTTCATCTTCCGTTAAATTTAATTCCATCTCTTCCATGTTGAATTATGTGGTATGATTTTACTAACATATAAATAAATGAATTTTATTTATATAAATTTTTAGTTTCATTGTGATGTCATAAAACTATAAAAAGGTATATTTAACTAAATTACAGAATTGAATCGACTTGTGAAAACTCCACCAAAAAACGAGTTGGCGAAAAATTGGTGGCGTACCAGTGCCCTGGGGGGAATGACTCGGGATACTGTTGTAAATTCAATGAAATAGGTCATTCTAGCTATTTTCCTGATAATGATTTATAACGACAAGCAACAAGCCTTAGTTTTCCTTGTATCAAGCGTTCTTTGTATTGTATTTGTATTTCCGAGGGTTGAAATTTAAGGATTTTCATTGTACAGACATACTGCTTGGATTCGGCCGTATAACTGTGTTGGAAGGTTTAGGTGTATATTTTATTATATCTGTATTTGGATTCAATTCGATTGTGCAACTTTACAATATACGAACATTTGACATTACAATACATTGTGTGCTTATTGACCTGTAAAAGAGTGCAGATCGGGGTTTCACTCTGTCAACGTGTGTTGAATAACACGGGAGTGCCGACACGCAGATAGGGCCAATCTTACCCCATATACCAGCAGTTATTATAGATCAACATCTGAAACCAATTTCTTCATACTTCTTAGTTTCAATGAATTGTATAGGACGATGCGTGAATCTAAAACTGAATTCGAAATTTTTTTTGGATGTGCAATCAAAATACCACAGTTGTTTCCATTACCCACTTAACCTTCATTTTATGAATTTATTGAAAAAGTAAGTATTTACAGCCGGATTTGGACTTTGGCGTAAGCACACCATTTTGTACAGCTACACCCCTGGTGGAACGTAACTTTAAAAATTTTATTACTCTTCCAAATACGCATCATGGGTATGTAAAAGACACGAGGGATATATTCAGTTTTTCATGAATTAGTAATTTCAACCTTTATTACACGGCGACATAAACACGTAAAATGCCGCTGCTATGATTATGGCGACCCCAATCAGATTTTTTTTGGGTTCCTATGTTACTGTAGTAAAACATAAAGAGCTATCTTGTTTTGTGTGGCTATGGTAACGCTTGTTTGATAATATTTTACATTGGCAATAGCACACAGTTTTGAATTTGACAGTAGGGAACGTCATAAATCTTAAGTCAGCGGATAAAAGAAATGGAAATTTTGAAGACTCATTCTGGAGCGTCAGTATTCACAAAATAAAGTTTAACGGGAAGCTGATGCTACCATGCATCACTTATGATGATTCGACCTTTCGAAACTCATCTTTTTCATGTCTAGTCCATCGTTCTATAGAAACCCATGTCTAAGTTAATGAGGGTGTTCAATTGTCGTCACGTAGTCACAATTTAGTAGCAGGAAGTAGTCGATAATATTTTCCTGAACGCGTGACAAGAATGACTAAAGTCACAAAACCCAGTTCAATTATCCGATAATGTTCGGAATATGTAAAATATATTTGGTAAAATACCATTTTTGCATATGGAACAAATAACATATTTATGAAATAAATTCTACATTACAACTATTTCATATAATACATTTACACTCAAATATAAGAACAGTAGCTTCATACGCACTAGTGGCTGTAGCCTCAAGCTGAAAAATGTGAAAAGAAAAGCATCTTATGAAGAAAAAAGAATTACTTTTATACCATGAAATTTGGGTTGATGAATAGGTATTTTCAGATTATCTTCTCTGATTTTACACATAGTTTAAAGATATTGGTTTGGAAAGATTTCTCTCCAGTTTCAATTAATCGGGAGGATGAGCCAGCCCTCGGAGCGTCAACCACATTAAGAAATATTTCTCTCTATGCCAAATTTGCATTTTCACATGCATTTAAATACTGTTAAGACTATTGAAAATATTTCCTGGTTTCGAAAAACAACATACCAATCAACAAAATAAATTCACAATATTTTAAACTGCTAACAATTGACTTTAAATGATTTTTGCCAATATGGATTGTCCTGGTGCTATGAAAAAGTTGCAAATCAAAATTCTGAACTTTCGTGACTCTAATTCTTGGTATTTCGTTGTTATACGTATCTACCAGGAAATAACAAGATCATGAAATAACGCAATCACTTTATATTATATAGGAGAAATTGAAAAATATATAAAGTGAAAACGGAACATCGACGGCACACGTATCGTGAGTCAGATCTTGTTATACTATAACTACACACAAATTGACATCGTAAGTTTACTTGATATAGAATGGTCGATAATAGAGGTTCTTAAATATTCTTTCTTTTTATTTCAAGTTTTCCAAACAGTTTACCATGTATACGAAGTTGTTGATATGTTTGGTTCTTGCAATTAGAGTTGCTACCGAATCCCAGGGTGAGAGCTATTTTTAATAACTATATATGTGTAAAATTTAAGCCAAATTTCAAAAGTCACATTTAAAATCCCGAATGAATAATTCTATATTTCGTAATATTTTCTCGATTTCAAATTGCTAGATTTCTTGAATATTCATTTAATTTATGTTATTCTGAATGTTATTACGCTATTACGAGTATCTTGAATTCTATGCTGAATTTTTCATTTCATTGGACACAATTTGGGCCTATGAAAAACTTCGCTAAATTGTTGTTACTGTTTTTGTTGTTGGGGGTAGGAACAAACGCTTTCAAAGTTTCAGAAATTAGAGAAAGCAATTGTATTTTTTAGCCCGATTGCTATGGATTTAAGAGTCACCAACATAATTAATTAACCACAACTAGACATGTTTTTTTAATTCGTGATTGTTGAACACGAAATGCACATATGTATCGTTTTGGTTTTTGTTCTTGTTAAAATTCTTTTTATTGTTGTTGTTATGAACGAATCGCCTTCTAATTTCTTTTTAAAAATTTCAGCGGATTTCAAGGAATTCGTTATGCTTGTGTGTGCGATGACGTCATCAAAATTGAAAAAATGCGCACCATGTGTCGGTTACTCGTTCGCGATCTGGTGATAAGCCAAAGTCGTGAACACTGCGGATCCGGCTAGCCTTAGAGTCCATATATTTGGTCATCGCTCACTTGTTTCAGCGATATTTAATATTTCAAATCCTATGAAACCGGATAGATCCACTAAAAATTTGCGTTTTTCATTCCATGGGCACACTTTTATATGACATCCGGCTGTACCTTCACATTATATGTGTACGATTCTTTCGAAGTTTGCCTGAAATTTCAATGTCATTGATGGCAGAACATCGTTTCTTTTTAATTGATGTAAGGCTGTGAATACTCCATTAAATTAAATATTGAATCAAACCGACAAAATGTTCTGATTTGGGTAAGAAATGCTTTGCACCTGTCTACTGTGCTGATAACGAAGTAGCAACACCACAATGGCAACAGATCTGGAGTAGGAAACTATATTCGATATGGTTACTATTCGACTTTGGTACTAATTTTATTTTTGATACTCGACAATGAACAAGTTTTATTTCCCTTTTAGAACAATGGTTCCACTAAAATATACGAATACGGACCACGAGGATACCGTGGACCTCGTGGAATAAAGAGAATCCAGGGAGAAAGAGGCTTGCAAGGATTTGCTAATACAACTATTACTGACAATCTTCAAAATGGTAAATTCAGTAATCATTAGTTCATTTTTTCACTATACTGAAAATACACTTTGTACAAAAAATATAAAAAGAGCGTAAAAATGGCATTTCAGTATGAAGGGAGGCGCTAAAAACGAGCGGCGGTTAACAAGCAGCGACACCCTAACAGTTAATTAATTCAGAGGATAAAAAAGTCGAACATTGTAATATTAAAATAATATTACATAAAAAACGTTACGACTCCATGCACCGTAATGTACAATAAACAAAGGGACGGTGTAAGATATCATTTATATACTACAGTATATATAAATCACGGAAGTATTAATATATAATTTACTTTAAGATTTGCTCAAGAAAATTTTTATCTATGTTGAAATATTTTATATTTATTGATTTTTAGAATTTTTTCGACTGAGTGGCGAAGTTCTTCATTTAAACAACACTATAATCTGGCAAGAAGTTCTCATTGATGAAATGATTGAAACAATCATGCAACACAATGTAACTGTTGAGGATTTGAAAATAGGTGAGAACAGGCATAAATTAAATGAGTAAAAGGTTCGTAATTTTAAGTACTTGTTTCCTCCTTTTTTAAATATGTTTTACTGTTTCTCTATTTCTAGCCTTATTTATTCTATATTTACTTTTTTGCATATGACTTTTCTCCAGTATTTATTTCTTTGCAGAATTCAAATCTCCACTTTGAATGACTGATCTCATTTTGAATATTATGTCGTCTATTTTTATTGTTTTCTTATTCTATTCTTCTTTTTATATTTTTTTCTTTTATTATTATAAATATCTTATTTCTCTTGCAAGAAATAAAAGCCTTGGAAAAAAAACTTCAACAACAAGAAAGCAAGTTCGAAGAAAAACTTCGTAATTTCAGAAATGAATTTACTGGTTAGTTGAATAGTTATGTATAATTTAAACGCTAGGATGGATGTGTAAATTTCGAATCGTGCAATATCTTGTCCAATTCCTCGCTAATATAAACGTGATACAGAATGTCAAACTTTATCAAAAGTTTTACTCAAAATAAGGAGATGAAAATAATGTTCTATAATACTACATCGAATCATCAAAAATTGTGTGAATTTTTACTTGGTTCGATATAAATGAATTGAATTTTTCCGTCTTCAGTCAGGTCGTTTCTTCACACTTTATTGCGCTAATTTTCGGATTATTATTTTTGTAAGAAAATATTAGTTGTTGTGTAATTACAGCCACATTAGTTTAAATTGTTTTCTTTCAATCCCTTAAAATCATTTACTCTATTTTCTGAATCTCAGAATCACAAAGAATATCCAACAATGAAATCCAAAGTCTAAAATCTATAAATTTGAATCAAGACACCAGGATAAATAATTTAGGTAAGATAAAACATTGGGAAATTTTTAATCTGCGGAACAACTCAATTTTAGGGAATGGTAAATATTTTAATGTTATTAGAATCCATTCCTCTCATAATTCGGGTTCATTTTACCCAATTTTGTCATACAGAGTAATATACAACTGCATTGTGTTTGGCAATTTTACTAAAGATGTGGACCACAAAGAGACGGTGGATGCCCACTTTTGCATGTTGAAAATAATAAGTTTTGAACTCTCATTTTATATTCTATTATTTTTTGAGGGATGAAATGTAGTCAAATCCATGTCGTTTAATTACATCTATACTCAAGCAAGCTACTTTTATTTCGACAGGTCCTGATTACGAAGGAAAAGTTAGGTTGGCGAACGGAACGGGTAAAGGAGGACGAGTTGAAATTTTGCACAATGGAGAATGGGGAACTATTTGTGACGATGGCTGGGACGAGGAAGACGCACGGGTTATTTGTCGAATGCTTGGGTTTGGTCCTCCCATTTACTGGACGGATGACAACAATGTAACATACCCACTAGTATATGGCCAGGGAAAGGAAAAAATATGGCTCGATGACATACAATGTACGGGAAACGAGTTGAGCATTATAAGCTGCCAGAGAAGTGATTGGAATAAACATAATTGTAGTCATAATGAAGATGCTGCGGTTTCTTGTAAATGACAGCTAAAACACGGTTCATTAGCTATTTGGCCTGTTTATATTTTTCGTATCTATAAAAAAAAAAAATTATTTCACTTTCATTCAGATAGTAGATACTTGTTCTCTTCAATGAAATGTAATTTTTCACCTTATACGCTGATAAACCTCTTCTCATATCCCGCACTTTCTTATCAACGCGACAGCAGTGATATTCACAGCGTCTTCGCGCGATGGTATTTGTAACAGTTAGTCGGCAATAAGCTAACTTAGAGCAGCCAGCCAGTTCATTTTAAATGCGAATCCAATAGAAAAAGAATTTCATTTGTTATTTTTCTTTGATAGTTAGTGATACAATAGTCAGTTGTTCTACTTTCTGAATTGGAACACATTTTATTTTTAACTTTACTGTTCTCCGCGGTCACCGTTGTAATATATTAATATTAACACCATATTGCTGCCCTAATAACAGAAATTTAAAAGCCATTTTTATCGGTTTTAAGAAAAACAGAAAAAAGAATTCTGAAGATATAGTCCCGCCATTAAGAGTAAAACAATCCACATCGTTCAGTTTTTTGTTGTAATCGGATTTAAATTTATTTGTATGATGCCAATATGTGACGTCATAATGGCACACAGCTTCTTACGCAGAAATTTGCCTTGGACTTATGAACACAGGCATTTTATAACTCTGCTATATCCATCAGTACTGAAAACCAAACATTCGAAAAAATGTATGGAATTTGCAGTATTTCCGATGTCCAATCCCAAAACAGGCTATCTGTTTTTAAAAATTATTTTTCAATTTTTTGAATATAGATATATTTTACCAATATGACTTGCTCTGCACACCAAACGAAAACACGACTTTCCATAAATAATGAATATAAAGAATAAAATAATGATGCATCTATAAATAAATTCCAAACAATATAAATTGGACTCAGAAAAGGATCTTCACAAGTCTCCAAGTTCTTATTCAATAATGTAAGTTCAAATTTAAAACAGCTAAGCTAGAATCTATGATGCAAAAACTCAAAAAATGCTTCGCCGAAATTTATTTCGACATTTGACGCCGCAATAACAATTGCAACATTGTACAACATTGTGTATGTTACATAAATCTCTCCTTTTATGCACTTCGGAATCTTTGGATAAAATCTGACAGGTGCGCAGCTTTACACAAATAACTATGCTACAAAAACCCAAAACCGTCAAAGAGTGACTTATTACTTATCGATCTTAAGATCGGTAAGTATATTGATAGGTATTTGTCTGTATGTAGGTCTGTCTGTCTGTGTGTCTGTTAGATGAACGCGATATCTCGCGAATGCGAGGTTGAATCAGCTCCAAATTTTGCATGTGCATACATCATATCTCGAACCAGAAGCCTATTGATTATGTCGTATAATTAGCGAGTTATTAACTAATTACCGATCTAAGATCGATAAGTCTTCGGTCTCCGAGCGATATTCTCGTTTTGTTATTAGCGTGACGATATATTTACTTCTAAATATTGATTGATTGGTTGAAATACAAAATTGACATAGTGTTGTGATGTGCTTTTTCAGTTGATAGTCTGTTATCTTTTTATGGTGCATATCGGAAAAGATGATACAGTATACGTTCTGCTGTAATGTGGTTGATAATATCCGTTTCAAAAGACTGCGCGTCTGAGCTGTATGATACAAATATTATGGTATTGTTAGGGCATTCTGTATGGCCTGAAGTAATCTAACAAAAATGTTCGGCTGCGTATGAAAAGCCAACTAATTATGGCTCGATTAAGGGGCCCGATGACAGTAAATAAACCACCCAATTTGTTACTTTGTCGCGCTTACCAAGCGCTCTGTTATCTTTCTATTTAAGTGCTGTGGCGCGCGGAAGTAGCCTGAATAGACCTTAGTCATTCAAAACCCATTCTACGCGCAAAAATAAAAGTGACACTAAGGGTGTCAAACTCGTGGGTTTTCGGGAGCGGCATTGCATTTTGGGAATAGTGCCAAAAGCCGCAAACAGTTTTTAATACATTTTGATGAGGTATACCCAGTGGTGCGAACCGGCTGAACCCCACCACTTGGTATACCTAGCGCATATTTTAGAAAGGTGTAGTTTGTGACATATATTGTGATGCAATCACAGCTGAAGAAAATTTTGTTATTTTTTTAAATTTTAAATGACATTTACATATTAATTTCTTGCATTCCACTATATTTGCAATTTACTGTATTTATTACAAAAGATCATAAAATTTTATGTACAACCGTCCTAAATATTTTGAACAAACTTTTGACAGGAAGAAAATAATACACATATACTCTAAAATAGCTTAATCTAAATATATAGGCCTAAAATTCACAAAAATACAAAGTAAACTCAAAGTTTTTTTACTACATTTTTTCTGGCGTTTGGCATCTCTTTTGGGTCACCAGCTTACCAATATCAGGCTGAAATGATTAATTAATGAGGTCACATGATAATCGATTAATTTGCATCATTTGAAAATGCAGAAATATTGCAAAACCCATTTTTCACCACCTTCTTCATGTACTTTGCGTTGCATTTATTTTCTTCAAGTATTTCATTGCTAGGTCGAGATGTATTAATAATTGGGTCAAAATGTGAACGAAAAAATTGTAATTTCACAAAACTATTTTCTGTAAATTGTCGTGAATACTCAATTTCACTTTGAAAGGTTTGAAAAATGTATTATATTTAGATAAATATAAAACTCACAAAATATTACAATTATTATTAATCGTTCGAGGACCTCATTGGACGTTCTCTGAGGCTGCATGCTGCCCGGGGCCGCAAGTTTGACACCCCTATATTGCACGACGTGGTAAGCCGAGACAAAACTGAAGTTGATTGTTACATGTTATCAACCGGGAACATTGTTGATTCAAGCAGTTGAGTGTCCAACTCGCGGAATGGAACTTATTTAGGTATGCTTGTATGTTACGCAGAAGGGAATAGAGTAGGGTATATTGCGTACATACGTAAAGATAAGCTCAGCAATTACTAGTAAACCTCTAGTTACATCTTATGCCCAAGTTTGGTATTAAATGGAACGTTGGTTTAACGTCAGACTTATGAATCGTAAATATAGCATTTCAGGGTGAAAAAGGTACGATAAACCAACACTGGTTGCGACACTTGTATTGATTGATTAGCAGGAAACAGGAATTGAGTATCTATAGGAAATAAATATATAACAAGGTATGCATATAACGTAACTGCATATGCCATTGTTTGGAAACGTTGGATGCAATGGAACGTGCATTAAATTTTTGGGTTCCATAGGGTAATATGATATTTTAACACCAATATTAATGATATATTCATGTCGCACGATGTCTATATTGAGCTCTTTCTGCCCGTACAGTAATTTGCTTAGTTTTGTGATGTATAGCGTCCCTGCTATATCCATGACCTACTCAAGAATACTGGATAGTTGTAAGTTTAAAATAAAAACAAGTCACACAATTAAGAATTTGATGAGAGATTTTAAATGAAACGAAAAATATTGCAGAAAAATATTTTTAAACATTTATGCTATAACACTTATACATAATATTTCAATAATGCGGAGTTGTTGAATATTTTTCACTTACAAATAAAGTGATGTATGGACGGGATCTAGATCTAGAGCAGGGCTGAGCAAGGTTTTTGGACCAGGAGCCAAAAATTTTGTTCATCCACACTGGCGGGCCATGTAATTGTGACGTATAATGTTACATTTTATAAACATTATTTACAGTATTACAATTTAGCGAGCTCTTTTTGTTAGCTAAAACCTCAAAATTTAGTTTTAGTTTGGTTGCAGCAGCCTCAGGCGGCCCAGATTGAATTACCCAACGAGTCAGATTTGTCCTGCGGCCGGAGTTTGCCTATGTCAGATCTAGAGTCTGAGAAAAGCTTTATCCGACTCTTGCTTTGGTTCGACTAAAATTTGGCTCTATACCCGACTTTAATATCAGACAAACTCCAAACAGTGACTTTTGATAACGCGCATTAAAACGGTTTTGTCATTGTATCTTTTTTTTAAATGAAGTCTCTGTTTTTAATCATTGGTCAACTTGTTATTGAATTCTTGTATACATCGTTCTAAAAGTCTTGCATATTTGAAAAAGCACTAAAAGTATATCATGATTTTATAATTGACGAAACTTTACGCAAAAAGTCTGATTTTTATTACAATTCGTTTCTTCCATTTGCGACATTTGGTCTCCTTCTTGTTGTTGCCAATAATGCGACTCTGTCAACTTGTGGCTTCTGAGAACAGATAGGGAAAGTTATGAATGTTTGATGCCGGAGGATCCTTCACATTTCAAGCAAACAATCGAGCGATATAATTAGCAATATTCATAGTCTTGGTGAAGTCGTTTTGATCATTTTTTGTAAAGCACACATTGGATGAGTAATTCTCTAACTTTCAAACCCCATCACTTTTTGACATTTCGTTGCTTTACTGACATAATCACTGCTGTATAAAAACTCTAATTTTGTTACAGTTATTTTGCCCATGTATGGCACCTCAGTCTCAAGAGGACTGGTGCAATTGGGCTGGATAGTATGCCTTTTGTCAAAACCAAATAATTCATGACGAACTATTGATATGTAAAAAGTTGAATTGAAGTAACCGGACTAAAGTTTAGATGCCATGATATATAAATTGACATCAATTTAACTTGTTCAACTTCAGTATGTCTGCTACGTACCTCCTTCTAATCCATAAAAAATCTATGTCTGATATAAAGTATGAATGCCTAATTACATGGTTCGTTATTGAGTAGCCTACATTTGTTTTTACAGGCAACGCAGCCTATGAATTTTATTTATATAAATTTTGCTTATTTTTAGTTTCATTGTGATGTCATAAAACTATAAAAAGCTTTATTTAAACTAAATTACAGAATTGAATCGAAATGTGAAAACCAAACCAAAAAACGAGTTGGCGAAAAATTGGTGGCGTACCAGTGTCATGGGATGAATGACTCAAGCTACTGGCAAAACCCGTATATTTTATTCAACTGCGTTACTAATGATGATGCCAGTGTGAGGAATGTAGAATGTAACTATGGACTTTAATGTCATTTAACCCCGTTGTGTTAATAGTATGTACATTTAATGAAATAGGCCTTAGTTTTCTTTGTATCGACTATTTTATTTCCGATAGTTGAAATAGGATTTTCCATGTTACAGACATACTGCTTGGATTCGACCGTATAACTGTATTAAAAGGTTCAAGTGTATATTTTAATATATCTGTATTTGGATTCAATTCGATTGTGCAACTTTACAATATACGACCATTTAACATTACAATACATTGTGTTTGCTTATTGACCTCTGAAAAACGGACTGTACGGACACGCAGGTAGGGCCATCTTATCCCATATACCAGCAGTTATCATAGATCAACTCCTGAAACCAATTTCTTCGTACTTCTTAGTTTCAATGAATTGGAACAGTTTTTTTTTGTAATTCAGCGTTTTTGAGTATAGGACGACACGTGAAGCCAAAACTGAATTCGAAAAATTTCTTGGCTGTGCAACCAAAAGACCACAGTTGTTTCCATTACCCACTTAACCTTCATTTTCTGAATTTATTGAAAAAGTAGGTATTTACAGCACAATTTGGACCTTGGCGTAAGCACCATTTTGCACAGCTACACCACTGGTGGAACGTAACTTTCAAAATTTTATTACTTTTTCAAATACGCATCATGGGTAGTCATATGTAGAATTCGACTAAGATTTATTTTGCAATGCAAAAGACACGAGGGATATATTCAGTTTTTCATGAATTAGTAATTTCAACTTATATTACACGTAAAATGCCGCTGCTATGATTATGGCGACCCCAATTAGATTTTTGGGGGTTCCTATGTTACTGTTATAAAACAATTTGTGTGGCTATGGTAACGCTTGTTTGATAACATCGTTACGCTAATAACCGAATTGCGTAAGTCATTTTTAGCAGTTTTGAGAAAAGCGTAAAAAACTTCCTAATGATTTTGTTATGCAATTGAGAGTCAATATTTTGCCATGGTTCAATTTTTTGATCGTAGCCGGATTTAAGTTAATTTGTATGACGTAGTTAAGTGACGTCATAATGGCGCACTGTGACTTAGGCAGAAATGTGTCTATGACTTGAGACATACGCAATTTTGCAACCTCACTATATGCACCAGTCCTGAAAACTAAACATTCCAAAAACGAATGTTATTCTCAGTATCTACAATGTCTAATCCCCAAAATAGCTAATCAGTTTCAATTACATTATTTTTTATGTTTAAAAATATATATTTCATCAATACAACACGTTCTGCACACCCACCGAAATAATACTAAGATTAAATATAAAGAATAAAACAGCAATGCACCCAATATAAAAGCCAACCAAGGTAAATTGGACTCGGACAGCGAATACCAAAAGTGCACGTCTTCCTATACTGTAGTAAAAATTCAAATTAATACGCGCTAAGCTAGAATCCGAGATGCAAAAACTCGAAAATACTTCGCCGAGGTTATTTTACCTTTGTGACGTCACCATAGTCCGTGGTAATAATGATAATTCATTATGACGAAACAATTGCACAAATGTGCATGTCAAACTAAATCTCCATTTTTATGGGTTTCGGAATTCCTAAAATAAAATCTGAGTTACCAGACAGGTGCACAGCATTACATAAATACCTATTTTATTAAAAACTCAAAATCGCCAAAAATGACTTACGCAATTCGGTTATTAGCGTGACGACATTTTACTTTGACAATAGCGCACAGTTTTGAATTTGACAGTAGGGAACGTCATATAAAATCTTAAGTCAGCGAATAAAAGAAATGGGAATTTTGAAGACTCATTCTGGAGCGTCAGTATTCACAAAATAAAGTCTAACGGGAAGCTAACCATGCATCACTAATGATGATTCGACCTTTCGAAACTCATCTTTTTCATGTCTAGTTCATTGTTCTAGAGATCCATGTCTAAGTTAATTAGGGTTTTCAATTTTCGTCACGTAGTCGCAATTTGGTAGCAGGAAGTAGTCGATAATATTTTCCTGAACGCGTGACAAGAATGACTAAAGTCACAAAACCCTGTTCAATTATCCGATAATGTTCGGCGCAGTCAACAATATCGTTCAAAATATACATGCTATAGCCTCATCGCGTTTTGGTAAAATATCTTTTTTGCATATGAAACAAATGGTATATGAAACAAATTCTACATTACAACTATTTCATATAATAAATTTACACCCGAATATAAGAATAGTAGTTTCACACGTATAAACAAAGAACTACTTTTTTATATAATGAAATTTGGGTTGATGAATAAATATTTTTTAGATTTTTTCTCTGATATTACACATAGTTCAAAAATATTGGTTCAAAAATATTTCTATCCAATCTAAACTGATCAGGTGAATGAGCCGGCGCTCGGAGTGTCAACCACATTAAGAAATATTTCTCTCTATGCCAAATTTCCATTTTCACATGCATTTGAATACCGGCGATACGATTGAAGATATTACCTGACTCCCAATATAACCTGCCGATAACGAAATGAAATTCATATTGTCTCAAACTGCTGACAATTGACTTTATAACTTTTCACCCAATATGGATTGCCTCGATGCTATGAAAAATTTGCAACTCAAAATCCTGAATTTTCGAGACTTCAATTTTTGGTATTTCGTTGTTGTATGTATCTACCAGGAAATAACAGGGTCATGAAATAACGCAATCACTTTATATTATATAGGAGAAATTGAAAATTAGATAAAGTGAAAACGGAACATCGACGGCACACGGATCATGAGTCAGATCTCGTTATACTATAACTACTCCCAAACTGACATCGTAAGTTCACTTGATATAGAATGGTCGATAATAGAGGTTCTTAAAACAATCTTTCTTTTTATTTCAAGTTTTCCAAACAGTTTACCATGTATACGAAGTTGTTGATATGTTTGGTTCTCGCAATTAGAGTTGCTACCGAATCCCAAGGTGAGAGATATTTTTGATAACTATATATGTGTAAAATTTAAGCCAAATTTCAAAAGTCACATTTAAAATCCCGAATGAATAATTCTATATTTCGTAATATTTTCTCGATTTCAAATTGCTAGATTTCTTGAATATTCATTTAATTTATATTATTCTGAATTTTATTACGCTATTACGAGTATCTCGATTTCTATGCTGAATTTTTCATTTCATTGGACACAATTTGGGCCTATGAAAAACTTCGCTAAATTGTTGTTACTGTTTTTGTTGTTGGGGGTAGGAACAAACGCTTTCAAAGTTTCAGAAATTAAAGAAAACAATTGTATTTTTTAGCCCGATTGCTATGGATTTAAGAGTCACCAACATAATTAATTAACCACAACTAGACATGTTTTTTTAATTCGTGATTGTTGAACACGAAATGCACATATGTATCGTTTTGGTTTTTGTTCTTGTTAAAATTCTTTTTATTGTTGTTGTTATGAACGAATCGCCTTTTAATTTCTTTTTAAAAATTTCAGCGGATTTCAAGGAATTCGTTATGCTTGTGTGTGCGATGACGTCATCAAAATTGAAAAAATGCGCACCATGTGTCGGTTACTCGTTCGCGATCTGGTGATAAGCCAAAGTCGTGAACACTGCGGATCCGGCTAGCCTTAGAGTCCATATATTTGGTCATCGCTCACTTGTTTCAGCGATATTTAATATTTCAAATCCTATGAAACCGGATAGATCCACTAAAAATTTGCGTTTTTCATTCCATGGGCACACTTTTATATGACATCCGGCTGTACCTTCACATTATATGTGTACGATTCTTTCGAAGTTTGCCTGAAATTTCAATGACATTGATGGCAGAACATCGTTTCTTTTTAATTTATGTAAGGCTGTGAATACTCCATTAAATTAAATATTGAATCAAACCGACAAAATGTTCTGATTTGGGTAAGAAATGCTTTGCACCTGCCTACTGTGCTGATAACGAAGTAGCAACACCACAATGGCAACAGATTTTCCCTAGTCCAAAGTGTAAATTGCATGTTTCAGTAAGTGCACTTTTTTGATACTTAACTACTCTACTCGGTTGCAATCTGATGTAAAAAAAATCTGGAGTAGGAAACTATATTCGATATGGTTACTATTCGACTTTGGTACTAATTTTATTTTTGATACTCGACAATGAACAAGTTTTATTTCCCTTTTAGAACAAGGGTTCCACTAAAATATACGAATACGGACCACGAGGATACCGTGGACCTCGTGGAATAAAGAGAATCCAGGGAGAAAGAGGCTTGCAAGGAATTGCTAATACAACTATTACTGACAATCTTCAAAATGGTAAATTCAGTAATCATTAGTTCATTTTTTCACTATACTGAAAATACACTTTGTACAAAAAATATAAAAAGAGCGTAAAAATGGCATTTCAGTATGAAGGGAAGCGCTAAAAACGAGCGGCGGTTAACAAGCAGCAACACCCTAACAGTTAATTAATTCAGAGGAGAAAAAAGTCGAACATTGTAATATTAAAATAATATTACATAAAAAACGTTACGACTCCATGCACCGTCATGTACAATAAACAAAGGGACGGTGTAAGATATCATTTATATACTACAGTATATATAAATCACGGAAGTATTAATATATAATTTACTTTAAGATTTGCTCAAGAAAATTTTTATCTATGTTGAAATATTTTATATTTATTGATTTTTAGAATTTTTTCGACTGAGTGGCGAAGTTCTTCATTTAAACAACACTATAATCTGGCAAGAAGTTCTCATTGATGAAATGATTGAAACAATCATGCAACACAATGTAACTGTTGAGGATTTGAAAATAGGTGAGAACAGGCATAAATTAAATGAGTAAAAGGTTCGTAATTTTAAGTACTTGTTTCCTGCTTTTTCAAATATGTTTTACTGTTTTTCTATTTCTAGCTTTATTTATTCTATATTTACTTTTTTGCATATGACTTTTCTTCAGTATTTATTTCTTTGCAGAATTTAAATCTCCTCTTTGAATGACTGATCTCATTTTGAATATTATGTCGTCTATTTTTATTGTTTTCTTATTCTATTCTTCTTTTTATATTTTTTTCTTTTATTATTATAAATATCTTATTTCTCTTGCAAGAAATAAAAGCCTTGGAAAAAAAACTTCAACAACAAGAAAGCAAGTTCGAAGAAAAACTTCGTAATTTCAGAAATGAATTTACTGGTTAGTTGAATAGTTATGTATAATTTAAACGCTAGGATGGATGTGTAAATTTCGAATCGTGCAATATCTTGTCCAATTCCTCGCTAATATAAACGTGATACAGAATGTCATACTTTTTCAAAAGTTTTACTCAAAATAAGGAGATGAAAATAATGTTCTATAATACTACATCGAATCATCAAAAATTGTGTGAATTTTCACATGGCTCGATATATATGAATTGAATTTTTCCGTCTTCAGTCAGGTCGTTTCACACTTTATTGCGCTAATTTTCGGATTATTATTTTTGTAAGAAAATATTAGTTGTTGTGTAATTACAGCCACATTAGTTTAAATTGTTTTCTTTCAATCCCATAAAATCATTTACTCTATTTTCTGAATCTCAGAATCACAAAGAATATCCAACAATGAAATCCAAAGTCTAAAATCTATAAATTTGAATCAAGACACCAGGATAAATAATTTAGGTAAGATAAAACATTGGGAAATTTTTAATCTGCGGAACGACTCAATTTTAGGGAATGGTAAATATTTTAATGTTATTAGAATCCATTCCTCTCATAATTCGGGTTCATTTTACCCAATTTTGTCATACAGAGTAATATACAACTGCATTGTGTTTGGCAATTTTACTAAAGATGTGGACCACAAAGAGACGGTGGATGCCCACTTTTGCATAATGAAAATAATAAGTTTTGAACTCTCATTTTATATTCTATTATTTTTTGAGGGATGAAATGTAGTCAAATCCATGTCGTTTAATTACATCTATACTCAAGCAAGCTACTTTTATTGATTATGAAGGAAAAGTTAGGTTGGCGAACGGAACGGGTAAAGGAGGACGAGTTGAAATTTTGCACAATGGAGAATGGGGAACTATTTGTGACGATGGCTGGGACGAGAAAGACGCACGGGTTATTTGTCGAATGCTTGGGTTTGGTCCTCCAATTTACTGGACGGATGACAACAATGTAACATACCCACTAGTATATGGCCAGGGAAAGGGAAAAATATGGCTCGATGACATACAATGTACGGGAAACGAGTTGAGCATTATAAGCTGCCAGAGAAGTGATTGGAATAAACATAATTGTAGTCATAATGAAGATGCTGCGGTTTCTTGTAAATGACAGCTAAAACACAGTTCATTAGCTATTTGGCCTGTTTATATTTTTCGTATCTATAAAAAAAAAAATTATTTCACTTTCTTCAGATAGTAGATACTTGTTCTCTTCAATAAAATGTAATTTTTCACCTTATACGCTGATAAACCTCTTCTCATATCCCGCACTTTCTTATCAACGCGACAGCAGTGATATTCACAGCGTCTTCGCGCGATGGTATTTGTAACAGTTAGTCGGCAATAAGCTAACTTAGAGCATCAGCCAGTTCATTTTAAATGCGAATCCAATAGAAAAAGAATTTCATTTGTTATTTTTTCTTTGATAGTTAGTGATACAATAGTCAGTTGTTCTACTTTCTGAATTGGAACACATTTTATTTTTAACTTTACTGTTCTCCGCGGTCACCGTTGTAATATATTAATATTAACACCATATTGCTTCCCTAATAACAGAAATTTAATAGCCATTTTTATCGGTTTTAAGAAAAACAGAAAAAAGAATTCTGAAGATATAGTCCCGCCATTAAGAGTAAAACAATCCACATCGTTCAGTTTTTTGTTGTAATCGGATTTAAATTTATTTGTATGATGCCAATATGTGAAGTCATAATGGCACACAGCTTCTTACGCAGAAATTTGCCTTGGACTTATGAACACAGGCATTTTTAAACTCTGCTATATCCATCAGTACTGAAAACCAAACATTCGAAAAAATGTATGGAATTTGCAGTATTTCCGATGTCCAATCCCAAAACAGGCTATCTGTTTTTAAAAATTATTTTTCAATTTTTTGAATATATATATATTTTACCAATATGACTTGCTCTGCACACCAAACGAAAACACGACTTTCCATAAATAATGAATATAAAGAATAAAATAATGATGCATCTATAAATAAGTTCCAAACAATATAAATTGGACTCAGAAAAGGATCTTCACAAGTCTCCAAGTTCTTATTCAATAATGTAAGTTCAAATTTAAAACAGCTAAGCTAGAATCTATGATGCAAAAACTCAAAAAATGCTTCGCCGAAATTTATTTCGACATTTGACGCCGCAATAACAATTGCAACATTGTACAACATTGTGTATGTTACATAAATCTCTCCTTTTATGCACTTCGGAATCTTTGGATAAAATCTGACAGGTGCGCAGCTTTACACAAATAACTATGCTACAAAAACCCAAAACCGTCAAAGAGTGACTTATTACTTATCGATCTTAAGATCGGTAAGTATATTGATAGGTATTTGTCTGTATGTATGTCTGTCTGTCTGTGTGTCTGTTAGATGAACGCGATATCTCGCGAATGCGAGGTTGAATCTGCTCCAAATTTTGCATGTGCATACATCATATCTCGGACCAGAAGCCTATTTTGGGTTGATTATGTCGTATAATTAGCGAGTTATTAACTAATTACCGATCTAAGATCGATAAGTCTTCGGTCTCCGACCGATATCTCGTTTTGTTATTAGCGTGACGATATATTTACTTCTAAATATTGATTGATTGGTTGAAATACAAAATCGACATAGTGTTGTGATGTGCTTTTTCAGTTGATAGTCTGTTATCTTTTTATGGTGCATATCGGAAAAGATGATACAGTATACGTTCTGCTGTAATGTGGTTGATAATATCCGTTTCAAAAGACTGCGCGTCTGAGCTGTATGATACAAATATTATGGTATTGTTAGGGCATTCTGTATGGCCTGAAGTATTTAACAAAAATGTTCGGCTGCGTATGAAAAGCCAACTAATTATGGCTCGATTAAGGGGCCCGATGACAGTAAATAAACCACCCAATTTGTTACTTTGTCGCGCTTACCAAGCGCTCTGTTATCTTTCTATTTAAGTGCTGTGGCGCGCGGAAGTAGCCTGAATAGACCTTAGTCATTCAAAACCCATCCTACGCGCAAAAATAAAAGTGACACTAAGGGTGTCAAACTCGTGGGTTTTCGGGAGCGGCATTGCATTTTGGGAATAGTGCCAAAAGCCGCAAACAGTTTTTAATACATTTTGATGAGGTATACCCAGTGGTGCGAACCGGCTGAACCCCACCACTTGGTATACCTAGCGCATATTTTAGAAAGGTGTAGTTTGTGACATATATTGTGATGCAATCACAGCTGAAGAAAATTTTGTTATTTTTTTAAATTTTAAATGACATTTACATATTAATTTCTTGCATTCCACTATATTTGCAATTTACTGTATTTATTACAAAAGATCATAAAATTTTATGTACAACCGTCCTAAATATTTTGAACAAACTTTTGACAGGAAGAAAATATTACACATATACTCTAAAATAGCTTAATCTAAATATATAGGCCTAAAATTCACAAAAATACAAAGTAAACTCAAAGTTTTTTTACTACATTTTTTCTGGCGTTTGGCATCTCTTTTGGGCCACCAGCTTACCAATATCAGGCTGAAATGATTAATTAATGAGGTCACATGATAATCGATTAATTTGCATCATTTGAAAATGCAGAAATATTGCAAAACCCATTTTTCACCACCTTCTTCATGTACTTTGCGTTGCATTTATTTTCTTCAAGTATTTCATTGCTAGCTCGAGATGTATTAATAATTGGGTCAAAATGTGAACGAAAAAATTGTAATTTCACAAAACTATTTTCTGTAAATTGTCGTGAATACTCAATTTCACTTTGAAAGGTTTGAAAAATGTATTATATTTAGATAAATATAAAACTCACAAAATATTACAATTATTATTAATCGTTCGAGGACCTCATTGGACGTTCTCTGAGGCTGCATGCTGCCCGGGGCCGCAAGTTTGACACCCCCATATTACACGACGTGGTAAGCCGAGACAAAACTGAAGTTGATTGTTACATGTTATCAACCGGGAACATTGTTGATTCAAGCAGTTGAGTGTCCAACTCGCGGAAAGGAACTTATTTAGGTATGCTTGTATGTTACGCAGAAGGGAATAGAGTAGGGTATATTGCGTACATACGTAAAGATAAGCTCAGCAATTACTAGTAAACCTCTAGTTACATCTTATGCCCAAGTTTGGTATTAAATGGAACGTTGGTTTAACGTCAGACTTATGAATCGTAAATATAGCATTTCAGGATGAAAAAGGTGCGATAAACCACAGAATAACCACCGGCAGTCCGGCTCTCTTGGTTGGTTGTTCAATGATATGCGGTCACCATGGCGACCGCGGCCTGTCGTGTCTGGAGTTGCTTTCTTTCGTTATTATCCGGGTTAACGGGTCGCTTAATGGCGTCCCAAGTCCGGCTTTTGTTAGTATTTTATGTTTGACTTCTTTCTCATTATGATTTAATATTAGACTTACTGCCCCAAAGGTGACGCTGCTCGACAACCTTCTCTGGTTTATCGCGTCTCCCTTCACACTGAAATGTAATTTTTCATTTTTTTCAATTTTGTTCGTCAATGTTTACATTCGGTTTGTGATAAAATAAACTACTGACTGACTGACTGACTGGTTGCGACACTTGTATTGATTGATTAGCAGGAAACAGGAATTGAGTATCTATAGGAAATAAATATATAACAAGGTATGCATATAACGTAACTGCATATGCCATTGTTTGGAAACGTTGGATGCAATGGAACGTGCAGTAAATTTTTGGGTTCCATAGGGTAATATGATATTTTAACACCAATATTAATGATATATTCATGTCGCACGATGTCATTATTGAGCTCTTTCTGCCCGTACAGTAACATGACCTACTCAAGAATACTGGATAGTTGTAAGTTTGAAATAAAAACAAGTCACACAATTAAGAATTTGATGAGAGATTTTAAATGAAACGAAAAATATTGCAGAAAAATATTTTTAAACATTTATGCTATAACACTTATACATTATTTTTCACTTCCGAATAAAGTGATGTATGGACGGGATCTAGAGCAGTGGTAGGCAAGGTTTTTGGACCAGGAGCCAAAAAATTTGTTCATCTACACTGGCGGGCCATGTAAGTGTGACGTATAATGTTACATTTCATAAACATTATTTACAGTGTTACAATTTAGCGAGCTCTTTTTGTTAGCTAAAACATCGAAATTTAGTTTTAGTTTGGTTACGGCAGCATCATGCGGGCCAGATTGAATTACCCAACGCGTCGGATTTGTCCCGCGGGCCGTAGTTTGCTTATGTCAGATCTAGAGTCTGAGAAAAGTTTTATCCGACTCTTGCTTTGGTTCGACTAAAATTTGGCTCTATACCCGACTTTAATATCAGACAAACTCCAAACAATGACTTTTGAAAACGCGCATTAAAACGGTTTTTGTCATTGTATCTTTTTCTAAATGAAGTCTCTGTTTTTAATCATTGGTCAACTTGTTATTGAATTCTTGTATACATCGTTCTAAAAGTCTTGCATATTTCAAAAATCACTAAAAGTATATCATGATTTTATAATTGACGAAACTTTACGCAAAAAGTCTGATTTTTATTACAATACGGTTCTTCTCATTTGCGACATTTGGTCTCCGTCTTGTTGCTCCCGATAATGCGACTCTGTCAACTTGTGGCTTCTGAGAACAGATAGGGGAAGTTATGAATGTTTGATGCCGGAGGATCCTTCACATTTCAAGCAAACAATCGAACGATATAATTATCAATATTCATAGTCTTGGTGAAGTCGTTTTGATCATTTTTTGTAAAGCACACATTGGATGAGTAATTCTCTAACTTTCAAACCCCATCACTTTTTGACATTTCGTTGCTTTACTGATATAATCACTGCTGTATAAAAACTCTAATTTTGTTACAGTTATTTTGCCCATGTATGGCACATCAGTCTCAGGAGGACTGGTGCAATTGGGCTGAATAGTATGCCTTTTGTCAAAACCAAATAATTCATGACGAACTATTGATATGTAAAAAGTTGAATTGAAGTAACCGGAATAAAGTTTAGATGCCATGATATAAAAATTGACATCAATTTAACTTGTTCAACTTCAGTATGTCTGCTACGTACCTCCTTCTAATCCATAAAAAACTATGTCTGGTATAAATTATGAATGCCTAATTACATGGTTCGTTAGCCTACATTTGATTTTCCAGGCAACGCAGCCTATGAATTTTATTTATATAAATTTTGCTTATTTTTAGTTTCATTGTGATGTCATAAAACTATAAAAAGCTTTATTTAACTTAATTACAGAATTGAATTGAAATGTGAAAACCAAACCAAAAAACGAGTTGGCGAAAAATTGGTGGCGTACCAGTGTCATGGGATGAATGACTCAAGCTACTGGCAAAACCCGTATATTTTTATTCAACTGCGTTACTAATGATGATGCCAGTGTGAGGAATGTAGAATGTAACTATGGACTTTAATGTCATTTAACCCCGTTGTGTTAATAGTATGTACATTTAATGAAATAGGCCTTAGTTTTCTTTGTATCGACTATTTTATTTCCGATAGTTGAAATAGGATTTTCCATGTTACAGACATACTGCTTGGATTCGACCGTATAACTGTATTAAAAGGTTCAAGTGTATATTTTAATATATCTGTATTTGGATTCAATTCGATTGTGCAACTTTACAATATACGACCATTTAACATTACAATACATTGTGTTTGCTTATTGACCTCTGAAAAACGGACTGTACGGACACGCAGGTAGGGCCATCTTATCCCATATACCAGCAGTTATCATAGATCAACACCTGAAACCAATTTCTTCGTACTTCTTAGTTTCAATGAATTGGAACAGTTTTTTTTGTAATTCAGCGTTTTTGAGTATAGGACGACACGTGAAGCCAAAACTGAATTCGAAAAATTTCTTGGCTGTGCAACCAAAAGACCACAGTTGTTTCCATTACCCACTTAACCTTCATTTTCTGAATTTATTGAAAAAGTAGGTATTTACAGCACAATTTGGACCTTGGCGTAAGCACCATTTTGCACAGCTACACCACTGGTGGAACGTAACTTTCAAAATTTTATTACTTTTTCAAATACGCATCATGGGTAGTCATATGTAGAATTCGACTAAGATTTATTTTGCAATGCAAAAGACACGAGGGATATATTCAGTTTTTCATGAATTAGTAATTTCAACTTATATTACACGTAAAATGCCGCTGCTATGATTATGGCGACCCCAATTAGATTTTTGGGGGTTCCTATGTTACTGTTATAAAACAATTTGTGTGGCTATGGTAACGCTTGTTTGATAACATCGTCACGCTAATAACCGAATTGCGTAAGTCATTTTTAGCAGTTTTGAGAAAAGCGTAAAAAACTTCCTAATGATTTTGTTATGCAATTGAGAGTCAATATTTTGCCATGGTTCAATTTTTTGATCGTAGCCGGATTTAAGTTAATTTGTATGACGTAGTTAAGTGACGTCATAATGGCGCACTGTGACTTAGGCAGAAATGTGTCTATGACTTGAGACATACGCAATTTTGCAACCTCACTATATGCACCAGTCCTGAAAACTAAACATTCCAAAAACGAATGTTATTCTCAGTATCTACAATGTCTAATCCCCAAAATAGCTAATCAGTTTCAATTACATTATTTTTATGTTTAAAAATATATATTTCATCAATACAACACGTTCTGCACACCCACCGAAATAATACTAAGATTAAATATAAAGAATAAAACAGCAATGCACCCAATATAAAAGCCAACCAAGGTAAATTGGACTCGGACAGCGAATATCAAAAGTGCACGTCTTCCTATACTGTAGTAAAAATTCAAATTAATACGCGCTAAGCTAGAATCCGAGATGCAAAAACTCGAAAATACTTCGCCGAGGTTATTTTACCTTTGTGACGTCACCATAGTCCGTGGTAATAATGATAATTCATTATGACGAAACAATTGCACAAATGTGCATGTCAAACTAAATCTCCATTTTTATGGGTTTCGGAATTCCTAAAATAAAATCTGAGTTAACAGACAGGTGCACAGCATTACATAAATACCTATTTTATAAAAAACTCAAAATCGCCAAAAATGACTTACGCAATTCGGTTATTAGCGTGACGACATTTTACTTTGACAATAGCGCACAGTTTTGAATTTGACAGTAGGGAACGTCATATAAAATCTTAAGTCAGCGAATAAAACAAATGGGAATTTTGAAGACTCATTCTGGAGCGTCAGTATTCACAAAATAAAGTCTAACGGGAAGCTAACCATGCATCACTAATGATGATTCGACCTTTCGAAACTCATCTTTCTCATGTCTAGTCCATTGCTCTATAGAAACCCATGTCTAAGTTAATGAGGGTGTTCAATATTCGTCACGTAGTCACAATTTAGTAGCAGGAAGTAGTCAATAATATTTTCCTGAACGCGTGACAAGAATGACTAAAGTCACAAAACCCAGTTCAATTATCCGATAATGTTCGGCGCAGTCAACAATATCGTTCAAAATATACATGCTATAGCCTCATCGCGTTTTGGTAAAATATTTTTTTGCATATGAAACAAATGGTATATGAACAAAATTCTACATTACAACTATTTCATATTATAAATTTACACCCGAATATAAGAATAGTAGTTTCACACGTATAAACAAAGAACTACTTTTTTATATAATGAAATTTGGGTTGATGAATAAATATTTTTTAGATTTTTTCTCTGATATTACACATAGTTCGAAAATATTGGTTCAAAAATATTTCTATCCAATTTAAACTAATCAGGTGAATGAGCCGGCGCTCGGAGTGTCAACCACATCAGGAAATATTTCTCTCTATGCCAAATTTCCATTTTCACATGCATTTGAATACCGGCGATACGATTGAAGATATTACCTGGCTCCCAATATAACCCGCCGATAACGAAATGAAATTCATATTGTCTCAAACTGCTGACAATTGACTTTAAAACTTTTCACCCAATATGGATTGCCCCGATGCTATGAAAAATTTGCAACTCAAAATCCTGAATTTTCGAGACTTCAATTTTTGGTATTTCGTTGTTGTATGTATCTACCAGGAAATAACAAGATCATGAAATAACGCAATCACTTTATATTATATAGGAGAAATTGAAAATTAGATAAAGTGAAAACGGAACATCGACGGCACACGGATCATGAGTCAGATCTCGTTATACTATAACTACTCACAAACTGACATCGTAAGTTCACTTGATATAGAATGGTCGATAACAAATGTTCTAATAAAATTTTCTTCTGCGACTTCAAGTTTTTCAAAGAGTTTACTATGTATACGAAGTTGTTGATATGTTTGTTACTCGCAATTAGAGTTGCTACCGAATCCCAAGGTGAGGGATATTATTAATAACTATATCTGTATAAAATCTAAGCCATATACCAAGTCACATTTGAAATCCCGATTAAATAAATTTATATTTCGTAATATTTTCTCGATTTCAAATTGCTAGATTTCATGAATATTTATTTAAATTATATTTTTCTGAATTTTATTGCGCCTTTACGAGTTTTTTGATTTAATTGCTAAACTTTCAATGTTATTTGAACTGGACCCATGGAAAGCTTTGCTAAATTGTTGTTGTTCTTGTTGTTGGGGGTATGAAAAACGCTGAAATTCAGGAATCAAATAAAGCAATTGTATTCATCAGTTCGATTGCCATGGATTCAATGGTCAACATCATTGTGTTTTAATCAGCTATCTTTTCATATTAATATGTGCTCATTGGACACGAAATGGACAAATGGATCGTTTTGCTATTATGTTGTTGTTGCTAGAATTCCTTTTATTGTTGTTGTTGTTGCAAAAAAATCGGTTTTCTTATTACCTACTTACTGGACTAATTGCTTCGATTTGATCAATTTCTAGAGGCTAAAGATTGTATTTTTCACTAGTGGGCTAATACTTTTATTTATTCAAAAATTTCTGTCGGCATTTAATTTTGTGTGCGATGACGTCATCAAACTTAATGAATTGCGCACAGTGTGTCAGTGTGCAAAAATGGTATTCTCGAAGTATGGTTAATATTCGAGAGAATTTTTTGAGCGCGAAGTCGTGAACATTGCGGTAACCATACCGAGTGGCCTTCGAGTCCATATATTTGAGAATCGCTTTCTTGTTTCAGCGTTAATCATTTTTTCAAAACTTATGGAACCGGATATTTCATTTAAAAATTTGTGTTTTTTATTCCACGGGCACACTTTTATATGACATTCGGTTGTACGATTGTGTACGATTCTTACGTTTGCCTGAAATTTCAATGACATTGATGTCAGGATTTCGTGACCAACATCGTTTTTTTAATTTATATAGCGCTGTGAATATTCCATTAAATTAAATATTGAATCAAACCGGCAAAATGTTCTGATTTAGGTAAGAAATGCTTTGCACCTGTCTACTGTGCTGATAACGAAGTAGCAACACCACAATGGCAACAGATTTTCCCTCGTCCAAAGTGTAAATTGCATGTTTCAGTAAGTGCACTTTTTTAATACTTTACTACTCTACTCGGTTGCAATCTGATGTAAAAAAAATCTGGAGTAGGAAACTATATTCGATATGTTTACTATTCGACTTTGGTACTAATTTTATTTTTGGTACTCGACAATGAACTAAGTTTTATTTCACTTTTAGAACAATGGTTCCACTAAAATTTACGAATACGGACCACGAGGATACCGTGGACCTCGTGGATTAAAGGGAATCCAGGGAGAAAGAGGCTTGCAAGGAATTGCTAATACAACTATTACTGACAATCTTCAAAATGGTAAATTCAGTAATTATTAATTCATTTTTTCACCAACTGAAAATACACTCTGTACAAGAAATATAGAGAAAAGCGTAAAAATGGCATTTCAGTTGAAGGGAAGCGCTAAAAACGAGCGGCGGTTAACGAGCAGCAACACCCTAACAGTTAATTAATACAGAGGAGAAAAAAGTCAAACATTGTATCATTAAAATAATATTACATAAAAAACGTTACATACAAAAATACGACTCCATGCACCGTCATGTTCAATAAACAAAGGGACGGTGTAAGATATCATTTATATATATATATAAATCACGGAAGTATGAATATATAATTTACTTTAGGATTTGCTCAAAATTTTTTTATCTCTGTTAAAATATTTTATGATTATTGATTTTTAGAAACTTTTCGACTGAGCGGCGAAGTTCTTCTTTTAAACAACACTATAATCTGGCAACAAGTTCTCATTGATGAAATGAATGAAACACTCATTCGACACAATGTAACAATTGAAGATTTAAAATTAGGTGAGGACAGGCATAAATTAAATGTATATAAAAGATTTGAAAAGCATCAATATCGGGTTATAAAGTCATCCGCCGCCCATCATTTATAGATATCTGACTGCTAGAAATTTTGTTTCTTATGCTGAGTTGTTTGAAATAGGGTAATAGCCGAGGCCCTAAACTATCGATTATATAAATCACCATTGCAATATGAATAATGACCGAAAACTGAAACAATAAAATATGACATTTGATAAATCATAGACGTGTTAGGTTTTTAAAACTGATATGCTATCATATTAGGGAAACTTTCCTCAACCTTTCGTGTTGGGTCCCCACCAGTGTGCCTTAGGTCAGCCCTTCACCAATGACCAACGAGGACATATTGTGCTCAAAAGCAATTTTTTAGGTCACAAATATATGTAAAAATCAAACTCAAAATTAAAGTTCTGATGGATCGCTTGTTTAACGAATGTTGAATCTTTCTTTACTAGTTTTGCAATGGCCTATTTTAACGATACATTTTTTCAAATAGTCTTATTACATTACCCCATTTTACAAAAATTAATCAACTATAGGGACGGTGTAAAATATCGTTTTTTTATATATATAAATCACGGAAGTATTAATATATAATATTACTGCATATAAGATTTTCTTAAGGAAATTTCATTTCTATTAAAATATTTTATATTTTTTTAGAAAGTTTTCGACTGAGCGGCGAAGTTCATCTTTTAAACAGCACTATAATCTGGCAACAAGTTCTCATTGATAAAATGAATGAAACAAACATTCAACAAAATGCGACAATTGAAGATTTGAAAATAGGTGAGAACAAGCATAAATTCAATATATATAAATGATTTGAAAAACATGAATCGAACTATGAAGGCATTTTTTAATTAGTATTTATATATATCCCACTATCATGAATTCTTTTTCGTATGAAGAGTTGTTTGCAAAAGGTATCGTATAAATCACTATTGAAATATAACTAATGACTGAAAACTGAAACAATGAAATTGGACATTCGATAAAACATAGATGTATCAAGTTATCAATACTGATGTGCTATCATAAAATAGCTTTCACCTTTCTTGAAAAGTGTCACTTGCGTTAGCCCTTCACCAATGAATAATAAGGACATTTTGCGCTCGAAAGTATTTTTAGGTCACAAATATATGTGAAAATCGAACTCAAAATGAAACTTCTGGTAGATCACTTCGTTGTGGTTAAGATATTTTATCAAGTACAGAAATTTGACAATTGTTGAATCTTCCTTTAGAGTTTTGTAATGGCCCATTTTGACGATGCATTTTCTCATATGGTTTATAACATCACCTCATTTTACAGAAATTGTAGGCATGAATAAAACGATATCTATCCAGGATACGACCATCATAGCTAGAGAATATGGTTTGTAATTTTAAGTACTTCTTTTCTTCTTTTTTAATTAAGTTGTTCTGTTTCTCTATTTCTGGCTTTCTATATTTTCTTTTTTTGATTTTTCTTCAGTTTTTATTCCTTTGTAATATTAAATCTCCTCTTTAAATGACTGTTCTTATTATTACGTCGGCTCATCTCCTTGTTGTCTTATTATATTCTTCTTTCAAATTTTCTATCTTTTAAAATACTAAATCTCTTACTTCTGTTGCAAGAAATAAAGGCCTTGGAAAATAAACTTCAACAGCAAGAAAGCAAATTCGAAGAAAAGCTTCGTAATTTTAGAAATGAATTTACTGGTTAGTTGAATAGTTATTTATAATTTAAACTCTGGGAACGGATGTGTAAATTTCGAATCGTGCAATATTTTGTCCAACAATTCCTCGCTAATATGAAGTGTCATATTATATCAAAAGTTTCACTCAAAATAAGGAGATGAAAATACTGTTTTAGAATACTACATCGAATCATATGAAAATTGAGTAATTTTTCACATGGTTCCATATTCGTAAATCGAATTATTCGGTCTTTAGTCAGGTCGTTTATTCACACATTAATGCGCTAATTTTCAGGTTATTATTTTTTGAAAGAAAATATTTGTTGGAGTGTAATTACAGCCATATTAGTTTAAATTGCTTCTATTTCAATCAAATAAAGTTATTCACTCTATTTTCTGAATCTCAGAATTGCAGATAAAATACAACAATGAAATTCAAATTCTAAAATCTACAACTTCGAATCATGACTCCAGAATGAATACTTTAGGTAAGATAAAACGTTGTGAAATTTTTATTCTGTGGACCAACTCAATTTAAGAGAATGGTAAATATATCAATGATATTAGAATCCAGTCTTTTCATAATTCGGAGTTCATTTTACCCAATTTTGTCATACATAGTAATATGCAACTGCATTCTTAATCGAATATGGTGAAATCCGTTACGAGACAATTGTACATTAAGTATTTGGCAATTTTACTAAAGATGTGAATCACAAAAATACGGTGGATGCCCACTGCTGCATAATAAAAATAATAAGTTTTGAACTCTCATTTTATATTCTATTATTTTTAGAGGGATGAAATGAAGTCAAATCCGTGTCGTTTAATTACATCTATATTCAAGCAAGCTACTTTTATTTCGACAGTTTCTAAATACGAAGGAAAAGTTAAGTTGGTGAACGGAACGAGTAGAGGAGGACGAGTTGAAATTTTTCACAATGGAGAATGGGGAACTATTTGTAACGATTCCTGGGACGAGGAAGACGCACGGGTTATTTGTCGAATGCTTGGGTTTGGTCCTCCAACTTTTTGGAGCCCCGTGCAAAACAATGTAACATGCCCACTTGTATATGGCCAGGGAAAGGGCAAAATATGGCTCGATGACACGAAGTGTAAGGGAAACGAGTTGAGCATTGTAAGCTGCGAAAGAAATGATTGGAATAAACATAATTGTCACCATCATGAAGATGTTGGGGTTACTTGTGGTTGGTAGTTATACCGCAGTTTATTAGCTATTCCGTTTATTTTGTACTATTCGTATATCTGCGAGAAAAATTGTGTTATTTTTATTTTACTTCTTTGATCCGATGGTGGATGATATGCACTTGTAATTTGTCACCTTATACGCTGATAAACCTCTTCTCACATCCCGCGCTTTCCTATCATCGCGACAGCAGTGATATTCTCAGCGTCTTCTCGCGAAGGTACTCGCGCTCGCGAGTTAGTCGGCAAGTTGGTGCATCAGCCATTTCATTTTTATAACGAACCCAATCTGGAAAGAATTTCATGTTTTGTTGCTTCTTTGATAGTTAGTGATACAATGGCAAGTTGTTCTACTTTGTGAATTGAAACGCATTTTCTTTGTTATTCTCCACAACCATCGTTGTCGTTGTCATGCTAATAACAAAAGTCATTTTTTATGGGTTTTGAGAAAAAACTTAAAAACCTTGCTGAAGATATTGTGTTGTCATCTAAACTAGACATTTAAGAGTAAATGATTTCACATGGTTCAATTTTGAGTTGTATAGTCGGATTTGTGTGACGCCGACATGTGACGTCACATTGGCGCACTGCGACTTACGCGGATTTGTGGCTATAATTTGAAGACACGCGCAATTTTGCAACTTGATTATATCCATCCGTTCTGAAAACTCAACATTCAAAAAACGTATGTCATTCACAGTATTTACGATGGCTAATCCCAAAACAGATTATCTGTTTTAATAACCCATGATGCAAATACTCAAAAAAATGATTCGCTGAGTGACGTCACAATTGTCTTGTGGGGGAACAATACTAATCCTGTGACGGAACAATTTTAACAATGTACATTTCACATAAATCTCTATTTTTGTACGTTTCGGGATCCTTCGAATAAAATCTGAGATACATACGCTATTATAAAAAACTCAAAACCGCCAAAGAATACTTACGCAATTTGGTTATTAGTGTGGCGATATATTTACTTCTAAATATTCATTGTTTGGTTGAAAAATAAAATTAATATACATCAACATTGATATACTGAAATATAATTGATGTACATATTCAGTGTTGTGATATGCTTCTTCAGTCGATGGTTTGTTAGCTATTTATGGTGCTTATCGGAAAAGATGACACCGTATACGTTCTGCTGTATTGTGGTTGATAATATCCGTTTCAAAAGACTGAGCGCCTGAGCGGTATAATATAAATTTTAGGGTATTGTTAGGGCATTTTGTATCGCTCCAAGTATTTAACAAAATGCTCGGCTGCGCATGCGGAGCAGACTCGATTAACTGGCCAGGTTACAGTAAATAAATCACCCGTTTCGTGATTAGTCATGTTTGCTATGGATATATGCTATATGTGATATTTATGATATATGCAATGTAATGGTTATCATATACATACCCAGCTTATTCTAAAATTTGTTACTGTTTATACCTTTTGTTGCGCTCACAGAGTGGCGTGCTATCTGTGTGTTTGTGTGCTGTGGCGCGCGGAAGAGGTGTTGAATTGCACGACTCGATAAGCCGAGAAAAATTGTAGTTAATTGTTGCATATTATCAACTAGGCACATTGTTTATTCAAGCAGTGAAGTGGCCAAACCAGAGAAAAGGACCCTATGTAGGTATGCCTGTATGTTACGCAGAAGGGGAAAGAGTAAAGGTATATTGACATGCGTAAAGTGAGCTCAGAAATTCCTAGTAAACCTTCACATCTTATGCCGTCTAGGACTGAGTTCGTGTACTAACAAATAATACGTATAAAACTATATATCTGTTCGTCTCTTGCTGCCCCAAGTCTCGTTTTCACATCATAGAGAGAAATATATTCAATTTTGTTACTGAAAACTGCAAGCCGTTGTTCGCAGTTTAAGGCAGTTCGAACGCACTTCTCGCGCGAAGTGCCATGGTGTCAAGTCTAGACCTTACTGATGTAATAAATTGAACCTATATATATAATACATTCTATGCAAGGGTGTTAAGCAGTTACATCCGTCTTTGACTATGACATTAAAGCAGGTTTTTCTGTATTGAACCCAATTGTTATGTAGTCTCGAATTGTGAACAGATATATGTCACATTAAGAAGGCAGTCAATTTATCAGGAATACTGCAAGTACGGCACTCATGATTGAAAACAGATATTGCTAAAATTTATCTACCAGTCTTGAAACTAGACGAAAGCAAGAAATGTTGTTGATCACGTATGTATGTATCAGGTGATCTCTGATGGCTTAGGTTCCAGTATGTTATCCGATAGTTATTTTGCGACAACGGCATTGTAGCAATAGCCTAACCCTAACGCACAATAAGAGCCATGTGTAGTGTTGGACACAAAGACCCCGCTTCACAGAATCCATGCTGGTTTTATATATTGTTTAATGTTAAAGTTTTTGTGCAATGTGGATATGGGTCGATCGATTTCGTAAATGATTAGATCGCTACCGTTGTTTTCATACGGTATTTAGCTTTTGTTTTCATACAGTATTCAGCTTTTGTATTATGACCAATCATATGGTTGAATACGGCAATAAATATTGGCAGAGAAAACAAGGTCTGATAAACCCAGTAAACATGTTTTTCATACCCTGGCTGACGACACTAATCTTCCATATCCACCCTGGATGTTTTTATGAGACGGAGTATAATATGTGATTAGTAATTGATATAGCCTACCTAATTAGTAATTTTGTAAGGCATATACCACACTCACGTTTGTGCGCTATTGCGTTAAGGATTTTAGCCCAAGGGACACAAGGTTTGAAAGTCTGTGCAACATATTGGTGTGAGTGGGATGTTTTTATATTAACACACGACAGCAAAAACTTGGCAACTACTAGCATATCATAATACATGATCGAAAATATATTTCATCTTTCGTTTCTTTGCAAAGCCAACGTAATAGAAAATATAATTTTATACATTAAAATAAGTTTTATACGGCGTAGTAATGTGTACTTGTCTACAGACAAAAATTTCATTAGTCTGTCGTTGACAATGGTGTAGAAGTACGAACGAGATAAGAACAAATAATGATAAAAACAAAACACAATGGTACGTGTCTGTGATGAAATTGGGAAAGTGAATACCCAACAATTACAATGCAAGAGATATGTAAAGTACTGATTCAAAGCTGATATAATATATGAATGAAATTATTAACGATCGAATTCATTCAACAACTTTATACAGCTATTCTTCTGAGGTAGGATTAGTAGGCCTACTGAAAAATAACGCGAATACCTTAGCTTCAGTCGAGCTCACCGAAATCAAAAGCACGACCTGGATTTCTCTGTGCTGTCAGTAGTTAACGTGAGTTGGGGCTCTCTTGAAAGCTACTAATACGTCAATCGTTGAAATAATTTTCGATGACTCGTCACTGTTGAATCGTATTGAAAATGCAAAGTTCATCCATGGCCTATGGTGGACAAAAAACAATATTTTCATGAGATATGAAAAATCACGTACTTGTGTTTTTTTCAATTAGAGTTTGGCGCGGGGAAATCAGTAGCCATGGGCAAATTAGGCTGTTAGATAGCTATAAAGGTTTGATACTTCTCGTGATTGTTACTTTTGAATAATTCATAGGTATCTCATTTTTTGACACTTGTGAACTGTAATTCTGAGTTGATGTTTGTAGCCTAGTTTGGATCGAATTTTTTATAAACAGTTAGTTACTCCGTGTGATAAATTAAAACACATCAATACTTATATATTCTAACATTATTTTACAATGTTATGTGAGCTTGCGGATTTGTTAGAGAATAAGTATTCTTTAAAGCCACTCAAATTTTACCTGCTGAAGCATTTCCGAAATGCCTTTCACAGCAGATTTGAAATCGAAATTATGACTACGAAGACGTCATCTCATTTTGTGGGATATTGCGAATCGAGAGCGGAAGTCGTAGTTCAATGCAGAACACACGGTACAGTACTTAAAAAAATCCCATTTTGTACGTTCCCGGTTCAACATATGGTGACATTTTCAGAACATATAATAAAAGTATGTAACTGTGACAATACAGTCATCATGTTATTCTGTGGAGTTTCGCAAACGGGAGTCAGAGTTCATTGGCAGTACTAGTGATGTACAGTAAAATATCAATTCCTGAAACATTAGTGGAACAGTTTATACTTTATATGACAATAATATTTTCACTATAGAATAGGAAAGATATTGTTGATGATGAATGAAGAAGTAACTATAGGCCACCTCTTTAAGCTTCTTTAAACGGCTATGAATATTGTACTCGCTATTTAGGTTATTTTAAAGTCAATGATTCAGATCAGCTGACCGCAAGATTTTTGAAAGCTGAATTAATAATCAGGTGTTCCGGAGTCTTTGTCTGGTGTAATAGTACTTTCCGGTGTTATAATAAAAGCTTCGTCGATCTATCCATTCTATCGTATCGAGCTATACTTCTGCATAACAGGACCACGTTTCAAGATTAGCTCGCACTTGAATGATCAGAATCAAGTTATAAGTCATAATTATACCACTGATTGAAAATAGATATATATATATATATATATGGTACATCGACGCATTGTCGCTACACGTTGGATTATGATCTTTCAAGAATGTATAATCAGAGCTAATTAGTACGTTCCTTAGCGTTGATGAGCATCAGGAGCAGATTTTATAATCAGATACTAAAAGTAATTGGCGTAAATTTGTCTTTTTATTATTTCATTTTTATTCTCATTTCTATATTTTTGTTCATAGCACTAAAAAATAAAAATTTGTTTCTAATCAATTCATTACTGAAGATTGCATAAGAATATGGGATCAGCGGAAAGCAGACCTGAAAGACCAGAAGGTAAATTGTTTCATTAAGTGAAGCCTGTATTTCTATATAATAATTCGAAAATACTAATATTCGTTCGGAAAAGAGAGCTCTATGGTCGGGTGTCAATTTTAATTATTCTGTTTGCTTCACACATTAGAAAAACAGGTTCGTATGTGCTATGATAATATATGGATTATCTAAAAAAATAGTCACCAAAATTCTGTATCTAACTGGTCAGATAGCAGTTTATGTTAATAGAACCACAGCATTTATTGAGTGCAGAGTGTAAAAATCAATTTTTAATCGTATCGACAGCATATTTCTTGATACAAAGAAAAATGACGTAATTCGAAGATACGAACGAATTCAATATATTACGAGTTAATTCTCATTATCATCCACGGTGTCTTAGTTTCAGCTTAGGAATGGAATTTCCCCACAACGTGACTGAAGTAACGTTTCCTCAGCGCAAAACAGGAACTGTTCATCGCGTGATATCCTACGCACTGATTTTTAATCTGTTTTCATGATTTCATAGTTTTGCGCAATTTTGTTTTCTACGTGCATGAGATCAAGCTAGTACATACATGAGTCATGTATGAAAATGCCTGTGAGGTTTCACAACCCGTACTTGGTTGAATTATATCCACTATATAACTGTATTTTCGGTTTTTAAAATAAATGAATTATAGAATGAAAAGACTTATTCATACCCGGTAACGGTTAGCATTTTAATCGGTCAACCGATTTTGGTTTTAACTAATGATTATAATTTTATTACGGTTACTAATTTTATCAATTTTGTTGTTATATATTTATATATATTTGTATTTAGTTACGCTAGTTTTGAATTTACCACATGACACTGAGTACAAGGATTAATTTGTCGAAATCGCTATCATTTTTATACCACCTCAGATTATCTAAAAAAAAAATAGCTGATACGAGCTACTGAGTCCTATTTAATATTTTGATTAACCCGGAGCGTCAAAAATTGAGTAATCGAGTGCTTTCACTTCGCCAAAAATAAATATCTTTGGCATTTCCTTCGCATAGGCGGTAGTAGAGATGGATATTGGGCCACCACCCACATTTACTCTCAACCAACTTAATTTGATCATTAATTCTTCGCCCAAACTCGCTTTTCACAATTTGAATTATTTTATGAGACAAGTGGGACAACTGGCGCATTTGTGGGCAAGTGTAGAAAGTGGAAACAAGTGTGCTAAAAAGGGAGACAATATGACAAGGGTGACGAGATTTTTGAGACCCAGATTGGGTTACAACCCATATGCGGGTGTTCAAATTCTCAAAATATATTTCCACAATATACTCGAATCAATTGCCGTTATTATTCTTTGCATTGTAGACTAAACCTGTTTCCTCATTTCACCACAGTTCCCACTCCAGCACCGATAGTGGAAACGACTCCGGATAGAACAGTAGATCCTGATGAATTGATGCGATTGATGAACAACAATCCAAATGTCGTGATTCAATATTATAATTCAAATCGTGATTTTATTGAAAAATACATCGTAGATCATTTTTGGGAGGAAGATGTTGAAAGATGGTTGATTGGAATCAGGGAAAGATCACCAGGTATTCTAGTTACAAAATCTCATTTGCTATTGGTTGTGGAAGAATGTGCTTTTCTTTAAGGTGACAAAAAAAACCTCAATCTATAAGTTCTGCATAACTTGTGGATGGATAATTGTAATCAGACGAAATTTGTGGAGAATAAAAATATGAGTAATACTTGTATGACACAGGCTGTTAGGATAGATCTCCATTAGTTTTGAACACATCCATCACTTAACGAAGTGGGAGACAATCAGCTCTTTACATGTAGAAAACTGCTATGTTTTTGTAAAGACTTAAAAACCCGATTCCCTTGCCTAATGAATTTATTACTCACTGCCACTGGGATGTGATAGAATTGTGACTTGAATCCTAGAATTCAAATATGTCATATACGCCAATCGCATACGTCATCAATTTAACGTACAATATTAACATACAATAGAATCATTTTAAAAGTATTGGGCCCTTTTGATATGTTTCACATGACTTTGCGTTGAAGTTATGTTCTCAAAAAACCTCAAGACAGTATGTAACAGACAACATGTCTGCACATCGAAAGTGATAATAGGACTATAGTCGAATATAGAGAGTTTTGTTGTGTAGTGATAATTGTTGGCGACATGCGTAGGGTGTGAAACATCTGAATGGTCAACAGACATCATGTTTTCGCGAATGCAAGAGTTGAGAACTACATTTCATTCAATAGGAAATACTCATTGCCATTATTCACTATTTTACGTGATCAGTGAATAATGTAAACGATAAACATAAACAAATCAGTAACTGGGATGGTATGCAATAGGATTGCAAGATGAAAAGACGAGGCAAATAACGAAAAAGAATTGTTTATTTTGTTTAATAACGAGTAGAAGAATTGAGTTTTTAAAACTTGAGTGCATATGGTACAATTGAGAATTATCGTATATATATATGTTTTAATTTTGATAATAGAGTTGTACATTTCCACTCCGATTAAAGGTGTTCTATTTATTATAAATATACAACAATCGACATTCAAAAAGAGTTACTGTTAGGAATGATGTCGGTCATACTCAGTAACTTATATTTTCTCTAATTTTTATTGTTAAACGGAATAAAAACTAGGATAATACTGTTCTCTGCCGTATGCAACGCTACAAATCACACGCGAACGAAATATGGAATCAATGTTTAGAAGGCTTTTCTCGGCTCCTTTTGCTTCGTCAGAAACAAGTTCTAGATCTTGGTCATCTTTACCTGGAGGCCGTTCCACTGCCCGATCAACATCTACTTCTTCTTCTTTAGCCGAGAATCTTCAGGTTCGTCGAATCGATTTTCTCAAAGAAAAGAACGAAGTGGAACATCATACTTCTTTGTTCGAAAATAATTCATTGATTTTGAGAAGATCAGCAACCTTTGACCTTGAAATCATTTTTGGAAATCGTGGATTCGAATCGGAAAGAGATGATCTAACCCTTAATTTTGGTGTTGGTAAGTAAAAAATTTCAGGTTATATCTAATTCAAAAGGTATTTCATGTGAAACTTATAAATTTCTGAAGGAATGCAAATGAATATATATTCGTTTAGGTCAATATTTAATCTCATAGCTGTTATCGAGGTTGTATTGTTTTAAACTTTGTCAAGTCTCCCGGCAATCTTCATTAATTGGCAAGTACTTTACCACCACATAGTTTATAGTTTTAGCATGTTAGTGCGCTGCCTTGATTTTCTCAGATATAAGTCTTTTTTACTTCTGAGTGAGTCTATTTGTGACGGTATTGATAATTTCAAATACATTCAAAGAGATACTTTGAGGAAGCTACCGTAATGATTACATTACCTTCATTTTACGTGTTACTTAGCAAAACTTATAATGACAATTCCGTAGTAATATAAACCGATAAAATCGATTTTTTTTTTGTGATTTTCAGGACCAAAACCATCTGAAGCATCGGGTACAAAATTCGTCTGCCCTGTGCTAAACAAGCCAGGAGACAAGAACACTTGGCACTGTTACATGCTAGGACAAAATACAAAGAAATTGTCCGTGAGAATCAACATTCCGGTTAATGCAATCATTGCCAAGTATTCTGTGAGTCCATTCCATTCCATTGCTTAAATATTAGAATGAGAGATCTACCTATTAGCCTACTGTCGCCTGATTCCATTTGATTTACATACAGTATCTTGATTTTCTAACAAATTAACGAAGTAAACGAACGTTAGTGCTAACGTGAGTACAGTCTGAAGTACAAATACAAAAGTGCACTCTATTTACTGCAGATTTTACACATTGAAGCGACAAGGCAATTCGAACGACCCTATAGAATTGCACTGTATTAGTCAACATACAGATATTCATCACAAGTTTATATGAACAACATCGATTCCTATATTACAGGTATCCTTGGACGTTGTTAGTGGTACAAGTGGAGGTCGCAAGAAAATCACACATAACGACAACAGCATTATTGTTCTATTCAATCCGTTTGTTCCAGGTATTTGTCACAAATCTTTTTCAAAATCAAATGCTTTTTATAGCAATTCCGAACAGTGTCAATATATTCACTAAATGCATACAGTGTATGAATTTCCAATGTTTCGATTGTCCATTACGTACCGACGATGTAAGAAATACTGGACAAAATCGCTATGTTTTCCACAGGGTGGTTCTCTTTCGCCCCAAGCTTTTCGACTATGTATACAAACTATGTTCGAAATGTTAAATCCTATTTAGATGACACCGTTTACATGGAGGATGAACGCCAGCGTGAAGAATACGTGATGAACGACACAGGAAACATTGCTCGTGGAAGCTATTGGAGAATTAGTTTGAAATCTTGGGATTACGCTCAATTCGATGCTGGGGTATTGGATAACGTTCTCAAAATGATCGTTAATGACTCTCGCCATCTTGCACAACCAGTGAAAACTTGGAAGAAGTACAACGACCCTGTCTACGTTTCGAGAGTCTTGAGTTCAATGGTATGTTGATCGAATTTGGCGAACGGTAAATTAAAACAAAAGGTGATTGGAAGCATTTAAAAAAATCATTGGGGGTTCGGTGTTCGTTTTGTATTATCTACTTTTTTACAACTTTCCCCGTATATGTAAAGTTAACTGTTAAGTACTGTTGGTCTGTTTAAAATTCTGCGACTTCAATTATAGGTCAATTGCAACGATGACAAAGGCGTCCTATGGGGCAAATGGAACGGAAAATATGAAGATGGAAAAAGTCCTGGGTATTGGAATGACAGTGGAAAAATATTGAAAAAGTGGGCCGATGAAAACATGCAACCAGTAAAATACGGGCAATGCTGGGTTTTTGCTGGAGTCTTAACTACAGGTCATTATTTATATATAACCTAATGGGAACAAATGGGAAAAACATACTTGTACTTGAATAAATAAAAAAACTTTAATATTTTAGCTCTTCGTGCTGTTGGCATTCCTGCAAGAACTATCAGTAACTTTGCTTCTGCTCATGATACAAATGCAAATGTGACAGTGGACATGTACTACGATGAAGACACAGGAGATAAGCTTGAGGAAACTAGCGACTCAATCTGGAACTTTCATGTTTGGAATGAAGGATTTTTCAGACGCCCTGATTTACCAGAAGGTGAAACATAGGCCCGGATACTCTAAAAGGAGTGGTCTGCAAACTGCGGCCCGCAAACAATTTTTTTTCTCTCAAACGCCACTTTTCAATTCATAAAAACAAAATATGTTTATTAATTTATTTTTATGTGCGCACGGATTCATATCGTAACAATGGCTGTTGTTTAGCGTTTGCTTTGCGATAAGTAGCGTAAGCGACGACACATGTTTCTTGTATGTCGTTTACTTGCCTAACGTGCTAACCGTTGTAATATTCAGTTGTAATTTTCACAATGTCATTAAATCAACGCTGGACCTGGACCTAACTTAATTGAATACCGGATCCTGGTCTGTATCGTAGAAGACAACGATTAATTAAACAGCACTGTATTGCAAATAAATAATAACATGTACGTGTGTAATAAATAATAAAGTTTAACAAATAACAATTTATCTGATTTCGTGCTGATCAGACCTGAGATCAGTGAATCAACGAAAAGCAATTAATGCAGTCTTTTTGAGTTTGGTAATTATACAATACGTTATTTAGGATGGTTTGCAAAAAAAGTGATACTTATATGATATTTATAAGTATAGGCGGTTTTTCTTTTGTCGAAACGAAACAAATTTGCATGCATTTTGCTCTCTGAAACAATTTTCAAAATTCAACTCATGTTTTTTTTTTATCAGTTATAGGCTTGCACGTAATTTACGGATTTACGGAATTACGGAATTATTTCGAGTTACGGAAGCGAAGTTACGAATTACGTAAATTCGTAATTATTGGTCGAGCGCTTTCGCGATTGAGACGAGCTCTCTTCAGAGCAGTCAATTCCGTCGATTGTAAAAAATTAAAGTTTAATAAGTAGAAGAAGTTAGAGTTCCGGTATTCGCAGCCGTTTTTCTCTCTCTTGTTACGTAGGTGAAGGAAGGCATGACGCGTTGCCATTTACTAACCTATTATCAACTTATCTAGCATGGCAAATGTACATTAGGCTTGCACGTAATTTACGGATTTACGGAATTACGGAATTATTTCGAGTTACGGAAGCGAAGTTACGAATTACGTAAATTCGTAATTATTGGTCGAGCGCTTTCGCGATTGAGACGAGCTCTCTTCAGAGCAGTCAATTCCGTCGATTGTAAAAAATTAAAGTTTAATAAGTAGAAGAAGTTAGAGTTCCGGTATTCGCAGCCGTTTTTCTCTCTCTTGTTACGTAGGTGAAGGAAGGCATGACGCGTTGCCATTTACTAACCTATTATCAACTTATCTAGCATGGCAAATGTACATATTAAGCGTAGATATGGGATAGAATTGTGTTGAGACCGATGGACGCCAACACACCTGGTTTCAACTTCTCCGGGTGAAATGACTAAAGAATGTAAGAGATCAACTTACCAAACATGGTCTATTTGTAAATGCCGTGATAATTAATGTTGCGCTTATCAAACAGCAATATGACGACGGAAGAGAAATTGCGTAATGAACCAACGCAACTTAGTCTTTTCGGCATCGGTAAAGCGACTCAGACGGCAGAGAAACAACAAAAAGACGGGATTTCCCATGTTTATTCTGCGCGAGATCCATTTTCTATTACAAAATCTTGATGTTCTGTTACCGGTTTTATCGTTATATATCTGTCCGGACTTGGCCTTGTTTTCACAATGCCTCGCACTATTTCGGCCAAATATGTCTTTACAAAATCTTTAAGTCTTTACCAAATGCGGCAACTTATTTTGATTTATCGTCGACTCAAATACCACCGGCACTCGACCAAACTTGTGTCAATCTTAGCCGATAGGATTGTCGACTTGAGTTAGAAAAGTAAATTAATATTTTCCTGAGTGCAAAATAAATGTCACAAAATGAATTGTTTTGCGATATAACTTTGTATTTTTGGAGAAGGCATGTATAAGTACGGTATTTAAATTATGCGCAAATAATTAATATTTGATCTAAATTTATCGCAAATAATGTTATAACATTTAGGCCGCGAAATGATTTAATGTAAAATGAAGCATGGTAATTGGAATATCGTCAATAAGTCGGCATCAATAATTATTATAAAATGCTAACTAGGTAGTAAAGTCGGATAATGTAAAAAAACGGTACAATAACAAGTCTTCGTCGCGAGGCAAGTGCAAGTATAATCAAACGAGAGAATACGCTCGTCGTTGATTTATAAATTAGAAACCCGGAATTTTTATTTAATACGAAACTCTTATTAATACGTTAATACGATTTTAAAAAAGTCAACTATCGTTTCATAAATATGTTACCACTTACCAGTGTTGGTAATAATAAAATTGATCGCATAAAATTGGGTGATAAAGTTGATAAAGGAAAATCAAAGCTAACACAAAAGATAAAAATCAGAATAAAATTAATTTGAATTCACTCCTTGATATTTGTCTTTAGCATCTGTCGCCGGCGTGTAGTACTGGCGGAAATATGAGAACCAAACTGTCCCAACTGTCGATGTCCCATTCGGAATAGAAGTGGATTAAATTGGTTGTTATGATAGGTTTAAAAGTGTGAAAAAAATATCGCAATTACGGGGTCATTACGTAATCGATTTGGCCGTAATTACGGAATTGATTTTTGTCAATTACGTGCAAGCCTAATCAGTTATAAATGTAAAAAATGAAATTTTCACTCAGGTTATGATGGCTGGCAAGTCGTCGATTCTACGCCTCAAGAAGTATCAGATGTTATTGATCCAGGGCGAAACACAAGAAGAGAACTGTTTCAATGCGGTCCTGCACCTGTTAAGGCAATCAAAGAAGGCAATATTCTTATCGGATACGATTCTAACTTCATATTTGGAGAGGTTTGTAAATGGTATCTTTCATCGCAGGGAAGTAAAATTCTCGATACACAAAAACACAATGTTCTGTCATTGGCAATGCCCGCATTTACTTGAACTGATCCACGTTAAACCGACATTTGCTGGCATCTACATATTAATCAATTTTGCACACTCAGCATTTAAGTTACCGATAATGACTTTGCCATTGCTGAACTTTCTTTCAATTCCGTGTAAATTTTATCGAATTTGCTGATGTCGATGAAATGTAATATTCATCTGTAGACCGGCCGTCTGTCTACTCTGAATTTGTCCACATCGTACAGTTACGACAGCACTATATTGATATCTTGGTGATTTATAGCTGAAATTATGCCTTTTCATTACTTTTGTTCATTTACTCCCTTTAGGTGAACGCTGACAAAGTCAACTGGATTGTCAGTGGAGGCAAAGTGAGACCAGGGCCTGAAATTTTGAGAAGATCTGTCGGGAAGAATATCAGTACAAAAGCCATCGGAACCTATACCATGGAAGATATTACTGATCAATATAAATACCCAGAAGGTGAGTTTCTCCTACGTTCTTTAAAGTGTAATTCACATGAGGATTTTTTATTATGTAGTTATATATACATACTGATACAAAAATAGAAGAGAAAAAAAAATTAGACAGCAGGCATGATGATTGTTTTTCAGAGCACAGATTCATTGCTTACTTCCGTAACATTGGCTAATGAGTAATACGGCAACTGTGACGTAGCAATTGAAATTTTAGTAGCCACTCTGAGACTTTTATTTTTTTAAATCAGCTCGTTTTTGTTAGTTTTGCTAGATATTCGTCAATTCTTAGTTGTGATTTTGAAATTTAGGTATACATCAAAAAACTCAGAAGTCTTATTGTCCCAATAAGTCCCAAAAGACACGATAGACTAGGCTAAGAAAACATTTAAATGACAAACGATTAAATTGGATGCTTACTATTGGTAATGATTACTAATGAACATTTTAACCAGTAAGCAATAACTTTCTCGATGATAGTCAAAATAAATATTAAAAATTTCACACTAGTAAAGCATAGAAAGGGAAAACTTCTCTGGGGTCAAGTGTCGAAAAAAATTCATTTAAAACTGTCTTCAAACAATATTCAATTCTGCAGAGATAAAATAAATTTAAATAACTTATTTGTCTAATTTGTAGGTTCACAGGAGGAGCGAATTGCCTTCAATCGAGCTTACGGACGCGGCAAAGGCGACCATTCTTTACGCTTTATCGAGAACCCAGAAACTTTGGTGAAGCCCAAGTTTGAAATTCAAATCCTATTGAAAGAGAAGAACATTTTTGTTGGATCAAAAGTTGTTGCTCAAATCATGGTATTTTAAATAATATGTATTAATTTGGTGATGATATTTTATACTTCAACCTCTGAGGCTCTGATGGCCATTCTAGTTCACGCTCTTCTGTTTACAAATGTATCCATCAATAATATCATTTATCAATTGGACGATCACGGTTCTTCATTTTTAGGTCAAAAATATCTCAGATTCAAACGTGAATGCAGCGAGTATCAAAATATCTGGAAGCACAAAGCGTCATGTTGGATCTATCCATGCTTTACTGAAGAAATTATCGCAAAATGTAGAGATAGAGACCGGAAAAGGTAATTTTGTTGGTATACCTGGTATACCCGGCATGATATAGAAATTATCAATTAATTTACGTTTTAGAAATCATTGTGTCGTTTGAAATTGACCAAGCCGATTACATCTACAACATTGTTGATAATAAGGTGATCAATATACGAGTCATTGCAACAGATACAAATGACGGAAACACCAAAGTAGAAGAATTGGATGTCCAAGTCGTTATTCCGAAATGCATCACAACTACGGTGAGGATATTATAATTTAATCAGAATGTTATAGCAATAGCCAGTCCAAGCGATTACTCTACCAATCCTCCATTATAAGTTTAACTTTTCACCATCATATTTGCACTGGCAACAAACATAAAAATTCAGATCTATCCGAAGTAGATTTGTTGAGATTTACTGATACCGGTAATATCTGAACAAAATAAAAACACATAAATATGTGACAAAAAGTTACCAGCATTTTTTTGGGCAATTGTTCGACTGATTTGATTGCACGTATCACTCCATATTTTCACCATCACATTACAATTCTTTACGGTTTTCGGACCGAAATGGACTTACGTTTATAGTTAGTATAAAATGAGTGCCAAAATTGTTATCTACTCGAGCTTTACGTATGTACACATGATACTATGTGATATTTGCTATTCACATCAATATAATAACCTTGAAATACATTTGTCTTTTTGTACAATTCAAAATAATTTTTAAAATTTGTTAAAAGAAGAAGTCAAGTGATAACTTTCTATTCAATTACTATAAGTTTTTCTTTTATTCGTACCAGGCTCCAGATGTCTTCCCATTCGGCGTGGAAACAAAATTTGACATCATTTTCGAAAACAAGTTCCCGATCACTCTTACTAATGGTGTATTTGAAGTCACTTTTGGAGGAAATGAACAGAACGATCGAAAGTTTATTGTGGAGTAAGTAACATGTTTCACTTAAAAAAACGAATTTATTAACTAGCATTTTACAGCTGTTCAACATCTTTGTCAATGAAGTGACGCTCGCACTAATTATTGGTGGCTGATAAACTCTTCGCCTATAAATTGGAATTTGAACATATATATCATGAGGCCTCTCACCCGGTTGTCAGCCAATTTGATTCAGGTTTGGTAATAGTTAATCAGGTGATGAATCGCACAAGATGGCAGATAACAGCGACAGCAAGCGTGATTGTGACTGTTGAAATCTACCGCATGGTGTCGCTAGCCTAATTGCTATTTGCACAGAGGCTCAGGCATTCGAGGTGAAGACGGGGCAACTCATAAGACGAACATATCCCATTTGATCGTTTCATGCATAATCCTTCCAAAATTATGTATTTGGAAGCGCTATGAGCAAATTCCTTACGTGCATAGCAGTAATATTAACTGTTTGTTGCAGGCAACCCATTCAACCGGGAGAAAAATACATCGTCAAAGATGTCGTTATAAAACCTCGTGGAAATCGACGCAGCATCAACACAAACATTGATTTTGACTGCACCCAGATAAAAGATATTCAGCACAACTTTAGAACCACGATTAGAGTATTATAAACAAAAGATTTTTAGTTAGTAGACTCTTAGACGGCATCTCATCGTCTTCGTTATATTCAGAAAATACTGTATGCATGAATTTCATTTTTATTTACCATTATTTCTGTATAAGCCAGTGATGATTAACGTTAGTTCAAATATTGTCATCGAGTATATCGTGCCCTGTCCAGAATTATATCTTATATTTCAAATATAGCTATGATCCAGCATCTGTTTAGGGTAAAGGAAACGCCATGTAGAGCGTAGTGAATGAAAAATTATTGGGAAAAGGTGAAGTTTAAACAATCCCTGTAGTGACGTAGTTCCTGCTTAAATACTTTGTAATATGAAATGTTTTTGGGGTTGCTAATCTACTGTGTAATTTCAATTTGTCTAATATATGCAAAGAGTAAAACATTTAATTTTCATATTTTTACTGAAACAAGTATTTGGGGGGCTCAGTACAAAACAATTTTATTTTAATAAGTCCGCTAATGCTAATGTACTGACATCATGTTATACTTTATTTGTTGAGTACTCGCTAGCAAGAATGGACCAACGGAAAATCCAGAATTTTTTTCAAAAAAATCACATTTTGGGAAAAGCAAGGTGTCCAGAGACTATATACGCACTTTTATTTATTTATTCAAATATAAAACCACTGACCCAGAAGTTCCACTAATGCGGTATTTCGTCTCAGCAACAGCATCAATATAGCAAAGTGATTTATAAGCCCAAGTTTCACCGACAAACGTCGCAATCAACATATATCATAATTGTTCTAATAAGACTAACACTGAATGTTGTTAATTTGGCTGTTTGTGGTACTCCCAAGATTGCTGATTGGATATGGCAATCGGGAATTTTTACCTGAAGTTACGGTTCAAATGCATAGTATTGACAACATTGGCTTTCATTCCATATCGAATTTCTTACTGTACGTTTCTAACCAGGTACTCCAAAAGTAAATTTTGCATGTCTTCAATTGGTAACTTCAGCATGTACCATAACCTAGGAAACATTACCCAAACTGTGCAGTAATATCAATTCACGATAAAGAAGCGATGGATAACTTAAAAACTTGCAGTAATATCAATTCACGATAAAGAAGCAATAGATAACTTAAAAACTTTTCTATGATATATAAAAACTGACTTCGATAAAGCTATGAAATATGTTAATATAAAAAACAGAATAACAATGATATAATTAGAAATCAAATCATGGATACTGTGGGATAAGGAAATAAATTGACAGAATTCACTGACAAAGTATGAAACAAAACGTTTGCATGAAATACGATTAAACCAGAAGTCATTATTTTAGAATATAAAACAAAACAAGCAGTTGGAACTTGCTCTGAAGAAAGATCTGTGAAGAACAAATTTGTATATTAAAATATTAAATATTAAAAATTACTACTGGTGGTATTCGATGACAAAAACTTGGGACACTCCACACTTGCACATTATTGTTTTAATGAAAATGTTGAACAGCTATAATAATATTGTGCCACGACTATAATAATATCTTGCCACGACTTGGCCAGAACTAGTCCAGCACCAAAGAAATGGTATTGTGACATGCATGAGTATATATATATTTTTTTAAATATATAGGTAGCTAACGTACTCGGATGATATTTTCTTTAAATAACTGCACACATTCTATCACTTCACGCTCGTGTTTTTATCTTTTTCTAGCTGTGATGTCCCTATCATACACGCTTGGTCTTATGTTTGAGTGGTGGTATAAGGGTTGTAGATAGTACAATATTGTTCCTGCAAGGTTACTAATTATTGCAACTAGGCGAGCAGTAGAGCTATGTTGGATTCTCCCCTTCGGATTTTAATTTGCTGTGGGTCATTGTAATTGGATGTGGTTTTTATATCATTTATGTATGCATGCGTTTTATGTTAAGGCATGGTGTTTGAGTTGACTTGTTGGCCAAGGTATAGATAGTAAAATTTTGTGTGTTTTTGCATGGTGTGATAAATTTTTCTCTGTCCCAAGCAGAATGTCATCATAGATCATCTATCCATCGCTATATAATGACAATACATCCCATTTAATTAAACAATTTTTTTTGCCTGTAATAAATAGTTCAGAGCGTTCCCCTTCACCCAATCATTGAAACATCTACTCGCAGTTTTATTTTTTGTTTTTCAGGTTACTTCAAAGTGATTAAATGAAGTAAAACACATAAGGAAAAAAACAAAAAAAGACTCCCGATATCCTGTGAAATAACAACCTCATTCCCATATCCTTGTCTGAAATCAATACCCAAGAATGAAAAACCTCACTTACACCCTTTGTAACCAATTTATTTCCACATCCTACTTTACTTAATTATAGTAATTTTACTGTTACCGGTAACTTAATTACTTATTACAATCTGGACTATAATTTGGCAATAATAGGCTCTAATTTGGGGAATGAAATGGTCTCGCCCACCTCTTCATGCACCCAATTCTGGCAACTTTGGTTGGGCAACTTGGCATTTGACTCCAACTATAATCAGCTTGGCAATATGTTTTCAATAGAATCTTCCTTTTATATACCTAATCAACGATTAGAAGATCGATCAATTTGGCAATGGCAACCATTACAAAAATATCAATATGGTGTGGCAGATAATTTTCTTTTCTAGTATTTGTTTATTTATTTTTTTTTGTTTACTGTATAGTATACCCTAAATTTATCGCGTTTCATTCTTACTTAAATAACTTCTCAGTGGTTGTGTGTGTGTGTGGCTGGTGGGTGCATGTGAGCGTGTGTGAAATAACTTGATAATTTTAGGTGAGTAAACACGTACCACTTCCTCTTGGCAAAACCTTTCATCTTATATTTTGTACGTTATAAACCTTATCTAAGGTTTTGTTTGCTCCCCTGATTTCATAATCAGATTTTATTTATTTGTTTTTATCTGTCAAATGTATTGTTATGCTGATTATGGAGTCGAAATAAACTTATACTTATACTTATTATAAAAGATTGGATTATCTAACTTCATAGGCTATTTGATATATCATGCTCAATTGTTCTATCGGCTATAAGCATTACTAGAAACATGTGATAGGTAATATTACTTACTGATGGTATGGGAACGTGTATTATCTGCTATTGATATTGACAAAATTTCTTTATGGATGTTGGTATTGGCAAATGTTCACATCTCTGACCACTTTTTATTTGGGACCTGATTTTATCTCTAGCTAAGTCAGCAAGCGTTCCAATATATGGAGTGTCTACAATTTTGACCTGCTTTGTGATACTATAGACATCAATAACAACATAAAGAGGTCGATCGAGAGGTATAAGAGTAGCACATGGTCCCTGGTCTTCACCGTTTATAATCAAGTGCATGTTGCATGAAGAATAATCTGTCTTTTCCGAAATGCATATTCTTTCTTCATCGCTACCAAGTTCAGCTCCAGTATCGCTGTTAACGGGAACCAACGTAACACCAATCCTGCTTCCGATAAAAACAGATTGTCCAAAATCTGGAAACCGATTCCCCGATGATGTAAAAGTTAACTCTTTACGCGCCAAGAAATATAAACTTTTTACAGAGATTCGTTGGTTTGCAAATGACGCGATATTTTTAATTCTTTCCTTATTACCAGAGTCACAGGGCTCTCCTACAATTTCTTTGTGTCGTCCACTGATTCTATTATGAAATTTAGTAACCGCCGTTGCCCAGGTTTGACCACCTTTTGTGATTTGTCTCTCTTCTGTAGAGGACCCTCCCGTTGTCATGTCGGGAATTACCATTTCAGGGACTGTGTGTAATTCTGACGGATCATGCTGGGTTACTCCAATCCGTAAGTGTCCGGACCATCCATCTTGAGCGTCTGATATTTCAATAAGAAATAATTGGCCAGGAAGAAGAGGGCAGTGACTAAAAATTTAAAATACACCATTTGAAATGAATGGGCTCAGAATTCAATAAATGTATATCAAGATAGGCCCAGTGCGAAATAGAAATATATGACCAGTTTTTTCTTAATTCACGTATATTCACGGATTGGATAGCATCCGTAATCGACCAGTGGTCACGTGATACAACAGGCAATGTATACAATTTTCGGCACTCCCGTAGTATGTGAACCAAGATGGCGGACACTGGAACGTAGTATGTGTACCAGGTTAGGGTTAGGTCCCAGGGGTCGGCAACCTTTTGTCGCTCGTGGGCCAAAATTAAGGGTTGCAAGTCATTGGCGGGTCGCACATATTTTTAAAAAGTTGAAAACCGAACGATAAATCTCTCGAATAGAATATAGATTCATTTCCTCATTGCATTGCATCTCAAAAAATTTCATTTAAACATTTTCGGCGCCATTGAACCCTTTGACTTAGCATCAATTTATCTGCGATTTGTTGTCATTTGTCGGACCGGATTATATTACTCTGCGGTTCGGATCCGGCCCGCGTGCCGTAGGTTGCCGACCCCTGTGTTAGGCTATAATTTTTTTTTCCAATTTTTCTCATTTTAGTTCTATTACGAGTTCGGGGACTAGCCAAATGACTCCCGTAGTATTTGTACCTGAAATTATGGCTTAACCCAAACATGGTACACATACTACGTTCAGGTGTCCGCCATCTTGGTTCACATACTACGGGAGTACCCAATTTTCTCGCACATAGATTGTGTTCTTCGAATTTAGTGTGGTGGGAAAATCTTTTTCTAACTATGCGCGTTAATTGTAGTGTATAAGGGGTTCTCAAACTTTTTGTGTTGCGGAGCCCTTGAAAAAGTTGACTATTATTCACGGAGCCCCAAAATAAATGTTAAAATTGTTACTTTCCGAATAATATTTCTGAGTAAGTCAAAAGTACTGTACTTATTTTAAATGCTTAACCTCTTTTAATAGGGTTAATACAAGTCATAAATGAATCTAAATGTAAAAGATGAATTATATATACTAAAGCTGTAAACTTGATACTTGACAAACATATTAATAAATTAGGGGTCGGATCTTTTACCTTTAGATATTAAAAGGTCGCTAATAACGTACTCGATTGCATTTTGTTACGATCGCCGATTGTTTTCGTCAGCATGGCGGTGTTTATTCTCCCTAAATCAAAAATTTTCCTCGACATATACATGTATGATGTATTGTTCCACAATGACGACGAGTATTGCTTTTTTGTTCTCGTGGGGAAATATGAGTTCAATGTGAAAAACATGTTACCATATTATAGTCACCGGAGACGAAATGCTAAAAATAATAAATAATAAAAGGTAAATCCGCAACTCAAATTTCTTGATTGAAAAGCGGCATACTGAAATATTAAAACTAAAACTTAAAATGGGAGATAACACTATAAGTTTTGCTTCAGCAGACTCACGTCAGATTAAAAACACGTTCATAGACATTGTGAATCAAAAATTTGGTGTTATGTTGGGTTTTCTTTGGTTATTCGTCGTAGTAATTGCGAAACCGAAACACAGTCAATTGTGCGCGCGATGTACCTATTTTTCCATTCTGAAACTACCGACGGAGCCGCATGCAATGAAATAAATTTCAATCTTTCGTATTTTGCCTCGACCTCTTGTTTTACGGCGACATCTTGCTCGTGAGTGCGAAAGAACAAAATCAAGCTTGACAAATCCCAAGATCGCAAAAATACGACTGCAATTTATGTATAGTTGGCAGTTTTTCGCGTATTTTATGTTATTTCAGAATAGTAGTCTTTCATTTCAGTAATCCTAATAGTAAAATTAGCCAATTCAGTATTTTAAAAAGTAATCGAATAGCTCGCGGAGCCCCTGGGTTTCTCTCACGGAGCCCTGGGGCTCCGTACGGAGCACTTTGAGAATCACTGTATGTATATGATCAAATTGTTCCTAAACTCCTGAACGACAATGATTCTGAAGCAAAATATATTACACTTGTATGCTGTTTGAAGCCTTGATGTATTTATATATAGTTGTGTGCTATTTTTCTCTCGTATGGATTTATATTTATAGGAAATATTAAAACTATCTATTCGACAGGGATCAGCAGTTGGATAGGCGGCCATCCTCACCCTACGAGTGAGAGAACAAATTCGCCTATCGCGCGGCAAATTGTGTTAGATCCTATATGACTTAAGCATGTGTTAGGTATCTCTAAACCGCGACAATAATCGATACACCAGAATTTTTCTATCGACCGTTTGACTATGCATATCAGAAATACAACTCGAAACCAACCGCATTGCAGCCATATTTATTATCCTAATCAATTACTAAATACACATATGGTACAAGCTGTACGTTGATTCGATACTTGCCTGAAGCATAATCCATGTGAAAAACCGGCTTCTCTGTATGCAGCATTCCTGGGTTTATTAATATGAATGTTTTCACCGCATATATGATGAAATTTAAATTTTCCAGTAGTGCCTTTACCACCCCAATCGTTTCTCACTCTTCTCATAATTTCACTGTCCATTTTAAGAATATGTAGGCCTATATGTGAGATATTGTAACTACAAATGCGAATGACAACAGTTAGATAGATAATTACTACTAACAAAAATGTTGCTTGACTTAGGACTATACCTCACATAAACCTGCTTGTTAGTTGACATTCTTATAAATTGTTGAAACTTTAGGTACGCCATCAATTCTCCTCCAATAAACTACACCTATGTTTAAACCCCGTATCTGGAAGATATAAACCCTTTCTTAAATGTAGGTATCTTCCTGATACTAATTTCAAGTCAAGCAATTACATATCAATTCGGAATCAATTAAAATGATCTGAATAGCATGCATACATGTTCAAGACATAATCCATATGACGTCATTTTCTCACCTTGTTGACAGCTGGACTTGACAAGTCATGCCTGATTGATTAAATATCACGTGATGAGTACTGCACCCGTAGTAAACAAACTTTTGCAGAACCGTGCGAATCGCTTTTGTTTGGTGTGAAAGTGACATTTAACTCAAAATGTTTGCTGTTTTAGTTGCTGGTAGACTTGTTCAAACAGATGTACATCAAATTGAGGAAATGAAGGTTCTTTTTGATCTTGAAGATATCACAGATGCGAATCATATCGTCGTTTTTATGACGGGGCAAACTCCGTTTCCTGACGGTTTTGGCGGAGCTGTTTATCTCAATTTACCGTCCGCTTCAGGAGAATCAAACTGGCTTTTATTAGGACATTTGACCAATCAAAAACCTTCTTCAATTTACAAAATAACTGGAATCAAAAAAGATTTCGAACAAAGCACGCCAAATGTGTTTGGTTCAATGACAGCATTGCCTTCTCCGGCACAACCTCACCACGCCCAACTAGGAATTGCCGTCGAGCCATTGACGATGCTCGTTCAACAAACTCCCGTTTCTGGCATCAGTGCACCAAAAGCCACAACTCTGATGGAATTTACACAAAAAATGTTGCAAACATTTTACAATTATGCGTCATCATTTGCATGTTCTCGTGAAACAATAAGCAACAGTTTAGTTGGGTCCCCTTCTGACCAATTTGTGCCACTGAATACGCTTGATAAATGGTTTATAGAATTTCAATCTAAGTTGCAAAGAGATCCAAATTTTTGGAAATCTTGAGAAATTATATTCTGAAATGCTGTCCACCCTGGATGAGTGTGCATGGGGAAACTTGAAATGTAGCAGGTACCCAAAGTTGCTTGGAATGCATGAACATCATGAATGAGTGCTGGGATGTCAGTGATATTTTGTGTGTGAAAATGTTGTGAGTGAATGGAGTAGCACATGTCCCCAAAACAAGAACAAAGAAAAGTCTGAAAATATTACTGATTTTTGCCCTTTTCATAAATTCATTTGAATGCTACAAATGAGAATATATTTAGAGTGTAAAAACTGTAGGGGCTAGTGTAGTTTCGTACCACAAGTACTTCTAGTGGGCGTAGCATAATGATTTTTGCATATGTTTTTCCTAACCCCCACCTGACTATGCCATCCAAAGATTACGTCACTATGACCTCACAATCATGTCATAGAGCTTGCCAAAGTATAGTTACGATCGTCCAAAATGACATCTGTGCCAACGATAACGAACTCACTATCGCTAGCAATCTCCCTCATATCGGGAACGTTGCGACGAGAAAATGACTTGCTTGATTTCCAATGAACGTCTGCGCTATTTTCATGGCCGTCTATAAACTTTGTAGGGCCTAATTATTTCAACTTTTGGATAATGTAGTCAGGAGGGGGTTAGGGGTGACATATGCAAAAATTGTTAAGCCAGGCCAACTTGAAGTACATGTTGTACTAAATTACATGAGACACGTATCTGTACTGAATTTTGATTATTTTCCATTTTGAAAAATGTTTTTGTTCATACATTTGAATTACGATTGGAGTTTTACTATGCCTTCATCGTAATTTGTAAGTGCACATAATTGAAATTCACCAAGATATCAATCGTTTAACTTTTAGAATATCTTATTTTTAAATCGTATCATTATTTCCATAAGAAGCTATCAGTTAATATTGAAAAGAAATCGAATTTGGTTATTGGTATATCAACTTGATCAAATCAAAAAGTGAGATTATTTTTGCAACAAATGGGTACATGTGGAAGGGAAGATCGTGCAATCATTCCATCATTAAATGTCTTTGTTTTTGTATGAGTTGAGTGAGGAAGTGTCTAATTTTATATATCTCGATTAGATTTGCGTCTCTGATATTGTGGATGATTTGCTACGTAAAATTGTAATTGTGGAAAAATATTTTGTGGTAAATATCACTTCTATAGTCACAAACCTGACTATGCCTATGGAGATGATATTCATAAGTTCATAACAAACTATTTTTTTCAGTAGCTAAATTTTGAATAATTGTAGAATGTGTTTTATATTTTCTAGTTTCTCATTTATCATGCAATATTGTATATTTGCAATGTGAGAAAATTTTTGTTGCAATCTGTATGGTTTTATGCCTGACTTGTTATAATCGTTGCTGTCCTGACTCCTGATTGGTATGGGTATATAAACATAAATTATTGTCTTAGTAAACTCGCATCCGGATTTCCTTTACTCTCGATGTCACATTGAAACAACTACCGTAAATATGCATTATGCATATAAATTGAAATATCTACATTGATTCTTGAATGAAGAAATCCGAATTGACAAGCTATTTTTAGAATTAAATCTATACTTTTTCACCATAGCTGTTCATTTGTGGTATATACCACATCACTTTAGCATAGTCTGTTCTAATCTATCTTTTGTGTCTTTGATTTGATCTCATTATGTTAAATGATATTTTTTAATTACACACTTATTCACATCTATCGCTTCGAGCAAGATCCCATACGAGCATCTCATGATTTTTAACAATATGTAAGGATATCTTGAGTAGACCGAATTTTCTGTGGTTCAGCATTGCCTGCTCAATTTATTACACTCCGGGTGAGGTGTTGTCCTGGGAATCGAAACCCGAGATTGTTACTTACTTGTGATGTCAATACATTCTTAACATTTTAACCATTAGCCATCAATCCTACGATCTTTGGATGATTTTCGTTTGATATTTTTTTCTTTGTTTTTGACATGTTTTATTAAACTTTTTTTTGATCATGAAAGTATTCAAAATATAAACAGTTGCTCATAGTAATCACAAAGCAATTTGATACCATTTATATAGTGTATAGTTGCATTATTATATTCATAGGCTTGTCTTCATGGATTTCTTCACTAAATCTAAAACATAGTTGCAGAAATACATTTGTGTTAGTGTGCAGCAGGACTCTAAAATTGCATAGTTATTGGCATTCCCAATTATGAATGCTTGCTCTTGATTTTGTTTTTATTTGTCAATAATAGTCATTAGTCTGTTTTATTCATGTTCATAGGATCTTATACAGTGTGACCAAAAAAACAGACTAAGTCAGGGGGTGTGCAACCTTAAATACAGAAGGGCCAGATACAAATACCTGGGTGAAACATCTTCATTTAACTTAGACTCCAGTAGTTGCACAAAAATTTTGGTTATTGATCTCATGACATGCGTTGTTCGCCCGCTTCGCATAAGCAAGCTGTTACGGCATTGTTACGTCATAGGCATACGGTAGATAATAAATTGGACTCAGGTATAGGCTTGAAATTACAGATTGAACTAAATTAAAAACTTGTGCCGCATCCGCACAATTTTTATTTGTGGGCCGCGTTTGGCCCACGGGTCGCAGCTTGCACACTCCTGAACTCAGTAATTAAACTTATGTGTTCTGTTTTTTGAGTCACCTGATATAAGTTTCTATGGGAAAAGGAGAAATTAACAACATTACCGTACATCTTGAATTTGCAATGTAGCATTGATTCACTGCTTTCAATCACCTGTCTATCAACATGAATGTGTTAACTCCTTTGCTGGAAAAATTTTTCATATTTCATCAAATTTTTAATAAATTTTTTCTCAGATTCATAACTGATTTTGCTTCATTGTGCTTGCAAAATATGGGAGACTCTGGTTTTAATAAATTTCAGTTTTCAATTGATAGAGGTGGAACATTCACAGATGTCTTTGCAAAATGCCCAAGTGAGTCAAATGTTTACCATTGATATTTGTTTAAAAGTAGATTCAAAATCGAAGAAACTTTTGCAGGTGTTTCCTCAACTTTAAATAAAATAAATCCAACATTGCATACAAAATATAAATAATTGCTGAAAATATTCCAATAAGCAATGATCAACCATGTTACAATGTCTCTGAAATACATAAATTTTTTCAATTTGCACATGTACTGTTATAATCAATAAGGTGGGATTGTTTGTTTTAGATGGGAAAACCAGAGTGATGAAACTGCTGTCTGTGGATCCAAATAATTATGCAGATGCTCCAACAGAAGCTATTAGAAGGATATTGGAAGATGTATTCACCGTTTAGTTAGAATTATCTTTAATAGCCTATACTGTATAGGCGTTATCCTATTATTTTTTTTATATCAATTACAACAATATTTGCTGTCCTGAGTCTGTATTACACATATGATATCATTTTGTATACTTCTTCATAATCAGGTAGAATTTGATGGGCAGAGTGGCCTACTTGTTAATTAGACTCGAATGCGGTGTCATCACAATTTAAAACCTAAGGATTAACTCCCATTCGCACCATTTTACCCATTCAATCATATATTAGATAGGTTTTTACACAGTTCTGATAATTTTCGGGTTGCACAACTCGCCGTCGTGCCTCCTTTAGGAACCGATGGGGTAGACAATGCCAAATCTGAAAGATTACATTCCTTCTGAAATAAAGTAGCTTTTTAATTTAATATAAGTGGCAGAGCTCGGTTCGGAACGAAAGGCGTATAACTATGTTGTATACAAATAATTATGCAAATGAATTACAAATATGTATCCTACCAATACCAACAAGATTTCTATGTTTTTGCTAACTTTATAATTCATTTTTTCTTAACAGGAAACTGGAACAAAAATGCCACCTAGCAAACCAATTGATACATCGGAGATTGATTTTATACGCATGGGAACAACTGTAGCTACGAATGCTTTGCTTGAAAGGAAGGGTGAACGAATGGCACTGGCTATAACAAAAGGATTCAAAGATTTGCTCTATATTGGGAATCAATCAAGACCCAAGATTTTTGATTTGGTATGTTGTTATTAAGATCATGCATAAGAATCCTGTAAAGCAGACGTCTCTGGACTCTCTCAAACATGTCACAATGTTTCAAAAATCAAGTTTTTAGTGTATTCTAAATAGTTTCTCAATAGGTCATGACAATTTAGAGATTGTGACTTTCTTTTGAGATTTATCCCAGGGGTGGGGAAAGTTGAGAAGAATGGTCAATCATATGATGGCAAGCCACGGCCTCTCATCAATTGACCAGTTCATCTCGGGTATGGGAGTAGTTAATCAGTTTCAAATGCATGAACTTAATGAAGTTTCGGGAACCACCCTATGGCGACATGAAGATGAGCAACTCTCTTGAACATTATTATTCTCCATGTGCCACAGAATTTTCAAAATGAGAGCTTGTGGTGGCTGGTGGGATAAACACAGGTAATGATGGCAGGCATATTCCTAGCACTCAATACAATGCGCCAACCGCAGATTTTTCACTCAGAGTGAGTGAGTGCATGGAGAAGTGAAAAATACTGAAATTGTTTAAAATATGAATTCACAGAAAATTGAAATACCTGATGTTCTTTATGAAGAATTAGTTGAAGTTGATGAAAGGATAATACTCCATCAAAAACATTGTGAATTAGGATTGAATGAACCAATTCGCGGTGAACATACTGATGAAAAGGTTAGTTTGATTTATTAGAATGAATATTACCATTTTCATGAGAAATTGAACCTTGAAACAGAATAATCTTGTATGTTCACACTGAGAATATTGTCACGGCCTTCAGGCGTCAATGACATAATGAAATTTGAAGAGGAGATTAATAACATGATTAGGTATACATGATAACAATGATATCATCTATTCATTGGATAAAAAAATCTTGAAAAATCTCAAATTTTGGAGCAAAAAATTTAAAGAAAAATGAATTCGGAATTACTTAAAATCAAATTAGTATAATTTAGTTTTTTATTTGACGTTTTCGTTCCGAGCAACACTGTTATATTGCTTGTCTGAGGAAGTCTGACAAGGCCAGATGATAAATACTCATAACTCTTGTATTACATAGTGTAGTCATGTTCATTCCCGCTGTTTCATTCATTTTAGTTACATGTTACGCAAGAGGTCGATGAAGTCACATTACGCAAAGATCTTCAATCTGTATTAGATAAAGGAATTAAAAGTCTTGCAGTAGTCTTGATGCATTCATACTTGTAAGTTAGAGAATTCTTTATTCAATGATCAAAGGATTTCATCAAATTAGTCAATTACCTTTGCTTTGTGAATCTGATTTTTTTTATTCGCCCACCAAAATTTCTTTTTTTAATCCAGTGCAAAATATTTTCAGACGTCAAGTCTTGTGATTCAGTGTATTTCTAACTACATAGGAAATAAAACGTTTCCTTTCAATTTTAAGATCAATATTCCACATTGAACAAAATTACATTCGAGAAATGTCATTTTGGATGTTCTAGCCTTGTCATTAACTGGAAACATTGATGCTAATTTAATTAAAGCCTGAATTTTTAAAATAAAAAATAATAGTTTTATACCAAATCTATCATTTTGAATTTGCTGATTTGCTATATTATTAAATGAAATTATGGTGTTTTTAACAATTCTGGTCCTTTTCCAATTTATTTGAATGACTGAAATCTTCACATTTTCTGACAGTCATGGACAGTCATACTTTCACTAATCATTCAAAAATACTTACTGTTCATCCTACATTTTGTCGTCAAAGGTATCCTAATCATGAAAGGAGAGTTGGTGAAATTGCAAGTGAGATGGGTTTCACTCAGGTTTCTTTGTCATCTGTCGTCATGCCAATGGTGAAAATTGTTTCAAGAGGATTTACAGGTAGGTTATTGGTATATATCATTTACCAGTGGTTTACGTAACTGCTGGTTGGTTACAGCTTCCTCCACCATCGGGTCTATGCATCTGAAACAGATTATTGGCTAACTAACCCAATATGATACCCAACATGGACTGGTATTCGGACGAGAGGCCGTGGTTCGTCATATAATTAAGCCACTCGGCTTCTTCTCCCCTGGGATAAATATGTACCGGTAAATCCTATCCTATCCTACATAATTGTTGTACATGATTTTCTTCACCGAGGTACTTTAAATTGTATTTGTTTTGTTATAGCTTGTGTTGATGCTTATCTCACTCCTTGTATTAAACAATATCTCAATGGATTCCAGTCAGGATTTGATGAAAATTTGAAAAATGTGAAACTGTTATTCATGCAATCAGACGGCGGTCTCACTCCTGTTGACAAGTATGTTATTTATTCATATTTTTCATACAATGTCATTACCTCTATTAGATTAGTCTCTATAGGCATATGAGACTATTTTAGTTGAAAGAACTTAAAATTTTCTCAACGTCAACTGATCACTTGGGCAGTGTGATGGTGTAGCGATTAAAGGTATAGCTGTTTTGGCATCACAGATTACACATCTCTGTTTCAAATCTCATGCCTCACCCAAGGGGGTAGCCAGGGTGGTTGAGGGTCGGAACCCCCCCTTTTTTTGAAATGTGAAAAACAGCATTTTTCTGTATCATACGGGGAAATTTTCGTAGCTTGAAACGTTTTTGGATCCTGAAGACTCTTGAAAACCCACCCGGCAAGGTCTTACGGTCTAACTCGACAATTAGAAATTTCAGAAACCCCTACCCCCCTCTGAAAATTCCTGACTACGCCCTTGCCCCCACTTCACCCAGGGTGTAATAAATTGGGTTGACAATGCCAATTCTTCTAAGTACCATAATAGTAACTCTTTATATAGCATAAAATATCAGTGGAACCATTTAAGGCCTTGTTTGGAGCGATAGGCGCTGTATAAAAAAATTCAGAACGTGGAACTGGAAATATTGAAATCTTTACACAGATAGTCTAACATTATTCATTCCGGATTGGTGTTTGATGACCGATTTGTTCGAGTATTGCAACATTTTGGTCAAGAGGCCGACGAGACACGCAGTTCATGTAATGTCATCCTACTCGACGGCATGCTCGAATTTCCGTTCGAGTACTGCAGCGTTTTTGACTAGAATCTTATGGTCGACTACCGAATTGTTTGAGTATCAAGTCGTTCGACTACCGAGGTACAACTGTATAATACTTCGATCAGTCTTTTATGAAATACAAAAAGTTTCGAACAGACAAGCCATTCTAACACTTCATATCTTGTCCTTAATAGTATTACCGGTAAGTACTATTTTCAATTTTTAGGAATAAAATAAAATCAACAGTATTTTTTAGATTTACTGGAAGTAAAGCAATATTATCAGGACCAGCAGGAGGAGTTGTTGGTTATGCATTGACAGCTTATTCTGATGAAAATAAGTTACCTGTTATTGGTTTTGATATGGGAGGTATATCTGATTTTATTCATTATGTTTTTATTTGGAAAGCTTTTATCGAAACAATAAAGATAAGATTTACATATTTATCCAGGGGGAGAAGAAAGCTGATAAGATGACTTAAAGCCAATATGGCGAACGACGGCCTCTTGTCCGGTTACCAGTCCATCTTAGGTATGGGATTAGTTAGCCAGTTATTTGTTCTCGGACGCAGGGACTTGATGGTGGACCAGTAACTGACCAGTTGGTTATGTGAATCTCCCTATGGCGGCAAGGAGTCCAGCAATCCTCTCTCATATAACTATACCTGCATGGAATTCGATCCTGCGAACCCACGCAGGGTAATCAGAGGTGCGGTGGGGAGCGTATTTCTAACGCTTAGCACGGCGATAAGTAACTTTCGTTCTGTGTTGCCTAGGTACATCGACTGATGTTAGTAGATACGCTGGACAATATGAACATATTTTTGAAACAACAACTGCTGGAGTTACAATCCAAGCACCTCAGGTATTTCCAGTTTCATTTCTACTGTGTAATGATAGCAATAGAAAGATTTAATTCAACTCAACAATTTGGTAGTACTATGTAACTGTAATCGCCATTAGGCTCAACTATGATGATCACAAATCAAAATCCTGGGTTCTAATCCCATGCTCACCACCTCACCCAGAGTGCAATAAATTGGATAGGCGATGAGAGTTCCAGTCCTCTCAAAATAAAACAGCTCCTTAGGTATCAGTAGCTTGTGTCTTTGTTCAGAGACATATAAATGGACTCTTGCAATTGGATGGTTCAATATTGTTGAATTATAAAATACTTTATATATATTTGATAAGATATGGTGCAATATAGAGGCTGACCCCAAAAGAAGTTCATTTATAACAAACCTTGTGTAAAACGTTCTAGATTACAAAGACTTTTGGTTACAATCATACACAAACAAAATTTTTGAATAAATTTCCTCATTTTTGATTTTCAAAAGAGTTTTACAGAAAAAGATGAATGAAAGAAAGCACAGGGTGTGCACACCCTGTACTTTCTTTCATTCATGTTTTTCTATGTAAATCTATTGAAAATCAAATTTTTGTAAAGCAACCACTAAATTGTGTTTTGTTGGACAGTTGGACATCAACACTGTGGCAGCGGGAGGGGGATCGATGTTGTTTTTCCGTAGTGGATTGTTTGTTGTTGGTCCCGAGTCAGCTGGTGCTCATCCTGGTCCTGCTTGTTACAAGAAAGGTAAGCAGGGTAATATGAATAGAATCAATGTTTGCACTCCACAGGGTGATTAGAATATTTGGTGACATAAGATAAGATTTAATTTTCATATTTATCCCGGAGGAGGCTCAATCATATGACGAACCATAGACCCTCACCTGGTTACCTGTCCATGGGAATAATTATCTAGTTATTTGCTTCGAAGAATGGATATGATGGTGTGGTAAGCCATAACTGACCAGCGATTGCTATGACCGCCAAACTATTTTATTTGAATTTGCTGATTTCATTTTCGGCAGATTTTTTCTCGCACCATCTTTCCCCTAATCAAAGATGTGCACTGCTGCTTTAGTGAATTTATACATGAAAAAATTGTGAAACGAGTTTAGTTTGCCATAATTTCAAACATCACATATATATCGCTGAAATGTCAATATAAAAGTGGATATCGGGTACTTGAAGCTTTATTATGAATTGTCGTTCAAATACCAGGTATAATGTTGATCTTATTTTCATTTCAGGCGGTCCCTTGACTGTCACTGATGCCAATCTATGTCTTGGACGACTTTTACCAAGGTAATGTCTGACACCACATATTAAAATTGCTATATGTTATTCCACAATAGTCCATCAACATAAATTAGCTACCTAAATTACATAATTGTTGATTTGTTGTTTAGGGGCTCCCGAAGTATGCGAACCAAGATGGCGGACATCGGAATGTAATATGTGTACTAGGTTAGGGTTAGGCCATAATTTTAGGTATAAATACTACAGGAGGCTCTTGGCTAGTATTCGAACTGATAATAGGACTAAAATAAGGAAAATTGGGAAAAAATTATCGCCTAACCCTAACCTGTTACCCATGTTACGTTCCGATGTCCACCATCATAGTTCGCATACTTCGGGAGCACCGTTGTTTATGCTGTCAATCTGTCATTCTTTTTTGAAATTCCAGTCATTTCCCAAAAATCTTTGGACCAAAGGAGAATGAAGCACTTGATATTGCTGTAACAAGACAAAAATTTACTGAGATGACCAAAGAAGTGAATCAGTTCATGAAGTCACAAAATTCAAGCCATACCCAACTCTCCATCGAAGAAGTAGCAATGGGTTTTATAGAAGTTGCAAACGAATCTATGTGTCGACCAATCAGAGCCCTCACACAGGTGAGTTTTTTCATCTCGTCTGTTTTTTGTGAGATCTTAATTATGATTATCAGTGTTCCTCTAAATCAGGGGTCGGGAACCCATGGCTCGCGAGCCATATATGGCTCTTTTGGTGACGGCATATGGCTCCCAGAAAAATATAATATTCTAAGACTAAGCTTACTATTGTTACGAGATCCCAAACTCGTTTATAGCCGAATTTGGCAGGAAATTCCCAATACGTTTCAGAACACGCGCCCAGCACATGTCTATGTTATGTAAGATATTACTAGACAGGCATTGTGACAAACAAGGGGATTCTGGAACATATATTGTGACATCACAAAGCGATATAGTTTTAAAAACACTACGGATATGTCTAAACGAAAAAGGCTGATGAGTATCGTAGATTTCAACTTGGGCTGCGTGGGAGCAACCGTTCAAGACCCGCAGCGACTACATGCAGCATCAGAAATCACATTAAATGTATATTGACATTATATGTGTTGACTTTTGAGTAAACATTTCAGGCCTGATTAAGTGAAGAAATGGTATATGGCTCGCACGGAAATGCAATTGAAAATATGTATATTTTATGGCTCTCTTGACCAAAAAGGTTCCCGACCCCTGCTCTAAATTTTCTACTAGATAACTTTTTTTTATGAGGAATTTAAAACCATGGACAAGGCTCTGTATAAGCAAACACAGCTAGGTGAGGAGCTGTTATAATTTGGGAGGACAGAAATCTTTACGGTTCGGCATTGCCTACCCAATTTATTATACCCTGGGTGTAGTGGTTGGCACATCAATTTTGTGCTGCAATGGTATTACAGTTAAGCCTAACTACTAGACTATGTCGTTGACATGGTGTGTGAGGAACTTAACACCCATACACACAAGTCTGTAGTTTTAATATCTGTCATCAGCTGAAATATGGGCCTAGCTTCCTAATAAAGCAATATGACTTTGAAGAGAAAGAATGACTTTAAGGGGTAACGTCAGCAGGGTTAAATTTAATATTTGTTTTACCTAGATTTTAACACAAATTACCACAGTAAGTGTATATATATATTTATATAAATGTTAAACTGCTTTGGTTGGTTCATCTCCTATTTTTCTGTTTCTGGGCTTTCTACTTGACCAAACTTTAAATTTAGTTTAGTAAGTAGACCCAATTATACGCTGCATAAAAGTTATAATTTTAAACCAATTTAATCTTTTGTATTTCAGGCGAAGGGACATGATACTTCACGTCATGTACTTGCATGTTTTGGAGGAGCAGGAGGACAACATGCCTGTGCCATTGCAAGATCTTTGGGAATGTCCAAAGTTTACATACACAAGTAATATCTTAATCCTTTAAGAATCCAGACTACCAAGCCATTTCGTGTGGTCCTTGTCAACACTCGGATTTTTGCCCATCAAGCATAGGATTGAATCCGACAGTTTATGTTTAGAAAGTCGCCCATATGGGTTAAAATTCTTAATGTCTTTTTCTCTTGCCCTTAACTTTTCACCGTTTTTCCTCGGTGCCTTTATTACTGTGAGGCTATGTAAAAGATGCATTCTCTCTCTTCTCTTGCCTTTCTCGGAGAAAAATCTAAATTTTCGTTTGGCCCGGCTGAATGTCTGAAGTTGCAAAAAACATGTTAGACTCAATCACTTTAGCGTTGTACATTACTCATCTCGAGTTTAAATTCCATGCCCATCCGGCTGCCACCCATGTTGCAAAAATTGGGTAGACAATACACATAAAAAAGCGAACGATCTTTCCAAAATAATAGCTATGTGACTTTGATTATCTGTGACTGCTTTACAGGGCCTTGTTCGGAGCAGAAAGCACGAACAAGCTTGATATAAAAAGATTTTTGTTTTCATATTTATACAGTTGAAGATTTCATTATTTAACATCTTGAACTTATATTTCAGATACTCTGGTATTTTATCTGCATATGGGATGGCACTTGCTGACGTAGTACATGAAGCACAAACTCCTGCTTTATGTGAATATAGCAAAGGTGGGATGGGAAAGAGAATATGGTTTTATGGAAAATGCCAAGAAATAATAGTACAATGATGTTGACAGTGATTATCAGTTTTTGTAAATGATTATTGTAATAATAAGACGAAATTTGGACATTTCATCTCCAAATTTTATTGATAAATACAGATTTCTGTGCCATTTTAATTTTGATCAAGGTTTTTACTTTCATTCATGGACGAGATTGAGAGTGATATATAATGGTCATTGAAGTGTATATTCAAAAACCTAAGCCAGTCGTTCCCAGCCTTCATCCAAATGGCATTTAGCACTTTTATGACTAAAAAAATTTAATTTAACATAACATTATTTCTCCAGAAATTATTTCAAATATGCACTAATGAAAAAACAGCGCTTGTTTGGCATCAGCAGGGTTTTGAAATCGTTATCAGACCTATGCAATTGCTATATGTTGACATGCAAATGATCTTATTGCTCTCTGATTTTGAAAATAGCATAGATTCTTATATAGATTATAATACAGATGGCAAATGACATGAATTGATACCTCAATTATGCACTTAACTTGGAATTGACAAAAGGGATATGATAATTCTTAGGATAGAAATTTCATATTTTATCCTTGGGAAATCCTATAATATGGCTTAATTATATTGCAAAACATTACCCTGTTACTGGCCATGCAGAGTAAAGAGATGGAAGATGGCAACTACCCATTCTTGATTCTTAGCTTCTCTTTTAACAGAAAATGTATCGTCCATTGATTCCCAACTTGAAAGTTTGATTAAACAATGTACAGAAGAATTATTAAGTCAAGGATTTAAGAAAGATCAGATCAATTGTGAACCTTTTCTAAACCTAAAATACGACGGTACTGACTGTGCATTGATGTGTTCACCCCATGGTACAATGATGAAGAGAAACACTTCAACTCATGGAGATTTTCTTTCTACTTTTACTTCAAGGTATTAGACACAATATTATTTTCTAAATTTTGTTAAATCATAGTCAAGCCTAATGCGTTAAATCAGGGGTGTGCAACTTGTGGACCATGGGCAAAATGCGGCCCACAGGGAAAAATTTTGAACCTGTGGAGAATTGTGAATTTATAATGGTGTGTGGCCCGCGAAGTGAGTTTTTAATTTAGTTTAATCTGGTTCATGCGAGTAATTCAAATCCCTTTGCGTTGCAAAGCCTAAACCTGGGTGCAATTTATTATATTTGCCGATGACGTTACAATGCTCTAACAGCTAGCTTGTGCGAAGCGAACAACACAATTCACATTCCTGATTTTTTGTGCCTGCAATTTCTAGAAAGTCTATGTTAAATGTGACCCACAGTTTCACCCAGTTGTTTGTATCTGGCCCTCCTGTATTGAAGATTCACACCCCTGCTTTAAACTGTGCCTACAACCATGCTTTATGATTGGAGGAATCAGTCCAGTTAGTTATTTAGTGTTTTCTTCAGGCGCTCTGCGATGTGATGAAGAATTTAGCCATACTTTGACATATTATAATCCATCCTTATGAGTCTGAAATTGCAAACTCTTCCTGTTTAATTTAGTGATTAATCGTTTACAAAATCTCGCCTCAAATAATCAAGTTACCACTTTTTAATAAAATTTTTATTTCATATTCAGGTACAAAACAGAATTTGGTTTTATAATCCCTGGTAGAAAAGTAATGGTGGAAGACATCAGAGTACGAGGTACTGCTAATTATGGAGTTGGTGATGAGAATAAAAAAGAAAAAAGTGGAAAACCACCAAGAATCGAAACGGTACGTTAATAAATACTGGTTTTGAAATCAGTAATGAAACGTTATATTACCCTTATTCATACCTCACTCTCTGAACAAATCCCTGTATAAGCATCTACTGCTACGCTGCTGTTTCTCGAACGACCATAATCTTCATGGATCGGCATTTCATATCAAAATTTATTACACCCTGGTTGAGATAAACTATGATACCAACACATCAAAATTTAATGCTTAAATTGCTAGAACATCATGCATACAGCTGGTTACCTTCCCATTTTTTTAATTCAATGTTATGTATTTCGTGCATGGGTTGCAGGTCTTTTCAAGTGAAGTAAAAATTGGATAATAGCAGGATTTAGTTTTATAAATATAGGTAATTTACATCTGAAAAAAGATAATTTGAATTATCGAGATTTCCAAAAATATCTAATCAAGTACATAGCTTAGAATTCGAATTCATGATCACAGCCATAAAATAAGTATCGGTAACTCCTCACAAGCACACTGTCTGTCGGTACAGAGCTTGTTATAGTCAAAAAAAATAAGAAGCTAGAAAAACTACGAATTAAAATCAAGGTTTTCAAAGTCCCATGAATACCACCGTAATGCAAGAAAACATCCAAATTTATAACTTTCAATTTTTTAATATTCCCTGAAATATTCATTAGCGGTAAATGTATCTGTTTTATCATTTCTTGAATTACTTTTTTCATACAGACAACAAATTGTTATTTTGCTGGTGGAAGTAAAGACACAAAAGTGTATTTACTTGAAGATCTATATTCTGATCACACAATCACGGGACCAGCGATAATCATTGATAAGAATAGTACAATATTAGTTGAACCTGACTGTACTGCGGTTATCACAGATGAAGGTAGGAAAAATTGTTTTTTTTGTAATAATTATGATTATTGGATGTTTCCCTGAACGTCAACTCTTTTTGTTTATTTCTGTAATATTGGACAATCAGCAGGATGTCAACTGTGATGTAACAATTGAAAAATGGCTTAGACAAATTTTCAGATTGGTTGTAAAAATCACCTTATTTTCATTATTTTGCTAGCCATCTATTTCTATTTGTGTTTCCGACATTATGGTTTAAATCAAATAGCTCAATTATCATTCTGTCTTTGGAGAAGTATTATTTAATTATAGTAATCAAAAATTAGACAAAAATGATCTGTGAGGCTACGCTACGCTAAAATTAGATACCTGTTCTTCGAATGATCTTCAGGTGATATTTGCATTACCATTGGCGATGGGATTCACAAGAAAGTTGACACTGAACTGGATTCAATCCAACTCTCAATATTTTCACACAGGTAAAGATTATGTTATGTTAGGATATAGAACTTAGCGGGCTGGTTGGTGTGACAGTAGCATATAAGGTTGGTAATCAATAAGCTTGACGCAGCATAGATTCGACTCTTGTTGAAGATGACGGAAGATTAACATGAGCACCAACTGTAATTAACACTGAAAGTAAATTACAAAAAAGCTTCATCATAGCATATAGCTGCCAGTGACCTTAGCATTTTCACCTGTAGCACTAGAACAAGTGAATAATTTGTAACTCCTTGTTATATATGAATGTACTTTCTTGATAGTGAAATACAGACACAGTTTATTCAATTCTCGTTTATGAAAAGCAAAATTTGAAATCTGTTCCAATTTTTCAGATTCATGAGCATTGCTGAACAAATGGGAAGAATCTTGCAAAGAACTTCCATATCCACAAATATAAAGGTTTGTATGGGGTTATTATCAAATATAATTTGTTGTTTTGTAACCTTTCTTGGTTTTATTAGTCTTCTCTCCTAGGTTATTACTTGTCTTTACAATTTTTCAGTATATTTCAATACCTGCTATTAAAACTTTTATTTGCTCCATTCTCAATAAGACTCCCCACATTTTATATTTCGGAAATAGTTGTCTGTTGTTGAATTCTTAGGGATTGATATTTATTTGGCACTATTGGTGATTGTTGAAATTATTTATTGTCACAATCACCACATTTTCGTCAAACTGGGTTTGTCTTTGTCGCTGAACGAAGTAACAGTAAAACATAAATGAGGAAACACACACAGGAAGAAGTTTGGCGTCATCGTACTATAGCCTAAAAGTTAAATTTTTTTCTTTTTCAGGAACGTCTTGATTTCTCTTGTGCATTATTTGATCCTGATGGTGGACTTGTATCTAATGCTCCTCATATTCCTGTTCATCTGGGTGCCATGCAAGAAGCAGTTCAATACCAGGTAATTCTTGAAATAATCGGCCGAAGGCGAGTTTCCTTGCTGCCATAGTGTGGTGGCTAACATATCCTATACATGACTGGACCGACATGGACTGGTAACCAGACGAGAGGCCGTGGTTCGCCATATGATTAAGCTGTCTTATCAACTTTCCTCTCCCCCGGAATAAATATGTAAATCATATCCTAAGATAATTCTGTCCTATCGTATTTGTGTTAATGTCATACAAAATGTTTTAATATGTTTGATATTAGCAGTAAAAAATGCTAACAAAAACAAACAGTCTTATACAATATAATAATGGCAACAGTCTGAGGTCTGTCGGCTGAGGTTAAAACAGACTCTAGTTTCTCTGGAGAGCACAAAAATATCTTACTCGAGTGGTCCGCCATCCTATTACTCTATAATTCTCATAAGTTTATATTGTTATTAAATGCAGATGAGGGCTCTTGGAGACGATTTGAAAGAAGGAGATCATATTCTATCAAACCATCCTTGTGCTGGAGGAAGTCATTTGCCTGATCTTACTGTCATTACACCGGTATGTTTTCTTATTTATTTATGAATATTAAGACATTCTTTGTGACCTGTTTGTTGCCTCTTTACAATTTATAAACACAAAAAACACATCTCAAACAAGTTTACTTTTGGAAATTTGGATGTTGTTGATTTTAACTAATATTAATGAACTTGCTCAGAAAAAAGAACTTTACTATCAATTTATCAGCTTTCTATATATCTGTGGGCTTGTGGATCTGTATGTATATATTGTTACAATAGAGATGACTATTCTATGGGATTGAAGTGTCTGGTCAAATGGAACATCACACAAATGTTTACGTTTGTGTTGCAGCGAGACTCGCACGGATCAGTGGTTCTCAAACTTGTTAGGCCGCGCCCCTTTTTATAATTTGTCAAGTCTCGCACCCCACCTCAAAAATAACTAACAATAAGCTCCAATTATCAGATAGTAGGGCAAAAGTATGTTTCATTCAAAAAACACTTTGAAAATATGTGGATGGAATATGTGGCAAGATCAAATCTAACAAATTTTCTTATTGTTAATGAGCTTCACGCCCCCTCAAAAAATTGTCAATGGCCCCCTTGTCGGGCGTGCTGCACTGTTTGAGAACCACTGGCATAGATTCTTTTATGATTGTTTCAATGTCAAGTTTTTAATCTTATTTGACACTCTGACACTTTTATTTATACTGTGCACTGTTATTCAGTTTGAAATTATATATTTGACAGGTATTTCATCCGAGCAAATCAAAACCTATATTTTTTGTTGCAAATCGAGGACATCATGCTGATATCGGTGGTTTAGTTCCAGGTTCAATGCCTCCTAATTCCAAATCAATCCATGAAGAGGGTGCCGTATTTATTTCTTTTAAACTTGTAAAAGATGGAATTTTTCAGGAGAAACGTAAGGAGAGGTTTTTGTTTTCTTTTTACCTGATTCATTTAATCATAATGCGGGCTGAGTGACACGAAGGAAGTGTGCAATATTTTTTATCAATAAGTTTATCACTCCATATACTCAAATTAACAGTGGGCTTGACACCGTAATCCACATAGCCCTGGAATGATGCCCGATGGCCTTCCAGAATTTACATCGGTTTCGCACTATATATGGCTATCGCTATATACCAATGGGCCAAAAATTTTGCCCACCTAGACTGGCGGGCATTAAAAGTGTGACATAAAAGTTACATTTTATGAACAATATTTACAGTGTTACAAATGCAAGAGTGGAAAACAATAAGCCTTGTGACTAAACTAAATTTGATCACAATCTCAACAAATTCCTTAAGCTATTTTTTAGCATAAACATTTTTGTTTCAGTTTGGTTGTGGCAGAATCAGGCGGGCCAGATTGAATTTTCCAACTGGACAGATTTGGCCTGCGGCCTGTAGTTTGCCCATGTCTGGTTTAATATGTAACTCCTTATATATAAATGTATCTTGATAGAGGAATACGGTTCAGTTCCTTTCAATGACATAGTAAACTAGTTTTTTCATAATTTTGCCATCTTATAATGTTCGTAATTTTTGTAAAACTCTTACATAAAGACATTGATAGGAAGGATTGTACTCCGATTAAAACGTTATTAAAGAGGTAAAAAAATTTGGATCATGTTTTTGCATTTTAGTAATAACTAGTAAAACTGTTTTTGTTCATATTTTAGAGGTGTCAAAAGTTCTAAAGACTCCAGTAAAAAAAATTCCTGGCTGCAGTGGAACTAGGAATCTTCATGATAATCTAGCTGATTTAAGAGCGCAAGTTGCAGCCAATCAGAGAGTATGTTTTGAATATATATTTTCTATACCATCTCGCTTAACAACCTCATATTCAGAGAATAATATTCTGAATTATTATTTGTCACAGTTGAAACATATTATATGCTAATCACAGTTATGTGTTTTATTCAATAAGCAGTTTTTTAATAAATTGTTTGGATTTTTTAATAAATTGTTTGGTTATACATATTGTTGCAAAAAGCGATCTCTGAGACAAATTTAACAACTATTTATAATACACAGTAGGTATACAGTAATTTTTTGTAAAATGTTTTTTGACTATTCTTGTATGTTGCCAACATTTTCATATCTAATTGAATTAGCTTTAAATTTTCTTAAACTATCTGTAATTTGGTCGTGACTAATATATTATCGCCAACTTCTGTTATTCGGTATGGCAGTGAATATGCCATTTCCCCCTCAATTACATTTGGTTTAGAAATTTATTCCAGGGTATAAAGTTAGTCACAGAACTGATAGATTACTACGGATTAGAAGTTGTTCAGGCATATATGAAACATATACAAGAAAATGCTGAAGTTGCTGTTCGAGATATGTTGAAAGATATTGCACAAAAAAATAAAGAAAAATGTGAGTAATGATTATAGTTAATATCAGTGTCAAAATTATATTTTTTATGGTGACCTTCAGATAGAATGATGCACGATTATTTATAATTCTTTGCAAACAGGAAAATTGCATGAAATTGATTTAACCGGATCTTAAATTTGTAAAATTACATGTGTAATTAATCATAACTTTCGGATTCAGTATGCAATTTCTGTTATACTCCACTACCGGTATATGTTGCGCAATTTGCTAGCTATGCATTAGGAACAGTTATCATCATGCCGTGCTCTTAATCATGTAGGGGTAATGATTCGAGGATTGTTGAACTCCCCAATGCCATATTTGGTGGTGGGGGGTTGTTAGGGGGGGTGCCGTAGAAATGTTGTTTCTCACTTGTCACATATACATTTGGTTCGAGTGATACAAGTGTGGACAACTGGGGCAAGTATTGTGAAGTGGGACAATTGTGCTACAAGTGGGACATAACATTTTTGTACACTGGTCACAAGTTGGATCACAATACCTCTGATTGATTACGGCTTTCTCGACCATTCAACTTCATACATTTGTAACAAAGTCATTAGATAATAAACTATTCACATACCAATCAAGTATGGATGAATGATACCTCGATGACAGGCAGTGGTTTACCATATGATTTAGCTACCTTACTGACTTACAATAAAAATGTGAATTTTCTATCATTTTTTGAATTTAGACAATTCATCTACTGGTTTAACAACATTGGAATCAGAAGATTTCTTGGACGATGGTTCTTGTATAAAACTTAAGATTGAATTGGATGGAGGAAAGGTGATAATCTTTCTTTCATAACTTGAAGTTGCTTCATATATTAAAATATCATATAGCAGATTTTCATTTATTGAAATATCAATGTACCAGCAAAAAGAATCTGGTAATTTGTGTATATCAAATCTAAATCGATTGTAAATTAAAATTGATTATTAAAATTTGTTAAGATGTTGATAAAATTTTATAAAGGCGAGCATTTTGTTGTTTTCATATTACGTCGATTGCTCGTGACTAACGATATGCATCGAGCTGCTGTATATTTGGAAGGACCGAAATCTTCCCGGTTCGGCATTGCCTACCCATTTATTACACCCTGGGTGAGGCGGGGGTCATGGGGCCTGCTCCCGAGATTGTAATCTTATTGCCAAAAAACTAAGCCATCTTGTCCTTATTTGTTTTTAAAATTTCTCATGTTGCTGTGGAAGAATCATAATATCACAGGCTGATTCAAACCTTAGCTTTGGATAAAGCCATAGACAAGAAGCCACTACCACTAGATGAAGTAGTGGGTCATAGTGCCCACAAGAATTACGAACCAGATGATCAAATATATATTTTTCTCAGGGTACTGCACTCATTGATTTCACAGGAACAGGCTCTATGGTACATGGTAATTTGAATGCGCCACGAGCTGTAACACTATCAGCTCTGATATATTGCTTGAGATGCATGGTTGGATATGACGTTCCATTGAATCAGGTAATTCAAAAATTCATTTTATGTCTCAGAATTATTTTTTTTTTATGACATTTTCCACGCCATCTCTGTGAAAAAGTTATGTTATCGAAATCCTTTTTACTGAGCGAACTAGTCTATTTTTTTTTCTCACTCAGGGTTGTCTTGCTCCTGTTAAAGTTAACATTCCCAAATGGAGTCTTCTTGATCCAATTGAAGACGCAGCTGTGATTGGTGGAAATACTTTGACGTCACAAAGGATAACCGATGTTGTGTTCAGAGCATTCCAGACTTGTGCTGCTTCGCAGGTATATAATAAAAATAAGCAGCATGAAAGACATAAGAATAAATGACCCAAATATTTTATCAATGCAATATGATAAGCCAGAAAAAATTAAATTAGGAACAAGAAATTATTGAGTTTTATTTGTAATGGCGAATCTACTTCAATACCATTAAAAATTCTTTTGATGTCCCCTTTTTGGACACGAATTGGACCTATAGTGTATTTATTATTATGTTGTTGTTGTTCTTTTGTATTTTTCTTCTTCTTTTTTCGTTGTTTTGAAAGAATCACTTCTCTATTTGATTGCTGTACCAATTTTCAGTGGTTAGTTTGTTTTGTCTCTAGAAGGCTAGGCTAGAAGTATTTATTTCAAAAATTTCTGTGACTTCATGGGATCCGTTTTTTTGGGCGATTCGTGTTCATATAATTGAGCACTGCTCCCTTGTTAAGTTGATTTATATGTATCAGTTATTTTTATGTTCTTCTGTGCAAAATCTACGAAAAGTGATCACTATTTCCAAGAATGAATTTTTAATTTCCATCCATGAGTAGGCCTAATATTGATTTTTTATTAATATTATTTTTATTATAACATGAATTTACTCAAATTATCGCTCTAAACGTGACATGTGCAAACTAAGGCCTACGGGTCAAACCTGCCCTTTGAGTAATTTAATCCAGCCAACCTGATGCTTCCACAACCGAACTAAAACCAAATTTCTATGTTTTTTAGCTAAAAGATAGATTAAGGAATTTGCTGAGATTATGATTAAATTTAGTTTTGGCGTGAGGCTTATCGTTTTCCACATTTGCTTATGTAAGACTGAAAATATTGCTCATAAAATGTAACTTTATACGTCACACTTATATGGCCCGTCAGTTTAAAGAGGGCAACATTTTTGGCTCCTGGTTCAAAACCCTAGCCACCCCTGCTCTAAACAATGATATATTATTCATATGTTCATATACGGTCTATTGTTGCTATGCTATGGATAAACTTGCTAACATATCACCAATTGACACTCCACTCCAGTTGCCACAGTTCAATATTTAGCCTATTTATTTCCCTTTTCAGGGTTGTATGAACAATGTAACATTTGGGGATGCAAAAGTTGGATATTACGAAACAATAGCAGGAGGAGCTGGTGCTGTGAGTTGATTTCTTGGTTAAATTTCTGAATAAAATAACTATATCACGGTAAACATAGTTGGGTTGAAAATTCTTCAGTAAAATGTTAATATATTACGAATCTATAGTAAAGTGGACACTTTTTTCAGGGACCAACATGGCATGGGCGGAGTGGAGTTCACACTCACATGACAAATACAAGAATAACAGATCCTGAAATCCTGGAAAGAAGGTGTTGATTTTTCAAAACTTTTATTTTGTCCAATATTGTGAGGGACTGTCCTGTCTTTTGTTTTTACAACACTTGACACATTCATGATTACAACAATTGTGTTTGTTTTAAATTTGATTGACCAATGAACCTTTTGCTAACGATTTACCGTTTTTCCTATTAGATATGCAGTTATTCTTCAACGCTTTCATCTGAACCCTAGTACCGGAGGTCATGGTCGTTACAAAGGCGGAGATGGAGTTAGGAGAGAAATATTATTTCGCAAAGATCTTGTGCTTTCTGTCTTGTGTGAGAGGAGAGTGTTCTCACCTTATGGAATGGCAGGTAATGATGTGTTCTTGCAGTTACATTGGATCCAGAAGTAAGGAATTGAGTTGGCAAAGCCAAACCGAACCGAAAGATTGAATTCTCAACGAAAACTTGAATAAGTGTGTCTCGCGATGTCATTTCTTTAGTTCAATTGAGATATGGAAGTTTGTGAATCACAATTGTGAAATATCCAGCAATCTCCTCGCACAAAATTAACCCTCGCAGGATTCCAACCTACAAATTGCACTGGGGAACAGTGGCGCGATGACAAGTGACAGAATTGAACTATGTTTTTGTATTCTGAAGGTGGTCAACCTGGAGCAAAAGGACAGAATCTATTGATACGTCACAATGGTCCCATGATCAACTTGGGTGGAAAGAACACACTGGATGTTCATGCAGGGGTGGGTACAGCATGAGTAATGTATCAAATACCAGTAACTTAATCCCTTCCTACAAAGTATATTTGTAAGTTTTTGTTAGATAATATGTGTTCCATGATGTTATTCGTAACCCTTTCATCAAAAAGTTTCTCCTGATAGTGATCTAAGTTTAAAACATCGTTAATTACTACTAGTTAGTGCATCGAACGACCCACAATTTCCTAGAGTCTTCTTAGGTAAGGAGCTACTATAATTTGAAGGGAGAAGGAAGGGACCTCTTGAAGTATACGCACCAAGATGGCGTACAACCTGAACTCTGGTTGTGTACTAGGTTACGGTTCAGGTTGTGCGACATCTTCGTGTGCATACTTCAGAAGTACCGAAGAAAGTTTCTTATTCGGGCATTCGGCGCAATTTATTACACTCTGTTTGAGGTGGTGGTCTGAGATTTCAACCTGCAATGCCATCATAGCTTTGACTAACACTTCGACCACCAGTCTAAGTTATTTTCAGTGTAAAGAGATTAACATGATTTGAATGCCACTGGTCATCCATGTCTTGCATCTGTATTAATTAAATGATAGGCTGGTCTGTGTCCTGCATTGCTAGTGGGACGATATGTTCCCTATATGATCAAGGCATTTTATGGTCTTCTCACTCTCCTATTGGAATCACTTTTTAGGATGTTTTCCGCCTTTTATCACCTGGTGGGGGAGGTTATGGAACTGCAGAAGATGAAAATAGTGAACCTAGTGAAGCAAAACGCAGAAAACTTGAAAATGATGGAAATTCAACAAATCATGAATTTGTACCACGTGGAAGTATCTATGAATACCAGCAAACTCAACAAGCACATTAGGTTTTTAATCTAGATTAAATTGTTTTACACATACATGGTGATCCAAACAAAGCGGAAACCATAAATTTTTAATTACTTCTGCAGAAATTAGGATAATTTATTTAACATTCGAACTTCTATTTGTGTATGATTGTACCCAAAAGTTTCCGTAATCCAAGACGTTATGCACAAACGTTATGTTCTCTCTAGATTAATATATTCGAAATGACATGGGTATGTTTTTCGTGGTTCGCCAATATAAGTTTTATGCTCTCAGTGTTTGAGTTATACTATACTACTTCTAGAATTCTATAATCTTGGAAAAACATTTTCTTAGATTGTGAGATTAAAAAATTTGATACTCTTATGTAATCATGCTTTACCAGAATTATCATTTTTTAGGTAATTCTTGCATTTATTTCATTTTACTAGTGAAATTTAATTTATGTTTACATGATATATTATGACAAAGCTATAACTAATTGTAGGCAAAATAGTACATTCATATCATTTATACGGTGTTAGTGGTGCCTATTCGTCATCAAAACCAATTATTTAACCAATTTAATAGGAGGATATATAAATAAAAGGAACGAAACAAATCACGAAACGGGTATCGGCCTGTTGCAGTTAACGAGGGGGTCGCGAAAGACTCCAAGAGCCGTCTAGTCAACGATATCTTATAGCTAAACTGAAGCTAGAAAAATAGCAACGGGACAATTCAATATTAAACATTAACCTAAATTAAACAACACAATCATATAAAAAAAAAAATTTATTGTGTTCAAATTATATATGTGTAGTTTAGCAATTGTGATGATGATTGAAAACTGTTCTCCGTTCATTTTATATTATTCAATCTCATGCAAAGTTGCTCTGGAACATCATACTTAGAAATAAAAAAGCAACTTCCGATATCTCATTTTTAATGCAAAAAATATACAGGGTGTTAAAAAAGTTACGCAAAATTAACAGAAGTTGAGATAAAAAGCCACTTAAAATATTTAATGACTAACACCTTTTCTCAGTATTAAATTACGGTGAACTGCCATTTAAACATTTCACGACTGCTGTTTTTTGACAGTTACTTTTTTAACCTTGCAAAAACGAAAAATTTTACCTTAATTTTGCGTAACTTTTTTAACAATTTGTAGTTTAATTCTTGTAATTTGTAGTTTTTGTAAGTATTAATGTAGACGAAAACTTGTTATTGCATCGACGACTGCTATCGAATGACAGCCCAACAAGCCCTCTGAGGATTCAGAAGCCTTTCAGATTACGATTTTATTCATATATACATTGCAACTCCAAACACACATAATTTTTTTTGACTCCGTTTCAGTTCTATTTACAGGGTTTACTACACGTATAGTGTAATAATGAAATATCCTAGATCTAGTACTAGTTAGATTTTTTTTAAATATTTAGAAGCCAAACTTGTTTCATGTATATGTTTCAATATGTTCATGATTCCAATGGTGGTACTGATAGCAACGAAATTCGGATTGTACAGGTTTTCATCCTTCTGGCCTAAATTCTTATTAATTTATATCATGAATGTTTCATTTAATTATTTATGCAATTGATGGTATATTCATTCTAGAAAAGTTCATCGTTCTATCCACATTTGCCAAATAAATACTGAAATGAATATCTGTCTTGTGTTATTTTGTCAAAATTAAGATTTTACCTTACTTGAACATTCAATAAATACACGACTTTAGTAGAGAGGAAATTACCGTACTCTCATTTGCTCTAGTAAATGATACACGAATATTTATGTCCGCGGAGGGCAGATGTATGTCTATCCACTTCCTCGACCAGGCCCTGCAAGAATTTGCCATTTCGTTTAATACCAATGTCTGCAAACAACAAGAAAAAATCCTCTGGATTCTAACTTACGTCCACTTGCATAGCGGAGTCTGCAGTGTGTCGTCAACGCATGGGACGGTGAGTTGCATTTTAAAGTTTTTTTGCGAGTCACCATTTGGTCAATTTTCATGCGATATTGGGAGCAATCAGTTGACTCGGCAGTGTCCTGGCATCGCCCTGGATGGGGTCGCGTGAAGAATTTCCGGAGTCGCCTGATTTCTGTCAAACACGCGCACACAAGTGACTAGGATTTGAAAGTTGGAAAGTGAAACTTGTGCTTGTCGGCAGGTAATGTAAAAGTGCTAAATTCGGATTTGTCAACGATACCTCGACCATTTATTGTCCAAACGACGACAAAATTGTTCGGTAAAACTTTCGTTTCAGCTTGTCAGCAGGTACCAGCAGTAGTAAATGTAATTGAGTGACAGTGTGAATAGCTTTCTTGATCATGCTACATTCGAATGAGTAGGTGACCCGCTGGTGCGCGAATCGGATATTTTGCCAGGTTGCGAGGGACCATATTGGTTTGTTGTTTTGTACCAGGGTAACCGCCTGCTATTTACAAAAAAAATGCTTTATTTGGCGATTGTCTTTTAATTGGGTGTTTGACAATTAAGCTCTTGATTACCAGACGGTGACCAAAAAATTACACTTTAGGTTTTAATCAGTTGCAAAAGCGCCTAGTTAATTCGCAAGTGTGAAGTGTCTCAAATCTACGAGCACGCTATAAGTTTTTGTCAACATTGCCTCCACATATAAGTGAACATTTTCGTATTGCAATATAACGTATTTAGACGTTTTATACATATTTCAAAGCGTTCCGAGCATTCAAATACAAAACCACAACAATTTCTAGCATTAAAAAAAGCACTTAAAAGATTCGTTTCCGTATACGTTTTGTCTATTTTACTTTCATGCTCTGTTTTGCATTTGAAATTGATAATGGAGCAATCTGTAATATATATATATGTTAAGATTGAACTAAAAATATTAAAGACACTGTTGAAATATATATAATAAATAAAATTTTAAACTTTTGTATATTTATAATCAATCTTCCTATATCCGAGGTATAATACGCTTCCTTATAATCTACAACGTTACATCAAATTCGCCCATGTTTCGCCGAAGAATAAATCTGATCTAAGAGATTTTTACCTCATGATTTTCATACGATGTCATGTGTTATCAAACCTTCCAAGGAATCGCCGTTTTTCCGGCGCATTGTCGCATTTGTTAATATTAAAGTTGCTGTTGTTAATATTAACGTTTCTAGTTGTGGGGTCGCGAGTACTTGTAGGCTTTGATTTTATGAAAATGGGGGTCGCGAAAAAAAATTTTGAGAACCACTGCCATAGGGAACAATTGTGTTCGAAAGAGTTGCTGAACTCCTCGCCGCCGTAGAGTGGTTTATGTAACCGCGTCCTCGATTATACGGCTACACATATTCAATTGTTATAATCTACTGACTACATGAGGAACTACTAAAATCATAAGTATCCGCAATACACTTCTAGTGCGTATCGAAAAAAGCGTACGTAATGAATAACCTGAAGTATTTATTATACGTTATTGTTACGTATTAAATACACGAGTTAGTTTCGAGGCGTGTCGTAATACTCGTTAACTCAATAAGTACAAGGATACGATGTTGTGCGCCAGAAAAGTGTTACCTTCACCTCGAATACATTATCTGATACACTTTGTACTAATATATACGATAAACTACAGTATTTAAGTTAGACTGTCAGTTTGGAACGTGATTAGTACTCGTCACGTTCTAAGCAAGTCAGTCATAAACGCTATGAAAATATTTGAAGGTTTTACGTATTCATTACATTTATGATGGTGCACACTGAAGCGAACTCTCGTAATATCGGGAATTTTGAGCGCAACGGTATATATATATATATATATATATATTATTTAATTTATAAAATCTGACCTCTGTCAATTTGGCTGTCTGGAGTATTACAAATATATATATATATATATAAAAAAAAAAATTCAAGTCAACATCAAATCAAATGGAAATAAAGCAAGCACAGGAGTTCGGTAAACGTTTAAATGAATAAAGTACGAAAAAGAATATAAACGCAAATGGAAAAAGTTGTTCTACATTTACATGTAGTTAACTCATTATTTTTTGTTTATTTTTGAAAGGTTATTTTACGTTAACGAAACTTTTAATTGTTTTTCTTCGTGAGCCATTGGGAAACTTCGGTATTCATTCTAGGCATGGAAAATATCCTATCGATCAGATTGAGGAATAAGCCTTGAGATTTGGATACTATATTTTGTAGCTAAAACCATGGTTTCAAATTTAGCACATTTATTGTTTTATGTATCTAACATTTTCAGAAAGCGATGGTTGTTTTGGATTTCATTAGTGAAGAGATATTTAGACTTAATGGCGTTGTCGAAATTTGAAAAGTGTAACAGAACTGGGATGTAAACTCAGGTCTTTTAACGTCGTAAACAAATGCAAAAACGAACGTCGTACTCGTATAAGATGAGCAAATTCTTTAGCCAATTTACAGAGAGAACATACACCCGATAATCAGTCTCCAAACATCGAATTCGTCATCTACGATGCCTTTCTAGTCAGAGCGACGTGAATCATTCACACACTCAAAATGCTCACTTATTAGAAAAATAAATTTTCTAATATTCAGAAAATAGAGTTATCGTTCTGGGAAACAAGATGACAGTACAATTGATATGTTGTTAAGCTTACTTTTTAATTACAGGGATAAATGGCTATCTTAATTGCAACATTTTTCGTCATGAAAAGCAATACGCGAGAGGTGATTAAATTTTGTAATATTTCAGTCTGAGCCGCTTTGTATTTTAGGAGAAACCTGTCTGGTTTAGAGGCGCGGAGAGCATTTTCTTTCGTTATTATATCGAGATTAAGATAAACAGTAAGAGATGTGAATGATGAGATAGGCTATCCACATTTTGGTAAAAAAGAATTTGTCGTTTTGATAATTCCACGATTGTTTTTTTACAATTTATATATATATATATTATTGAAATTACACAATTGTTTCGTCAACAAAAAATAGGCTTAGTTCGATAGAAATAATATTCGAATTGTGGCGCCGATCTCAGATCACTTATATGGATGATAATTCGCTCAACATTTTTTTTTGTAACGTAACTTAGCCTTAGAATAAATACAACGATCGCGGCGTGTGTTTTGTTCTTCTTCAAGTATCTAATAAATTTGTCTGCTTGTCATATTAACAAAATTGGACGAATTACTATATTCCAAGGATAAACGTGGCTCACAATCAATGAATGCACGGAGTCATATTAATATTTAGGCGAATTTTGTAGAAAGTAATTCTTAAATTGATACCAAAAGTACAGTTTAATAGGAAGTCGAGGTTTAATGCGACATAGCGTATGTAAAGCGTTCATAGACGACCAATAATGTCGCAATCATACTTGATCTGATGTTCATAAAGTCCTGTATTAAATGAAATGGTGTGCTTCGATTAAACGAATTAGAAAAACTTCAAAAAACAATGTTTAAATAAAACAAACTTAGTTGAGATATATTGAGAATTGATCTAACGAATAACAAAATTTAAAAATATAGCAGGACTTCATGTTATTGTATGTTAAGGCAATATATGCTGAAAGTAACATGGCAATAAATCCTGAAATAAGTTATATATATATAGACTAAACTCTTTCTTTCAGGAAATAACTATAATTAGTATAATAAAAGGGACATTTAGGCTCGTACATAACGTCTGGTACTAATGGAAAAATAATGTTTCGTATCATTGTGTTAATTTACTTCAGCGTAACGGCAACACGTGGTAAGTATTTTTCGCAAAGATTAGAAATAGGAGATACACTACTCAATTTGCAGAAATATTCAATTGCATACTTTCATGTTATCGGCCATTACAAATTTTCCTATTCTGTTTATGTTAGACTGTTAGAGTATAATAAGTACGATTGTATATGGCCTACGATTGTATATGGTTTTCAAAGTGGCACAAAATTTATACATCCAATCCAATACCTTCTAAATGCATGCATAGTTAATAGCATCTAGAATGCATCATCCTAATTGTATATTGTTCATAATTATAAATAAGAAATGCGAGTCGTGTAATGAATGTTCTCTTCTAAATATATAATATATTAATGAGTGGATATAAATTCCCATTTTGTACATACGACAATTTGTATTCATTATAGAAATGTCAAGTCATTCTGGATTGAATGCAAAATCCATAAAAAATTCCAAGTACTCGGTGACTTTAAACTTGATTTATTATATTATTTCTTCAGTTTTTGCCAACACAGTGCCATGCGACAGTGATGGCTGGCTGCACACTTGTGATGATGGTTCGTGTATATTTGATAAAGCAGTCTGCGATGGAAACTTAGACTGTCCGTAAGTTTGGCTTCTGAAAACGTTTCAGAGTTCTATATATATTTATATATATATATATATTAAGTGTACATAAATCATTACTCCATACCATTGACACGCTCATTGAACCATGTTTTTGGAATGCATCATGTGTGATGTGGGAGGCAATGTCTAGCGAACGGGATTTAAAATTTCGAAAACAGGTTCCCTTTTGTATCGAACTGGCCTCAGTCCTGAAAATCATGAAGAACTAAAATTTAAAAAAAAACAAAAAAAAAAACGGGTTCGATGATTATCATAATATTTCAAGAACAACAATGCTCCATATCGTAGATGTTAATCATTACTGCATCAGCGCGTCATTTTAAAATAAATATATCAACTATTCATGAATATCATAATTATGTTGAAGCATTAGTATTCACGATTCCTTAATCGTTTTAATTAATTACTAATATTGAACATTCATTAGTACAAGAGAGTAATTCTTAAATATATGTACATAAAATTCAAATGTAATGTGTCACCAAAACTCTAGTCAAATATTAATAAATGTACCGAATTTACTATAAAGTTGTGTACGTGAATTTTATTAAAAACAGCAAAATATGGGGTAAATATCTTACCCCGTAGGACCCAGAGATACTTAAAAAAAGAAAATAAATATAAGATTCTCTTGCGACTTCTTCTCTTTTTAGTCTTTAAAAATTTGAAATCGAATATTCTGTTAGTTGCAAGAAATGCGCTTTATCCGCAACAAAAACGACCACTTAGCAAAGCGACTCATTGTTCACTCCGTGTTCAATAAAGGAATATTTTTATTTTTCTCAGAGATGGCAGCGATGAAAAACCGTTTCCAAGTTTTGGACAAAACGTGACTGGATTTAAATGCACAGTAAAAACAACGTTGAACAAATGTATTCTCCCTGATAAATACGTATGTGATCAATACAACCACTGCTTAGAAGGTAAATTTGAATACAAACGGTGAGGAGCGGCTAAAAATGAATTCAGTCATGTGGCATGGGACAGTACAAAGAATGAGATATAGGTCTATATTCATATTGTCTGTGTACATATTACCCATGCCACGTTCACGAGTCTACTCGAAAGTGATGAACTCGCGCGAAAAGCACTTATTTGAACTTAAAAGTGAAAAAGTCCCGTAAAACTAAATTTTTCCACAACATGTAGATGAAAAGTTGCACAAAATCTTATATAATTCATCTTCTATGTTTCTTCGTCCGTTATACTGTAATAACCTCCATGCATTATGTTAAATTATGTTGCCATTCGAAGCAAAAATATCTACGTGATGTGCGTGATTTTTGTCAGCACAAGTAATAGGTAAGTCGGGCCGAAAAGATGAAAGTTTACCACAGTTTATCAACGGACCTAAAAACCGAATGCGCGAAAATTAATTCATTTTATTCTATACTTTCGAAACTGCACTAATCAAGTCTGTCTGAAACAAAGTGCTTTGATCTAGCAATCGATAAATCAAGAACAAACAAAAAAAAAGTACTCGTTATTACCAACGTATTCAAATTTTAGTACTGGTATATTCGATCGTCTGGAAAACAGACAAAAGTTGTCAGTATTCATAATGTCGTCAAGTATATAAAAGACAAACAAATAACAATATTGATGTAATGCATGATAATTTATTGCAAACTTTAGGCCTTACTTTGTTTGTAACATCCATCATGCTAAGTCATATTTAACAGTTTTATACTAAAGAAGTTTGAATACAAGAAATTCATTTTCTGCATTTTATGTTGGCAACCTCCTGAAAACATATAAGGCACTGGCCAAACAAAGAAAAGTTACAAATCTATGAGCTTAGTTAGTTATGGAATCCTTATTCGCTGCCAAGTGAAGAGAGGAATCCATTAACCTTGAACTACACGCTCGCCCGAGAGTGTTCCAAAACGTTGTCATGGAAACCGAGAAAAGTTTTCATGAAAGACACAGACACATAATACATTCATCAGTTTCTGTCGCCCAGTTCATAAACGTCGTCTAACTGTCGAAACTTGAAAACCTCGCGCTTCAATGAAACACAACGTGACCTGTCTGACCTTTTGCACCACTTTCGACCATCAATAGGAAGAAATTCTTCTGCATTCGGATCTTGATCAGTGCAGTAGATAAACGAAACGAAACCGTTATGTAGACATTTCAAATAACATTATGGCTTTTTTGTATATCAAAGCACCACCAATACAGTTTTTATGTATGTTTGAATGCTTCTCTTAGTTTATTGATATATCGTAACTTTTCAGATGAATGTGACTGTATGCACAGCTACCCATTCCGATGTTCCCCGGACGAATGTGTCAATCAAGCATATTTTTGCGATGGGATGGCGGATTGTTCCAATGGGAGAGACGAATTGCCATACAGGTATTAACAAGACAGAATACTGTAGGGCTCATTATATTTCACTACTACTATTGGTATTCTATTATAGATCATAAACAGGTATACTATTTTAGCTTCATTAAGTTCCTCAAATTAGGTTAGACTGTTAGCTTTATAACGTTCCTAATATATTTTCATTTAACAGCAACAAAACGGAAGGACTTCGATGTGTAACAGAATACAACAACAGTGCTTGTTCTTTGCCTTATCAATATCGATGTGATGGATCAAAAAACTGCTTGAACGGAGGAGACGAATGCTTTTGTAACGGCGATGGCGGAAAATACGACGACATTTGTAAGTCCTGTTGTAATCGAGGCCTCCGCGGTTACATTACAGTACGTGACATCAATTTTCTCCTGTTTCTGTTTTAGCCTATTTCGACCAAACCTGTTTTCGCTGCTTAGATGGTAATGGAGAAATGATGCAATCCTATCTGTGCAATGGTTTCATAGATTGTGTGGATTTATCTGATGAGTGTTTATGTGAAAATCCAATATCAATTTGTAAGCAATTGGCCTACCAAGGTAAGGAAATAAGAACGATCTCGTATTGTACGCCGACACATATTACCCAGAAACATATTAACATTGAAGCAATAAAAAGTAACAAAGTGAATTTTGAAGTCCAGAGTAACCCACCAAAACAGAACAAAACCTGGAACATACTCGAGTTAGAACATAACTTTTGTGCAAAGCTGCTTAGACTACTGAAACATTTGGGTACAATCATACACAAAGAGCAAGTTTAAAAGTATTTTTTTCATTTTCATAGAAGTAATTAAGAAATTTATAGGTTTTTTTCTCATGTCCATGAATCCCTTTTCAGAAATTTAAATATTGTATTTTTATGATTCATTGATATATTTGTCTGACAGATGATTGTGAGTTCAGATGTCGAACAACAAACGACAAGATCAAAAGCAAATGCATTTCGAAGTCACAAGTTTGTGACGGATCACGTGACTGTACCATGGGTGAAGATGAAAAATATTGTTCCCACGTAGAAGCAGTCAAAAAAGAAATACAACTCAGTTATAAAGAGGATATGCCTGAATTTTGGTGTTGTAACGGTATGCACAATCGATGTACTTTTGTTGTGTATACGTTTCATGCGTGTATTTGCGCAATTTCTACTCAATAGTAAATTGTAAACGCGTCAATTCGTGATTGAAAATCAATAACAAATCACTAAAAATCTTAACGTGTGAATTGACAAGTATTTTTGGAATGCGAAACTTCATTTACTATTAAGAATTCCCATTAACTGATCAATTTTGGAAAATAATAAAAGATTGTAACAAATCTTCTGTCTCGATATAAAGACTGATGTAACAAAGCAAACCATGTTGAACAATATAAAACTGTAGTAGAGTTCGTCTTTTATATGGGTATTTATAAAATGATTAACGTTCATTGTACAGCTAGGAAGGTTGGTTATTCTTTCATTTATTATTGGACACGTAGTGTAAATAACGATCGTTTCAAAATTTTGTTGTTATTGTTATTATTTGTCTCCGTCAACACGTTTTGAAGAAATCGCTTTTCTCTTCGAATACTGGACCAATTGCTTTGAAATTTTCAGTGGTTAAAGATAAAAATTTTCTCCAGAAGACCATTATTTTTTTTTTGCTATGACGTCATCAGCATCATCAAATTATGTGACTCTACGTGTCCATATATCTGAGCATAGCTCTCTTGTTTGGATTGGCATTGCATTTGAAATTCACGTACATAACGCCAGGGCCAGCTTCAGCTTACTGTAGCCAATGCAGTCACGATGGGGCTCGCGATTATGAGCCATTACTTGGGTAAAGGATAACAAGTTGAAGACAAAATCGTTTTCTATTACAAAAGCGAAATCTGTTTCGCAAAGGGCTCCGTATTGGCTAGGCCCGGTGCTTTATAACGAAACGCGAACGTTTCCATCCAGTGGCCCGCGTTTCCGTGCGTCTTGCGTGTCATATACAGCTTGTACACCCTCTTATATATATATGTAAATGAAAAAATTATGCACATTTCTAACCGAGTTTAATTCAAATACAGCCGGATATCCTGCTGATTGTTTGTACGAGCAAACATTTACAAATGCAACTCATGACGGCTGTGATCAGTTTTATGAATGTCCACCCGGTAAGATTCAATTGTTGCTTAAGGAATTTACCGTGGATAAAAAGACATATCAGTTAATGCTTTTTTTTATTATTTGATCTTTTATTTTATTAATAACTAATCATAAAAATACACATTCGTTATCATACAAAGATAATAAATTATTGTACATATATCTTAAAATTTTCCATTTTTGATCATGACTTTTTAATTTTTGGATTCAATGACAATGACAAGAATTCTTATTATTATATAAAACACAGTTAATCGGTACAGTTGCAGCATTATCAAACTCTAATCACAAGGAATAGACACGCATGAGCATATAAATACAATCAATTATTGTACATATATCTTGAAATTTTCCATTTTTGATCATGTTTCTTAATTTTACCATTTTTTTTAATGAAGCGTTCAATTTCCCTCCCTTTATACAGATATGTGATAAAAACATTGAAAAGTGTTTTTTTTTTTTGTATCTTACAACGATATAGATAAAACCCGAGAACAAAAAGGATACAATTACACAATTCGTTATAAAAATCACCAACATATCCCAACATGCAATCTCTTTTGGAGAAGTTAAAATTTATTCCTATTTTCGAATATATCCACATGTTCAGCGGTTCCCAAAACTGTTGAATAATTGTACAATCATATGAAAAGGGGCTAGCAGTTTCAACATTAGACTTACAGAAATCACATAATTCTGATGAAACAGATTTAAATTTATACAATCTGTTGTTTAGTACTATCTATTATGGCACCATGAAACATCTTCACATGAAAAGATTGCAATTTAGTTTTAATAGTATAATAAAAAATATCCACATACAATTTTTCTAATTAAAATCACTCTCTAAAAAAATCAGATATGCCCATCCGTTTCTTGATGTATTGGGGGCTATATATTTCATCAGGTTAAATTTTTTATAGACACGTTCATTTATACTCATTTATTTTGTATATTATAGTAAAAGTATATTTAGTTTGCAGTGTTCCATCTTGTGGCGAACACATTTATTAACGAGCCACATTCGTCTTATCAACGACAGTCCTGTGAATATACAAGAATAGAAATTGCCACATTGCTTATATTGATTAAGTCAAAAGCACTACGTAACTATATCTTTAGATCCAAAGTACTTTCCATATTTGACCTACGCAATAAAATGCGACAAGATACCGACATGCACCGGATTTTATGATGAATGTCTGGGATGTAATGATTCAACTCCACGACCTTACTGTGCACTTGATGAAGTATATGGATATGTGTAAGCCTATTAACAAACTAGCAGTTTGTACAAATAATTGACAATATTATTTTTGTCTAGCAAAAGAAGATTATTGGTCATAAGTGTGCCTATGAATCGTTTTGCAAAATTGTTGTTCTGGTTGGTGTTTTCTTTGTGAAAATCACTTATGGATGAATCAATTCTAGATATTGATTGGTTGAAGGGTGATAAAAAAGCTTTTAAAACTGATACTATTATTTTTCTCCCCTCCAAACTTTTGCCGGGTGCTATAGGGCCATTTGCGTATATTGCGCCACCACGTGGCATTCGTCAGGCTAGTCAGTCTAATTTTTTAAAGACATCACCGGCACCCAAGCGAAGTCAATTAATGCAGTGGGTAAACGGAGAATTGCCAATCTTAGGCCTTATATTAGTAATTTGACTTTCGTGCCCCTCTATGTTTCACAATTGCTCTATTGTGTTTGTTCAAATTGCCTAATTTCAAATATTTTGTTTATATAGATGCCCCAACCACGAATCTCCTATTCATCTCGGCCCAACTGAAGTTTGTAATGGATCACCAGCATGCAATATTACCCATCCGGTGGAATCTGCAGATGAGGTCGATTGTCCTGCCAGGTAAGGTATCTGAAGTATTGCTAATGCGTTGGGTAATGATGCAAATGTGTGTGGACGTTGAAAACTAAGTTTACATATTACATATTCGAAATTATTCAACGTTTTATGATACAATGTACCTTCCCCGAAATGTTTATAGGCAGCAATTGATACGTAAATAGCTACTAGTTTTTGTAACAGGAGGAATCTTTTAATTCGGCATTACGAGCCCTTATTTTTACACCCCGGGCAAGGTTGTGGGCATAGGGTTTATGGTCATTAACCTACAACGCATTCATAGGTATATCAAACGCTCTAACCACTACACACACTATCTTTCGTTTCAAGATATTACTGCATGGGAAATGTCGGAGGCAAGAAATATGTTAGTATACCACATACATCGGTATGCGACTGTTCTGTAGATTGTTGGGATGCATCCGATGAAGCAAATTGCACTGAGTTTAACAAATTCTGCTGCAGAAGCGATGGCGAATCAACCTCTCTGAATAAGGTCAGTGATTGGTGGTCAGTAGCTGCACTTGAACAAGGAAGTACTGCATAATATAACTTCGTATATATGAAATATCCTAATTTACTTCTATCAATATTCAGGTATGTAACGGAGTTGACGATTGCTCTGATGGAAGTGACGAATGCCAATCTTGTATAGACAGTCCGTTTGCAGACGACAAACACCTAATCAGTAACGTGGCGTTGAGGGCATTCGTTTGGATTATAGGTGCATAATTATTGCCTAACCATAAACATAACAATTCTATTCTTCGTAAAAGCACATGTATCTCATAATAAATACTGCTTCATATCATATGTTTGAAGCTTATAGAAGCGAGTATGTATATATATAGTCACATAATTTGTCATGACACAACTTTGAGGATAATTTTGATTCGTCAGGATTGACTTCATCAGCTGGGAACATCTACGTACTTATTCAAACTTCCATCTCATTGAGAAAAGGAAAACAAAATGATTACGCAAAGATAACTTCGTTTCATGTTATTGCACTTGCCATTGCTGATTTATGCGTAGGAGTGAGTATTATTTTTTATTGCTTTTTCCATTATTGTGTGAATGGTGCTTATGTGAATTTTTAATAATTTTTCAATTCAATTTTACGTTTCAGTTATATTTAATGGGACTTGGAATCACCGACGCAGTTTATGCTGGGATTTACTGTTATGAGGAAAAATCTTGGAGAAGTGGAATGCATTGTAATATCTTAGGTGTCCTATCGATGTTTGGACTACAGGCTTCTGTGTTTATGCTGACATTGATGACTATAAACAGACTACTTATGGTATTCAGGTAATTTAACACAATTGTATCATATCAGTAACAGAATTATTTTGAGCGTGGACCTATGGATCGTTATACCAAATTGCCGGTGGATTCGCGTCATTGTATCTTCGCATTGTTTTTTTGTTATGTTTTGTAGCAACACCAAGCAAGTTTGAAACTTATTTTCAATATTTTTCAGGCCATTTAACAAGCCGAGCCTAAAGACCTCACTGTTTTTTGTTGTTTTATCAATAATTGTTGCATTCCTGTTGGCGATTATACCTATTGTATCGTTTGCCGAGGATTACTTCATCTCATATGTAAAGTAAGTGTAATAAAACTTTTTTAGTATTTCAATAAAGTATTTCAAAAGTAGCATCAATTATAATTCTATACAGCAGAAGTGCGTACTAGTGAACTAAATAATTTTTGACCAGGTTTTTCAAGAACCCATTCCTTCAAAAGCAAGTCGACCGAACACAACTCAGTATTTTCGCCAACAAGTTGTCGTCGTATGAAACTTTCGGACAAGATTTTCAGAACGTCATGGGGTACGTGTTTGCACGTTTTGATACTTTACGCATGTACTTCTAGGCAACTACTGCGTTTCAGGGCTGAGTAAGCGAGACTTGTTTAATTGTCCGTTGAGAGTGCTATTCAACTTGATACTTTCGAGTCACTGACGTCGGGAATCCAGAGAGGTTAAAAATACGAATCCGGTTCCAATACATGTATGACTAAAATATGACAATCTCCGACTTTACGGCCCTAATATGGAAACGTCTCTGTTAATGTACTTTTCATTTCAGGCAAGAACAAACAACTTACTCATGGAAAGGCTTATTCGTCTTGATGAAGCATTTGAACAATTCCTTCAAACCACGTTACCAATTTGGATATTATTCGAGTCACGGCGTTTGTTTGCCGAAGTTGTTTCCAACACCGAGCGACCCAACTTGGCAGTATTCGATTCTAATTATAGTGATCAATTTTATATCGTTTCTGACTATCCTCGTTAGTTATATATCTATTTATAAGTAAGTATAATTAAATTAATTTGGGTTTACATTGGTTTATATATTTAGGGTGGCTGAGCTGTACCAGAGTATAGCATTAAATAGTTTAGTTCTGGTAGTAGAACAGCAATGTGAAAAGATAAAATCCTAAACAGGATTTTATAACCCGGGTCCGGGAATCAAATTTGTTATTTACAATTTTTTTTATTTGTTGGAAAAATTGTGGTTTTATTTTCGTATGAAAACTGAATATTGCAAATTATTTTAGACAAACGCTTAGAAGACGAAGAAGTGTTAAAGGTCATTGTCGGTCTGATCAATCTATTGCAATGCAGAGAAAAATAACTCGTATTATTGTAACGGATTTCTTTTGTTGGGTTCCAATATGTTTGATTGCCTTTTTGAAGATGACAGGTAATTGAATATATATATATATGATACAAATAATTTTAATAATATTCCTGTGTACGGCCATTATGTTATTATAATTATGCTTTTTTGCGATACATAGCGAAATCGGTACCAGAATTTAGCAAAATTTGGGTATATATATATATTCAAGTTCTTTGGCCCGGCATTCGGTAATCACCGTTTGCTTCAATTACCGGACTTTACCTAATAAAAGTGCTAGATGAATATTTTGATTTAGGTCCACTAATGCATCCGGGAAATGGCATTTAAAAAAAGGTAATAATGCACGCGATTAGCTAGGTAAGCGACAGAATATAGAGCACTGCCTAACCGCAGAAATAAAGCGGCGCGCTGCGCCTTCAATGGGTTTTGTGACGTCATATTTTAAATTGGGGCGTTTGAATGAGTAAATTGCCGCTTAGATTCGGCGTAATCGAGTCACTAAGTACGATGCTGATACGAGCGATGACATGTAAATTACTAGGTTAATTTTATATTTTTAGGTGTACCAGTGTCCGACGAAGTCTATGCAGTTGCAGCCATCGTGATTCTTCCAATAAACAGCGCCATTAATCCGTTTTTATACTCAAACCTACCTGAAGTTATATGGACTCGAGCCGGGAAAGCTTACAACAAAATGTCAAGCGATACCGGACCAAGAACATACGAACGCGAAAGCGACAGAACTTAAAGAAAGTGACGTCAGGATGTAGAGTTTTCAAGTTCACGTCAGAGAACAAATTGCTCAATCTAGTGCGGAAATTCTCGTATGGTGATATCAAAGTCTAAATTTTTTGTGATTTAAATAGCAAAAAATATCATGAATATACGACACTACAAAAACTATTATAAAGATGAATACCTCCAAACGTTAACCAAGTGTAGACTATATATACTATCGATGAAATACATGAAATGAGTATAGTTGAAATATATATTTAACAATGACCATTAATAAGTAAAAATCAAGTAAGGCAAACGTCAGGCTCTCCGTTATAAGTGTTGCTGTTTGGTCTAGTGTAGTTGTTCGCGTGGGGGACCAATGAGAGTGCTTCTCATTGTGTTGAAACCAGAACATTGCATAACTTAGCAGCGTTACAGAAAAATTTCTGTATTATTCCAGCTTTAAATATACTGCAGGGGAATATGTAGTATTGCAAAACTACCATTATATTTAATAGCTGGATAGCGTAGATCATTTTAAGTCACAATTGAATACGGTTGTTCGGCGTCAAAAATTGTGGAACAAAGTCGAAGAAGCGTTGCTTTACATTTCAAATTAAAAGGAATGAACGATGAAAATTTAACTAACTAATATGACATATAGTTTGTTGTTTGAGTCGCATTGTTGATAAATGTCATGTAGTTGTATTCAGATGCAGTCAAGTATGATGATATGCGACCAAAGGTAGTCGTTGAATGGAAAACCTCAAAACTGAGCAACAAAATATGTAAACGACAACAATATATTTCATACGTCTTGGATTGAAACAGACAATAAGATATGTTACAGCCTATAAAAGTACAACACACTAGACCAGCGTAAAGAGAAGTTGAAGCATTTAACTTGACCTGTTCTTTGCTATATCGCGCACAAGAATAGTATTTTCCAAACATAGTTATTACTGGATGCTATTATTGGATGTTATTACTGAAATTGAAAGCACTTTCAGTCATCTAGGCTTTTAAAATTTTATTATGAAGATAATCAAATGATGTCGGATTTGTATAGACTTGTGTCTGTTCGATTTCAAGCAACAAAATCAACAATAATGAAACAAATATTTTGCATTCTAACCCATCACACTGATATGCAGTCATCCGTGGCCGTGAATGACGTAACTGAATTTCACTCTCTCTTGCTAAAAATTGTCCAAATCTACCAAGCATGGGTAAACACTAACGTATACTTATAATATATCTATTGAAAGAGAGTGGCCATGATTGCCCCAACCTCGGTGTCCTCTGTAGCAACCACCGAAACGCCAGACCTCACTCAATCTGATTATATGGAAGATAAAACAAAAAAATGTGACATGACTGAAGAGAAATACAAATGATTGAAGTATGGGAAGGCAGAGAGCAAGCCAAATTGTTCGATAAGAAATATAGATACCTAGATTTAAGAAAGCAAATTTATAGATGGTGGAAAAGCTGAATGTGTACGCCGATTCCATAGTGATAAATATTCCGAATCATTAATTTGATATGAGTTGCAGATATAACTTACACTATTTCTGTGAAGTGTTGAAGAATTTTCATGATTACATGAGAAACAGTATATTAAAATTCTAGAAAAGTTTCAAAGCCTTAAAAATATATATCAGGAGAAGCGTAATTGGTGACATTTACACGAATATTTCTTAAGTTTAAAAGTAGGAGATAAATTGCTACTGGGTTCAACAAAAGTATGAGAGTTATTTAAGACAAATGCACTTGATCATAACGGGTAAAAATTGCTATGAAATTTAGATAGTAGCTAGTCAACCCAAAGATTTATTTCAGTATTAGCTGTCTTTATCCAAGACTGTAGTGTTTTCTCTGATATTTCCTACTTTAATAGTTTATGAATTTCAAATTAAACAGAACGACAAAAAAGCGGAAATCTCGGATGAGTTTTCATCCTCATTAAATTAATAAAAAAAAAGTCATTGTGTAAAAAAATACGTATACATCATTATCACGATGATAAACGTACATACAACCACATTCAATTTTGTCGGTGATTTAATCTACCATTCCAACCAATTATTAAAAAATGGTCTTTGAAGAAGAATATGCGTTTAAAATTACACAAAAGAGCAAATTTGAAAGATGCAAAATCTGTTTTTGTTTTCAAACGATATTCGGCGGGAAACTATATATATGTGTCGGTTTACCAACTTCCCACGAAAAGTTTGAAAAATAACACACAATATTGAGTTACAGTGGGCTATGTTGAGTGATAAAACACTTGGCCGGGATTGGAAAATATATAAAACACAAATTCCAGTACAATTACTCCGTGAATCATTCTCGATTCGGTATGATTTTGTTCCACAAAAATTGATTGGTCGACGACTCTTTGTAACTATATGACGAGCCTTTGATAAGACGTAACAAAAAGCATCTTTTCATCGCCGTTTTTGTCTTAATAACGACTTCTTTCATAGGTGTAATGTTACTGCATATGAACAAAGGAGATACAAACGGGACTGTATTGTTTTTTATTGATGTCTCCACATTCGCAACGCGATATTTTTAGGGTGTAGATTCAAACGAATGTAATCGTTGAGAATGGTCGTTGGAAAGAAGGTATCTTCGCTTCACAATGCAATCTTTGTCGGGATAATGTGGTATTTGCAGATCCGCATAATGTTTAGAAATATGAACATATATCATGGATTCTTCAGAAGAATTTGGATTCGGCGAACTGGGCGGAGCATGATTTTTGCGAGTTCTGCTCTTGTTAATATACTCAAAATCGCAAAACCCTACTTTGCGTCAAAATGGGTAAGTTAGGAAGAAGTTGATGTATTCAAAACAGACGAAATTAGCTATAATTAGGGATAGCAGAAGCACTCTATGATCAACAAATTCCTCTAAACGACAGTACTCTATAGAGAATTTACGTGTCCAATTTCCGTACATTTATCTAGAAGAATCAGTCGGAACATAGGATCTCTGCTTGACAAGGAATTTTCCTATTGGGGTAGCAATAAAAAAAATTACCATTCTCTTACTTGTTAACATAGCTGCATGCAAGGTATTTCTGTTGGGTGATTTTTAAACTAGACGATGTTGTCGCCGTAGCAAATCGTACATGCAGCCAAAAGAGGTCAAGAGTGTAAGGTGGTAGAAGTCCATTGCATTTATTTCGTATCTTAAATTCTAATCTCTTCTATCAATGTTTACTGGTTTGTGGTGTCCGGCAGGTAAAAGTGCCATGCTTTATGATGTCGAAATAGCATTGCACTTTTCCCGGCCTGTTACCCAGATACCTATCATCAATGTAAGCAATAGAAATTGCTTCAAGGAATTTTCCCAACTTTATAGCAATTCTTCCAAATGTCGAAAATTGCTTGATTTGGAGAATTTTTTAAATGTAAATAAATGTAGGAGACTTCTCTCATTAATGATGTGCAAGTTACACCTTAATAGTGAAATTTTTATTCACAAAAAAATCCTGCGATTCTGAGATTTGAAATAAACGTAATTTCTGAGAAAGATAAGATAGAATAAATGATTAAGGGCATTGTGCGTAGATCAGATCGAATGCAAAATTTCAATTTTTGTATAATATTGCACTCGTCCCGGTCTATGTACAACAGCTCAAACTCTTCAAAGAATGCCTTTTTCTTTCATTTATAGTTAGTGATGAAGTCGACGAATAGATTTAATCCGAAAATACAATATTTTTTATTCCAGGCCCGTACAAATACATCACCAACAACAACAGGATTTGAATTGCAAATTTAGGATAAAAATAATAGGCCTTTGCAGTTACGTTATGGTTAAGCGGGTAAAAATCGTTAGGCTTAACCAGTGGCGCAGCTAGTGGGGGATGTCGGGGTCGAACTTTTATGTTGTCGACGCAACCGCGGGTCAAACGCAAGAAATTTAAATTAAGAAAGCAAAACATTTCAAATAGGCCTGTATCGCTAACGGATTAGTTACTTCGCGCAACAGAAAAATCATTATTCGTTGAAAAAGTCGGCCCTTTAACAAGTGGCGTAATCGCGGCGACTGTTTCAGAAGGGAATGGGGTTTTTCGATTTTGAATCTCTCCCCTTTGAAAACGCCTTCCATATAGTAAGACATCAGGGACTGCATATATAGATCCTTGTTCCGAGCGAAATGCGTGGTGAATAAGCGTGGTATAAAAAACACGATAGAAAATCGATTACCATGAACAAATCCCCTTTTCATACAACGAGGCTCAAGTTTTATCGACAAAAGGGCGTCGAATGTCTACTGATCATTCAAGAAATGAATAATCACACACGCACACGTCTAGTCACGAGAACAGGGAAAAGTAGTTTCTTTCGTATTAAATAACCAGCGGAAAAGATTACTACGTACGAGTTTTCTTTGTGTTAACTGACGAAGAGCTATGAAGATCCGAACCACCGCCGATCGCACGCGATCAAGAACCGACACTAGATACAACTTGTAACCGACGACTGTATTATATCTGGACTCAACTAGGATGTGCATTAATCATGAAAGAAATTTCTGAATCAAAACTCTAATATCCAAGCAAAATACGATTATGGCTTCTCGACAATTTATTTTGCGTATCCCTTTATTTCATTCACACATTCTGAATCCAGTACATTTTTATTACGACGGTAGCTTTAAGAAAACTGGCAACTCGATATAGTCAGAGTTTTTGGTGGCCAGGCGCGCTTTTTTGTTAACCTTGTCCCAAGTTATGCTGGCCTTGCAGGTAACTCGGCATTTTGTTTGTCCTATGTTGTTTTGCTTTATGCCAGAGCGACAAAAAGTAAACTGATTGATTGAAGACCGCAGCGTTATACCCAGTACATGGTTTATTATCCGGTTAACTTTTCCCCACTAGACTTCTTCAACGTCTGTGATTAGTTACATCGCGTTTCAAAATATACGTGATGGTATCGGTGACGAGACAACGCAAGACTATCGAGTAATCAACACAGAAGCTCTCAATAATTCCCGCCCAAGTACCCCAATAAATACTGTCAACAAGTGTGATTTTAACTTTTAATAAATATACAACTAAATTCGGCGAACGATAACGCCTAAACAAAAAAGAGGGAGAACTTTTTTAAAGAGTATCATTGGTTTGATGGTCTACTGAGATGGGTATAATACAAGAAAATCATCTGTATTCCAAAGAAGAAGAAAAATAAGTAACAAGATTAATGACGGTGCAAACGTGGACAATTAAGCAGGTTTTCTTTTTGAAATATGACAGCTGGAGTGGGTGTGGTTACATAGAACCACACAATAGTATAAAGACCGGGTTTAATTTGATTTCATGAATCACCGCACCAGGTAAATTAAAATCATTGAAATGATTCAGTTACTGCACTACAAATAATTTTTCTCAAGGCATCTTATAAAACACATCGGCACAGGAAAGGGGCAGAGAAATTTAATGGGACCTCCTGAAGTATGCGCACTAAGATGGCGCACAACCTCAACTCGGGTTGTGTACAAGGTTACGGTTCAGGTTGTGCGACATCTTGGTGCGCATACTTCAGGAGTACCATTTAATGTGAAAAAATAGAAATGCAGTCATTTTGAAACTTCTATTACACAACTATGCACATTGATAGTGTCATCTTCCAGATCCACTCACTTCTGACTGCGATTTATCAGTGCTACCACTCTGAAATAAAATGTATAGACAGATAAGAGTACAGAAATAAATACATTTTTAGTTTTAAAAAACAAATTTACCAAGTAAATAATACAGAGGGTTTAAGAAAGAAAAAAAAGTACTCCTGAAGTATGCGCACCAAGATGTCGCATAACCTGAACCCTAACCTGGTACACAACCTGAGCCATCCTGGTGTGCATACTTGAGGAGGTCCGAAAAAAATATTATCACAAAAAAGCATCTTTTGAGCTGAATTCCTAATCAAATTTAAAATCATATTCCCCAACATTATTCAATAAAAAATTGATGTTTGAAAGTCAAAAATATAAGTTCTCCTTTTCTCAAAACGGTCCTTATCATGGTTAGCCCTTTTGACCACAAAAATATATTTAATATAACTATAGTGCAGACAGATCAGCACAACAAAGATTACCAAAATGATTCCTAAGTATTCCATGCTTCTATTCTGATAAATTTAAAAACTGGGTAGTTTTTGCAAACTTATATAGCAACCATGCAAGAGATAGGACTGCCTAATCTACTCTTATCTTCTTCTGTACGAATTTTATGTACTGTGGTGTCATATTACCGGTAGTCATATCTTCATGAACACTGAACCTTGGCTATCACACCCCAACAAACAGTACTTTAACCTTGATTATTAAGTTATTCACCATATAATGATACCTGAACTGCTAAGCTATTATGCTTGGTATTACACATTCATCTGGCAATAAAACCACATTACACTTGAACTTACTTGCTAATCTTCCTCCAAATTCAAACAGAACTTCCACTTGACAATGTTGACATTGATGTATCAGATGTACCCTGTATGTGAAGACTACAAGGCTATATCCCACTCACAAATCCTCTCAATTAAATATTGAAATTGTGGACAATTCATAGAATCTTATACTTCAACTCGACATAACCACAAAAACTTACGAAGTCGTAGTTACTACATACTGAATCTCTCTACTTTTATTAATTACCTTATGTACTAATCTAAGTTACCAACACTATTCATTGCTTCCATTCACTGAAAAGATTCACTACACATAAATTCTATATGAGCTAAATGATTTATTCGATATCTAGACAACCTATAACACATCATTTCCCGCTTTTTATTCCAGAACCATTATCCACCTATGCTACCTACTACTACATTTGACATAATTTTCTAACATATATACAGGGTGACCAAAAAAACAGAACAATAAATGTCTTAAATACTTTGAAGAAAACTTATTTAACACTTAAATTTCTGTTCATGTAAGATTGTACCAAAAAAATTCTAGAATACTTTTCAGGGTTGTCCAAAACGAATCGAATATTCGAATGTATTCGAATATCAAAGTATTCGAATACCTTTTCGGCTGATTTTCGAATAATTCCGAATAGTAGCCACTTTTCGCCGTAAACGTGGTGTTTCGTTTTACGGGAATCTTCAAACGGATTTTTACGCTGTCTCGCGTATTGTAATGACGATGAATTAGAATCGGCACTTTGATTGTATATATTCTGTGCGACCGTACGTCGCATAGTGTTGCGACACATTTGCACGTTTGCGTGGGTGGACATTGCCGAGTGCCGACATTCGTCTACAAGGCTTCTAATTTACAAATTCATTTCCATTACGTCGAAAAATTGACATTTACTGTATTTCCCGGCTAATAAGTCGCTTTTCTAGGCCACGGAGATAAAGTGATTTGTGACCCTTTCATTTTGCCGATTCAGCAGAACACGACAGGAAAACACAGCTGTGAAATAACCCGTGGACGTACAGTGTATTACTTATCACATTCAAAATTATTTCAACATTCTGGTTAATAGGTTGTCCAAAATGATTGCCGCTTTACAACTTAAATTTACCGCTCAATTGTTGAAAATAGTTAATTCTGTGAGTATGATATTACCAAACTAACATGATCTGGTTCTAAACATTTAAAATTATTAGCGCATATCAGCATTATTGAACAACAGGGACACAATTTTTCTACCCGTCTTTTTGGAGGCCTTTATGGAAAAAACCCTTTTAGGAGTGCTAAAAATAGACATCGTCCTAGCCGGGAAATACGGTATTTATAGCAGTCATTGTTACGATATCCAATAAATTGTCACAAGTTGGAAAAATAAGTCGATTTATTAGAAAATAATTTCTGGCAAATAATTCTGATAACGATACTTAAAAGTATCGATCATTTACCAGGATGATTTTTTGTTGCGCAAAACAATCCAATCCATGACTGGTACCAGCATTTAAAATGTCATGCCGTATTAATTTAATTCTGTTCAACGTAACTCATGGTTGTATCGACATTCTGTGGACATAAAATGTGTGGTAAACTGACCGATTTTATTAAATATTGATTCCTATTTTTATATTGATAAAATAATGAAAGTATTAATACCAAATACTACGGGTATTTGTGGACATGAAATACGTGGTAAACTGCCCAACTATAATTTCGGATTCGTATTTACAAAATAATTAAACTATTATAATTCTAAAATGCAACGGCGATCTGTGACCTTAAAATTTGTGGTAAACTGCCCGATTTACCAACATTTGAGTTATGATAATAGAATTAAATTAACACGGTAAGGCATTTTAAATAGCGGTATGGATTCGAATATTTTGCGCAGCACAAAATCATCCTAGTAAAATGTCCATACTTTTAAATACAAACCAATGGCAACCATTATCCAAATTAGTTCCCAAGAACGGGATAAAATATAAAATTCTTTTTCCGACTTGTGACAATTTTTCGTGAGTACGAACATGAGAATCAAAAACTAATTATATTCGGCACAATATCACGGCAATCTGTGGACATAAATTGTGTAGCAAACTCGCGATTAATATTAATTTTTTGATTCCTATTTTCGTATTTACAAAATACAACGGCGATCTGTGGACTTAGAATGTGTTGTAAACTACCCGATTATAAATAGTTTTTGATTCCTATTTTAATATTTATAAAATAATAAAAGTAATTTTACTCAAACATACAACGGCGATCTTCGGACTTAAAATGTGTGGTAAAGTTCCCGAATATAATTAATTTTTGATTCGTATTTTTGTACTCACGAAAAAATTGTCACAAGTCGGAAAAATAACTCATACTTTATCCCGCTTTTTGGAAAATAATTTGGATAATGGTTGGTATTTAAAAATATGGGCGTTTTACTAGGATGATTTTGTGTTGCGCAAATATTAAAATCCATCATCGATACCACTATTGCCTTATTAATTTAATTCTGTTAACATGACTCATGGTATATAAAATATATACTGCAATAATCTGCAAATATGAAATGCCTGGTAATATAGCTAGGTTGTAACTTGTAGATAGCAAGTATTCCATTGCTTATTGTATGGAAATTCCTACATACATTTAGATAAACTTCAATTAATGGATTTTATTTTCGAAGTATTCGAAATTTCATATTCGAAAAAAATAATTTCGAATGTATTCGAAATAGTGAACTATTCGGTTTTGGCCATCCCTGATACTTTTTTAAGAATATGTTCCAAATGACCAGAGTTCTGTTTTTTGCATCCCCCCCTATAATGAAATTTACTATCAACATTCAAACCATCACAACATTAAATACCTTTACCTCATCAATGATTGTTAACAACACATCCATTGACATCAGAGTTAGCCAGCAAGAAAAAATACAAAATATAAGTACTTTGAAAAGTGTGACTCAATTTAACATTAACATGAACTCAGATTGAATTACTGAAACTAAAAACACTCTTAATGGACAAAATGTAAATAGTTCATTCAAACATACCTAGAATGGTGACTGTATAGAATACAGCTGCATAGCAGAATATTTCGTACTCCCGTAGCATGTGTACCAGGTTAATTTTTATTCCGATTTTCCTTACTTTAGTTCTATTACGAGTTCTGGGACTGCCTGTGTTAGTCAAGTGAATATACCCCTTGCCCATAGGCTTCAGTCCCTTTACACAACATAATGGTACACACACTTATGGAGCGTCAAATTTTTCAGGTCTAAATCTAACAATGCCTTTAGCATTTGTCTTTATCAATTCTAAGCATCATTTCGACTCACTTGCACATGGATATTGTTTCTTAAAACAGCAGATCTTAAAATCATTGCTTTCACTCTTTGTAAATATTCAGTACCAACTTGAACGGTCTTTTCAAATGTTAAACTTCTTTGATCAGTGTCTTTAGCATGTAGAATCTGATAAAGATATAACACTAAATTACATATGGCATTATAAATAGAAACAAGACATCAACGCTCAAATGTATGAACGAATGTATCGTACATCATTGACAAAGATAGATCAACCAAATTAATTTCAATGATAATTTAATAGGAGTCCATTTAGGATAGGAGAGGATGTGAAATGGGATTTTCTTATTTATCTCGAAGGAGAAGAACCCAATAAAATGGGTTTATCATATGGCGAATCCAGGATACTAGTCTGGTTAGCACTTAGCAGTCCATGTCAGATACAAAAATAACCAAACAGTTATTTGTTTCAGTTATTCAAGCATATGGACTTGATGATTGAGGAACCCGTAACTGTCAGAGGTTATGTGAACCGCCCTACGATAGCGAATTCTTAAAGCGCATAGTCCTTGTATGCATTGAATAGTCCAAAGATACAATAACCATAACACAGACAAAATCAAAACATAATTTACATAACAAAATTTCTTGTTCCAAAATTTAGCAAACTGAGCACACATTCCAAATGCATGTCAACTAAATTTATTTGAAATGTTAATGAAAACTGGATGCATGAAAACATCACACAGAGAGACAACTGGTGCAGTATTTTTGCCAAGCATTAATGATAGCCTTCAAGATAGAAACACATACCTTATTTTCTGAGTCAATTCTTGCTTGTATTTCACCATCTAATATAAGTTGCATTATTTCGTTTTCTAAATCAGGCAATGAAGAATTGAAAGCATTAGCCATCTTTCTCATATCGGCCATCATGTACGGACTGAAATACTAGAACAAAAAATATTCGTTAATGTCAGCAGACTTCAAATTCAATTTATATGATAGCAAACTCGATAATCTTTCATTTATAGCTCTCTATTCAAATTTGAGCAACATACTAAAGTATCACTACAGTACTCCTGTAGAGTGTGTACCAGGTTAAGGTCGGGCCATAATTTTATTCCGATTTTCCTTATTTTAGTTCTATTATGAGTTTGGGGACTGTCTGTGTTAGCCAAGTGAATATACCCCCCTGCCCATGGGTTTCAGTCCCTTCAACAACTTGATGTAAAGTAGGTGAACAAAATTAGTTACTTCCATATTGGTATATACACTACTGCAGAGCTCAAAATCGACTAGTTAAAAAAATGCACATACTTGAACTAAAGATCGATTCCTGATTTGCGCATAAAGTCTGTCGACGTGAGGAGAAAGATAGATATCCAGTCGTAAATTATCACGAATCGATTGTAACGACGATAAACATTTACTGTAGTTTGATTCATAGAATGCAAACACAATGTCTCGAACTTGAGGCTCCAATTCAAGAAGTAATTTGAAAGAACTGTAATAAAAGTGAGAACAAAATATTCCTTGATACATAACACATCGCATGAACACAAGAATATCAATCTCGGAGAGGAAAAAAATATGAGTAATCACCAGCCAATCGCATGAACTCACGTAAATTTCTGGAAGAAGCTTCAAAAAGCTTCAAAAGTCCTGATAAAAGTTAATGAAAATTGGTATTCACACACAACCATATGAAGACTAAATTTGATAGCCTATACTTGGGTAAAACAGCTTAGTGGTTAAAGCAGGGGATGGTAATCATTTTTCTCAGTGGGCCAGTTACAAAAAATTGACTGGGTTACTGGGTCAGAGCCTTAAAACTCAATATGGAAAACTAGAAATAAAAAAACAGTTCATTAATAAAAGCTAGTCCAACAGCTAGGCTTATATTTATATCGTAATGAGAAGAACAATATAAAATAGGAGTAATGATGACGTTGTTTTCATCGATATTTTCATCGTGAATTTATATCCATAAAAACTATGGTCATAATTTCAGCAAACACAAGTGGGCCGAATAAAACACTTCGGTGGGCCGGATCCGGCCAGCGGGCCATAATTTGCACACCCCTGGTTTAGAGGGTTAACTTAACTAAGTTGCCATTGCACTTCAAAGATCTTCAATTCAGGCTCTATTTCTACGACTTCAGCCAGCCAGAGTGTAATAAATTGGAGAGGCGATGCGAGAAGAAAGTTTCAATCAAAATTTGGTAAATTATTGTCAAAAGCCATGACCATAATATGAATCGGAAGTAATGGAGGAATAGAATATCTACATAATACCAACCTGCTATTTATAACTAATTTTTGAAGTTCTGTTCTGGTGAATGTAGCGAGTGCACATAAACTTCCATACACAGCAACATTACTGGCAGAAAGCAACTGAAATAGAAAAAAAAATCAAATTTGAAAATAACACTTTTGAACCTTGTTGATCAAATTCAAAAGGAAGTTTTAAATATGATTGACCCAGAACAAGCTTCAGGATTGCAAAATCTTTTACATCTGCAAAATATGGCTTCACTCATACATTTTATAGATATTATAGAAAACTTCGTTTGTTTAAACTTTCTTTCTTCGTTGCCCACAAAACAGTTTTTTGACATTCTATTTACTCAGTCTCAAGGTCTCATCCATGCAACGTTGTTTTGGGCAACTTTGGACAAGTAGGTTTAGAACTGAGAAGCCAATGTACCCTTATTGGTAGATCTGCATTATTCTGCATTATGTATGATTTGGGGAATAAAAAATTGTCAAAAGCTATTTCAAGATCGACAGGCCTGGCGGTTGCTGGATAGCGCTAAGCTTTGGCTTGTACTTCTCTCTCTTGCCAACGTACTTTTGATCACCCAGGTATTCAAAGCGTACCCCATACCCAACATGGACTGGTAACTGGACAAGAGGAACCACAGTGTGATTCATCATAATTATAATTGAACAAACCATCTTATAGGCTTTTGTACACATTATGATAAACACAAGTATCTTTTCCTAGAAGACACACTCAGAAACACAAGATTAATTGTGGCAATGCTATATAATCTCACTTGCTTTAGTTAAAAATAACTAAATTTCAAGAAAAATTAAAAAAAAAAATACTGAAAGTTACTATGTATAATGAAACTGAATTTTTCAATTTGAATTGAACTTGAATTCAACTTTACAAACGCTATCATAATATATTTGGTTTATTGACCTTCAAGGATTCAGCAATATAATTTCAAAATTCCTAAAAAATCAATGTACTCACCTCTGGGAAATCACAATGGTCAACAGAAACTTGTAGAAAATGCTTTGCTGCCAATTTGTATTTTTCTATTGCCAATTCAGCTAGTCCTGCTGCACATCTGTGAAGGCAAATTTTTGTAAATGAGATATATTATACAGAGTCAAGTAATCGGTAGTCTATTTTGTCAACATGCTGAAAATATCCACTCAACATAAACAAATTGAACAAGAGAGCGATGCCCAAATATATGGAAACAATGGCCAAAAGAAGGTACACATAGTACGGGTATGTAATATGTCACAGTAGACTACCAGTAGCGCAGTCTTAGCAACTTCACTTGACCACTAAAGCGAACGCGGAGCCGCCACAAGGTGTGTAGTTTTTAATTTTGCTCATCGTCGAACACAAAAAATGAAACCAATAGAGCCCACAGAAATTTTTCAAAATAAATAAAAAAAGCAATATCCTTCAAGTAAAAAATACAATCTATAACCATTGAAAATTTCAAAGCAATAAATTGGTTCAGTAATTTATGAGAAAAGCGATATCTTCAAATGGTAACAACAAGAACGAAAATAAGAATACAAAATGACAAAATGAACCATAGGTCCACTACGTGTCCAATAAACTAAAAAGGCACATTTCAGGGCGAAGTGAGATGCAGAAAACCAATACTGGTTATAGAGCAGTAAAACCCTTACAGAAGTCCGACAAAAATGACAAAAGAAAAAGTTGATCTCTACAAAGTACATCCAGGAGACGTGGTATACCTAGTAGTCGCAAATTTAAATAAAAACAACTCCGAGCACCACAAAACATGATCACCTATGCTTAGAGATTGGCCGTTAGCCCGTTACAATATTTTGTTTTATCCATCAAAAGGTTAACATAATTTACTCACTTTAACTTAGCAAGTATTGATTGACTATGGTTGTCTCTTTCCTTATCGGCAAATTCTCCTGTTGCTTCTGCTTTGTTTACATAGGTTAAAACATGGGACCAATTCTGTAGATACACACTGACCTATATCAGAAAAAAAATGAGCATTGAACATAACTTTAAAACTTTATGATTCAAACAAGTTTATATAAAATTGAATAGCTAGAAAATGGAGACAAACATAAATATGTTATTTATTCTGGTTGTTCAAGTTGATGCAAAAAGCCGAGATTACTGGAACATTTGGGTACAATCATATACAAACAGAAGTTTAAGTGTTCCAGTGTTAAATAAATCTTCTTTGTTTTCATAGGAGTAATTAAAAAATTTATGGCTTATGTTATTCGGGGGTTACCCTGTTTTAAATTTGACACTGTAACAGCTGACAGGCATACAAGACAAGTTATGATTACTTGCAGAGAGTCTGATTTGATCAATTTACCTAACTACCGTAATTTTTAACGCACTCAATTTGCGCATGATGGCCTAATAATCAGATCGATGCTCAATGAGCATAACTATTATGTTTGGTTGCAGCCACAGGACAATTTTCAGTATCAGATTCCATGTTCACCACCCAAACAAAGGTGGAAACAAAGGTGTAATACCCAACAGGATAAGTTCCCTTTACATCAGTTATTGCTCATGTAGACCCTTATTCTAGAGTAAACATGTAAAAGGGCCTATATTTTGGTTGTAGTCAAATGTAGCAAGCTATTGAAAACTGCAGTTTACTAGTTATTTATAACTTACACATTTGCACACTCCATGTGAGAATAAATAGAGGTGAATTGAAGATTTCTAACCAGCATTGCCAAAATAGTCAGGCCTTCCTACTACAAATTTTATTAAATCAATAATTAATATTAGTGTTACCTGTATAACATTGAGACACATGCTTATGATATGTTTCGGAGATGTACAATAATCTCGAGCTCTGCTATAACACTTGAGCGCACTCGGAACTTCTCCCATATTTAAATAATGATTTCCTAAATCGTCATGGCCGCGTCTGAAAGTATGAATAAAAAAATCATCCAATGTTGTCAAGTTATTAACAGACAACAAAAAGTAATTTGACAGCTTTTATAACTCCGTGTTGGGCAACAGTTAAAAATACCTGAAATATTAGATACAGAAAACTCATTTTAATTGTTAGTTAAATTGGCATTTTTAAACTGTTAAACCATTTCATAATCAAACAATTTCTAAAAACCATAACTTTATTAAATATCCCTATTCAATTTGAGTATCATCTTATGGAAACAATTAAGATTCCCTATTATTGTACGCTTAATCGTGTACAAGACAAGGTATGAACAAAATGAAATGGTGATTTGAAAATCACAAACTATATTATAATACTTTTCAGAAGAAACAAAAAGAAAAATTAGTATACACTTTGTGTCTGTGTTATTTTCCTAAGCACAAAAACAAAGAATCTTTAAAGTCATATGGTCCTGCATAACACACAGTCCTCAAGCACACAGAACTTATCAATTATGCATTATCAAAACTAGGAGTTTCTATTGGCATCCATATGTGCCGTTTCATGGCTGACACCCTAACAAAGAGAAAATTGATAGTAAAATAGATACAAATGACTAATTAATAACCTAATGACTAAATATACCAACATGTATTTACAAGATAGCAATGCCCAAATGCGTAAACACAAAACGGGCGTTTTCTGACAAAAGGACCAATGTTGAAAGACTGAAAAAACCTTTTATTAGAAAATATCACAAAAACGGTGGTATTTTTTTACCATAATTTGGAAAAATATTATTTCCATTAAAAGTGAGTTTAAGAGTATGAAAAAATAAAAATATATATTCAACTCATTTCCTCCTATTGGGTTAAAGCCCACGAAAAGTCAAATCTTTATATGGCCATCTCAATGTCAGCTAAACCTTATATGAATTGTTCCAATTATTGTATGAAATATTAAAGAATTACATCGAATATGATAGGTGTCCATAAATCATGAAAAGCAGGAAAACTTAATAAGGAAAAGGAGGACTCCCAACAAATATTGAAAAAAAAATATTCCCTAAAGATATTGAAATCGATTTGTCCCCTAGTTCCGCAGAAAAGCAATATTTTTACATTTCAAACAAGAAAACCAATAACAATTTTTATAGATCCATTGGACAGAAAATCAAAACTCATTGGATAAAATTTGAATCATAATCTCAAACCTTATACTTTCTTTGATAGAATTATCTTTATAATTTTTCAGATCAGTATCAAGTTTCTCCAGTAACGTTGCTGCCTTCTTTGCTGTTAATTCCATCCACGCTGTGTCAAGCGATGGAATTTGATGAGTCAGCTCTACTACTGCATCAGGAAGGAATGAAGATTCTCTGAAGAGTTAGAAATTTATTTTTTATTAATTCTTGAAAATGACGAAAAACATTATTATTCACTGATGTCATTATTCAACGATGTCTATAAAATTGGATAGAGAAATAAAATGCAGTCGATTTGATTTAAAGAATCGTAACCAACAGAAAACTGTACAGTACATTGATACAAAACAGTCTCTATTTTAGGTCTCTTTTTTTACGCTTGGTTTAAACCCATTTGAAAAATATGATAAATTTCATAGAATTATATTCTTCATATGACAACGATGTCAATTTCCTATTATTAAAGTGAGCTTTAGGACAAAAAAGGCGAATGTTCAATTTTCGAAACATTTTTATTTGTGAATATTGAGAAAAAACATATGCTCAGTGATATTCATAAGTTTCGCAGTTTTGGGCGAAAGTTCTCGTAGTACTATGTTTTAAGGCAAGCTACACATTCAGCCTAACAAATACCTTATTGCTTGAGCCAGCATTTCATGAATGTTATGATATAATCCAACATTAAATGATTTCTGAACGTGAGCTAGAGCCATTCTAAAATAAAAAACAGATATTATTAAAAAGCTAAATGTAAATTATTATCAAAAATACAGATTTAAATGTATTCACTTTCTATAATATTTCCCAATTTGCATAAGTTTATGGTTTACAATTGATTAAAGGTGTCATTGGGTTATTAAGCACAATGTCAACAAATTGCTTAGATTAGGGTTTCCCATACATACGGTAAGGCGCACCGACATATAAGACGCAGCTGATTTTGCAAAGGATTGAGTTATCGTTCGAAGCTCATTAAGCAAAAAAACTCGATATTTTTAATATTTATTGTATTTCATTCAAAGAAACGTAGAGCGGTGGTTTCTTTATAAAAATAATAGTAATGTTACTGGTTTTGAGTATAGGCCAGTGGTACTCAACCTTTTATGGCTATGTCTCCCTTCCGAAGGCTTTCGTGCTAGGCAGAGTGAAAACACCCTGTGAAATAACCTTCAAGCAATGAAACTAGGAAGAACGGGGAGTTTTCTTGTATAGTGAAAAGTAAAAACAGTTCAGCGCCTAGAATTATTAAGGGTTAATAAGGCCCCCTCCAACTGCTCTGTGGCCCCAGCAGAAGGCCATGGGGCCCCAGGTTTGGAACCACTGGTATACGCAAGAAATTATGAAGCATTACCATGATCCATACATTAGCACCGGCTTGTAAGGAGCACAATCGATTTTTGAGAAAAAGGGGAAGGGCCATATAATACAATACATAGAACAAAGAGCATTCTATCTACCTGTATGCTTCTACTTTGAGTGAAGGAGCATGTTTTGCAATAAATAATAATCTTTCAGTCTTCATCAAACCAGAATAATTTGCTGTGTACATTTCCAAGTCCTAAAAATATAGACATGAACAATTACCAGTAGTTTGAAAAAATTGCACTTGTAGGGTAGGTCATTGATCTTTTTCAAGAGTACAAATGTATGAAAATTTTGTGAAAGTATTGCAACTTGTTTAAGATGATGCCTCTTAGTACATCTTGGATAAAGCAAGAGAGCCTACTGCAACGCAAATATAGCTAGGACAACACACCGACAAGTAATTTTTCTCCAGAGATTGAGATTCATAAACCTTTCAGACTCGCTATTATGACACGTTATTAATATTAACATAACAATTAGTCAAGTAATGGAAAAAAAGAATTATTTTTTTATAACAACAAAATAATACCAAAAAGAATTATAGGTCCACTCAGAGTTCATTAATAACTGTTGGTTGTTCCTGATGCATGGACTTGATGGTGGTGGAAGCCGAAACTGACCAGTTACATGAACCACTACATATAATATTCCCCAATGGGATTCGAACCTCCGAAGCCGAGCAGAATAATCAGATGTGTGATGGCGATTGTATTCCTGACGATTTCAAAAGCTGAACTTCGCTACAATTTCAGACCACTCCAGAAAATCAAAGCCCCAATCACAGTTTTGCGGCAAATCCAGCCATATCGGTGGTGACAATGACTTGAGAGTATTTTTTTGCTCATGAGTGTGTGAATTCATCAAAAGCACAATAATTGGAAAAGACATTAAACAAAACAAACCAAAGTTGGGTTCTCCACAATGAAGTTTTGATCATCATCCTGTTGTTCATTTATATCATGTTCCTGTGGTTCAACATCAACTTGCATCGGTTCGATACCAGCCTGAAAGAATGTTACAAAAATGATCAAAGTAAGCAGTAAGTAAAGCTAAAGTAAGCAGTATCAATAAATATATTTCAAATTCAAACTACGATGATCGAACAATCATTTTTCCAATAACATAATCGTATATTATTCTTTGCTTTCACCAATGGAAATTATAAAAATATATTCTCACTTCTATCAAGAGATTATCCCTTTGATTTTAATCATTTGCATCCTTGAGTAGGCTTACTTAAAAGCAGATTAAGTCGTCTTAAATCTTTTAAAAGCAACAAATAATCTCATGCGATTGTGATCAATTTGCTACAAATCTACAATCAATTTAAGTATGAATTTCACCAGTAACGAATAATAACTCAAATTCATTTTCAAATGACAAAGAATAAGGCGTAGAAAGAATAGAATTCAATTATTATCAATATTATTATATTTTCAGAACCCTTCAATTAAACAATTTTAAACCAAAACCATTCTCTCACGCTGCAGAAAAATCACAATCATTGACATGTAATTTGAATTCATAGAGTAATATATAATAATATACTGGGTGTCCAAAAAATTTGCCCGATTTTATAGTAATAAAAATCAAAAATTTCTTCGTCTTTGTTTATTAATAGTTCTTATTTATCATACAATATAATTTATTTATTAAACTTGCAATCGCTATCACAATAAAACTGGGAAAATTTTTTAATTGTTATTGCCGTGGGGTCGTGCGAAATTTTTTTGACAGCCTGTAGAATATTCGGAATACCCATCTCAACCTGTCATACAAAAATTGTTGACTAACAAAGTTTCTTAATCCATAACCCTAGATGTATGAAAAAAAGACGTTCTCCATGATTAAAGTAATATACAAACCTGATTCATAAATCCCATCAACTGTAGCGACATTTTTCTGCTTGTATCAGATAAACTCTATTTAATAATATATAGTTGTTCTACATAACAAAAATCTGAAAAGTACCAGTTAATATTTAGCAGTATGACATAAACAGGGAGCGTATTGAGTTATTCACATCCATTTTAAACAAAAAAAAAATTATTTATAAAATCAGCACAAATACATACAATGAAGAAATAAAGAAGGTTGGAAAAGAAAAGAGGAAAAATATGACTTTGAATGGCTTAGTAAACTGACATACTAACAGTGGTATCATAGTTAGAGATCACAGGTTTAAACCCTGTATAGTCTATCCAGATCAGGGTGATCCAAGGTTGTCAGCTTCGGGGGTCGCAAAATTATTTTTGTATTATTCACGGGCAACAATAGTGCCAAAAATAAATAAACAGTACAATACAAACAATTTTATTGTGCAAACACATTGATCATTATTTGTTGCTAATCAAGCCATAACAAGCAAAAACCACCGAAAAACTTACTAAAATGTGCAAAAGTCTTTCTATATCTACATTTGGTGTAACATTTCAAACTCTTCATAACGGAGAATTATTTAACCTTGCTAGTAGTCTCAGATATTCATAACACTAGTCAATTCAGTGACATTAGTGATGTCGCCTTGGTTTGGACCACCCTGGTCTAGATACCAACCATCAGCATATCCCCAAAATGTGATATGCGACTAAGGTAATGTCAAAGTGGAAAAATAATAGGCTAATGGTAAATCGCTGTTTATGATGAGCCTTATTAATAAGAGCAGAAAATGTGGTGTGCTTTATGAAAGTAACGTCCAAATCATTACAATTCAATAGAAAAGCAATGATATGAAATATCAAAATTTTAACACCAAGGCAAAGCAAAGGCATAAGCATTGAAGCCATTGATAAATGAAACTTGATAAGTAATATTGTAGAACGCAGTAAATAGTATCTGCACTAAATAACAGTTGAATGAAATTAATAGGCCTATCATATTAGGAATCAATACTTTAATCACACTTTCAATAAGGACAATTCTATAAAATATCTCTACTTCAAAGGACGAAGGGGATTTTCGAAAAGAGCATGAATATATTTTGAAGTGATATCAAATATTCATTCAATAGCATTGAAACTAGTCCAAAACTGTTTACAATACAAACACAGAATTGGAAAGTAAGAGAACAATAAAGAATAGATCAATCTGCATAGAAAAACAAAAACAAAGACAATTTTTGTTATCGAAACATTCTTTTCACGGTTGAACCTACACTCGCTGATACGGGTGGATTAATATTAGAGTCACTATTGATCCTGTGGGTAATTTTAAACAGATACGGTTGTATATCTGGAAAAGATGTGTCAAATACGAGATCCACGTCGGATTGTGTTGGCATTTTTGGAACAAAGTCATGACGATTCATTGCCTCAGTTACACAGAATATTTTCTCTGCTAAACGTGATCCAATGTTTTCTTGAGCGACCTGTCGCTCGCTTTCTGTTGTTAAGAGTTTTTCTGTAATAACTAAATTCCATATTTCCCATGGAATTGATTCATCCGGAAAAGGCCACCTATTTCGTCTTTTTTGATAGAATTCGATTGTAATAGTTCCTGATATTGTAGTTGCAGACGCAGACAATTCAGCTCGTTTTTTGCGTAAGTCTTCACCGAAAATGGATACATGTTTTGATACTACATTTGCCAGAGTTTCTGATGAAACACGAACATATGTGAAATCGATAAAATCACAATTTATATCTTCCATTCCAATAGTACCAACAGAATAAGTCCCTTCACGTTTGTAGCTAAATTTTCCCGTCGATCGATGTAAAATAATTGAATGAAAAATGGACAAAACTGCTTCTTCTACTTGACGAGACTCAACGAGAATTTCCAAACTATGAGACTTGGCATTCATAATTTATTTTTATGCTAAAATGTTTTCTAGATCTAAACAAAAAGTATATAGCATATATTTAAAAATTAATAATAGAATAACCAACAATTAAAAGGCAATAAGGCGAATCAGTGATTAGTAACATGCTACAGCGATATAACGTATATCCTCGCATATAATCCGAGTTTAAAGAGACCGAAAAAAAAACTTCCAAACTAAGGAGTCACCTATATGCCAATAACTCTGATCGCACTAAAAACTAGACATGTATGTGTGACAGTGAGGATGAATTTGAAGAAATTTCAGACACTTCTTTACTGTATGTAAAACATAACAATAATGTAACTAACAGTTGGGATTACGTGAAACTAACAATGATGGTTATCATTTTCATCAATTCTCTTTTGCAGCCATTTGCTGTGATAGGTGCGTTCGACATGTTAGGATTTGCAGGGTCGGCTTATATGCTTATTTGTATAAATTCACTGTTTTAGGGGTTCAGCTTATATGCAGGAATATAATGGTATGAAAGGCAGAAAATTATTCAATGCAACATGGTATATGAAACATTACAGCACACAAAAAAACAAAAATAATGAAACATTATAGCTTAGAAAACACACACCTCATATTAATAAAGATAACAACTTTTGAAACTGTTGAAAAAACTGATATATTATGAGGAATTAGAATAAAAAAAAATAATAGTTCATTAAAATTGAAGCAGATATCTAAGAAATGACTTATTATAATTGAACAATTATCGAATTTCTATACTGAAAAATAATAGTTGTAATCCATGTTGTATGCTGTGATTGATTGGGGTCTAAAATATCAAAATGAACGTTCAAATATATTTGAAAGTGATATTAATATTCCAATAATAATTAGTCGGGAGAAATGTATCAAAAACTTGTTTTTGGGCAATATTGACATCCGCTAGGTCCAGTGGTTCTCAAACTTTTCAAGTCGCGCTCCCTTTTAAGAATTTGTCAGGTCTTACGCCCCACCTCATAAATAACTGGTAGTTATTAATAAGCTGCAAATAACTGATAGTAAGGGGAAAGTGTGTTTTAAGAAAAAAAAGGTTGAAAAAATGTGGATGGAATAAAAATATTCAAAATAAGACGGTTAAGATCAAATCTAACAAATGTTTTTATTTCCCTCAATAAACTGTCTACGCCACCGGGGGGGGGCTGCGTCTTACCATTTGAGAACCACTGCGCTAATCAGATTAGTATTGACTTTATTTTAGTTCTGGACTGTAACAAAAAATCAGCAAAAACAGTGTTTATTTTAAATATTTTTAATAATAAGCACCAAATTCAATTTCTATCTAAAACCTAATTTGGTATTTTATGTCTGACAACAATATTTGAGCAGGTTAGTGAATCAATGAAATATAAGGTTATGGGTTATGGCCATTCCTAGCTACATGGAAGAGCTACAATAAAACATCCATTAAAAAAAAAATTAAACTAACAGATAAACAAAGAAAATTGTGGTCCATTTTAAACGCTGGATTAGGTAGCAAATTTCATAAACAGTTCATGCTTGATGAAGATTACACAGTATCTGCAATTCTATTTCAAGAACTATGGCCAATTAATTGGCAAAGATAGCAATTCTAGAAAATTTTTTTAGAAAATTTATAAAAAAAAAGAATATATCTTTGGATACATTTTTTATGCAAACATTACATCATTGTTAGTTTACCTTGACCCACAACTCATTACCAGGAATATTGAACTAAAGAGAAATATTATTTAATACTAGATAGAATTATTATTGATCACAATCACAAAATAATAAAAAAAAGATGTAATCAGAAACGTTAACATAAAAATGTAACAGAGATTTCGAATTACACTTTGAGCAGAGATGCAAAAAAAGAATCGAAAACAGTACCAATTTAAAATTTGTTACTTCCTGGAAACTGTAAAAAACGGGAATCAATTAAATTATATGATTTTAATGTCGTTTTATTGCCGAATTCAAACTTATTGACTAGGAATTGACTCCAAATATTTTTTTTATAAATATATTCAATATTATATACCGGTATTCAAAAATATTGTTTGAATATTATTATTATTATATTATTATGATATCCATTATCGATGAAGTATTCGTTAAAATGAACAAAGATTGTTTTAAATTTAAACATAATAAAGTATGGCATAATTATAAAAAATAGTTTTGTGATTGGCATACTAATCCAAAGTCTTCAGTCTTGATCATAATAGGTTGGTCTATCAAAAAACTCATCAACTAGTTTGCGAATCAAATCTGGTGTTGCATTTTTCCCTTTCTTTTGTTTCCATAAATACAACATTTGAAGCTTTTGTTCCTCTGCCTGGCGATAGTCTTCCATTATGCTTTCGACATCATAATCTGATAATCTCAATCCTGACGAAGATCGAGCGAACTTTTTAAACTCAGTCATCTTCGGAAATCTCTGAACTATTTCATCCTGAAATACATCTTCGATTCGTTCACCGACGCGTCTTGGTTTAATTTGAGTTTGACCTTTGTTCGAAGGTTGTGGAGCGCATGGTCTCGTAGAACTTTGATATGGTACAGCTTTATTTTGAAGTCCATGGCTACTTTTTTCATGATGTTTCTGTGAACTTGTTTCTTGTTCTCCACTAAAAGTCCTATTCATTATGGGTTTCTTCGAGTTTGATCCTTGGATTTTCGGATCATCCATGCTTCGTGGTGTTGGAATACTATCTGCTGCATCATGACCTCCAGAAGCCATTTTTAGAGTCGATTTCACTGAACTAACAAGCACGTACCGAACCCATCAATAAAACTATTACAGAAATTAATAAATAAAATGTTAAAATTCCATGAATTGCAAATAATAAGTATAAAGCAATATCCACCCTTGGTGTATTAAATAAACAATCCTCATCTACTCCAGAACTTCACACAGCTTTCTTAATGTGTAACCTAGTTTATTTTTATAATGTTTAATTTTAATGTATCTGGGATAAACAACAAAAAAACAAACATTAACTTTCAACATATGGGAAAATTTTTGAACTATTTCCAGTAACAAGTAAATAGTAAAACTTTACAGCATTGACAATATATAGATTAAATCTGTTCAAATTATATAATAAATTACAAGTAAAATAATGAGTTTTTTTCCTAATTCACCATGATCAGAATACTCTTATTAATAACTCTTAAAATAAACGTAGAATGTTAGTCAATCCAATAGTATCATATCAAACTATTTGTTTGACATTGATATTGTGGTCCAACTGGAAACTACATAGATATTATTAAGTATATTAAGTAAAGCAAATAGATACATCCAAATATAATTTTAACCCATTAGATACTCCAGGCTCACTACATATACGAGTAAACTCATAATATATACCATCACAGTGAACAACTAGTTAACAATATCATATAGTACATAGTATAAGAAGGAATGTTTTATTAAAAAAACATCCCAGTCAAAAGAATGCTTTGGCCTGGCATCAATATATCATGTTTGAGCCTATATAAAAAAAAAATATTTCAAATGTTACAAAGTTCAGAATCTTTACTAAGTTGTTCTTTATTATATTTCTGAAAAAGACGTCAATGCTCGCGACATGATTTATGACTAAAATTACATTGCCCTAACTTATGAGTAAAAATAACACTAGGAATGTTTTACACTAACATTGAACAATAGAGATTAAATACAAAGAAGTCACCAGGCAAAAGCTACAAAAAAATAAAAATATGAAATAAGTGAAGTTACACTGACAGGTTTTTCGAATTAAAAATTAAGGTATAACTAACATCTATTACATTATCATTATTTCACAAAACCACCTATTTTTAATTTTAGGCCAATTTGTGTCATGATCCATAGATTTATAACCACTATAGTGTGATAATAGGTGGTCATAGGAATGATATAAATAAATTTATTAAAAGCTAATTACTGATGTAGCTCATAAAAGCTTATTTGTGTATTCATTTATCATGGTGAATAATAAAATACAATCACAATTCACAACAGTTCAATTGCAACACTAGTTGATAAAAAATTGCACAAAACTGATGAATAATACACTTAATTGTGCAGAGAAGCATTTCGAACAATTTTATTTCGATTAGGTAATGCGAAAAATATAATATATGTTACTAAAAAGATAAAGTTAATTACAATAATTCTCAGTGAAGTTTATTAGTACAGTATTATATTATTGCTTGATCACAGCTATATTTTTTATAAATAAATATATTTGCACTGACCTTTTGTTGATGAACTTAATAAAAACAGTGATAAATTTGTACCGAAATATTTGTGTATAAAAATCCGAATAACCTAAACTTTCAAAAAATGTAAATTAATGTCATTAGAAAAAGTTTATTTTTCAATTCAGATGTTTGAATATTATGGTAATTCTCCCAAAAAAAAATTATTTTTGGAAATACAATTTTTTATATCAAATCTTATTGCAAGATACAACAAATTTTGCTTCAAAATTTACCAATTTAGAATATTTCAATTCAAAATTATTATTAAGTTCTGAAAATACCAAGAAGTAAATGTTCAGATATGGGAGGAGATAACTATCATGAGCAACCTCTCTCTCTGCTATAAGCAGCATGATTTAGAGTTGATTTAATAACAGAGCAAATTTTATCAGCATTTCAATATGAGATATATTTGAGAATAAAAAATGGACCCACGAAAAATAAAACATGAAGGAACTACGCGATAGCTTACTACAAAATAACACTTTCCACTAGTCTAATATGGAATTTCATAACAGATTTATTATTTACAACATAAAGGATAAAGTAACACTACATCTTGAAACTTGAGGGCACCAATAAAAACGAACTTCAAAAAAGTTTTATGCATTTGCACCATAATATTGAAAATAAAGCATTAATAATAAGTGGAGATGTACGGTAAATAATAAAATCATTCATCAGCTTTCCATTTTTATACTCAAGCTATATTTCTCTTCTACTCAGTCTTTTCACTATATTATATTATTGTTTTGTCATATTTCCTAAATATAAACAACAACAAAATTCATGCACTATACAAATTATTAATCTTCATAAGTGAATTTTACGTGATAAATAGGGGAAGAAAACACAAACTTATTTCACAGATGACTTTTCCTCTGGACTTGCTAGATTCACAGGTGAATTTGATTTTGTCGAACTTGAATCAGATTTGACATTGAGAGAAGTTGAAGGTCGTGTGACAATCCACGATGGAACTTGAATCCCAGTAAATACCTCTAAAGATCCGAACCACATAAGAAATCCTGGAACAATCGGGCCATTGCATTTTACTTGCTTGAACGTATGAATGTGTCGACGGGTTTCGGCATTATAAAAAGACAATATTCCAGTAGAAAGATTGAAGTAGACTCCATATCTATTTGGTGTTTGACCTGATGAATCTAGATTTTTAACTTTATTGTTATGTTTCGCAACGAATGTATTCTGAATCCAGCTGCTGATATGTATACACCATGATGTTGCTGTTTTTCCCAGTTGATCAAATCTGGCAAGCGATTTCAAGGTTATTCCTACAGAATACGTTTTGCAGTCAGGATGAGGTGAAACCTCAAAATAAGCTTCTTCGTCACTAAATGCTGTGTCAGCAAGTACAGTGTAAGACTCTCCAGTGAAGCGATCTTTAGGTTTAGCTCTTCTAGGAGAAGACGAGGTTACACCTTTCGCCGGAGACGGCGAACGAGTCATGCTAGCACTTTTTATTCTATTATCTTGAGAAACTTTATTTGACGAAGCGTCCCATTCCACAACATCATCTGAAATCACTTTAAGATTTGGATGGGAGGCGTCTGGATTGAGAGCAAAATGAAAAGCTGGAGTAGAGATTGACCCTACTTTACTCCATGTACCCCCCATTGCCTTATTCCAAGCCTGCACACGGAACTCAAGAAAAGGTTGATGAAATATTAACCCTTTTATATCACATTGCATTGAACGAACACATTCAATAGTGATCCATGGAATATTTTCTCCGCTAGTTCGAACCTGTCGATATTGTACGACGAAATAATTGATAGAAGAAGGCAGGTGAAGACGATCTGTTTGTTCGCTGCATAAACTTATCGGCATATCAGCAGATAAAAAATTGTCTTCTTCTTCCATAATTGTCCATAGGCAATGAACGATATTGTTTTCCGCAAAACATCCGGCTTTAACAATTTCTGGTTGGCTTGGAATAGGTAGAAATTTCAGCTGATTCAAAACGTTTTGTTCCCTAGCGAAATCAGCATAAAAGAAGCATTCTGGTTCTGCATTATCATCAAACGGGCACAGCGAAAGCCGAAATATAGGAGACATTGTTACACGCTCTTTAATACGAAGAGCGGCTTGTGAGAATTGATCGGGTGCTGCCAAATCTAGGGCCTCATTGGACATTGCAATTAGATCTTCAGCATCATGTTTTGCTGATTCGAAAGTTTGTAAATGCTCTTGCAACGGTTTCATTTTCTCTGCTAATTCAGTTTCAATCTCAGACATCATTCGCGTTCGAGCTCTTTCGAGACTTTCTGCCAACATCTGGAATTGCTCGTCCAGTTCTAAAATCGAATCTTTGTAACAATTTTCGAGTGTGTCAATTTTTGAATGAAGTTCCCGTGCATATCTATCCACTTCTTCATACTTTGTTTGTACAGTTCCAGTAATTCTCACCAATGCTTCTTTCTGTTTGTCCATCATATAAGTAATATTAATAATATGGTAGTATCTAAGTATGAGCAAAAGAAAATTCAAATATATATTATACACTGTACAGTATTACGACATTTTTATCAACAGCATCCTTTTACCAAAAGTGAAAATGTGAGAGAAATATCAAGCACAAATAATATTAAGCAATAAAGTTCATAAAATACAATTATTGAGATGTGATTATTTTACCTTCCATATTTTTTCTGCGCACGATTGCCTAGTGGTTAAAGAGTTAGAGACTTAACTGTGTCACGTTCACAGGTTACATATCTCTATCTTCAAATCCCATGTCCACCACCTCAAAAAAGTGCAAATAATAGGATAGGCAATATTGAAACGGGGAAATCGTATTCTTCAGAAACATCCTAATATGCCAACGATTATTCAAATATGTGCAAGATGGTCTTCCTTTAGGAATGATAAATACTTATTGTCATTCATTTCAAACACACTTTTTCAATACAGTTAATGCCAAACGAAGCAATGAACAATAAATCCCAGTCAAGAAATACAAATAGGCACAAACACATCTGATTATAGATACATAATAATAAGTTATTGACACTGCAAGCTTGTGAGGCTGGCCAAAAGCCATGTGAAATTTACTAATTTGAATAATCTTCTAAAAAAAAAAGATTTTCACATCTGAGAAGCATTCAAAATTTATACAAATCAGTGTGAATACTATGGGGACTGAATTTAAAGGCAGAAATGTAGAGCAAATAACAGATATTATATCTGGTTTTCCTGTTGTACCAATGTTTGTTATAATCTGCCTAATCTCTTTAATAGTCCAATTCTTGCTTGTGGATGCGACAATAACATATTATTGATGAAAATATTGTAAAATATTTAATAATTTAGAGTACTATATTAGATATGGTACTATATTGAATTTTCCAGTACAACGAGAAAGCAGTTCACAAAATTGATGAGACAGACCAATCATCTATTGAAGAAAGATCAGGCTTATTTTAGACTACGAAGGCAGGTAATTAACATAAAAATAATATATAATTCTCTTTGAATGAAACAATGGAAATATCATGCAGTGTAATGCGGAGATGGCCGAACCCAAATAATCTACCACTGTAATTCAGATATTGAATATATTTTAAATTAGATAAGTATATTTAACAGAGAACATGTTGAAGTTGATTCATATTCAATGTGTTCAAATATGGAAAAACAAAAAAGTTTCAATTGATTTTCTATATCTTAAAAATTTTTATAACTTTAAAATAAGGCCTGTGAGACTTAAATTTCTCAATAGCTTTTTCGAAATTTACTATCCTTAATTAATTCTAAAACCAAGAACTTAAAATCCCAAATATAATTAATTTTGAATTGATTCGAAAATTTGATTTAATTTGAACAGTGAATATGTAACAAAATTTTGTTGGGAAAAAACTGCTATATGCCAAATTTATCCGCAAAAAAAGCCAATTCAACAAAAACAATAGTAATTTTTATACTCAGTTCTAACGAAGTCTTAATTATTCATTAAGCAATTCAAATTCCATTTCAGCTGAATCATCTTGAACACTTCTTTACACAGAAGTTTATGTTACACTATCATTTGAGTTCCTTTTACAAACGTTTTCCAATTTTTTTTTACAAAAAATGAGGAAGTTTCTTTTATGGTTTTCATTAATAGACTAACTATCCATGGTTTCCAAGCACGATACTTCTAAAAATTGTTAGATTTACCAAACATAAGGCAGTTCATTCATTTCTATTAGAAAATTATTAAACTCCAGATAAGTGCAATACTATATGGAGGCAAAACAAAAACACAGAAAAATAACAGACAAAACACACAGTTATACAATAAGCTGTAAAAATCATGAAATTATTGCAATAAAATGAAGCAGCAGGAAAAACTCACAACAATTGAGTTAAACTGGAAACCAGTTTCCAAAAAAATGTTTTTTATTCAATAATAACAAATTGATATCAAATTAAAATTATTTAGGCTTTAGCAGGCTCGTAATTGAGTAATCTTTTCCCAACAAGATAACGTTCATTTTTGATATGATCGCACAATCGACGAAACTGCTTCGCTTCAAACATGAGAAAAGAAACTAGTGCAAAAAAGGAAATGAGACAAGGATATATACGACGTAATAAAATATTTGAAAAATCGTGTGGCAAACCTAAAACATATGTGGCCGAATGAGCAATCACATATGGCACAGTTAAAGATAATAAAAGACTACACATAATGGGATGAATAACATCAACGTACATATCACGAAGACTGAAATTTCTAGGTCCTTGATGAAAGACCCTCTCTATAGCAATTCTTATTTTCCATTGGGGGCCGAGCAAGGTTAAAGCAACTGCTAACTTAACTAAAAGAATTCCAAGCACCCAATCTTGCCAAAGAAAATTAAGAGGAGATTGGTGTAAAGGTACTCTCAATGGAATTACGATTACCAGCTCAAAAAGCAATCCGAACAATAATGGAAATAATCCAAAAACAAAACCCCCAACAATCGCAATTTTAGAAATCATTTTAATCAATGTTTTACACTCTGACCAAATTGCTCTTGAACCCCGAGGAAACCATACCATTGATAAGTTTACCAAATGTCCCATCAGCCAGCATGTATATAACCCCAAAGCTGTAGGATATAAATCATGTATAAAATTAGCATTTTCAGTACCTAACCACAAACTAAATAAATATCGTCCAATTCCCACAGGTACGACCATTACTGTAAGGCTGATCAATGAAAGCGTTGCACACATTAAAAGTAGCAAAAGCACAATTCTAGTCACAAAATAATTTGGGCGAGTATAGGGTTGATGTATCTCGCCATCTAAAGCCATCTGTTGTGGTTCTGGGTGTAAATTTTGCTGCTGAAATGGCACAACTGGAACTTCTTCTTGATTTTCATCATTATTATTTACCGCCTGTTGAGGTTGAATTTGATTTTCATTTTGAGCTCTGGCATCGCCGTCAGTATCACCAAGAAGATATGACTTTACACCTAGTAATGTACCAACAACTTTCGCCCAAATCTTTATTATTGATTTCAACCATTGCCTTGTCTGGCCTTGCTCTAGTAAAGCAGGTATGATAACTTGCAGTAGAATAAGTTCAAGAGATAAATCACTGATTGGAACATCTTTACGTAAATTAACATGATATGGTAGAAAGTTGGGTGAATAACGAAGTATCATTTGCACTGGCAAATAAATCATCATTAGAACTGCAGATCCAAATATAACGACTGAAAGTAAAAATCTTCGAATATGTCTGTACAATGGTAAGTGGATCATTTCTTGAATCGGGTTGAAATCCGGATCGTTTAAATTGCGTAGGAACCATAATGCGCCAGGACGCAAAACTTCTTTCAAAAGCAGCATGAATGAAGCTGTGTAAAATATATAAATCATTCCTAATAACCAATGGAAAAAAGTCGACGTTCCAGGTGAATTTATGTAATTAGTAACTCTTTCTTGAACAGTTGTATTAAAAAGCTGTAGTGAGCAAATGTCCAACCACCATCCACATACAAGTGGGAAAACACCCATTTCAAACATAACTAGCAGAGCTACTTTCAATACAATATACAAAATCCCAAGAACTCTTCCAGATCGTTGCATTTTCAACAAAAACATAGCAGCATGACACACAAAAAATGCCACGGTCAAAATAACGTATCCGAATAAAGTGGTGAGGAATCCTTCGAATCGTGAAGCAACGAGATAAACATCAAGGTCAACCGCTGCAAGAACAAAATGTCCAAGATGATACGGACAAAATGCAAATACAAGAATGAAAAGAGTGTTGAGTGAAACAACCCAGAATACATGCTCGAGAAAAACTAGAGATCCATCGAGTCCCAACATTCTTTCCCACGTTAATTCTTCCGCAGCTCTATCCCATTCAAGTGCATTCCAATTGCCATCATCTCCTTCATTTTGTACATCCACTTCATTTTCCTCCAGATCTTCAACTTCAGCACCATCCAGCTGAATCTCTTCTGGTTCCGCATCTTCCTCCTCCTCATCTATGTCTTCAGAATCATCCGATTCATCCTCTTCTTGTTCAGCAATATCTTCAGCATTCGGAACTCCATGTTCTACGTTATTGTTATCATCATTTATCGCAACTTCTGCATTCGGAGCTACAGCGACATTATCAGGACCGTTTCTATTTAGCCAGCCTGGCATGCCACCATTCATGATTTGTTCGCGAAGCCACACTAATCCGATGAAAGAAGCCATCGTGCAAGCCACGACCAATGATCCACATAAAATATCCTGTCCTACATTTTCAGTAGAAAGCATATCCATTGGTAAGCTCAGTAAAGATCTTACCGATCCGGTAAAAAGACATTTATAAATTCGACAAGCGGTTAGGGGGACAATACCTAACCAAGCCACCGCTACCAAGGTATAATGCAACCATGATCTTACAGCCATGAATATGCTGCGGAATAACCCATACACGAGGTCAGTTACTGGCAGACGAGTAGGCATATCAGCACTATAAATTGGCTTGAACGAATACTTATGCTTGCACAATTCACAATATTCTTTTTTGCTGTGGCGAAGCCATTGTACCAAACAGTCCTGATGTACATATCGTATACTTCCAGTACAAATACATGGATGATAAAGTGGTTTGTCTTGAGAACCTTCAGATCTACACACACGACAAATATAATCGCTTTCTTCGACAGAGGCCATGGTTTTCTGATCTGATCCCTATCTGAGACTTGTTTTAAATAATTCCCAACATAGATATAGACTGGAATAGCAGCTATTTTATTGAAGATTCAGAAAGAACTATTTTGTCTTCTACAAAAATGAATCAGAATAATAAAATTAGAGGAAGGTTTTTTCAATTGCTCGCTAGTTATTGAATAATTTTTGTATTATCTTTCGACATGTTGTCGTCTATTATCATCGAAAATGATTACCGTACTCTTGCATTTTGGTGGCTGTTGTACAGTCACAATAACGTCATAAAATTATCTCAGAAATGCGACCTCCCTATTTCTTGGGTAACAGTTTGCATAAAAATGCACGCAAGCACAATCCATTTTGTGTTTGTCAGCTTGTGATTGCTGCCCTGCCGCCTGTCCCAGTTCTGCCTAAAAAATCATTAATCTCAAAAAATCTCTAACTGAACAATTCGCAGATTAATATTTTTTATTGAAATTTGGTGAAAGGAAGCAGTGTGATGTAAAACAAATTGTTAAGCTAGCTTACCGGTACCGGTACTGTAGTGTCGCCTACATACCAGACATACTGACATAGTCTACAACCTCCAAAGCTTTTTGCGAAGGAGCGATCGTCTGTTCGTAAGCCTTTCCACAAAACGCTAGAAGCAGAAGGCAAGGTTTATTAACCACAAGGTGTCGGTAAGGGAATGAAGAGAGAGAGTTTATACATGGTTAACTAAATAATAATAATATTCAGTTAACCATGGTTTATTGTTTCGTCAAACCAGATAGGCCGCGAGCCGAGGCCCTGAAAACCGCCTAGAAAGTGAGTTTCGTAGCGCACATCAGGTAACTACCTGAAAATGATTTTAAAATGTTCCTTAAAAATTTAGTAACAAATATTGCCTTGTTCCCACTTCCAAAAGTTGCACGTTTTACGGAAAAGACGCTTTTACTGCAAGAAATATGTGCTACGATCTGTCCTATATTCTCTCTACATTTCCGGCAATGAACAATGACTTCTGCATGACGTAACAATTGAATCGAATCAGCTGTTAACGAGCGGATGAATCTTAGTTATTATTGCTCGATCTTGCGTTGAGTTGGGCAGCCTTTCCATAGCCCTGTTTAGTTATTATTAGTTAAGTTATGCTAAAACGTTGTTAAAAAGTATAAGTAAGTTATTAACCACTTGTAGATCCTTACCACGGATATGGGCCGTGAGACGAAGCCTCAAGGCGCGGAGCAGCGGTGTGGCTCAACGGGCTAAGCGTTAGGAATACGCTCGCCACCGCACCTCTAGTTACTCTGCGTGGATTCGCAGGTTCGAATCCCATGCAGAGATGGTTATGTGCGAGAGGATTGCTGGACTCCTCGCCGTCGTTGGGTGGTTCACGTAACCGCTGGTCGGTTACGGCTTCCTCCACCACCAAGTCCATGCTTCCGAAAACAAACAATATAACTAATCCCATACCCGACTTGGAATGGTAACCGGACGAGCGGCCGTGGTTCGCCATATGGATAAGCCGTCTTATCGGCTTTCCACTCCCCCGAGATAAATATGTTAATCCTATCCTATCCTTGAAAACGCCCAGAAAATGAGTTTCGTAGCGTTGTTCCACAATCCTGATGCGAAATTGAATATAAGAGGTTCCCGGAAATTCAATAACCATAAGTTTACAACACATACATAAGAACTATGCAATTCGAGAGCCCTACAGCACACTAACACAAATGTATTCCTGTAATGTTTTGCCTGACCGAAATCAGACTACCTCAGTCAATCATAATTTATTAGGTAGATTACGAAAAATAGGGCATACATGTAACCAACAACAAAAAATACTTTAATTATGTGACAGGAGTCGCGAGTGACCTCGAAAGGTCTTCAAGCAGCGACACCAACAACGCTGATTCACATTAGCGAATAAATTTTATGTAATAACCACAAGCAGTTTACAACAAGAACAGCATAAAAAGCTACATCCATTTTATAGAAGCTATCAAACGTATTTACTTTTAAGCAATGAAGTCACAAATTAACATCGTGAGCACAAAACACAAATAAATCAGTTATTTCTCACTTAGAAATTTACCGGAAAAGTCAAGAAAATTAAATGAATGTACAATATGTACATAACATAGTGAACAGAAATATTACAATTAGTCTTTTTTTAGTTTATGTGGTTATGTATTTGAACAAAGGCAATATTATTTCTAGAAACAGGATTACTACACTAACAAATGTCCGAAAAAAACAAACAGATAAATGATACTTATTAAATCAACTGCAATGTCTAATTCACTTTCTTCTGAATTGTTTTCGAAATCCACTATCTCGAAAATTGACTTTTCCTCTATAAGTGTACTGTGATTTTTGCAGTCAATACAAAAACAAAAATCTGTGCAATTTAAGTTGATTTTGGCACACTTGCATAAACTATTTTGACCATTTTTCTTACACTTGCAGTTTGCCAACTCAAGAACTGATTTGAGGGCCACATGCTTCTTCAGTGAATCATTGTTGGGTGGCAGAGTATAATCCTTATGTTTGCCAGTGTTAAATAGACGTGCCCTGGTATCATTTACATTCTTCATATCCTTTTCATACAGTACTTCATACATACTCTTCGTACACAAACAAATTCCTCAGCTTTATTTATTAATGCCTCGTTAACCTCAAAAGATCTTCATAGTTGAGAAAAAATGAATTGAAAATCTCAATGAAGTCTCCAACATGAGTTTGATGTGCAGTTCCAATTGCAAATAAGTGCTAAAGTATTTCAATATGAATAGCCCATCTAAGCTGTTTGCAACTATTGTGATTCTCATATACCTTTACGCTTCAAGACTTCTTGTTTAATCCATTTTATAGCACTGATAGCAGCAGGGATTAGAGCCTGAGTTAGGTCGGATTGGTGGAACATTGTCGTTTTCTTTTGTAGTACAGTATCTAAAATGAGGAAGAAAATCATATTTGGAACAGCATGAGTGTAGAAATACCACAAAATACTAATACCTTTAATACAAAATGCATTTTATCTGATGTACCCAAGGACCGTATATATGCTCATTGCATGTACTACAGTCCAGCAGTGTTTGCATACCAGTACTAGACTATATCTACACTAAATTTTGATATATCACAGTCTGAAATGCCCTCTGACAGTATGAGTATGGATTATAGACTATATTTTACAACATCAACTGTCTGTCTACAACTTGATTTCTCACCTCTCAATCGTTTCCAGTGCTACTTTCTTTCCACTCCGGCATAACTTATCATTGCTTCCCAGGTTCTTGTCGACTCTATGAATGTAGATTTAGACCAACCGACATTAGTAAAATTGATTATTTTCTTCTCTTCCACACAACCGTGCATTACAGAAACAGCCATTAATTTCTTATTCCAAATATGCCGTGGCCTATATAGTAGTACAAGTCTGCTGAATAGTCATTAAATTAATCATAAACATTTCATGCAAGCCAGAAAATATTGTTGTTTGTGACATATTATTCTAGGTCTAGCCTTCCTTGGAGTTACCGCACCGTACCTATTTAACAACGTCTTATGAGCTAGTGATCAACTAAAATTGCTATTTATGGTAAAGATATACAAGTGTTTAATATCTTACTTATACTTTTCAACACCTCCTTAGAATAACTGAACTAATAATAATTGAAAAAACTATGGAAAGGCTACCGTACTGAACGCAAAAGCGAGCAGTAGTACATCAGATATTCATCCGACCACGGGGGATCCACCTACAGCTGACTAATTTGATTGTTACGTCATGCAAAAGTCTGCGTTCATTGGCCCATGATACCGGAAAAGCAGAGAAAATAGGACAGATGGTAACACATTTTATTGTAGTAAAAGCGTCTTTTCTGTAAAACGTGCAACTTTTGGAAGTGGGAACAAGGCAATATTTGTTACTAAATTTCTAAGGAACATTTTAAAATCATTTTCAGGTAGTTACCTTATGTGCGCTACGAAACTGAAAGATAAATGGCCTCGGCTCGCGGCCTAAGAAAACATGATGATACAAATAATAATAATAATAAAACAACACATAAACAGTTTTCGGTAAATGACTGGATGATAGCGATACGGCTATATACGGTCATATTTGGTTAATTATTTTTTACTCCTGGCGTGGATTTCCAGTTTTATAAAATGGACAAATATTTACCAATCGAATGAAATATAATTGTCTATTTTCTAATATCGATTGATTGATTGATCACCACAAATATCATATTTCTATAATATACTGCGAGTGCCCATTTTGATTCAGATTTTCCTTATTATAGTTCTATTACGAGTTCGGGGATTGTGTGTGCGTGTTAGCCAAGTGAATATATCCTGTGCCCATAGGTTTCTGTCCCTTTACACAACTTGGTGTGGAGTAGGCGAACAATATTAGTTGTCTTCATATTGGTACACACACTTATGGAGAGCTCTTTAGTTCTATTTATATGTACAGCTCGGGTACTACGGAACCAGGTCACGCAATGATATTGAAAAAATACGCAAATACAAAATACAAAAAATAAGGCCAAATACAGGTGGGGAAGCGATTCCGATAAGCCATCTTGGCTAATATTTTGTGGGTGTTTTTGACTGATACGTTTGCCCAATGACATTAAACAACATTGTTTAATGCCATTGGTTGGCCGTAATATTAACCACGACTTTCGCAAATATATAAAACTGCCGAAATTAGCACCTTATGGTGGGCTGGGATATACTAGCGTTTGATACATGATGAGAAACGAATATGCGAGAAAAATCAACGCAAATGATTGATTTCTGTCAAATCCAATCGGAAATCCATTAGGCGCCTCGGAAAAGTTGAAAGTCTATCGTCGAAACGAGAGAGCTTTCAAATGGTCCCACGGAAACGAGAGAGACACCAGGGCAACATCAATCGAGGTAGCCATGGGGATGGATAGGTTTAGGTCAGGAGTTACGAACTGTTTAAGGCGACAAAAAATTTCTGACAATAAATTGAAATGACTCAGGAAATAGTAAAATAATGTTTACCTAAGTATCGTCTTTTCTGCTTATTTCCCGAACATTGACCAATCAGGATAAAGTCAATAATGAGGTAACAATTGAAATTTGTGCCGATGATCAGACAGATATTCAATTCAATTAGTTTATTACACCAGATAATATAATAACATAAACAAATCAATGAACACAGGTAAAAACGAAACTAGCACAGTAAATATATGTTTGAATACCGCAATATCAGCCAAACAACATATATTATGAAATAAAATTACAGTAAGGCAATATTGCCAAAATAACAGCTACCATGTTTCCCCTAAAATGATACCTAACCTTAATTTAAAAACAATATTTTGATATAAGCCCTTTTCGTAAATAAATAAGACCTAGTCGATAACGTGATATTTTTTTTTGACCTAGCCGATAGCAATAAATTACTGCTACACATTTTGAATGATTATTCTAAATCGTGTGAGACCGACCGGTAAAGGTTCACCGACGAAAATAAAATACATCCCCCCAAAATAAGTCTTAGTGTTATTTTTCGGAATGAAATCGAAATAAGACCCTGTCTTATTTTGGTACAGTAGCACGAATTAAATTCGTTGACTATAAATATGCAAAGTCACTAAAATGTTGAAAGTAATTAGAATTAGAAAGGATGTTATGCATGCATTAGGCTATACTAATGTAATATCCCAATGTACCGAACAAGTAAAAAAAAAAAGCAAAATTGTCGGATCCAATATAGACCCCGACCCCATTGTTGTGAATATAGCCTCGGTTTTGAGTGTTATTTGCCAGTTTTCAGCTGTGGTTTCAAAAATTAGGTGTAAGGCCAATAACTTATTTGTCATTATATTTGGCGATGATCTTTGATTTGGTTGCAATATTTGAGAATTAGCCCCGGAAAAACTGCGGTGGAGTAGCTATGAATAGCTAGCTGTAAGCGACACGTGGATGAATATTTTAGTGAAGGAAAAAATGATCTTTCCAAACTTGCAAGACAGAGGTTATTTTCAAATTTACAGAATAAGCATTCAGAAATTTTACAATAAATATTTTTCCGACATTTAACCCAGGAAACACTTTGCAAAGCTAAATGCTCTCGAGGAATGATGCAATGAGTAAACAGCATTTTTAGCATGTGTCATTTCTTTTATTTTGTAACCACAGCAGAGCGACAGCCAGTCATGCTAGCAGCTCTATGGGTGGCCTACAAATTCCCACGCATTTCCCCGAGTCTATTCTTTTTGCAATTAGGTATGCGTCAGGAAGTCGGAAATTCTTTCTGCCCATGGTGGTACGTCCTAGTAAATTGATGTAACAGAAAAGTACTTCCTCAAAATCTGTTTGCCTCCATATCGCATAAGACATAGGAGAGTGGTACAACTACTTATGTCTATGGATTCGTCGAGTTGAATCGAAAAGATATTGCTGCTTGTTTGTGCGAGAGTGTCGATCAAGTTTCACAGCGTCATTGAATAAAACTTGAGAAGAAAATAAATGCGCCACAGTAAAGGTAAGTTCCATGTAATTTTTGGACACGTGAGTGGACACAACGGTTGTTTCAATATTATGTTATTGTTATTCGTCATCATTATCATTAAAAAATCGCTTTTTTCTTCGAATACTAGATCAATTGCATTGAAATTTTCAGTGGTTGGGGATGGAATTTTACTCCAGAAGGCTATTACTTTTATTTTCTTTCAAACTTTCTGTGAATCCTATGAGATTTAATATTGCATCAAAAATTTTGTTTTATTACTTTTTAATAATGGATACACGATTTTTAATCCGCCAAGGTTGACGGTCAATAGCAGTTTTACTGTTCAGCTTCATGTAGGAAACCCATGGTTTTCGGTGGAGTGGTGATAAATTACGTGTCCATATATTTGAGCATAGCTCTCTTGTTTTTTTATCGTATTTCCTTGCAAATTTGCACTTTCTCTTTTTGCCTTCTCTGGTGATTTGCGAGTCTTTTTCTTGGATTGTTCTTGGATTCTACATTTACATTATCTGTACTTGCTTTATATCATTTTTGAGAACTATCTAGTTCAAAAAAAGTTTCTCATCGTTCTTGTTAAAAACATCAAAATGCTCTGTTGGTTAATTAATCTTATCGTAATCCCCCTGCAATGATACAAGCCTCAGACAAAATGAATTTGCATCACAATGACAAGTTCATCAGACATAGCAACTTGGATCCATGCTCAAAATCCCGCTGTGTATCACCTAGAAAAGATCTCTGCGGCACTTAGTTACGACTCGAGTCACCTCAAGTTTATATTTAATGGATGCCGATTTTTTACGGCTTCGGGTATAAAGAAAGAATGGTACTAACGTTTAATTCATGATCATATTGAGAAGAAAAGCATGTGGAACAGAAAAAAACTGTCGACTCTACATTGGAGAAACAGAAAGAAGCCTCGAAACTCGCAGCAAGGAAAATCTACGAGATATTAAACAAAAGAAAATTGACAAGTCGGCCCTTTGGAAACACGCCCTTTCTAAAAACCATAGCATTGACTGGGAAAACAGCAGAATACTAGGAAAAGAAACTCAATACAGGAGAAGGCTATTTCTCGAATCGTATCACATAAATAAAGAGAAGAATTCGATGAATGACAAAGAAACCACACTTTTCCCGCCTGTGTATAAATCATTGTTTGAATAATCCTCGTTTGTTTGAACTTGCGCTAATTTGTTTATTTATATATATTATCTTATTATCATCCTTTTAGATTAGAGTTGACGCCATGAATATTTTTTCATATTTTTCCTATTTTCTTTTTTTTGCTCTATATATATCCACTTGTGTCCTTTCCATATTATGGCCTGATGAAGTTTTTCTGTATAGAAATTCGAAACGTCGGCAAATTACATCGTTTTGCTAACACCGGTTGTGCTCCATTTATTATCAACATGAGTTTACCTGGTGGCAATCATGCACCACTGTCGACTTTTATGTTTCTGACGCTTGCGAGATTCAACGTAGCCCTTCTGGGACGAATCGGAACCGGCAAAGCGAAAAGTTTGATCATTTGGCGTCAAGGCGTCGCTCAGGCAAATAATAGACTATTGCACTTATCAAACCACAATATGACGGCGAAGAGAAATTGCTTAATAAATCAACGCAACATCGTTTTTTCGGTCCCGGCAAAGCGATTGAGACGTCAGAAAAGTTGTTTTTCAGGGGTCAAAGTTCTGGAAAACATCCGTATTTAATAGCTCTCCAGCTCAGGGTTGTCATATTGGCTTTTTATTGCCCAATTGAACGTTTTGGCTTTTTTCTAGCACGTTTGGCGTCAGAATTTCCGTTTGACTTTTCAAGTCCAGTGTAGGCTATATTATTAAAATTATATGAAATGCAATATTTAGCGTGCGACTATTGCCTAGCTACTTAACAATTGGATTTCCCCGAGCTTCGATTTTCTCATTTATTACTTTAACACTTAACCGTAACCAATTAGAAATAAGTCAGCAATGATGTAACACTTGGAAGTTCAAGTAGAACCATGTAGGTATATCACATACAGACATACTAAATCGGCACCATGTATTGTATATATACCAACAATGATCATTTTATCATGTGGCTAATTGCTCACACAAAAGCTCAATATAAAGATGTAGAACGTGCACTTGTTGGAGCAGACAATTACCGTCTGGCAACGGAGTTCAGTCATTTTTATTGCTCCTAATAAATATATTGAAAAATCAAGAGAAGAAAGGTTAATAAACGTAGGCTACTAAAAAGATATTTGACATTCACTCCAATTAATCAACGCAAATCGTTGATGTCATCGAATGGACTGTTGAAACGATCGGGTCGACTTCATCCGGTGGCAAAAGTCTGAATCGAAGAAACGACCTCGATCCAAAAAAATCCCGAACACGGGCTCTGAAGTTCGGTGAATGGCGGTGCCAACCTTCCAGATGATTGTTGGTTCTTATTTCTACGTCGAATACTGACCAATCATTGGGAGTCCAGACACTGTTGTATAGCTCGTGTTTTGAAAATATTCGGCAAAGTTCTTGAGTTTGCATCTTTTCTTTCAGTGATTTGAATTTGGACGTAATAAACATAGGTGGTATATAGCACAGCGCCATGACATGCTTGATCAGGTCTCTTGTTCCAGCGTCCCTAAAACAAAATAAAAACATGTTATTACAAAAGAAGTGAAAGATGTACAAAGACATATATAGATATGGTTAACCACTCACTTGTTGTATAGGCGAGCCAAATTATTGTGACGCACATTCTTCATGATGGCCTGAGAGAAGTGATATCCATGCACGGAGATTAGATAAGGTGCCAGATCGGTGATAATGAAGCCGCGCGCCTAGATTACGCGCCGAGTTCAAAGCCTCATTATCGCCGGCCTGACACCTTACAAACGTAAATACTCATTAGCCGAAGTCGTTTTCATTACAGTTTTATACTGAAACGAGAACGACTAACGGTATATTAACTCCACAAAAACTACGCAAGAGTTCAAGATGATTCCAAATATGTGTAAGAGATGTGACGACAACGTTTCCATGAAGCAGGAGGGACTCATCTGTGACGTGTGTCGAAATTGGTTTCATCGCAAATTGTTTAATAATTCAGGTGTGGCAATGACAAGGGATGTACAATGACAGTACAGGCTATTAAAAAAACAGGACGTCACGTTTGAGTGGAAGTGCCTGGACTGCTACCAGGCCCACGACACCCATCATGACTCCAACCCGGTTGTTATATCCCAGCAGATGGAACCTAGCCGTCGGCTGGTAGACTACTCAGGTGGTGAGTTGGCTTACAACTAATATCAGTCGGCACTAAGTAAATGCTATGCATCTCTTGAGTCTGCGTTTTGAAAAAGCAATGTCTTCTCCTCGAGCATCGATATCGCAGAGCGATTGCTCGACTGGTGAGTTGTCTGCCTCTCGTTGCTCGGTAGTCGAGTTGTCTTCACCTCGAGCATCGATGACGTCACGTCGCAGAGCGTTTGCTCGACTGGTGAGTTGACGGCCTGTCGGGCGACTGCCGTAGGCGAGTTTAGACTACTGCAACCATAGAGTACTGAGCTCACATTCATTAATATTTAAGTGTTACTGTGAAGTCTAAAAGTTTTAATATATTTGAAGGTGCTCATTCAAAACATTTAATACCAATAAAGTTCAAAAAATTAAACGTCTGTAGACTGTATTTGTATTCATACAACATGATCAAAATAAGCCACTTATACAAATAAAAATGCTTTCTAGAGCATATTTATGTATTTTTCTCAACATTTAAGCACTAAAAATATCAAAAACGCATTTCTATAGACCTAAATCACCACCGTAGAAAATGCCAAAAGACGGACAACTCACCAGGCCTCTAGGTAGTCGAGTTGTCCGTGTAGTCGAGTTGTCCGTCAGCCTCTTCATGTGTTGTTCATTTAATGATTATTTAACATTGAAATTCCAGCATTCAGACTGTTGATTCTGAAACTGATCATTAAATCTATATGCTTGTGTTTAGTTTATTATATAATTAATAACAACAATAACTGAATATTTGTGCAGTTGTGTTAGTTTGGTGAAAGGAACTTTGCTCTTCTGCTTGATACAGACTGCCGGTGCCGAGATGGACAATGCAGATCATATTGGGAGGGCTTTTGCTCAACATTATTATTCAACATTTAGTGCCAATAGGCCAAATCTTTCGCCTTTATATGTAAGTTGAAAATAATAATAAGGACAATCCAATACTTATACTATAACATTGAATTTAAAATGGTTTATGAGTCCAAGCGTAGTCTACTGATTCAGTGATTCTATTCACTGTGTCTGTGGTGAGCTTTTTTTACCTGTAAAAAAACTAGTGTCGACCTATTTATTTTAACGTCAGTACAGTTCCGGTAGTCATAGTCATTAAAGCATCAGTTTCCGAGCTGGGGATTCTAAACCTCATTTCACCCTTTGAATCAAACATATTTATCAGTATGCCAATATATGCTTGAAGAATAAGCAGAAATGATATTATCCACACTTAACTGTGGATGGCGATTTGTAGTGTTATTTTTGGCACACCCTGCGAAACATTAGGAAAATGCTTGCCATCCTTCATTACCCTGTGTGTGTTTGACATATCGGTAATAATACAGTATAATAAAGTTGCGCAAAATACTATAAAAAAGCGCAATTTAGTAACGTCATCATTGAATTTCTTGGGAAAAAATAATCCGATTTACGAAGGAAAAAAAATTTAACTGTAGCATTCGAGAGTTTTTAGCAAAAAACGGCAATTTGGGTCATGTGACAACCGCGATTAATTTAGATTATTATTGAGACAAGCATGGCGCAATATGAAGCATTTGACGTGGTCCCAGACGCCCCTCGTTTGTGAGACACATATAGTGTTTGGTTTATTGAGCCAAATGGAGGGAAATTCTTGGAATTTGGATAGTGTGCTGTACTGTTTGATAATTATGTTAGAGAGGATTGCTGGAGTTTTTGCCTCGCTCATTCAATCAAGTCTATTTATCCAGTTATCTGAAATTTTACATTTATCTAAACAAATAACTGACTAACTAATCCCATATCCGACTAGTAACGTGGTAACATGACTAGAGTCTTTGCTTTATGAATAATCTGTCATATCGGCTTTTCTCTTGCTCGAAATAAATATGAATATCTGACCCTAAGTCATAATTTGTCGACTCGAGCAAGAAGGGTTTATTTCAGTCGCATAGCCCAGTAGCCCTAACAGAATTTCAACTCAAGAATTGATGTAATGGTTCAGTGTTAACTCTAAGCAAATTATGAGTGCGAAAGTGCTTCGCAGTCGAAAAAAAAAGTGCGAAAGTGCTTTTGCCGATTTTAACAAGTTAGGTGCCCTAGCCTTTCATATAACCCATTTAAAACGGCATAGATACTCAAAAAAGCGCTCCACCGGTTAATATTATGAATTAAAGAGAAGCCTTTTCGTTAACCGAGTTCCCTTTAAGCGAATTCATGTTTAATTAAAACAAGCGAATTCATCGGCAACGAAATGACATCTGCTAACACCTGCCGGGACAAAACTTTCATGCAATGTATCAAGGCGTCAGTTGCTTAGTCGCGTAAACAGCAAAGACTTTCACATTTGTTACTCATTCCATCCAAAAACAGACACGAGGCAGGCTGGAAACCATATTAGTTACAGGGTGGATCGTTTGTACAAATCCCCTGCAAAATCCCCCCCCCCCCCCAAATATAAATAGCAATCAACTAATTAGGGTTAGGTGCGCTGGAAATTCAACTTTTCGATTTATCCCTAAACCTAATCTGATAATTATTAATTTGTGATTTTGAACCACTTTGAAAGTCGCCACCCCCCGCTGTTTTAAAAGATAAGTTAACCTACGTTCCCTCCGAAATATTACGCATGATACTCCCCTGTTTTATGAGATAGGTTGACCTACTTTCCTTTCAAACCTTTTTCTCCGAAATATTACACAAGATCACTTTGAAAATCCTCCCGTTTCGTGAGCTAGCGTGACCTAATTTCTCATTTACATTTATATTATACTATTTCAGAGCTTACCCAAAGACAAGTAATTTTGAAATGTCGACATGCCTTGGTTTGTGTGCGAGTTAGTTTAAATCGGGCAGAAAACTTCATATATTGGCAAAATGTTTAGTAATGTCATGTACTTTCAGCATTCATAAATAGCACTTTGTAATGCTGCTGACCTAGTATCAAATATTCGCATCACAACGCCACTTGCGAGGTTTCCATATATTTCAATTACACTAATAGGACCGATGACACCAAAGAGTTTTCTTTTGCGAAGGTACACTAAATATAACCAGGGTGATTCTTGAGAAAAACATTTATAAAAAAAAAAAACGAATGATATGATAGTGGATCCCAAATAATTTTGAGAGTGTCTCGAAATACCAATCCATTTGATAAATAATTTTCATTCGACCACATGAACGCTGATATCCTGAAAATTAATGTTGAAAGAGAATTACGCACTCTCAGGTATCGGACATCCAGTCGCGATATTCAATCGTTCATATGCACAAATCTCACATTAATAGTAATTGCTACCCAAGTTTGTAAAGTTTAGAAACCAACAAACAGAAAATAACCTAAAACACAATTAAAATTTAGTCGACAATAAATTTATTGCCAAGACGATGCCATACAAAACAAAAAAGATTTGGTCGCGAGAGTTGCGTATGATGACTGCCGTTGTTTTTTAAGCAGAATGTAAAAAAAATTATAATTAATAAACGGGAGTTACGACGAATCGTGTGTATTAAACTTCCCTGGTAAGTACTTTGGTAAGTACTATTATTATTGTACTTATACACCTGTTGGAGTATTTCGGACAATTTCGAATTTAAAATAAATGAAAACCCGACATATAATAAAGACGCACGCAAAAGTAAAATGAACATTTATTGAAAAAGTTATTATTTAAGAAAGACAACATGATCGTACAATTCCGCCAAAACCTCGATGTTCGCAAGTGAAATAATAAATAAATACTTCCCTGTATTCGATCAATTAACTTTAGCGTATCGTTGTTCTGCCAACAAACAGCCGGGTGCAAAATATTTCCGTCCTGTGATATGCTCACAAATATTCTCGATATTAATATCATACCCTCGCGTATGTACTTTCTATTAGCTCTTTAGTGATCCCTTCAATCCTTGGCCAAGTCATGTTTCGAATATGTGAACATTTTATTAGATCATACGTGGCCAGCGGGATGTTAAAATTGTAAACAAGAGAGAGGTAAAATCAATCGCGAATTTCGTTATAACGGCTCGTTTACGAATTGTTGCGCCTGTTGTCGTCGAAAATGATTACATTTGTTGTATTTTGAGGCATTTAAGCAGTAATAATTAGGGCATGACATCATCAAAATCGTCAAGTGAGATCTTGAAATTGCAAATTCCGTAAATAAAAATGTGAATTATTTGCTAACGAATTCAGCTTTAATGACCGTCGGGGTATTGTTTTGTTGAAAATTATTATTAATGTGAGAGCGCCAAAAACATACAGTCCATACCGATGCGACTGCAATTTATATGGTCGCAATTGGTCTGGCGCGTTTATTAATAGTGTAAAATAAATTAAACGAATATCAGTTATAACCAAGCCTGTCAGCGTGTTTATTTTCTGTTGGCAGGAATCGTAAAATACCATCTTGAGACAAATTCACTTCTATTATTAAATCTTAATTTTCAGTTATTATCGTTATACAAATAACGTGTGGCAACTTTTTAATTTATCGTCGACCAAAAAATCGCCCCACACTCGTCCAAACGTGTGTCGAGCTTGAACGACAGGAACAGATTCATCGACGACCTTAATTAGGGAAAATATGTATTTTATTGGGAATGCAAAATAAATGTAACAAAACGCATTTTTTGTGATATAACTTTGTATTTTCGGAAACGGGTTGCCGTGAAAGGTAAAATTTGATCTAAATTAATCGCAAAAATGTTTTATTTTAAATGTAACAAAACACATTTTCGCGATATAACTTTGTATTTTCGAAAACGGGGCGTCACGAAAATTATTAATCTAATGTTTTATCTATCGTTTAACTAACGTCTGGAACACATCATTTTCGGGGAGAACTCTAGCCCGCGAAATGTCATTTAATTTAAAATAGAGAATGTTTCACGCATTTCAAAACGGAAAATCACCAGTAAGTGGACAGGGATTCAACCCTCCGGATTCAGTATTCTATATCCCCCCGTGTCAGAACTTTCTGAAGAATGGAACAAAGAACCCGTCAAACCGCCGCGGAAGAAGGGGAGTATTTTTTGCGCTAATAATTAGGGCGTGACAATATGAAAATCGTCAAGAAACTGGTGAATTTGCAAATTCCATAAATACAATTGTGAATTGCTCTGGTAACATTTTAGTTTTAATTATCGCCGGGGTATTGTTTTGTTGAAAACACGTTGAAACTTGAGGGAATTAGTTACAATTAGCGCCTGACCTCTATTAGGCACTCGAGCACTCGAAAAAAAAGCACTCCAGCCCAATCTTTTTAGCATTAAGTCGCATACGTAAAATATCCTGTAAAAGAAGTGCTGTTCATTAACGTCATCTCGTCTTATGACCACGCAGAAATGCCTTTATTGCCGAATTATTCAATCTCTATTTTAAATCAACATTCAGGATTGGCACAATTTCAGATTTACGAAGTTTATCACCATAGAAATACATGAGAAAGTTAATTATCGTCTTAATAAATATCTGCATCACGGTATGGACAATAATATTACCATTCGTATAAAATTGGGACGGTAAATTTACAAATCTTGATAGGTAATATTAAAGCCAACGCAAATGTTAATTTGAGTCCTCAATGTCTTCAACAGCTGTTGCCGATGTGAACGAACGGGTAAACCCGAAATATAAAACTTCGATGTCCGCCGACCCACAAGAATTTATATTTGTAAAAAAGAGAGGCCGGGAATATAGATTACCCAAAACCTGGATATCGCCGCCAAAACGATCGGTGACAAGAACAATTAGCGATTACAACGGTATTAACCAGTAAAAAGGCTTTGTTGCCGATTTTTTAATGTTTCCACCACGTTTATTCGGTACTCCTTAAAAATATTGGATTCAAAAAAATATTGAATTTTGCCCACCCGTCCTCGCATATCAATGAGAAATAGTTGTGTAAATATCGCAAAATTACGGAAAATGCCACTCCTTTCAACATTGTGATTACATTAAAATGGCACTTAATGGTATTTTGTGAATTTGGTGATTTTGCAAATCTGTGACATGCTGCTAAAAGTTTCGTCTGATTTGAAAATCGTGCAGTTTGGTCACAATTCATCCAAAGTGACTATAACACATAACACTTTTATAGTCATTGTGAATTCATCGATATAATTGATAGTCACATGACCAATTTTCAAAGAAACGCACTGCGTATTATTCCAACATCTGGTTTCAATCACCCGAGAGCGTTTTTTGCCGGAGAAGCGGAATCGGTGTGCTTGTATAATAATCATATTACAAACAAGAATTTTGCGGTTAATGCAAAAGCTTTATCTCCTATGTCTGCATCTCATAGGTTAGAATTCCGGTAAATATCGTTATGATATGCAGAATTGAGTTACAAAAGTACTAGTATGTTACTTATTTGTCAACTTAATACTCGAAAATATTTGTTAACTTTGAATTTTTATTCCATTCAAAATCGGAAAAAAGTGCTATTTCTCTTCAAAATCGGAAAAAAGTGCTATTTCGCAGTCCCTAAAAAAAGTTGCGAAAGTGCTTCGCAATTTTCGCAAAAAAGTGCGCTAATAGTGAACACTGTAATGGTTCAAGTTTCAAATTGAACAGGTTTTTCAATTTTTTTATTCTGTTGCCATGATATCCTGATAATCAGTTTTCAGATTTAAGTATGTCACATTACTGCAACTGACATTTTATTTACAGAGTGACTTCAGCTGTATGACATTTGAAGGTCAGCCAACACTTGGGACTCAAAGTATTATGAAAAAACTTGAAGTGAGTTTCGAAATACATATGACTGTATGAATATTCTTAGGTATCTATCATCCCATCAAATTATTAAAAATATTATCTATGTATTGAAACCAGCTCATTGGTTGGGGCATTGTGATAAGCAGAAACCCTTACTTCTGATTACTCTACGCGATTTCGAATCTTGTGAGGAAAAAATATGTGCGAGAAGATTGCTGAACTTCTTTCTATCATACTGTAGCTTATATAACCACTGGTTGGTTACAGCTTTCCCCACCACCGAGGCAATGGTTCGCCATATGTTTAGGCTTTCCTCTTCACCAGAATGAATCGGAAAATCTTAGTGATTAGCACCACCCCTATGTTGTCATAATAACTTGCCTCAGTTGATGGGTTGCAATGAAACTTTACAACATAACCACAGCAATTCCATAAATGTCACCGAGTGACATTTCACACATTTATTCAATTTTACTATATCAAGGTCTTGGTGGTTTGCTATTTTTAGAATGCCAATTGGTAGCAGTAACACGTATGTATTTACCATAATTCACTTTTCACTTTGAACCAAATATTTTTCAAATGACGAGACAAAACAAGTGATGTCACGGAGTGACAAAAAGTTGAATGCATAAAATGACTGCGATATATCAACCAAATTTCGTCAAAAGCTTCATGACATATTAATTATAATAACTTGTCTCTGTATTCTAGAGATATTAATCTCTACATTTATGCAAAATTTATTGTACAACAAACATTTTTCAGGAAGCATCGTAATTATATGGCCCAACTAGTAGCATGTCACTCCGTGAACTAACGGAGTGACAAAAATTCCTTATCATTGAAATGGTATTAAGACTGTTGAACACAAGTGCACTAACTTTAATAATCTATAGCAGTGGTTCTTAAACTTTTTCGAGCGCGACCCAAATCTGAGTTTTATGAATACTCGCGACCCAATCCTAAATAACGCAAAATGTGTTAGTGCAGTTTGACTCAAAACAGACAACTATTTATTAGAAACAGTCCATTGACTCAGTGAGATTGATGAAACTGAAATTTCCTTTTCATTATATCTTCAATACACAGCTCTATTTTACTTAACGCAATACGCAAGTTGTCACGGGTATCGAGGCGATTGCGAACTTAGTTTTGTTAACCGTCAGTGCCAAATATCCTCGCTCGCACAAGTGCCTTGTCGCGAATTGTAGCAAAAAAGGCGCCCGCTGTCCGTCGCAAACACGACATCCTAGCTGGCCTTCGGTATCTCTCGCAATATACAACTTTTTACTCATCAAATGTGCACGCACTGCTTCGTTCGCGGTAAATGGTGCCTCGGGATGAAGTCGCATTTTCTCTAGATATTGAATAATCTAATGTCGAGAAGCGAGCTTTTTTTCATTGCGTCGTCTATTACAATTTACATTACCAAAAAGACACCCATTTTTGGTTATTTTAATCCACTAAGACGACATTCCACGCGGCCAACACAACGACAAGCGACGTGCATGGTTATTGGTTACCGATACCATAAAAATAATACACGTGACTGGCATATCAGAATTGTGATGTAACAATGAGCTCAAGACAGTTCTTTCCGTGAATGAAATTTTATATTTCATTATTTTTAAATACCAGAGTTTAGAAGCTAAATTGAAACATTGGGAAAGCTGAAAATTCGTCCTTCTCCTCTTAGATTGCCCTTGCTTTGACGACCTTGTCGCGACCCATTTTTAAACCTTCCGCGACCCATGTTTGGGTCGCGACCCATACTTTAAGAACCACTGATCTATAGTCTCTGTATTCTAGAGATATTAATCTCTACATTTATGCAAAATTTATTGTACAACAAACATTTTTCAGGAAGCAGCGTAATTATATGGCCCAACTAGTAGCATGTCACTCCGTGAACTAACGGAGTGACAAAAATTCCTTATCATTGAAATGGTATTAAGAATGTTGAACAATTAGTTATATTAGATCAAGATTGGGTATTTGTTTGAAATCACAAAACATTTAAACAAAAAATTGGGAAACATGATATTTTTTTGTCGTTCTGCTTGTGTATCCCTCATATGAATATGCTAAACGAGTGCACTAACTTTAATAATCTATATAGTTAAGTAAAAAAGCTATGTTGCACAGACAACATGAACGTGGACAACACGATTTTTGTTATTTGGATATGTAATTTATTAACCATAGAAAAGCATTTTCTTTTGCGTTGAAGTCTCTCTTGTTAGGTAGTACTTGTATCTGCTTGCAAAGCATACATAGAAGCGGTAGGCGCCAAACACAGTATTTTTAGTATGCATATTCAGAACAAGAAGACAGTGATAAATATGTCCCTCCGAAAACTCATTATTGCATCATTTTTGCTTTTTCCAGTTTTATGATATAGTTGGCACGAAAAAATAATTATTGGTGACAATGAGTGATGCACTTTTCTAATTGGAAGTATCTTCAATTTTTGACAAACACATCATATTTCTTTTACATTTCACGATATTTTTACCATCCTATGAGTCAACCTGATAAATGAATATAAACCAAAATCCAGATGTCGATGTTAAAACTTGAGATTTAATAATATTGTTTGTGAATTTTTTGAATTCACTTACTCCTTTTACAAAAATGTCTAATTATATTGCAAAACAATGCATTTTGCCATATTTATTCTGCCATTTCAACAGATTACATATTTTTTCAATTGTAGTCTACAATATGTTTGTTCATATTGTTCAAACCCGGTACATGTTAGGTCAAATATTTTGGTCATCGATAGTTTTAAAAAAGTTGCCATTGCCATTCAAGTTTCATTGTGGGTAAGATCCAAAGTAAGTAGAGGGCAGAGCGGAAGAATTTGCAGTTTAAACCCAATATTATAGTACTTCGCGTACAGAAAAATAATATTTTCAAAAAATGGCATACTTATGTCACTCCGTGACGAGAGATCTCTTGAAGTGCTGTGAAAGAACAAAAAGCAACTATCAACTGCCAAATTATTGGGCCCTACCCCCAAAGTGACGTCTCAGTTATTGAGGCGAATAGTTATTGAAATATATCAGATATTAAAATAAAGTTGAAAAATTGTCACGGAGTGACAACACAAGGCAAATTCCCATCAGCTCTGTTTAGCCCAGTGTTGCCAATAGTGCACAGTGCAATATTTGTATTAAGCACAGATATCAGAGGTAAAACTTAACACATACTTTGGTTGAACAAATACATTTTAAGGTAACATAAATAGCACGAGAGCTTATGTTACAAAACTGAAGAAAATTAGGCAGAAAATCATCAATTATTCCCCTGAAGAAAAAACAATTATTTTGAGCCGTAATTGTACCTTCTCATGCGATTTTAAAAACTTCAAGATATGTCCTACACTTTCTGCAGTTCAACATTTCAATTAGGCAAGATATAAATTTTACCAAATTTTCAACTAATTTATGGAATTGCTGACTACCAAAACACCTTTCTTACAGAGCCTCCCATTCAAATGTGTACAACATTCTGTAACGACATGCGACTCCCAGTTTGTATATGGTGTTGATGAGGGAAGGGCGGTTGTGGTGACAGTGATGGGAAGACTGCAGGTATGCCTTTTACCGTTACAGGAAGAAATATTACTAATCACATTTTCTGTGTACTTTTGATATTGGAGTCATATTTGTATTTTCAAACACTGGAATTTCAGACTTTTACGTTGACAAGCTTCCTAACAAACAATAAATAAAAACATTCTTGTTTAGTTTAGTTTAGTCTTGTTTAGTTTAGTCTTAATAACTTTACGTCAATGCAAAATGCCAGGGTGTTTTTTTTTCAGTCAGTCTCCTAGAAAACTAAATGATAAAAAATATTTTCATATTTCAGACTGATGATGACCCTCCAAAAGATTTCATTCAAACTTTTTTCCTTCGTGCTGTTAACGACAGTTATATGATCTCAAATGAAACATTTAGACTTGTTCTGCACAATCAATAGGAAGAATATTCATGAGAGTAATATTTTACTAAAAGTCGATTTAGTATCTTCATCATTGAAGCTCAAAGTCATGCATGAAAACGTCACATAAAATGCTGATTGAACTTTATTTGATCACAAACTTTCATTAGGAATTTAGTAAAGTGGATTCAATGAATTTTCGATTCTCCACGATAATTATGTACAAATTTCTTTGATACTTGCAACATAAAATTTGTTTTTGTAATTCAATTGTCTTTATTGGTTAACAAGATAAAAAAAATATATGGATTGTAGTGATTTTACATTAATTAATGTTGTTTATTCTATAATTGCAGTAGCTTTTGGGGAACAATCTTGGCTAGTGTAGCTATCTGTGGGCATCTATGTCAAAGGATATTCCATTGTTAGTTTTTCATAGCCTCGATTCAACAAATTGACATTTCAACATCCCCCAGTAACCACCAAAATTGATGTTTGTATTGTTTAATGCTTTGGTAAAAAACTGATTGATCTTCAAACCAGCAGCCTTTGGGGATTCCCCGGACAGTCTAGGCTTGTGATCCATTTAAAAGGATATTTTTCTCTGCCTTGCTTCAACAAACTGACATTAGAACATACCCTAGTAACAAATTGACCTCTTCATAGCCATCTGCGTGCGCATCCATTAAGGAGGATATTCCATCCTTAGTTTTTAGAAGGGGTTTTCCCAACCTTGCTACAACAAACTGACATTAGAATATACCCCAGTAACAAATTGAATTTTGTATTATTTAATTTGTTAAAAATGTTTTACAAAAAAACTGACGTAAAGGCCTTCGTATCCACGCTAAATTTACTTTGATGCTTGGACTACAGGCAAAAGATGGTTCATTCAATGATGTTGTATTATTCTTCATCAAATCTGTTCTTTCAGTTTAAAAACACCAACTTCTTTATCTTGCAATACGTTCACAGTCAATTTATATAACATTGCACCAATAGGTAAATCCTTAGCAACCTGAGCCAGTTCACTTTGAGGATTAGGAACAAAAATCTCTCTTGTGATTCTGACTGTACCGCTGACAAGTGAAGTCAATGTCATATTTTTTCCAACCATCACCTGAATATTATGCACAGTTTTAGACCTAGTACAAAGATTCTACAAGTAGTATCAGTTTCGTTAGTGGCCATCATAGGTTGGAATTATATAATGAAAATTATGTGGACTGCTGCTTGTCGCTGTGTCACAATTGAATAGCTAGTCATTATTCCCATACCATCCACCGGCAAAGGCCCCTTTTACAACACCACAGAATGTTCAAATGGTTCAACAACGAAAATTGGTGACATAAAGTTATATCCAAATTCAGTTTTACTATTAGGTTCATGTAAGTTAGCATACATATAATAAACACCCATTTTTTTCACCGCTTCTAAGCAAAATAAGCACAGAGTCACTCACGTTTGATCCTGGATAAAATTTGAATCTATGAATCTGAGCTGCAAGAATATATCCTGGATGAACGTAGTCACCTACGAAACGATTTAAAGCAAGATAATAAATGAGCGGGTATAAAGAGAGAGTATCGAAATAACAGTCATGAGTGCCCTAGAAAATCTAAGATTATAACTGAATCTAAGAATACAACTACCTAGGATGTTCACAACAGGGCAATTCCATGAAAATAGGGACAAACTAGAAAAAAATAAAAGTGATCAATCCTGCATAAACAACCAAAATTTTCATAGAATATATCTTGGGAGTTTTGTGAACTCAATTTATAACACACCTATAGGGACAAATAAAAATGTGACAGTCATGGAGTTAGTGATGCATTGAGCCCAATTTTCGGCATCATAATGCATTGAAACAATCTTGGGGTTTTAGCCTTAATGACTTATCATAAAAAACCATAAATCGTTTGATATGTTGAAGTAGCATCACCATTCCCAATAAAATATTTCAATTTTGTATAATACTCATTCTTGGCATCATTAGCCGCAATATAATGCCGCAAAATTTTAATGTAACGAAAGCAACGTTTTTTTGGCCTTTTTTTTATTCAGCTAAATAACTACTGTAAATCTTTTTTTAGCAATATACCATCTTCCTATAAATAGCTACAAATATGGTAATAATTTAAAATAAAATAATATTTACCCCGGTTAATTCAAACATTGACCGATCAATCCTACCTTTTGCCATAACAATAGCACACTCTAAAGAGGTAATGAATATCGGAATTGCCATAGTTGAAGATAATTTTGAGATTGATGGTATTTTTGGGAAGATGTTAGTCATTTACTTTGACGTAAAGCAACAATATTCACCTAATTTTACAACCTAAATATATTCTCCATTGACATGGGAAAAAGCAGTTGATTGGTGACAATATCTTGAGATATGTGCCACATCAAAATTCCACTAAAAAGCTTGTGTTCATTTTCGAAACAAGTATCAGTTTTAATGGGTCTTCTATGTGAAAGTAGTCCCTAGTATTTCCATATCTATGGTGTCTATGTTACAGGTCCAAGGCCATATACAACTAGAAACACTATTACTTAAATGCTTGTAATTGGCTTTAGGTTAAATCAGTCTGAAATTTAAAAATTTGCCCAGATGTAACGAAATTCAAATTGCCTATTTTATTTGTAGAATTTATCATCTACTCAAGGATTTATTATTTAAAAATTTGAACTCACGGAAATTGAATGTCAAATATTGACTTAATATCAAATTTGCCATCAAAACAAAAATCGAATCATGATTGTAACGTAAGTAACAGACCATTTTTTCTTCCTACTGAAAATTTTGCTATTCAGACAAAAGTTTTTCACCTAATTTTTTATGGTTTTACAACTGAACTATATTCTCTATTGACATGGCAAAAAGTAGTTAGTTGATATTAATATCTTGAGATGGGGAGCATCTCATTTGTCCTCTTTCTGTAACGCAAGTAACGGTGTTTCGGGGCATTCCTATGTGAAAGTAGTCCATAGTATCGCCACCTCTATGGTGTCTATGTTACACCCCTAACGCCATCTACAACTAGTAACAATGTGGCTTGCATACTTCTAATTCTTTTTAGGCTGAGTCGGTTTGAAATTTGCTCAGATGTAACGAAAGTAACGCTGGAAATGCCCAACATCTCAAAAGGAGAAGTAGAAACTTGGAATAAAAAAAGGTTATTTTCTACAAGAACCCACCATCGTCAACTTTAATTCCTCTATATCTTTTCCTATTTATTTGTTTCTTATTCCTTGTGTTACTTTTACCACCAGTCGATGCACAGCAACTTGGGATTTTTAATGTTGGTGCTGAAAAATAAACTTTCGATAAATGCCTGTATTTGGAAAATTGAATGATTGAAACAAATTCTAGAGAAAAATTTTGACTTACAAGCTGAGAATTGATGGAGTTTCACCCTTGTTAACCTTCTGATGCATTCCATGATCTATATATTCATATTTAATATAGTAACACTAAACTACAAGAAAAATGATAATAGAGTTGGATGTGAGAGGGTCGCAATGTCAGTAAATGCAAGTTGCCAGTTCATTGTCCTTATATTTAGTAACCACGTCTTACAAAATAATATTTCACTTGTTTTCTCTTTGAGTAAAATGTAAGGGTTGAACACCATATAAATTTCAATGTTATAAATCGAAATACACAGGTGTCGATGATTCTGTGCGAGTCACTTTGTTGATACACATTGTTCATAATTTTCCCGTATTAAAACTAATCATATATGCGGTGATCGGTGACAAAGATTTATCTAGCCGCGAAGATGGAGAAGCAGTATTGGAGAACCTATTGTGAATTGAAAAGGCCTTAACATTAAAACGATATAAGATATCCATATGCAACACTGAGTGAAAATAACAATTATGTGCTGCAATTAATAACTAATATCCTTCCACATCTTTGAAAAGATGGTTGCTAAGCAACAGAAGACAAATTACGCTTTTGATGAAATACAAATCACTTGGCATTAAACTCCGATCTTTAACAATTTTAGTTTAACTGCATTGCAAAAAAAAGTTAAATCATCGCAGAAGTTCTTTTAAGCGTGGATTTTTTGTGAATCTTTTCATGAGTCTATGAGATGGCTTGAAGCAAAATTGTGATCCGAATATTGTTATAAGATATCCAGAATATTCCAATGTGAATATAGTCTTGTTCTTGGGAATTCTCACTAATTTGTTCTCCTTGGTGCAGATCAAAAATATGTTTTTTGTTTCCTGAAAAAATTAGATAAAATAACTTAATTTAATAAAAAAACAGAAATATTGGTATGCATATTTAACACACTGAACAAACCTTTGAACGAATTACTAAGTCATCCAGTAATCATAATCAGGAAACATAATAATTTATCCTATATATTATGAGGTCAAAAGTTGCATGTGTAGAGTGCAATCACCAATTAGTATTGAATCTGTAAATACCATTGATATATGATGAAATCACATATTGTGCCAGTGCACTTCAAAACAAGGACAAAATGAGTTAATAAAAAAGGTTAATAATACAGATATATTGGCACACCTGAAGGACTGTTCCACTCAAACCCAAATGAGATTTACAAGGTGAACCTGTCACAGACAGATCTGCTCCATGATAATCTGCTTTCAACAAAACTTCCTGTGCGTTTTTGTTATCCAAAGATGGTTTGGTTTCTCCTGGTTTTAATGTCTGATAATCCGAGAGTAAATCTGTGATGTATTCCATCCATAAAATACGCAGTTTTTCATAATCTTGATAGTTTGAATTTGTAGGTTTCGCCAATATGCGATTCTTTATTCTTCTCTTATTCTGTTTTTCACGTTTTCTCTTTTTAGCTCTCTTTTGTTCTCCTACCAACATAATAGGCTTGTTTCTCAAAGATGATTTCAAAGTTTTCAAATCTCGCTCTTTTATTTTAGGAATAGTTTTTTGAATAAATGCTTCCACATATGAATATGTTCCTTGCCGAGACATGTTTAAGGTTTAAATATCAACACACTGCAATATAAGAGACCCAAATTGTAAAATACAAATTTCCTGAACTAGGCTACCTACTGCTGCACAAAAAAGCAATAGCCTAATCATGATGTCTTTCCAGGAACAAAGATCGTGATAAAGAAAGCTAGAAGTTGAAATTCAGAGAGAAAAACCGATGAGACGACTTTATCATATACAGATATAACCAACACCGTAGCCTCTCGTCCTGTTAACAGCCCAAATATTTTGTTGCTATTGACATTTCACTCTCTATAGCTCTATTTTATTATAGCATTACCGGTAAACCCACGGTAATCAGTAATCAGTAGTTTATTTTCTCACCATACTAAATGCACACTTGATATACAAATTGCAATAAATAAATAAAAAGGCATTTCAGGGTTAAGGCAGCCGCGAGAAACCAAATTTGGTTATCGAGCAGCGGCACCCTTAAGCAAGTCTAACAAGGAAATAATAACGGTACGAGTAGCCTACCGTATGTCTCTGAATTCTTGAAAGGTTACAACTGAAGCGATAAAATTTAGTGAAAATGCAAAACTACTGGTACCGGTATGGGTTGTTCGTTCACAGTTCAACTACAAAACCGTACGGTAGGCCTACCGGTACGTCTTTCTGCATACCAAAGCTGCAAAGTCCATGTATCTGCCAGCAGTTTGGGCTACCCGCATTTTGCCATCTCTATTTTGAAACGCATCGAACGTAGTTCGCCATCCCTTTTGCAACCATTGAGATTTTGACTCATCGACCCTATTTCAGTATTTTGTCATCCCCAATATGACTTTTATGCTATCATATCACTACTATAGAGTGAACTAGGTCTATCCACATTTTCATTCATCCAACTTGACAATTCTGATTGGGCAATTTGGCATTAGGTGACTCTGACTATAATCAACTTGACGATATCTTTCGAGGAATACTTTTATACCGGTAGTCGGTACACATCTAATAATATCTGTTAGTTAATGGGCCTTTTCTCGACCTTTGACACCCGCAAATTTTTTCCTATACTTCACCATTGCAAAATTTTCGGGGCTATTTTAGGAGTGCAGTTGTGAGTCGGACCATCTTGCAATTTCAATTCACGCTGTCACAAGACAGGAACTTCTACAGCGCGGTGACACTGAACCCACTCGTAAATACGGGGCTTGCATTCACTGTTATAACTAATGTCTTTAAATGTTGGTGCTTTTCTGGGGATCGGTATACGTGTCCATATATTTGAGCATAGCTCTCTTGTTTGTTTTAATATTCTTCTTCCATTTTTACTAAATAATTGATTTTATGTCTCGCTTTTTTTTCCTTTTGATCTTGTTATGTCTCCGTGATTGTGTGTGTGTGTGTGCATGCGTGCTTTAATTAGTTTTAATACTTTGGGGTGAGCGAACAAGTACTATTTCTTTTCACAATACTTTTCCATATATTACCTGTCCTGTACGCTCTAACCAGGGGTCGGCAAACTTTTGTCGTTCGCCGGCCAAAATTGAAGGTTGCAAGTCATTGGCGGGCCGCACATATTTTTAGAAAGTTAAAACCCAAGGGAATGGCCAATAAATCACATTTTTTCACCCAGATTTCAGTTAAATTTCAAGCATCGCGCGAAGACTGATCATATAAATATTTTCTGCACCGTTAAACCATTTACACTCAGCATCAACTTTTTTACGTTCTGTTGCCATTTGTCTAATTATGATCAATTATAGGCTCATTAAACGAGTGATTGTGAATTATATACTTGTTACCTGTTAGGTTATAATATAATTAAGTGTCTCAAAAAATTCTGTTACGTAAAGAATATATTCGTCAATACAGTTGTTTTGTTATTATAATTCAGTGAAACTTCGCGGGCCGGATTATATTGTTCCGCGGGCCGAATCTGGCCCGCCGTCCTTAGTTTGCCGACCCCTGCCTTAAACCTTACTTGAGGTTTTGTTTGTTCTCCCGATTCTATAATCAGTTTTATTTATTTTGTTTCTATCAGTTATTTTATCGTGTATTATGCTGATTATGGAGTTATGCGTTTGCAATCGATGTTTCCCCGACCTTTGACACTTTGCCAGCGCAAAATAAATGATGCTAATTTTGAGAGTGGTTCCGCGAATTGACGCCTATGAACTGGTTTATTGGACACGTAGTGGACATAACGATCGTTTCAATATTATGTTGTTGTTGTTCATGTTGTTCTTTGACACGTTTTGAAGAAATCGGTTTTTTCCTTGATCACTGGACCAATTGCTTTGAAATTTTCAGTGAGTAAAAATTATATCTTTTGCTAGAGGTCTATTACTTTTATTTTTTGCTATGACGACATCAAAATTATGTGGTGCTACGTGTCCATATATTTGAGCATAGCTCTCTTGTATGTTTCAAACCATCATTTGGATTCAAAGCATTCAACAACCTGTTATCCAAAAGTACCAGTACAAAACTTTAGCCTAGTCTATCACAGCTATTTCTAGACTAATTTTTTATTACTGCAATTGAGCATAGCTCTCTTGTATGTTTCAAACCATCATTTGGATTCAAAGCATTCAACAACCTGTTATCCAAAAGTACCAGTACAAAAGTTTAGCCTAGTCTATCACAGCTATTTCTAGACTAATTTTTGATTACTGCAATTAAACTAAAACTTCTCCGAAGACAAAATGATCATTGAATTATTTGATTCATACTTAAATTCGCGAAACGAAACTAAAAACTAACAAATAGCATGCAAGAACATGAAAACGAAGTAATGTTTACAACCATGCCTGAAAATCGATGGTCTGAGTGTCAGAAGTGTATGAGCGGCTACTAAAACGTCTATTGTTACGTCACTTCTTCATGTTAGTTAGCTCCTGTTACGGGAGAAAACAAGAACTCGAGGCTCTGGGAAACATCCGATTCCATCTATCCTAGTGAAAAAGATGTCTGAGCTGCAGCGAAAATATAATTTGTTACGTCACTGTTGATATCTCCAACAAATAAATATAAACAAGGAATCGTCGCGTTCAAGTCATAAAATGATATATCGCTGGAGCCTAGCGTGTGCAACGGCGACGCAACTCTTCCCGGAAAATCAATGTTGCACCAATATTTCCCCAACAGTTTTTATACAAATAAATTCCGAAATACCTTTACCAGAAAATGTTTATTCAGCGACATCGAAAATTGTCACCAGGTCAGGTCACCATGCATCTTTTAACATTTAAATAAAACAACCAACATGGTGTATCTATGTTTATCCATTCAACATCCAGCTAATTTTAGAGACCTCGTTGGCAATGAAATACTGCGAATTGTAAAACAGACCGAAATTTAATTTGGTTTCGGTGTGCAGTGTTCGTCATTTTATGTGCATCCAGTAATATCAGCAATTCAAACCCCATTCATGAAGAATTCTTAAATCAAGAGATGCTCCGTGAAACAAAATATATTTTTCCACATTATCTTGAAAGCAACAATCGTCTGCTCAATGCTCATCCTGTTTTAATGTTACATGAGCTCAAACATTTCGCCCCGTCAGTTTTACCATTTTAATAGTTTGGCCGGTAATTCTGTACAAATGCATTTGTATACCACAAAAATTGGCGCTTCGGAAGTATTCGTACCAAGATGAAGCACAACCTGAACCCTAACATGCTACGCTACACATACTATGTTCAGTTTGTGCGCCATCTTGGTACGAATACTTCGGAAGCACTAGAAAATGTGCTATTGAGTAGCACCCTGCGCATCAATATTTCCAAGAAATTTACCTTGTGTAGCAAACAATGCCCTGGTCTGTATTCGACAAAACAACATTATCTGAGAACATGGGAGCCGAAGACAACTACATCGTGTGCGAAATTAACGACTCTCTACTAACACATCGGCTACAGATATATATTTCAAAATGATGAATAATTGGATTATTATAAATAAGCATATAATCTCGTTTTTTTTCATTCCGTATTTAAATTATTGCAGCACTTTATATTGCATAACACAAAATTAATTACATAAAAAGCAAAACTATAAGCTTTTTGTTAAACATTAAGTCCTCCCGTTACTTCTAAGCATGCTCCATTGACGTATGAACTTTCATCTGATGCGAAAAATAAACAAGCATTTGCAATTTCTTCGGGTTTTGCCAATCTTCGCATCGGTATTTGTCTCACGCCTTGTTCTATTTTCTTTGGATCGAATGATTGTGCCATTGGTGTGTCGGTTATACCCGGTAGCACGGCATTACACCGTACTTTATGTTTCGGATATTCCAATGCGATACTTTTTGTCAATCCAACTACTCCATGTTTTGAAGCACAATAATCCGCATTCCCGAAATTTCCTGTTATTCCTGCAATACTTGCTATATTCACCAAGGAGCCATTAATATCAGTTGCATCTTTCAATGATCTCAAAAATTCTCTAGCCATAAGAAACGACCCTCTCAAATTTATTCTGATGACGTCATCAAAATCATCATCTTTCATATCCAGTAGTAGATCGCCACGAATAATACCTGCGTTGTTGACTAGGATGGTGCTTGTTTTGGACAGCTTATCTTTTGCTTCTGCAAAAACGTGTTTGACTCTTCCGGATGAGGTCACATCAGCTTCAATGGCGCAATGTAAGTTGCCATGGTTCCTCGGCAGTTGATCGAGAGTCTCAGATACAGCGTCACGGTTGATGTCAATTACTGCTACACTTGCACCTTCTCTTGCAAACACCTGACAAATTGCTCTTCCTATTCCACTTCCGCCTCCGGTTACAAGTGTGCTTTTTCCTACAAGTCTTCCAAGCGACATGGTATATGAAAGATACCTATACGCAATTTTATCTGTAAGTACTTTTATTTCGTGTATAAAGGTACATACCTAGAATATCTAAGAGGATTTTAGCTATACATATTCAATCACAAACTTGCTTCGCTGATGGAGATAGAAGCACGCATATATTTACCCGCTAACTTAGAAAATACACATAATGACCCGGCGTAATTTACCCTTCTACGAATTACAAAATATCTTCACTTTTTGGCAATTTATCGTTTATAAAATTTATTTTTATTTAATTATAAAATAAATCGCGGTTCTGAGGCTGAGATGACAATATTCTGGTTATAGTACACCAAAAAGAACTGACTTTGTAAATTTTGCTGCTAATACGACTATGCGAGACAAGTCAGCTTATTAAAAGAGCGACGGATATATTTACTGATACGGTTGATTGCTCATGGTTTCATTAACCCTGTGCTGTTCATAGCATGTGCTACAGAACGTCAAAGCCGGATGCTAAAGTAGCTGCCGCTTACTGTATTTATATTTCAAACATTTGTCTATTTTTGTTCGCGTACTTGTGATTTGTGATGCCAGAAATGATCTTTTTTTGAGGGCGGATGCGTAACGCGTTAACGCAAACAAATGCGCGGACAAACATACTTTTAAGTCGACTGTCGTTATCGCATGCCAATAACGTTACATTTAGGATTCGATCGTATATTCTCTATTTCGATTAAAAATTTAGTCTGCATTAGACCTTTTCCAGACCTTTGACCCCCTAAAAAATTTTCCCATACTTTTACTTTACCATTGCAAAATGTCGCATACACCGCAAACAACAATCTACTTTGTAAAAGTACCGGTAACGCATTTTAGCCTAGTCTATCACAGCTATTTCTACACTAATTTTTTATTACTGCAATTATATTAAAACTCCTAGGAAGACAGAGTGATCATTGAATTATCTGATTCATATTTAGGTTTCCGAAACACAACTGAAAACTAACGAATAGAGTTCAAAAACGCGAAAACGAGGTAATGTTTACGACAACGCTTGAAAATCAAAGTGCAGTTTTAAGTATTCTGTGGCATCTGCAGCTGCCGCAAAACCATGGCGGTATTTCATTACCATGGCCGCTACGGCCAAACTCATAGCAACTGACTTTTTAGCTGCCACAAACCAATGTCGAGCTGCCGTTACCGCGGCAGCAAATTGAAAACCAATGGCAGGTAAAATTTTGCTGCCGTAACCGCGGCAGGTGGGTCGTAAAGACAGGGCTGTCTATAATGGTGACAAATATTGGGTAAGTTGGAACGTTTTTCTTATGGATACAGTTTTGATTGATTTGGGGTTAGGGTTAGGGTTTAAGTAGATATAATTCCACATGATCAATTAAAATCTGGTACACTAATTTGTGATTATACCGTTAATACTGATTACTGAATACTGAATAGCGCTATAAAACCATGGCAAGAGCTGCCGCGGTTCGTTCGTGGCAGGAGCTGCCATGAAGTGGTAAGAACTGCGCCTCTGAAAATCTGTCTGAGTAAGAAAAGTGTCTGAGCGGATGCGAAAAAGGGGCATTGTTACGTCACTTCTTGCATCTTGCTGATTGGCCAATGTCACAAAGTAAACAAGGAAGTCGATGCTCGGGGAAAGGTCCCATGGAATCGCTTCATTAGTATACGAGAAGTACAAGTGTTAATTTTAGAGAATGGGTCGGTAGGGAATATTCCAAGCCACAAAGTGAGATTGCTCATGTTATGTATTACACAGGGTAAGTCCAGAAAAACGGAACCCATAAATTTCCCAATCACTCCAATGTAAATGGAGTATGTTATTTAGGGTTACCATATTTTTTTGACTTTAAAGCGGGACGCCTCCTGTAACTTAACAGTTTCCGATTTTACTACATAGGCCTACATTGATCATATTGTCATCGAGAGTTCATGCGCATATTCTATGTCTAAAACTCTAAATATCGGGTTCAGTCCGGAAAATATAAAGGAATAGACGCTTACGATACAAATGATCCGAATTTAGATTTTTTTATGCACAGCAAAAGGAATAATGAAATAGTTTGCCGTTTTCAACCATAGAAAATTTACTTATTCGCCCAAGCATACTCTTCTGTAGATAACACCTTTAAAAAAACGTTGTTCAATGTTGCATTCACGCGAACGTCCGAACATGACCAATTAGAATTGATTTCACATGTGATACGTTCGCTAGCAATGTTAGCGGGAAAGAACGAAACAAACAAAATAACGCATTCACCTTTAGTAAGTAGGCTAGCGTTGCGCTACACAGCAACAACAGTAACGAGAACATGTTCGTGTATTATGCTGGATGGCTGAACGCAAAAGCGGGACTTTTGGCTGACTTGTCGGGACGGCGGGACAAGACGCTAAAAAGCGGGACTGTCCCGCCTAAAGCGGGACGTATGATAAGCCTAATGTTATTTAATCTTCTTTTACACTTGAACTTTTGTTGGTGTATGATTGTTCTCAAAAGTTTCAGGAATCTTGGACGCATTGTACAAGGGTCATATTCTCTGTACAATATGATCCAAATTACCTTATCGACGTTGGAGACAGAATTGCATCTGTTATGCAAAATTGTCAATCACTTCACCCCTCTATTTGCCCAATCACATTATGTTCGATATTCGCCATTGAGCTCCTTCATTTTTGTGTTCAATCCAATACGAACTGGATTGATTATGCCATGCTTGGTAATGGTTTCTAATGCCGGGCAATTTACGGATTGTAGCGACTCTATAAGACTTCCTTCGGAGGTGCTGTGTCCCAGTTAACATTATTTTTGCTGTCAACGTGTCTTGACAGCAGAAAGTACGCTGCAGCAGCAAACTAGGTGAGTGATTGACAAGTTTGCGCAACGGATGAAAGTCTGCCTCCAACGCCAAGAAGGTCATTAGGAACATATTTTAGAGAGAAAATAACTTTTCACAAAGCGTCTCATTTTTCTGAAACTTTTGGGTACAATCATACACAAACAGAAGATGCAAACAAAGTGTTTAAACAAGTGCAAATAAAATCAAATATATTATATTTCATGGAAGTATGTTGTAACTTCATTGGTTTCACTTTTTTACTCACTTTGTGAGTACCTTTAACACCCATCTTATCAAAATATGCACACAGCAAACCCGTCGCTTTGACCTATAATCCTGACCCTTCGTGAGACTGGTGTACGCTCTGCGGTTTCAGAATATTATATCTGAGCCGTAACTTTACTAGCCTTCTGATTGTCGATGGTGAGAATGATCTGCCTGATGATGTACCCGTTAATGGAAACATAATTTTCGCATCGAATCCCGTCGGCTAGTAATTTTTGCTTCGAATCACAAAAGCAATGCTCAAAATATTTATACTGTTCTCCATGACAATCATTCTCCAGGAGTTTACCCAGCCTCATTTCGCAAAATTAAATAAACTGAAGCGAAATCATTCGCACCTGGATCCATTGTGACATTTTCGTTAGAGGAACCAGGTATTGGTTCAAAATATGTTAGTAAGTGGGTGCGTATGAGGCCCCAATTTTCATAGGCCCGGCGATTGCATAAAAATATCACCAGAACGATATTTTGAACACTTGGAACCAAAGTAGCAAAAACCATGAGGTTTTCCATGAATATTCGACATTCAACGGTTCCAAAATAACCTCAACTTTTATATTATCTGCATTGAACAAAACATAATATCGTCACGCTAATAACCGAATTGCGTAAGTCATTTTTGGCGATTTTGAGTTTTTTATAAAATAGGTAGTTATGTAATGCTGCGCACCTGTCTGTTAACTCAGATTTTATTTTAAGAATTCCGAAACCCATAAAAATGAAGATTTAGTATGACATGCACATTTTTGCAATTGTTTCGTCATAATGAATTATCAGTGTTACCGCAGGACTGTTGTGACGTCACAAAGGCAAAATGACCTCGGCGAAGTATTTTCGAGTTTTGCATCTCGGATTCTAGCTTAGCGCGTATTAGTTTGAATTTATACTACAGTATAGGAAGACGTGCACTTGTGATATTCACTGCCCGAGTCCAATTCACCTTGGTTGGCTTTTATATTGGATGCATTGCTGTTTTATTCTTTATATTCAATCTTAATCTTATTTCGGTGGGTGTGCAGAACATGTTATATTGATGAAATTATATTTTTAAACATAAAAAATAGTGTAATTGGAACTGATTAGCTATTTTGGGGATTGGACATTGTAGATACTGAGAATTACATTCGTTTTTGAAATGTTTAGTTTTCAGGACTGGTGCATATAGTAAAGTTGCAAAATTGCGTATGTCCCCAAGTCAAAGACACATTTCTGCCTAAGTCACAGTGCGCCATTATGACGTCACTTAACTGAGTCATACAAATTAACTTGAATCCGGCTACGATCAAAAAATTGAACCATGGCAAATTATTGACTCTCAATGGCATAACAATACCATTAGGAAGTTTTTCTCAAAACTGCTAAAAATGACTTATGCAATTCGGTTATTAGCGTGACGATATTGTGTTTAAAGTGAAATCATTATAAGTGATCCAACAACGGCAGAAGAGTGTCAATCACACTTCACGTTTCATATTTTTCCGTATAATAAAAACTCGGACCTCCAGAAGTATGCGCACCAAGATGGCGCACAACCTGAACATAGTATGTGTGTACCGATTGGGATTCGGGTTGTGCGGCATCTTGGTGCGCATACTTCTGGAGCACCAAAAACTCAGTAAACGATGTCGCATGATCGCATCATTTGCTCAGAATGTTTGACATCAATACATATATACTTATTCTGATGCTAATTATATAGTTTGATGAACTCATTATATTCAAATTGCAAGCGAGTGGCATTCGATTCCAGACCCGTTTACAACGTTGCGTTCGTGATGGTCTGACCAACCGCGTGATGAACTGAATATAGCGTGTATGTAAAACTCATGGAAAAATAATTGTATAATGTTATATATAAATTATAAATTTATTAAATATGTAAATATAAATTAATTCACAATATATAAACGAAATATATGAGCTGCAAAAAGGTAGGATGATTGAATAAAAAAATACGTTCGTAGGAAAGTTTACAAATAATGATTGAAAAATATTTTCAATGTCAAAATCTATCAAATCGCAATCATAATTTTTCACATCACATTGGCCTCTCAAATTAGGCTTTGAAAATTATCGCGATATTCATGGAGTATACGAAAAAATTTATATTAGGATTTTACGGCAGGATCCACTTTGAAGAACGGCAATTTTCGTTTCCACAATGTACAGTGATTAGTTAGTCCTTAATGACAAATTCGAGGTAACTGTGCACATTCCATTTCAGTGCCTGTCGCATCATTGTACGTGTAACTCTCCTCTTATGCAACTTTGCTCTTATAATTTCTTGTTTTGTTTGAAGGATTATTAGCCTCAGGCCAGTTGTTTTAATTACACAGTCGATGAAGTTATTTTTCGACTTGTCCTTAATGAGACTTTTTAACTCCAGCAATTGATTCTGCACATGTTGCAAGTAACTTTAATTTTCTTCCCGCGATTTCGTCGAGACACTGAGTATGAGCTTCTCTTTACTGAAAAATACATATTCAAATTAATGTATTTTAAATAATCACTGCACAGTCTCTATTTTTATTTACATCAATACGACGTATGCCAAGGATCATGGCAATGTTAATCACCGCGTTTCGAAATGATCAAGTTTCGATGAATGTAGGACTATCGATAAGAATAGCGCTTTTCTCACATTCCATTCATAATGGTCATATTATGACTACATAGATTTCAAACATACCTCTTTCTACGACGTCACCGTTTTCGTCTTCTGGAATACTACGTTTTGAAAGCATTGAAACGTGGCATCGACTTGTCATTGTTTTACATCTTGATTGCATTATTAGCCCACACGAAGACGTAACTCTTTCATAAGTTTGTCTAAAATTAAAAAATATATTGTCATCGACCAATATAAAAATGAATTTGTACGATCAAGTAGGTCGCAGTAACAATTTAAATATGCAGTAAGATATAAACTGGAAAATGTAACGTTGTGCATTCACAGACTGAGATAGAACTGTAAAATTTTCTGACTTATAAAGACAAACATACTATTACTACATAGTTAGATAAATCATTACGATCATATTTTGGCTAGCTTAACACTGGTTCATCATTAATTTTGTTTGTACAGGATGACGTTTTGACAAATATTTACTGATTGTCATGCAAAGTGAATATTCATATAGTAAAAAAAATAAACGACAATCTATTGTTTACAGTACCAGACACAGCAACTCATAATACAGTGTATTAAAGTATTAGACATTATAAAACATGAAATACCTTATTCTTTGCGACCAATCTGTATTCTCGTTGTTATTTTGATCTGGAGCCTCGGATTTTGGCGCATCTGGAACTTGTTTGTGACATTTCGTTTTACGATTTCGCAACAATGATAATTTTCGTTCCAAAAATTTTATTTTCTGTATAATGTTCATTTGATTGAAGTGTGGCCTGTACGACGGTGCTGAGTTTGAGGTAGATATAGCCAAGGCAAGTAAAAGTAGGCAAAGCAGAAGAATGTGACTGCGCGGTGTTGAAGAATACTGGGCCATCTTGATATCACGTATACTCATTTTAGACTTGCTATTAGCGCTGTAGTTTTTCATAAATCTGACTGTAAGACGAACGAGTTAGGCTTTTATACTAAACTGTACAGCGATTGAAAACGAGAGAAAACATACATTCTATGAGGCGTGATTCAGACCACGATGTTGCGTGTTTGGAGAGTGTCGTAGACAAGATTCGTAAATATATTTTTAATGAAACGTCTACTGAAATGAGCGATACTGTTAAACTTTTAAATAATTTTAAAATCATTTAAGTCAATGCCGTGCTAAAAATAGAATCGTTAGTTTAAGTAAGTGATGTATATATCGCAATAGCTAGACAAATAGTAATTCTGGTTTGGCTTAGTTGTATTGTATTTTACCGAAAATGATCTCACTAAAATATTCAAATGAGGCGGGTCTGAAAGTCAAATCCTATAAAACTTTATATCGGTAATAATATGGTAGATTGCGTTATACTCGTTGCCAGGGTATGAAACAGCAATGAATTCTATTTTTATCAGATGTGACTTCCATACCAACTTTCACAAACAGAATGATTTGTCCAAATTAACTAGAGAAAGAAATTAATATTTAGTAACGTATCACGTGATACTAAAATTGTTCATACTTTCATTATAGTTGTCATAGATTTTAAAAAAAAGATAGGAATTTCTGTCCTGTTGTTTCAGTACAGAGACAAGGTTTAATGTACGTTTACAAACTATTTTGGCTGTACAGTGTTTTAATTATCTGAAATAAAATAAAGCATGTGGCTATGTTTACAGTGCGATCATAACCAACATGAGAAAATTTTAAACTTTCTGCATGCTTTTTTCAGCGAAAGTTTAATTGTAAACTTGAACATGATGTACACCGTTGTTCAAATATATAATTCCACATTACATCGCTCATGTGGTAGATGATATAAAGAAAAAAATATTTTGAATCTCTATGATTGGATTTTCCACATCTAACTGATATTCCAAATGACTTCACTAAATTCTGAATCAGTGTGTTCTGAAGAGCGCCTCCAGGTGAAAACTGTTTTGCGCTACCTTTGTGTGATGATTTGATGTTTGTTTGGCAACACTGTGTTTTTGAAAATATAAAATCCAATTTTTATTACTTTATCCTTATAACGAATATACTACAAAAATTGCAAAGCAGCTATATGTGTGCACGAAAATTAAGCCTATAGCAAAAAAAATGAAATTTGGTTAATATATTTCCTAGTTTATAACTAGTTTATATCTGAATACTACAGCAGTATTTGTAATCTAGCTTAATTTTTTAAATACCAATAGCCCGGCCCAAACTTAAAATCCCAACAAAAAATCGAAGGCGAACCAGAATTATTAAATTTGAAACTCTATAAAGTGGTTCAAAATTCGAAAGCAAATCAAATGACTATCTTTAATTACATTTATTATTCGTTTTACAGTGAGCCAACATAGAATGGTTTGGCCTTGCTTATAACTACGATAAGTGAGAATCGTAGACGCGTAATTCAAAGAAAGAAATGTGATGCAATTAACTATAGATCGGGATTTCTGTCTGTTCATTTCAAGTTCAATTACAAACATCTCTTTTGTATTTGCATAATTGCGCGTAATTACTTTCGAATGGTGTATTTTCTAAGTGGCTGCTTGAATGTTCAAGGACTCTCAAGTGCATAGACTGGGGATAATTTTCCGGAAGCAAAATTAGGCCGTTTATATTTAAAAATGGAAGTTGAACAAGAATTCAAAATCCCAATCTGATTTACAATCATTTATATATATATATATTTTTTTAAATATACAGGAACTAAGGCAATGCCGGGTTCACGAATTACAATATTTTCATTCAAAACACGTCAAATGATTATTTTAATATTCATTCACCCAGTTTATCTACAAAATATGCAATTTGCATTAAATCACATATTAATCTATGATGGATCAGTAATATGACAATGCTCGTTTGTTCTTTCGGGAACGTGTCAATCCCTAGCATGTATCGATGATACACCAACGGGGTGATGGCCTGAACTCTCTGACACGCTGTTGTTGCTTCAAATTGAGATCATGACGCATTTATCTCCAGCGAATTTTGTCTTTTTGTGACAATCACTTGAAGTAGTCCTTTGTTTTTAAGTTATAAGCCATTCATGATTCAAAGTCACTGACGTATATTTACCAAATCGACACACGTGATTCGTTTTTCAACAGGTCAGAAATTGTCATAAAACCGCACAGCATCAATGACCCATAGGTGAATAAACAAAAGTGTAGACATGCTGTCTGAATTGACAGGTAGTCCCGAAATATCACGATTAGAGACGTTCCGCGTAATATTTGGTCAGTCAGCCAGATTGCTGCATTGTTCCAAATGGTAAAGCAAAAAATCGGTTCTTTCTAATTACTTGAGACATTTGATTTTTGAAAATTATTGCTCTTGTCCTCTAAAAATATCCATATATGTAGAAGCAAAATAACAATGTACGCAAAAATGACATTCACTCCTTGGAGCTTTAATTTATCGTAAATATTTTATATTTATTTTATTGTCGGTTACCACACGACAGAAATCAGCATTTTATTCACAATGCTTTCATGACCACTTAAAGTCAGTTCATGTTTTAATTTTGTTAACCATATTGCACTGGAAAATTCTAGTATTATGGTGCATTATTTTAAGAAAGTATGAGCTAATAAAAAAAATAGCGAATTTGCATTTTAAAAGACGCTCTGCTTTCCACAAATCGGTCGTTATGGTGGTCACACTGATCATTTCCAGAGCATGGACATAACTCCTTAGTATCCTCATCATGGATGAAACAATGTGAATCGCGTAAAAATTACCCGATAAATTTTGCTGGGGGTTTATTTTCAAAATATCCAATTTCTTGTAAATTTTGCAATACTTGAATCGAAGCTTGCGTCATTGGTTCCAATCGTTGAATACTCAGTCTTGGTAAACAACTGAGTCAAAGCGTGCCCATTTGAGATGGTTGAGTATATTATAAAGGATATCTTTGAAATCCTTTTTGTGATTATTGTATGACTTATGACGTCAATCAATTTAAGCTATCGATTCCTTTTTTAATTTATTACGTAATTTTCGCTAAATCTACATCCGATATGACCAATGCTTTCTAACGTGGGGAGATTTGTATTTTTCAAGCTTCAAAAGTGTCGTCAACATCGACAGTATTCGTGCAATTTATCAGTTTGTATGACATCAACCTCAGAACTGAAATCAATGACGAATTGGAGTTTCATCAGGGTCGTAGATTCATCAGGATCGTTACTTAGGCAAAAACAAAATTTTGAATATATATTCGTTTTAAATCATTCTTTAATAAAAAGGATCATAATTACTTTGATGATTAATATTATATTTAATCACTTTTCCTTGCCAGATTTCTGTATATTTGCGATGAAGTCGACCAATGCTGTCGCTATCTGCCAATTTATTTAGCCTATTCATTTACTCACTCGTGACTGGAAAGATCGAGCCCAGGCTCATCCCAGGTATAACTGGGTGATTTCGTAGCGAAGCGAAAGCATGAAACCTCCATACATAATGCTTATAGTTGCTGTAAAATATATTATTATATATATATATACTCTACTGATTTTTACAACATGTAGAACAGATTTGTCCAAATAAAGAACGAGTATACAAAATACTAATATTCATAAAACTATTTGGTTTTTAAGCCAGGTTTTGAAAGAAAAATTCCAAATTATGTAAATCAGGTTCGCAGGTAAAATATTTTTACAAAAAGAAACTAATTGTTTTGATTATGTCACTACTGACGTCATAAACAACGGTTTTGAAATAAAAACGTGAGTTCTCACATTCGATATTAACTCAAAATATCCGCTTTCACTATATTGTACGTCATCATTCGAGAAAATATTTCAAATATGTTATGAATATTCAAAACAGACTCGTTTTACCGAAAATTTTGTTTTTCTGTTCGAATATGATTGACAAAAAATGTTGACACAAGGGACATCATGCGATTGGTCATTCAAAAATGTGAATGGTCAGTTTTTAAACATGACTCAGAGCACGAAAAATTACAGGGGAATATTAATTATTTTGGGGTGTTGAAAATCTTTCTTTCGCTGGTAGTTCTCATAATCAACCTGTTCGGATGTCATTTTTATGCGTCAATCACTGCAAATGATGCAAACATGTATTCTATAATATGGTGGATTTTAGTTGCAATTGAGGCTCTTTCATCAAATATCGATTTACATCAATGAAAATGTTTAGCCATACCAAGCTCAACACCTAAGAAAGTGAAAATTCAAAAAACAAAAAGGAATTGATATGGCGCTTCTTTTTATTTGAAATTGAAACAGTGCGTTCTGACGTATCACGTGATACTAAAATTATTCATACTTTCATTATAGTTGTCATAGATTAAAAAAAAAAAATAATACTTCTAATTAGTAATTTACTAATATGAATTCACTATTTTTATACAGACAGGGAAGTTTTTGGCTTCCCCTTTTGTTTCAGTACGTGATTTGTGGGTTTGTAATCTTGAATCTTTGGAATTTTCTTTGGGAGTAAAATAGTCATTCTCCTACATCTTCAACACATGAAACTTCCGTTTTGAATAAGGAGGATTTTCTTCTGTTTAGAAACGTGGTATCGCGGTTGACTTGGGAAGGAGAATAATATAGAGGAAATTCGATGTTCACGTTTAACGTTTTTCGCGAATATTGATGAAAAGCAGTACATCCAACCTGGGTTGCAGATAAATTAAGAAAGAATGTAAATGTCGAATAGAAAAGGTTTGGTGAGTGACGAATGTGTGATTCCGGATAATGATAATTCTCCTATTTCTCTAGTCACAGCCAAAACGTTTTTGTCAATATATTGAATATAGTAATCGTACTGATAGTAATGTCACTGATACCCAAGAGCGACTGTGTTTAGTAAAAGCCGAGTAGTTCGGATTCCCGAAAGATTACAGGATTAATTTTCCCTGTATGTGCCTGTAAGCACTGAGATATTATTCCAACGTTGGACAATAAATATATCAACTATTTAGGCGTAGTTACGGATTTGTGCAAAGATCGGGTAATCTTTATTACACTCCTATTGACATAATACTTCTTTAAAATATAATCAATTTTGAAATTCCATTACAGCGTGCATTAATTCTAGTAGATGTTGTATCTATAATTTCTATAAAAGCAGATAAAATTTGTTACAAACATTAATTACGATAAAATCAAAACGCTATATTTAGTTTTAAAATCGACCACATTCTCCTAAGCACCTGCTCGTATAAACAGTGCACGACACAATCAGTTCGGCATGTAATGTATGATGTACGATACGTTCCTCTCAAAATAGATTGTTTGACTTATTTTCAGTAGTTCTGACGTCACCGGAGCTTGCGTTGTTTACTCTGAATATCAGAACTTTAGTAAACATTAAACAAACGAAACTGCCGGGCCATAATTAAGTTTAGATTAATAGATTCAGGCTTACTTTTGTTATAACGTTATTTTTTTTCCATTTCCCTCAAATGCACTTTCCATCAATTTAACATAGATAAACATGTGAACGTACGAAACAAGTACAGGACGAGAAATACAGTAAAAAATGGTTAACAAAATTTGATTCAAATATTTAAAATTTGATGTACACAAATAGCTAGCCAACTAATGTAGTCGAATGCATAAATATGTATAGTGACCTGATATATTTAAATTAATTGATATATAATACAATTAAAACGTATGAATAACATTTAAAATAACCTTCAATACCGATACGATTTTGCCGAAAAACATTCCCTCTCATAGTTTATCAACAGAAACAGTGTCACGATAATTTCAGGTAGTTTCCTGTAAACAAAATAGGATGGTTAAGCATGTACAATTGTTTATGCATTTCTGCCTCGCCTAAAATTATCTTTACTTATTCCCTAGTGTTTATATAATGGGTTAGTTAGAATTTCACTTAGATTTTAGTCGCTTTGGGCAATCGGGATTTTTGTTTATGTTCAATGATTGTTTTTGTTCATATTAAGTCCATTGTTGTATAGCTCTCAGCATTCCGACGAAATTCAAATTTTTAACCAATACTAATATAATTCTCAAGTAGATAAGCCGATCAATGAAAGGCTTGTGTAACCTGAACTTGCAAATAAAGACATCAAAATTCCAAATTTATCATTAACGGGTCATGCCCAGTTTAAGCACACTTACAGACACTTTTATTTGAATTAATTATGTTCCGGTATTCCGATTCGCGCTTCAGTACAGCAGCGTTCCCACTCTACTATCGGAATTACAATCTTTTCATGACTTCATCTATTTACTTATGCATGAACCTAATATTTTGATCACAATTTCTTCAAGGCGAGGAAATCTTACCGATTTACCCGCAGGAAATTTGTAGAATTTGACAATTAATAATATGATGTTACAAACTATAATGTAATGTAAATCTGAGCATATGTGGTTTATGCATATGTTTTTTAGGCATGCAGCCAGATAGAAATTTAGGATGAACATCATGAAAACATGATGGATTGAAAAATCATAAATTTAATAACTTGAAATCATTAAAACAACTCTTTATCAGAAACGAGGAAACATTATCTCAACCAAAAGCGACCTGTAATGCTCATAACTTATTCAAGTCAAATATTTACTTATAAATAACAAGTCGGGTATAATGGTAAATAGAAAGTAAATCCTATGTGTATTCGGTTTATTTTTAGAGCCATGATGCGCTAACTTCTCCCCAATGAAACGAGATACTTTGTTTATTTATTTAAAACTGTTATAGTTGGTGCCATGTGGCAAATAATAAACAACTTAGAACTAGGTCAACCAATAACCTCAGCGCATTTTCTGGTAAATACAGCAAATTAAACAAACCCTTGGAATCTCCCTGCTGTCGAAAACTAGGTTAGTTGTTTGAATTCCAGTATGTTTATAGTGTTCGACAAATATTTGACTTAAAACTTTACTTCGCTTTCATGATGACATAATCCGACGCAGGACCTATATATAGCACCGGGTTTCTATTAATTGTCTTGCTAAAAATATCACAATTTTTATCTTAATGCACTAAGAATTAAAGTGAGAATAATTAGTATATACATATAAATATGCATGTATTATATACCAATGTATATATTAAAATTTCTTTTTAGTTTTATATTATATACGTATGTTTCTCTTTAGCTGACATGTAAACCGCACCTACAGATTTCAACATGCAATTAATTACGTAGACTTGTCGAGAGGTTGTAAAATTATACTTTCGAAACTTAGTATGAAAGCATATTAAAAAATTCTCCGGATTTATTTAATTCCGTGGGAGTCATCAAATTTTTACCAAAATCCATAGAAGTGAAACCCACAATAATCAGTCACGACAGTGATTTGAACCTATAATATCAAAACCTCTAATGTCATGCTGTAATAGATTCAGTTTTCAATTTTTTTTTTATCAGACGGCATGGCAGACATCACCCGGAAACATTTGTTAAACACCAATATTTAAAAAGCAACATTACAATTTCGTTTAACTAGTTCCCGAATGTGAAAAAATGCTCATATATATATTTATATGAGCTTATTTAAATTTGAATGTTTTGCAACAATCTTAAAACGTAACTAGAAAATAATAGGGCCAACTTCCATCTATTTTGAAGCCATGCATTTCAACTTCTCTTGCAGTATACCAACCAAAGCAATGGTATTTTCAACCAGTGTCTGGCAGAGAATGTGGTTACTTTGTATTAATAAAATGAGGTAAATACTGAAAAAATAACAGAAACAGGCAACCCACAATAAAACCTAGATTGGTCGCTTGGGTTTCAGACTGTTTATAATGTATATAATTACTCCACAAAATGACACAATTTGGGTTGAAAATCAATTTGACCTATACTTCATTATAAATTCCGACGAAGTACTCAAGCCACAGTGCTTTCTAGGAGGTGGAATTCTATAATTGTTTTGCTGAAAGTGTCACGATTTTCTCATAATTCCACGAAAGCGATATTGAAAATTTTAGATTACATATACTGTATATGAAATAAATATGTTAATTATATACTATTAACAATCTATACGCATAGATATTTTTCTACGCAGCTCTGGACTCCCATGGAGTAGAAGTGATTCTAAATGATAAATTGAAAAAAGCAAATTGTTGTCTAATACCATAAACCTAATCCGGTAATCCAAAGAGTCTGTTGTTTTCTAGATACATTCCTACACTACGTTTCGAAACATCGAAACCAGCTTAAAAATTCCCCGAGTTTATTTGATTTTACGGCGGCATCTAAATTTACCAAAATCCGAAGAGTGAAACCCGCAATCATGTGTTAGTCATTCGAAAATCATTCTCCGTCCTAGTATGACACAGTAAACCTATGTTATTATAGTATTAGATATAAAATATTAATTTTTGAAGTTTCAGCAGGTGACAAACATTACTGGACAAAGTATCCGCACAGTAATAATACCCATTACTAATAAGCAACATTCCGATTTCGTTCATGTAGATTCCCAATTGAAAACTCGAGAAAGTCGCGTTAGTGTTGCGCTCTCAAGTGACAGTGGTTACATATTGGGGATTCCCCTTTTGAATCCTGACTAACTCACGTTATTGGTAATGGTAACCAGTGCTTTGCAGAGGAAGTGGTCACGTAATATTATCCAGCAGAAAACCATACATATTTTTTAGGTACAATTCTTGCCCAGAGCATGCTATCTACATCAAATCACGTAACACCAAAAAACTTGCTGCCGCATAATGTGGAGGTTAAAATTTCATAATTATATGGAATACGAAACCATTTACTGGGTACTACCAGGTGTTATTTCGAAAAAGAGTGTTTCTCGTCATTTGATGGTATGTAGATGCAATTGATCTGAACAAAATGGTTCAACTTCAAACTATCTTCTCCAGCCCTGTTTTTCAAAACTACAATTATTCACATTAATGTTAGTGCGTTAGCACACTGTAAATCATGATATAACTTCCGTAAGAACTAGGATAGTGTATATATATATAATAAATAGATCCGTGAAAACAAGCATGAAATAATGTTTTCGTAAACAGTCGTATGTGAGGAGGACCAACTTTTATGAAATTTGCAGATTAAGTATTACGCGAAAACAACAAGCAGAAATCAACATAATTCCAATATAAAATGAATATTAGAATTCTCTCGCAGTGAATACTTTTGCTACCTAAGCATCGAGTTCCTGATTACCAATGCAGGATAGAGTAAACGGGCTCACTTCTTGAAGTTTGATTCAAAAAATTATTATATCAAGCCCGAATTTGAAAACAACTCGACTGATTGAATAGCATAATTTATACACGGTCGGCATAGAAAAAGGTTATCGTGGTGATATCGTGATGTTGTAAAAGTTTTTTCACATGCCCTACCCTTGAAATCCCGCATTCATCCCATGGTGTGATTTAACATCCTGCAATTATACTTGTCTGCCCGAAGTATATTATTGGTTGTGTTTTGTATCAACGCACATAAAAACAACAATTTAATGCAAGCAGTTCTTTTATATTTCGATTGACAGGTAAAAATTGTTATTTAGTGGTTGCTTACGTAAATGTAACGAAAGTTGAAAATAAACCACAGGAGAAATCCCCAGTTTTTCCTGATAATAATAACAGATTAAAGTCATCGATATAACCTCGCAACAGTGTAGTCTATTTTCACCAAAAATTTGCCCAAGGCTCTTCCTACATCCCGAACATTTAATTATACAAAAACGTCGATAAACTGAGAAATTTGACCACGTTGACACACTTGAGAGAGGATTGAAGATGCAACCAAACGGTGATCACGATTCGAAAAAAAAAGGTGAATTTTCTCTCATATCAACGATATAAAGCGACGGTATTGATGATTTTGACAGATATTTTATTTGTCAATCGCCAGAAATAAATTTTTTTTGTAAAGGCAAAAAATCACGGACACGTGGTAAAGTTTTTGAAATAGAACAATTCGAATTGAAACAAAAATGTTGAAGAGTACATATTTTATTGCTGTACTTGCAATGACAGCAGTTGTCATCGCATGTGTGGCTTCTGCGCCAATGTCGGTCAAAAGAGCTGCGTTGAATCGATTAACTTTGGCACGAAAAATGAAACTTTTAAGACGACAGATAGCAGCTGAAAAGGAAAGAATAAAAACAGAGGAAAAAGAGTGTGACGATAACACCAATGCTAAAGCTGAAGATGAGCCAAGTACCTACAGAGATGCCCCGAATAGCAGACGAATACGCCGAAGGTAAGAAAAACTTTCAATTGAGTGAAATTGATGACAAACCATCTGTTCGACGATATAGGCTCGATTAGTTAGTAATAATTAGTATTTTATTGGTTGCTAGCTAGTACTTTACTTCCAAGTAAAATGTACTTGTTTTGTTTTTGATCGAGGAGGGTAGAAAAGTTTTATTCAACATTTTATTTTGATAGCCAAAAATAACTGATTTCATTACTGGCTAACGACTTACAGTATAAAGAAGCAATTTCATTGAAAACCAGAAAAACCCGAGCTAAAATTTAGTACATTTCCAAACGATTTTATTTATAGAATATAATTGTCTAAGTGGTAGTGTGATAATTTGTGAAAATGTTTTCAATTAAACAATTTAATTACCTAATTTATAAATCGTACTTCCTGTTAAAAAAAATTGATAATTTCTCACGATTATAAATGATCTTTAATTTTACCACATGAAAGCAATATGCTGGGATTGCTTATCCACGTCGAAACCATTCAATTACAGGTTGATAACCTTACATTAAAACAGTTATATCCATCATCCAAACGTGGCAATATGTTAATTCAGCATACATGGGAAAATCAGAAAGAAAACGAATAAATGAAATGTTGGCAAAATCCCATTAATTTTGATTCAGATTTATTAGTAGATCAAATTTCCGGCTTGTTAACCACACGATGTCTCGAAGCGGGACAATTCTAATTTTCCTCCAAAATTCACGCGAATTCGCGGTTTTCATATTGACACATCACCCCGCGGCATCAAATACCCGAGCACGACCTTGTCATAAGCCTTAGTGCTAAAAACAAACACAATTAAACAATGCATGAGTATCCCACCAAGCTAAGTAAACTATATATCTTAGGTTTTTCAATTTTTGTTGAGGCATGTAAAAAATAGTTTCACTTTATCACGAAATTGACATTCTCAATAACATAATTTTTTTTTTTTTCTTGTAGAAAATTTCTGAAGAAGTTAATGGCATCATGTGCTCCAAGTATCCGTCAAACGTGCAAAACAATGTTTTCAAGTTGCAAAATACAAACGATATTCAAAAGGAGCATCGAAGACAATAGCGAGGTTGCACTGAACAGAGGTAAAGATTCTGTTACTATTGAATTATATTCGTAAATTTACATTGCGTTGGTTGAGAGTTGTATTACTTTTAGCCGTACCATAGCAAAAACACTTTGCCATATAACGACATGAATATTTATGCAATATTGAACTCTTGATTTTATTGTTTACAGTAAAACGATCAAAGCACAACAAAACACGCGGAAAAGGCAAGAAGAGGATTCGCGTTGATATTTCATGCGAACTTTGTGAAAAACTCTGTTGGAAGTGAAGGAACCAAAGATACGAGAGTTTTTAACTTTCTGAAATTCCGTTTACTCTAATATTGTGAAGTGCAATTCAACGATGATCAACAGTTTGGGTTTGTTCAGAGATATATATCGAATCTTAAAATTGCATCTTTTTGTCGCCCGGGCTTCATGTGAATAATGGGTCAGGAATAGCCATCGGTGAACAATCACTAAAAACAGATGCTAAAACGCATACAACTAAGCTGTCACGCCTGTAAACCGAAATCATGATAAATATATAGCGATTTTTGTGTTATTAAAGTTCATTCATATTTATTTACATAAATGTCTGATATATTTTGTTGACGGAAAATTTATGAATGTTTTTTTTATTATGAGTGTAACTTATTTTATTTTTAAGTTGTTTATTTTAAACCACTGAACTTTAAATAAATATGTATAACGATTTGAAATTATGGTTTTAATATTTAAATTCCGGTGTTGGATATGGGTCCCTAAACTATAGTTCGTATATTTCCACCCATATTCTACACCCAGGGTATTTCCACCTGCATAATTTTGCACCCAACACAGACATCGTACCCATATATTTACACCGATAGATTTTAGCACTAGCATATAAATTGTATTCGGGAACCTTTGCGCCGACATACCTTTGCATCCACGAACGTTTGCACACGGACATTTGCACCCGTAGACAGTTGCGCTGACGTACTTTTGCATCCACGAACATTTGCACCCGTAGACAGTTGCACCGACGTATCTTTGCATCCACGAACATTTGCACACACGTAAATTTGCACCCGTAGGCAGTTGCACCGACGTACCTTTGCATCTACGAACATTTGCACCCGTAGACAGTTGCACCGACGTACCTTTGCATTCACGAACATTTGCACCCGTAGACAGTTGCACCGACGTACCTTTGCATCCACGAACATTTGCACACACGGACATTTACACCCGTAGACAGTTGCACCGACGTACCTTTGCATCCACGAACATTTGCACAAACGGACATTTGCACCCGTAGAAAATTGCACCGACGTGCATTTGCATTCACGAACATTTGCACACACGGACATTTGCACCCGTAGACAGTTGCACCGACGTACCTTTGCATCCACGAACATTTGCACACACGGACATTTACACCCGTAGACAGTTGCACCGACGTACCTTTGCATCCACGAACATTTGCACACACGGACATTTGCACCTGTAGACAGTTGCACCGACGTGCATTTGCATCCACGAACATTTGCACACACGGACATTTGCACCCGTAGACAGTTGCGCCGACGTACTTTTGCATCCACGAACATTTGCACCCGTAGACAGTTGCACCGACGTACCTTTGCATCCACGAACATTTGCACACACGGACATTTACACCCGTAGACAGTTGCACCGACGTACCTTTGCATCCACGAACATTTGCACACACGGACATTTGCACACACGGACATTTACACCCGTAGACAGTTGCACCGACGTACCTTTGCATCCACGAACATTTGCACACACGGACATTTACACCCGTAGACAGTTGCACCGACGTACCTTTGCATCCACGAACATTTGCACACACGGACATTTGCACCTGTAGACAGTTGCACCGACGTGCATTTGCATCCACGAACATTTGCACACACGGACATTTGCACCCGTAGACAGTTGCGCTGACGTACATTTGCGTCCACGGACATTTGCACCGACGTACATTTGCATCCACGAACATTTGCACACACGGATATTTGCACTCGTAGACAGTTGCACCGACGTGCATTTGCACCCACGGACATGTTCAACCCACTAATATTTGTGTTTCCGACTTTCCGACAAAATTTTTCCAACACATATATATATATATATGAATGTTTATATATATTTATAACCGATTACAAATTGTATGTACAATCTTAGTTGCGTTCGACAAGTTTAAATATCTATTTCAGTTAGTTATTATTACACTTGTGCAAATGCCGGCGCGTGCATATATATGTCCTTGGTGTAAATATCCATGGGTGCGAAATTCGTATGTACAAATGTTCAGGTGTGCAATTTTCTTGGATGTAATGGTACGTTAGTGCAAATGTCTATTGGTTCAAACGCTACGTGAGCCGTGGGTGAAATGTTCGTGAGTGCAAATGCCTAGTGCTTCAAACGGTGGATGAGAATGCAAAGTTGCAAATGACCATAAATACAACGCCAATGGGTGCAAATGCCCGTGAGTGCAATTGTACATGGATTTAAACGCCCATGGGTGCAATTTATATGCGAGTGGATAAGTCTGTCTGTGCAAATGTTGCATAGCTTGGATGACGTCGTCGACGAAGTAAGCCTTGGGAAAAGATATCGTTAGATATCAGCGACTTCTTGTACCTGGCCATGTCCCGATCGTAAGGAGCGAATAAACGTCGAAAAAATCATTTCCCACAACAAGAAAATTGTGGGCTAGTCAAGCACTGGCCTCAAAATGTCAGCAGGATGTCACCGCATTTTTTTAATTGCGATAAGTTTCCATGTTTTTCTCATATTTTTAAATAAATTTAAAATTATGCTCCCGGTACCGTGATAGTTCGAAATAATTCGAATATTTTTTAAATAAATTCAATTTCACAGAATTGAAAATATTCGAATCACAAAAAAATCGAAAAATCACAGGATTTCGCCACAACTTTGTTTATATTGGTCTTCTATTCTACAGCAAATTTATAGTGCCTTCTCTAGACCGGAAAAGTTCTAATTAATAGTTGGTTATCCTATAAGATAAGTAAACACAATTGTTCACATAATGGAGAATATTCCAACATGAAAGAGTTGGAATTGAATTCTCACTCAATTGTTTACATAATGGAGAATATTCCAACATGAAAGAGTTCGAATTGAATTCTCACTCATCATAAGTATTTGATACTATAGGGTTGTGGTGGTATTTTTCGACCGAAGCAGGAATGTTCGAAAGCATATTTAAAAGGTGGAAAATACTTTCCATTTTATACGGAAACACGTTAACATTGATAACAAGTTTAATATTTGGCTGGCGTGACAGTGATCCGCTGAGTACAGTGTTTTTCAACCGGGGCGCCCGGCACACCGATGTGCCGTAGAATATTGTCAGTGGTGCCGTGGGAAATCCTCCAATATGAACCAGTATTTAAATTCAAAATAACATTCAGGATTCACACAATGACTTTTTCGAGTTTTCATTCACTATTTAATTAATACGAAAATAAAACAGGCATAATCGAAAAGTAAAACCATAAGAAGGTCAACTATCGTCTTTATAGATATCCGCATTCCGGCGTCAGAAATGGTAATATTGTTAGCTTAAAATTGGGACAGGTAATTTACAAACGGTGGGGAGAAAGATCAGAGCCGGCGCAAAAGATAAAAATTCACTCTTTATTAGCTGTGTTTAACATATCTTGCTATGAGATGAACGGATAGTTCTCCCAGGAGTATAAAGCCAAACTTCGTCGTTCGCCGTTGGTGAAATTATTGGTCGTTGTAAAAAAGAGGACGGGTGAAAATAGCTCACCAACATTAAAATGTCTCTTATAGTTCTGTTATGTTATAGTTCCTGCAAAGCAAGCAAAACCAAAGCTCGTGATCAGCGGTGGGTTTGAAGACCACATATTACCCGTGCGGCCGCGAATATTTTACAATAATGTGAGGTACTCCGAACGCTCTCGTGTACATTATTGCAAGAAAACGGTTATAATATTGGTAACTATTAAACGTTTGTTCGCGCTCGACTATCGCACTTTCAGGAAATGATAATTTTGTAAAGCGGAAACAACATGTGTTGAAATATATATAGACTAAATTATCTCCCCCTCCCTCGCCTGCGTTAAGACTGTTTACCTCTCACATTCGCCCACATATTGCAGCAGTAGTAAAGCGAATATGTAAAAGTGTGCAGCGATATAAAAAAGGTTGGGAACCACTGCACTTTTTGTAGAAACGCAGGCTATTACCCTGTTATATCCTGAAATAATGTGCGAGTTCAGGGGTGTGCAAACTGCGGCACGCGGGCCAAATGCGGCCCGTAAATAAAAATTGTGCGAATTTTTCAGTTTAGTTTATCTGGTACGCGCGAGCAATTACAATCTCTGCGTCGCAAAGCCTTTACCTGTACCTACGTGCCATTGTCATATTAGCAAAACTAGCTAGCAAAATCCTGTTGCAAAATACACAATCTTTATTTTCTTGTTTAAACTCAACAGTTCTGCAAGGACGCCTAACAATGACGTATGATCCCTAACAATGACGTAAGATCAATAACGATGCTTGCAACTACAGTAGAAACTCTACCTACAAAATACATTAGTTCCGGAATAATCTTCGTGGGTAGAAAATTCCGTAAGTAGGGACGCATTTTACCTGTAAATGTCATAATTCATTCTAAGCCTCCACAAAACTAGAACATAATATTTGTATAAATCACAATAATGGTTAAAGCACGTAAAAAATACATGTTAGAATTAGATTTACCTCATAATCAATAGAAAAGGTACACATGGAAAGAAGAAAGAACAGAAAAATACCGAATAAAAACTACGAGCGGTTTGTTCACTTTTGGCGTTGGCCGACTAGGCTGAACGAAGATCGCGGACAGTGGGAGGACGGTGGTCGAAGGTGGTGGGAAGAGACAGCAAAAGTTGACAGCTAGAAAGAACATAATGTACGAAAAATGAGCACACACACATGAATTTCAATATATTTTTTTTTTATTTGTCATAACTGTTACGCGCGTATCATCGTCTTCTCACTGAATTTCGCTAGCAACACGTTGTACGTACCCGCGGGTAACAAACGGGCTAATGGGATGGCAGATAATTTATTGCCGCATCGCACATATCTGCCTTCGATTACGATAAAAAATGAAATAATTGTAAAATGTTTTAAATCAAAACGTGGACGGCGGCGCTAGGATATGTGCGCCCTATTGGGCATTCTTATAAACACGAAAAATGATATTCGAAGGTCGCGATATTGGAATAGGACATCCATTCTTCAAGGTGACCGTACATTTGAACCCATGTGTATATCCGCGGGTTCAATCTATATGCGGGTGCTATAACCCATGGGTTAGGGTTAGTATGGGTTTAAATATACTTAAAACAAAACAAAAATTCCATAGGTGCAATTGTCGTGGGTTCAAATGTAATGGAACCATTCTTCAAGCACTGCATGAAATTAACCTAAAATAAACAAATTTAAGTTTTCGGCCTTTCGTATGTAAAAAATCTTACGTTAGCCAAAGCAATATTTTCGTATCCAGAGCCTTTCGTAGGTAGAGTTTCTAGGTGCAGTCCGCGGATTCCCCCAGTTATTTGTATCTGGCCCTCCTGTATTAAAGGTTGCACACCCCTGACGTAGCCCATTACCACTCAAGCGAAGTGAAGCAGCCGTGAGCTAACTATATTTAACAAT